CCCTGACGATTTTGAAAGTCTTGAGCTGTTAAAAAATTTGACTGAGCTAATAATTTACGTATGCTCCAATCATAGGTATATGCGTTTTCGCTACAATTGGAAGTTACACGTGTTGCAAATTCACTATGGCTCCGGTACCACGACAATGAATTACCCGTTATGTGATATTTTCGACACCAGTTGTCTACGGGAGTTGTCCATAAAGGGGGACATCAATGTGAAAACTGTGTTCTCTAGCAGTGACTTGGAAGAAGACTTTCCCAAATTGGTGCAATTATGTTTAAGATTTGCAGGCAACAGATACACGCCTTCTGCACTTCAGGACCTCAAATTCTTCAGGCATGTCAAATTAAGATCCCTTATTGTTTCAAGCCAGGTCTGTCGTGAGAGTAGAGCAAGAGCTGTATGTGATTTGTGCCCACAGTTTCCCAACAGTAGCATCAACTGGTGGAGAGAGCCTCTACATAGTTACTGTATGTTGCTCACCCACAACATGAAAGTTCTCAGTCCCGATCTCCCATTTGGGGTCGTTGGCTACCACTTTTATGGTTTGAGCAGCATAGGTTTGACAGACCTCGAGCATACTGTTACTCGTGGTTTTACAAAAGAGGTAAAAGTGAACTTAAAAAGGTGGTACACGCCGTTTGAACTATACACAGTATACAATTCAAAAGACTATGAACTGGGTGGTATATGCGAGCACTAAAGTTGTCCAAAACTTGCTTTGAATTGCGTGGCATTCATTTGTATTTGGTGGTATTTGACAGAAGCACAAAATGGAGACTAATTTTTTTTCTAGACTATTGCTAGAATCTTTGCACTAAAAAAGTTAGAGAAGTATGAAATATGGCTTTAAAGGAATCATAGATGGAAGAGACACCTACAAAACTTGACAAAGCTAACTGGTGGACTGTTGATTCAATATTTCCCACTTTGGACAAGACAGTATCGTGTGGATGTCATGATGGCTAAGTATCTATTTAGAATAATCAATCAGCTGGAACGACCAAAGCCGAAACAACACCCAAGCGCTATAAAAATACACACGTACTTTGCAGCCTCTGTTGTATAAAACTCTATAAATACTTTTTTGCCGCAACAATCTTAATGTCCTTGACTACCGCGGGAGCCTGTCCCAGTTTTTCACGTTCAAAATCAAAACTAAATTGAAGAATGTTGTGCAACGTCTGCAACACCGTGGCAATGGACTCAGGGGTTATCTTGTACCCGTTATCGTAATATGCATTTGCTATCAATCCGGTAAACAAATCTCCACATCCATTGAAATTGCAGTTGATCTTGTGTATTGGTTTGCTGAAAATTCTGCCCTCAGTGTACCCAACGCAAAACAATTGACCATCTATGTCAACTGAGGAGATAACTATATTTTCAACGTTGTACCTGTTGGCAAATGACTTCACTGCGGCTTCACATGTTTGCCAATCAGTGATTTTTGCCTCGCAAAGGGTCTCAAACTCAAACTGATTGGGAGTTATCAACGACACCAAGCTAGTTGATAAAATATCCCTGTAAACTGGTATAACTTTCTCCAGAACATACAATTTCCCGTTGTCTCCTAGTACTGGATCAACTATCCAACGAGGAGTTTTCCCTTCTTGTTTTTGCAACACTTGCACAACTTCATCTTTGACCACCAGGAGAACATCGGCATTAGGAGTATATCCAATTAAGATCATATCGTATGAATTCAAGTCTAAAACACAGTGAAGTCCTTGCAATACATCCTTGATTGCTTCAGGGGTCGAAGCTGAGCCTTGCAAACTACCATATCCAGGGTGATTCGAGTAATTAGTGGTATTGATTGCATCGACATCCCATCCCATATATTGCAAAGGGAAAGTTATAGCTCTGTTCCCCACGTACCCATGAACAACATGGGACAGAATTGATAGTATATTTTTCATGATATCAACGCTTTGGAGTTGTGCCGCACATATGCGTTAAAAAGCAAAAAAAAAAACGTTATGCACTAGATATGTCTTGATAAGTAAAGATGCTGTAAATTCCACAACATAGGAAGACTTTCTTGAAGCTAGTACAGATCTCACTCAAACTATATAGAGACTCTGCATTTACCTGAAAACACCAATAATGTACTCAATTAATAATTTCAAACACATTTGGTAGCGCAAGATAGTAATTTTTATTGACGTGTTTTTCTCAGAGCAAAATATTCAATTCCAGACATTTTTCACCACAAGACAAACAAAGCTATGGGTTTGAAGGAATCTGCATCGATTGACGTTGGATATCCGATCTTAGGAGCCAAATTTATCAACAACAAGACTGTGTTGGTAGCGGGAGGTGGTGGAGAGGGAAGCAACGGAATCCCTAACAAGATCACCGCCATCAAGTGCAGTTTTAAAGTTAACGATGCTAAGCGAAGACTCCAGAAGTTTAGAGAAGTTCTGTTGCCTTCAAATGAAGATTCCCCACAATGTATCGATGTGACAAGACTAGTCGACGAGAATGAGTATAATGTGGTTGTTGGATGTAATCAGAGTTCCGAATTGATCAGGTCAATGAATATTAACAACAACGTGAGAAAATACAAGTATAATAAAGAGGAACATTTGATATTCGATGATGCCGCCCAGTTTGAGGAGGAAATTAGTGGAGACACTGACGAGTACCCAAAAGTGATTAAAATATCGCAAGATAACACCGTAGGGTGCTTAATGACATCAGCATTGCCTTCTGTCTTGTACTTTTTCAACCCCGATGCATTGGAGCTTAAATTCAAGTACAAACCTCCTACATATGACGAGATCAAGGATTTTGCCTTGAGTCCAAAGACAGGGACTACTTTGTGTTACATCACGTCGTCATCAGTGGTTTCTATATCTACCCAAACAAATTCGGTCCTTGGCACTTCCAAAACCACCCCCATCGACAAGCAATTGCAGAAATACAATTTGTCGAAAATCAAATTTATTAATAACCATGAAGTGGTAATATCGGCCAGCGTTAAAGGCGGTAAAGGAGCAGCATTGTTGAGGTATGATTTGACCAAGCAAAAGATTACACACGAGCAAGTGATTACAAAAAAATTGAACAACATAGTTGCGTTGGACGTTTCTGTTCCACAGGATTTGGTAGCATTTGCCGGTAATGATTTAATTGTCTACATTGTAAAACTTTCTAACTTCAAGTTGTTGCAAACGATTAAGAATTTGCATCCCTTTGCAATTACCAGTGTGTGTTTTTCACCCAATGGTACCAAGTTGGCGACAGGTAGTGCAGCAAACATCTTGAACGTTGTTCGCGTACCGCCTAAATATGCATCGGGAAGATCAGTTATTGGCACTGTTTTCCAATACTTGTTTACAATAATATTAATTGCAGCGCTTGGAATTGGTATTCAAAAGGCTCATGAAAATGGCCAGTTGGACGTGGTACTTGAATTGCTGAAGCAGTACCTGAAAGATTATCGAGAGATTGGATTGCGTTATGGAAAAATCGGCACTGAGTTGGCCGGTGAATACGGTAAAGTAGGGTTGGAATTGGCTGAAAAGTATGGAAAGAGGGCCTATGATGTTGCAGAAGAGTACGGCAACAAATATGGCTCTAAATTAGTTGGGCTTTACAAGGAAAAATTTGATAAAGAAGATGTTGTGGCTAGTGTTGGCGAACAAGCAAAGAACACCTTGAACGATATCGTGCTGGAGGTGACTAGAGATTTGCATGCCGAGACAATTGAAACTGACTTCAATAGTGAAACATTGGATCAAATCAAATTGAGTACTGGGGCTGCCAAACCTTCTGATACAGTGGATTCTTCTGGATCATTGCTGGTTGATTTCACTGATAGTACATCTTTGTCCGAAACAGAATCCAGCGTTCTGAGCATTGAGTCAGAAGCTACAACCAAAGTTGCCTCTATATCAACCAAGTCTGCCACCGCCACTGCCACTGCTACTGTCGCTGTTCCCGAGTTTGAGAGTATACTTGAAGTTGTTAACAATGCGACAACTGTAAATGAACCCGAACATGTCGAAGCCAACCTTGAAGTACAAGATAGCCCTCAAGATGAGTCACATGCTGGTGCTACTGCCGATGTCGATGCAAATGATGCTAATACTGAGCAAGAAGAATATGTTGACATCATTGAGGAAGTGGCTTACGAAGAATCAGTGCCCGAGGACCAAGCCGAAGCTACTGAAGGGCTCGAAGAAGAAGCAACGGCGAATTATCCGAACGATTCAAGACATGATGATGGTTACGAAGAAGTCGTAGAGGAGGTTGTTGAAGAAGTGGAGCCTACCACGAATCCTCCAACTGATGAAGTTGTATATGAGGAGGTTGTCGAGGAAGTTGTGGAAGAAGTAGAACCTACATTAGAGGAAACTGATGTGGAAGTTGCTGACTTAACTACAGAAGAAAATGAATACACCGAGATTATTGAAGAAGCTTACGAAGAAGTGTATGTCGATTCAGACACGTCGAGCGATGCACAAGAAGAAAATACTTTGGAAAGTTCCCATTACCCTTCACATCTTGACAATGACAATAGCGAAGAAATAATCGAAAAAGAGAAGAATGAAAGTGTGCCAGAAGACGTCGACACTGTAGTGCACTCGGATAAAATGTCCGTGGCCGAGGAAATACAAGAACCAGTGCAGGAGTCAGAACCCATCACTGGCGAAGCACAAGAGGAGATTCCAAGTGACGAATCAGAGAAAATTGTGTATGAATCTAATGAAGTGAATTATGCTGAAAATGACGAAGAGGTTTTTACAATTTCCTCCGAGACGAAGCCCGTGGCTGATGAAGAAACAACGGGGTACAACTCTGAGTCCCCAATTGAAGCCGAATATCCGTCTGACAATGATGAAGCAGTACAAGAGGCTCCATCACATGTGGCTGAATATCACGAGGATGAAAACACCAGATCAGAGGAAATTCATGTGTCGGATGTGGTTGAGTCAAAAGAAACTGAGGAAAAAGAAGCTGGCGCTGATGCCATTTCCTCTAAATTAGCTGAAGAACAAGTTGCTCAAAATGGTGCACCTACAAAACCAATCGAAGAACAACAGGTTGTTGTCGACGATGGTCACACATTACCCGTTGACCTGACATCTGAGGCTTCTGATGTGAAAGAAGAAGAAATTTTCAGTGCACAGTCGGTTGAAGCAGCGTCTGCTTCCGATAAAGAGGAAATAGAATACACACCAGAAGAGCCGGTTTCGCTACAAGAATCGCATACGGTAGAAGTATCAGGGACGGGAGGTGTTGATCCAACTCCTAAACCAAGCGAAGTGGAAAGTGTTGAAGAACCTTCAGTCTCAATTTCTACCCCGCTAAGCGACACAACGCATGTTGAACAGGAAACATCTTCATTAAGTCCTGCCGATGAAGAGGCTAGCACAGTTGAACCCACAAGCAAAATTGCAGAAGCTATTGAAAGCCTTGTACAATCTAGGACATATTCAGCACCTTCAAAATCCGCTAAGAAAGTGACCAGAGTTGTCACAAGAACAGTTAGGAAACCAAAAAGTACTGCACCAACAAGAAATGCTAGAGAAAAAGATGAACTTTAGATTGCCGTGACTTTTAGCTCAGAGGTGAATATTTGTATGTAGGTTGTAAAAATTTAGAATAAACGGTATGTCAAATTTATTAATTCTAAAGCAGGCCCATTGATTCAATGCAAATCTGCCATATTTAAAATTGAGTGGAATTATCATGACTTCATCCAACTAGACCAGATTAGCCCCAAACCTATTCATGCTAACAATCCATGTTGGACTAAAAAAAAGGTATGAAACTAGTCTTATAATGATAAAGGAACTCAATCTAACCCAATTCCTTCCTCCAATTAACCACTTTTCCAAATCTTGGCCGCATAATGTTTAACAAACGCCAAAGGATCTTCAATTTTACCGTCTTTGGGTTCCTCAACATCACTGGCAAATGATTTCAGAGGCAACACCAAAATATCACTAACCAACTTCGGTGTTTTCAAATTATGAAACTCCTTCCAAGTAACCTTTTGAAACACGGATGATTGAATATAATCATTAAAGTACTTGAATACCACATCAGTCCAAATTGCCGATCCGGTCCATTGACTGATTGTCAATGACTTTTCATTGGTATTTCCCGTCAACCTCAACAGACCACCAGCGCCCGAAGATGCTAAATTTTCCAATTTTTTAACATTTGTATGCTCAATAACTTGGGAAATGGCTTCACGTAATATTGGATGTCCTGGCTTAGCTTGAATGACAAACTGTCCAAATTGTAATCGACGAATTTGTTCCTTTCTCCAATCCGGCGATGATGAATCGGATTCAATGCCAATAATAACGCCAATATCCAAAGGACTAACATTTTCCGGTGTCCAGTTGGGGACTGGCTGTAAAGGATACGTATCTATATCGGCATAAACACCACCTTTAGCGTAAAGTATCAAATATTTGAAAAAATCCATCTTCATAATGACTTCAGGCAACATTTCAAATGTTTCAAGAACTTCAGGTACTTGTTGATAAAGGTGCCTAATCATAGTATGAGCAGTGTCATCATTAAATAATTCATGAACAAACCCAGGGTTCTTATATGCCCATTGTGATTCACCTTGACGGAACCTTTCTTCAAATCTACCATCATTTAATCCATGTTTCCATGATTGCCAAATATATGCCGGGAATTTGCTTTCCGAATCATATGGGTAGAGATAAGTTAATTTTTCTCTAATTGAAGCCAGTGATGGTGGAGTTTTCAATAGTTTCAATTCTTTTAGAATCAACTTGTTTTGTTCTTCCAATTTATTGATTTTAGCTTCTTGAGCTTGAAATAGCTTTTTGTTTAATTTTTCAATCTTGTTTAATAATTCATCTTGATTCCTGCTATTCTCCGATGATAAAAAATTTGACAATCCCAGGAGTTTGTCATTGGGTAAACTTGATATTACCCCTTGTAAATCTTTTGCTGGTGTGAGCGACCCGGAGAAAAATGTGATTGTTATTACCACTAATGAAATGAGTATAGTGCCTATTAGGATTTTACGCCCTTTGTTATTAGACAGACTATGATATTTGGTCATTTTTTGAGAGGTACGGAAATAACTCCGGAAGTGAGACGTAAATTGATGCAGAACTGATCTCGTGTCTGTTGATCTTCGTGTTTTTTATTTTTCTTTTTTTTTTTTTTTTTTTTTTATTTTTCTTTTTCTTTTTCTTTTTCTTTTGGTTCTGACCACAATGCTATTGATGATGACTATACTGGGAATATAACGTTGATTAACTGTCTATAGTCTTACTTTTACTCGTAGTTGTTCGAAATAATAAAGAATACTGCATAGCTATATTACCATAATGTATCATCAAGAGGTTGTATGTGGTAGGCACACCAAAAACAACAAGATTGCAATCCCAACTAATTAAATCCATGTGGTCACGTGCACCACGCGTGAATTCTCCAACTTCTCTCTTCTTTATACATACGCTACCAATTACAATGCACTTTTCGATTGCTTTCTAATCTTATTCCGCGGAAATAATTTCTAACACGGCCTCCTCCCTTTTAAACCAATTGACAAATATACCCAGTTAATACTCCTTAAGAACATCCTAATATAAAACAGAACAGAAACCATGTCAACAACTGAATTATACGGAGGGGCAATCACCATAAACAAGCTCCCATCATCATTCATTGATATATCACGAATCAGACAAGTTCCTGATTCACAAGAAGTCTTTATCAATGAAGTAGATAGCACCAACCCGACACTATCGTCATTACTCACATACGACCAAGCCTTGATTTTCGATTTATTAGAACGTGTAGATGCCGATGATTATGAATCGGCCATTGCGCAACACTTGCAAGATTTTGCTCCTTCCAATACTGCTAATCATCCATTACAAGAAGTGCAAATTGATGGCGGTGATGAATTGTTATACTTCAGTTATGTTAGTTTCAAACCGGAATATGAACGTCAGGAACATAATCAAGCGAAGCAGATTGTTATATTGATATGCTTGTTGAGGTTGGATAAAGTGGGGACTGATGTTTTGATTCAGTATAATTTACCATTGAAGCGTGAACATGAAGGATCAATTAATTTTGCTGGTGGGGATAATGAGATTGATAAATTTGCAAGTGAGAGATTTGAATGGTTTAAGAATTTATGTGCTAGTTTTAAAATAGCCGATTGGAAGCTATTTCAATAGATGAGCCTATAAAAGTGTATATAGTTTTGTTTATTCAGTTTTAGATTTTTGGTTAATGGCTGTAGTTGCTCTTGGTCTGGTTAGTTTTTGCAAAATGGCCCAAAATATAATGCCAATACCAATGATTATTGTAAATGTGGTTATTGAATTTACACGATCAAACGTTGTTGTTCCGTGGGGTATATCCACCGATAAATGATTGATACTGCCTAATTCGTTAAAGTGATAAAACACTGTATCATTTTGGAAGTAAGATTCATAATTGTTTCCCAAAAAGTTCAATCTTTTGGAATCAAATGGTGACTTGTTCAACAAATGGCCCTCCTTCACTTTACAAGCAATAAAAAATTGTGGTTGTGGGGTTATAATTTGAGTAAAAGGTGCGGCCGTATCACTATTATTGGGTAATTGATATCGCGAGTGCAATGTCAAGTTTAAACCAAACCTAGCTGGTGATGATGCATCTTCATAGGCCTCGTTTCCCCTGTTTATTTGAAACAATAATTCACTTCCCCATTGGTCTATTTTATACTCTGGTAATTCCAAATTTGAAACGCCATTATTGACAAGCAAAGTTGTATTTAGTGGAACATTTTGATACTCGTCAAATATCAACGATTTATTCAAATTGAGGTAATAATAACTATTGCAAACCTCTACGTCCTCATCGACTCCAATAATCTCATGATTGATTGTAGAAGCCAAGTCATTTTCCGTTGAGACAGTGGTTGATAATACTGGATGTAATCCTTGTGGTGCTATCGTAGATGATACTGACCCTGGTAAGTACCTATGTCTAGGCTTTAAATGAAACAATGTCTTGTGGATATTCTTGTCACCCACTTGATCTTGTGGTTCACTTTGTCCATCCAAAATCACTCGCAACCCACTCAACACAACATCGTCTTTGGTTTGAGATACCTTGACATCGTTTAAAAACAATCCAATCTCTTTATATTCACCAAGTTTCAAGTCATATTCAACTTCAGTAACATTAGTCACCAATTGACGTAATATCACTTGTTTCAAGGACTCATCTGCATTGTACACTAAATCGAACGTGGAATCATAATCTTGTATGCTAGTATGCCCAAGCCACGGCGATTGTGGTTGTAATTGCGCTGGTTGGGAACTGTAATAATATAACGAGTTGACGGAATTAGTCCATTCAGATGCATTGATATCCAAATTCACCACCGCCTTTACCACACTACTCAATTCATTAAAGAATTCGCTGTCATCATCATCATTGACGGTGTTTTTCGGCAACACATAAATATTCAACCCTGTAGTAAAATCGAATGGGAATATAGGATCCACATCATTGTACAGCCTCTTTGACTGAATACGTAATTGGCGAATATATTGAAGTGGCGTTGGGATAGGTATGGTGTATTTATTCTCAATGGAAAATCGTTGTTCCCATGAAGGTGCAACTAATTTGAAATTTGTCGCGCTGAGGTTCTGAATCACGTCATCATGTGATGATCCAGAATTGAATATGGTCAGTCTTTGCCTCATTAGGATGATACGTGGTGATGCAAAGCTTTTTTTCCTGGACACAATTGCCCGCCATTAGTTTTTTGTCTTTTTGGATTGTTCGTTTGGTGCGCGTTGTTGTTTTTAGTGAGCGCAAAACAACAAGGGTTTTACGTTTTATATGGAGATCCACAGTATGAAGAAATGGTCAAAGACGCAAGAGGAAGACAGAAGTGATACACTAGGTAAATCCGTAAGTGAAGATACCAAAACAGAGTTATACTGACAAAAATAGTTTCAAGAGTTTGACAAGAATAGAGAGGATTGCAAGAGAATGATTCTACAATTGTTTTCTCGAGTAAAAGATATTTATTATAATAATTATTAGTATGAACTGAATAGATATCTAAATCCTTATAATTTTAGGCAAATCTGACCAACTATTAATAACAAAAGTTGAATTATCACCGTTCAAATAGAAAATTGTATGAATAATTTGTAAAACATCAAAGGTAATTGAATGACCAGTCATATAGTAGTATACTTTTTCACTTGATTGAAGTAATTGGAATGGCAAGATGAAAATTGCATAGTAGATTATTAATGTTGCCAACGATATGATGATGCTATTGAAAACAATGGCTTCACCCAAAGTTGAATATGGTAATGGGGTTGAGTAAAAATAAATGTAGTATAATTTGTTCAATTCGTAGAGTAAATAATTTGATGATTTCAAGTTCTCTTGCTTTTCTAGTACTTGTTGGGCTGTGGCTGGCATTTGGGTGAAAGTTGGTGTATAATTTGGGAGGTTTGGCTGGTGTATGCCAGATCAAGTAGGGAATTATATAAATTATATATATACATCCCGATATGTATTGTGAAGAACTGTAGTTTGTGTTTTATGGCATGACTCTATTTGGTTTATTGAAAGGTAAAGAGAGAGAGACGTTTTTTTATTGTGTCTTTGTGCAGAAGAGTATTTCCGAGTTTGTTTGCTTTATATTTCTGTATCACATAGCATGCACATCGAGTTAAACAATTGGTAGAATATAGGTTACGAGTTAATTACTAAATATACTTAGCTTATTGTACAATATGTTTTATTGTTTTTAGATAAGTTTGCTTAACAATCACTGATTGACTAAAAGATTCATTCTCTAAAGCATAAAACTTAATATAAACACTTATTAACCTGTTAGTTAGTAATACAAATACGAGAGTGATCACTTTTTTTATAGAAACCTACCAACAATTAGAAGAATTAAGATGTTATATGCTTTAATGTATAACCACTTAATTCCCAACGTTAAAGAAAACTATGGGAGGAAGACACGGAGTGGAAAGTTGCAATATGGCTATTAATAGAAACAAAGGAAGGGCATAACCTTATCACACAAAAGAAAAGACACTACTCGAGTTTATTAATGTACAACTAAACAAAAGTTTGTGCACATTCCATCAACATCCACGGAATTCCTCTCTCATGCCAAACTTTGGACCTTAAAGTTTTCCTTAAGCTAGTTCTAACATAGTAGATAAATACAAGCTTCAAAAGGAGGAGACTTATACATAGGCTTAAACAAAATGTATCCTCTTTATGACAAAACACCACACACTTGATGCATATGTTGCCATAGCAAAACAAGCAGTATTCTTCAAGGTATTGCTCTTTTTGTTTCCCAGGTCCCTTGTTTAGAAGTTTCTTTACACAAGCTAAACAATAGAATAGACTTTGGCCAAAAGGTAAAATAATTACAATACAAAACTGAGCAGAACTTGCTGTATGTTTTTTTATTTTTTTTTAGCCGCCCAATAGAACCCGCATTAAAACTGTGCACGCAAAAAGCAAGATAAAAAAAGAAAAAAAAATAGCGCAAATAAGAAATAGAACAAATTCGGCGTTAAATTTTTATTTTACCAAATTTTACTCCATAAGCAACTACCCGAATTAGCCGAGTATTAATACATAACCATCGTAAATGAATTTTAAACCAAGGCAAAAAAGGAGAAGCTTTAGTGAACTTTTAACAGTTAATAGTTGCATGAACCAATCCAAGAGAACTGACTTATTTCTCTATAGGAACTCCCCTATATTCCATGAGATGGTCCCTATATATAAATGTTCTACGTTTTATTACTCTCAAATGTTTACTTTTTTATGCAGCAGGTACATGTATCCGGTCATGCCAAACCTTTACAGAACAATAAAAGTAAAGCAAAGTGTATTGAGAAAGTCAAATACAATGCGTTTTACTTCCTGGTTTCTGCGCTGGTTGAAAAATTCTAGAAATACTTTTGCCTTTGCCTTTGCTTTTGCCTTTGCTTTTGCTGTGTTTGTGTTCTGTTTGTGTTCTGTTTGTGTTCTGTTAATATTATTTTATTTTTGCTTTTACAAAACACAAAACTGCAAACTTTCGGATAAAGGACTTCTTCTTTTGTTAAAGCTTTTGATGCACATTTCTCTGACATTTCTTTAACACAAGCAAAGCAGAGCATAGATTTTTACAAAAGAGGAATTTTTGCGACACTAGATTCAAAGAAGGACAAAGTTTACAATTGTTATCTTAAAACTCTATATAATTAAAGTATATACTATCTATGTAAAATTTATCCGTCACAATCTTTAACAACTGCAACCAAAGATTAAAAAGCATTGCTAAATAAGAGCCTGTCCTGTTTTTTCTTCATCTTCTGTTTCCTCTTGTCTACAATTTCAATTTCACTATCGTCCTCCCTAGCAGTCGCCTTAGCAGAGCCACCACTATCTATCTTGCCCCAACCACTAGGATCACTCACTTTAACCTCGTTAACACGAGGTATCGCCTTCTTAGTCGATTTCTTTTCCAACGCCGGAAACTTGTTATCATCAAGGGCAGCAGCAGCAGCAGCTCGACCATTGTGTAGTGCAGGTGGTTTAAAAGATTGTGTAGACGACGACTTTGATCCGCTTCCCATTGCTGGCAATGATGTATCAGACTTTGTATTGTTGACTCTATCAAGGTAATTGGGTAAATATGGTGCTGGTGACATTATACTGGGTGACTTGTTAATACTCATTGTCTTTGGCTTATTCTTTTTAATAATTGTCGAATATCGTATTGGTTGCTCATTTGGATTGACATAATTGACCTTTTCTGGTTTCTTTAATGGTGGGAACCGATCAACTGGCGTAGATGCACCACTACTCCTACTCGATCCACCACCTGCCCATCCATTAGATGTGAATGCATTGGCAGCATTTGATCCTCCCAATACTGGGAACTGCTCTATTGGATTTGTCTCATTTTCTTCAATGATAATCGTTAATAAATCCTTGTGCAAATCACTTGATTTGGGGAAAAATTCGAGAAATTCCTTAATCAAGAAATTCAACTCTTCCAACGACTGGTGAATAAACAAATCCTTTTGATAAATCTTTATCAATTCACTAGCATTAATCTTCTTTTTCGAAAACAAGTCGTTAACCTTGGTGAACTCTTGATATTTGGCAGTATTGTAATTCAAGTAATGCTTGGCTCTTTCTTCAAAACGTCTCTTTTTAATCTCTGGCGATTGCTGATCTTCATCTTGGTCTTCATTTGTAGAAAGCCAACGCGAATTGTTAAATGTAGACAATTGACTGAAATGGCCACCAGCTCCAGCTCCATGATGATACGAATTGGAGCCAATAACTACCCTTTGTCCATTGCTCAATCCACCATGTTCTTTCAACATATGAGCAGTTAAATCCAAGTCATCTCTAAACACCACAAAACGCTTTTCAACACAAGATGGGACTGTACAAACATAATGGGCTCTTGTAAAATGTTGATACAATGCGTCATAATTGCGATAATAATCGGCAGTCTTAGGAGTAGTTTGATCACAAATGTGGCATCGCTCATGACGGTCACGAATATGCACATGCAATTCATCCTCCGAGTAAAATCGTTTCCCTTGACAATGTTTACATTCTGGATGCCCTTTGAATCCAGTTTCATCTCCTTGTGATTGATGCTTTTGTAGTTGCTTGTACGTGTAAAGTGGGAGTTCAACTTTGAATGCCTTTTTATGCTTGGAACAAATCAAGCAATAGTATTTCCCATGTGATTCTTTAGCATGATCGCCCAATTCTTTGAAATTGGGGAATATTTCATGACATATGTTGCATTCATTTTCCAACAATCGAAGAGTATCCTTTTCAACATATTCTTGTGTAAATCCAATGCGATATTTTTCATCAAATGCTACTATATCTGTCGCCTTTATATTGTCGTACTCCTTATCTAGTTGCTCGGTAATTATAATTTTGTCATTTTCACTTCGACAGATGAGACAGTTATTCTTTTCATATAGGGCCCGCTGGCGAAATGTACACTTGTGACAAGTGGTATGGTTACATGGTGTCAAAGCTGCATAGGTTATACGTTCAGCGCAAATCAAGCACTGTTGAGACTCTGGAATGTCATTTTCCTCTTGTAGTTGATGGCTCGATGAATCAGAAGCATCTCTTTTCTTGTATCCTGTACGTGGTCCACTACCTACCTTTTTTCCGCCTCTACTTACCCTCAACCTATTCAGTGAAGGCTTTGTAGATACAGTGGTTGAGTTTGCGATATCAGTATTGGTCATTGATATATGTTGTTGACTCCAGATTTGCAAAGGTGAAATTTTCCACCACGTTTTTTTTCTTTTTTTTTAATTTTCAGTCAATCAGTCAGTCAGTCGCGGTGTTGATTATTGTTCAAATTTGAAAAAAATACGCGCAAAGAGATGGTCACTAGAGAAAGATTACGATTATCATAAATGGCACCCTCACTTAACCTAAGTGCAACCTTAAACATATCCAGATTGTTATACAACCCTGGTTTGTGTCTTCCCCATATAACCTTTAAATCATTTGACCAATTGGCTCTCCCGTTTCAAATTCCCAGCCATCCTAATGTTAAGATAAAGGGAGTTGTTTTGGACAAAGATAATTGTTTTGCAAAAGACCACGACGACAAGGTCTGGCCGGCCTATGAGGTATGTTGATCAAGCTTTATTATATGTTTTTGAGGCAGTACTAACACCCAACAGTCAACATGGCAGAAACTTAAAGCACTTTATCCTCGTGAGCATATACTTATAGTCAGCAATTCAGCAGGAACAGATGATGATAAGAATCACGCCCAGGCAAAGATCTTAGAGGAAAACACTAGGGTAAGTGTGCTTCGTCATTCAATAAAGAAACCCGGCTGTTTAGACGAAATTAAGCAATACTTTGCCCACCAAAACATCAAACCCAACGAAATAGTCGTTGTTGGCGATCGTCTATTTACTGATATGGTTATGGCAAATATGATGGGCAGCTGGGGGTGCTGGATAAGTGAAGGTGTGGAATTGAGTGGAAAGGTGTTTCCCAAAATGGAGAGGGATTTGTATTCGAAATTGGTATTGAATAGAAAGGATAACCCATGGACCCCACCAATTCCTTCAAACCCAGATGGAGCTCCATCTGACATGTGAGGTGTTTCTTTCAGTTGCTATCTCTGCTCTACTGTTGATTGCTTTTGCAACCATTTTGGATTTTCCATTTTGTCTTTTTCAGTTCTACGTCATAACTCCTCATCTTTTTTTTTGATATGCAACACCAAAGTAGGAAACTACATCACTAGAATAAACACAACAATAGTTTCCCATCATTTGAAAGAGAACACTTCATTTATCACTACGATCCCAAATAACTGAATAGATTTCTGATATAATAATATCGATATTGAATCCATTCCCATTTTGATACTCCAAAAATCTGATATACCTGCTAGTTCAAGTGTACACCTTTATTAAATGTGCCACTTTCACTCCTTTTCAAATGGTTCATAACGTTTTATTTGATCCGCCTTTACCACAAGGCCAAAGGATCAACGTAGGAGACGACATGGTAATTAACGACATTTCCAGTATTTATAATTTGTCAATTTTCAAAAACTTGTTTCGGGTTTACTTTACCTTTCTTTTGGTGCAATACATACTAATCTACGCTTGTGTCCCGTTAGAAGAGATTGAAAATAGACCAGCAATGTGTATCATATCGAATATTTACATATTGATAATGGTGAGTAAAAATAGTTGACATTAGAGAGAGAGAGAGTGTGTGTGTTTACTAACTGTTTTCTTTCCAGTTTACAATCAATGCATCAATACTACCACTATGCTCAAGTACAATTCCCACGTTGGTTTCATTGAGATGTTTGTTTTGTTCCTTTGTTTTGGAATTGGGAGGTACCGTATTAAATATGATAGCAGTTGTTCACAGCGTAAAGGCGGGGAAGATGTATCAAGTTGAAAAGGAACGTGGCAAGGTTATGCCGACAAAGACCAGTGTTGAAGTGTACATCAATGTGTTTATAATACTCGCCATGGTTTTTTCCATTTTGGCAACTTCAGCTGTGTTCACATTGGTTGTGATTTGCGAACGGGCATTGGAATACATTACAAGCAAAGTTGACCGGAGACACCTTAAAGCCCAAAAATTAAAGATTGGGGTGATAAGTACAGATTCGATTGAAAAGTTCAACCAACAGCAAGAAAATTACTTCTAACACATAATAATACATTCTCTAATATACAAACTTCTTTCTTTCTTTATACTTACACCTAGGATTAAAAGTATGCCATCCATAAGGTATCAGCAGCAGCCAAGTTACGAGGATTAACGGCTTGTGAAATCAACTCCAAAACATTTTGCGTGGCAACTCCACCACCAGGCGATACATGTCCCATGGTCATTACTCTCTTGATAATACTATCAACATTCAACTTGACCACATCGCGCAATTGCTTATCTTGACCGGCAACGGTGCCACTTTTATCTCCCCCACCTTGAGCCAACCACGTTACAGCCTCATCTCTAACGTAAAGCGTCAAGTACTGTTCCAAATCTGATTCAGGTTCCAATAATGCTCTTGCAATACACAACACATAAACGGCCAAGACTCCTTCTAACCCACTCTCACCAATCAACTTTTGAATATTTGGCGTCAATCTAAATGGTACTTGTTCCGCGTTAACAAACATTGGCGTTGGTTTAGCTTGAGGATTGTTATTGTCATGCCTATTTGGCATCTTGCATGGCAACATATCTGAAGTCCAAACATTTCCCGATCCTTTATTCACATGAATCTTTTGCGGTTGTCTGGCATTGACACACATCATGTATGTCGTAAATATAAATGAGGCATATTGTGAAGTAAATTGCTTACGGAATAACCAGAAATCGTCAAACCTTGGATAAAGTTGCAAAAAGTAATCCTTCAAAACAGTGGAAGGAACAAGCAATGTCTGAATGGCACTCAAAATTTCAACACGAATACTTGCCAAATCCGGTTTGGGTAATCTATGGTCAAACGCTGCTCTCAATTTCTCCACTGTGTATATAAATGGCTCATCGCGACTTTTCCCATTCTTTTTACAATAATCTTCATAAACCTTTTGTAGAGTGATATCCTTGACATCGTCATTAACAATTCTGATATGTGGTGAAAGGGGAACAGCAATTGGCAAAGTAAATTGAATATCTCTCTTTCTAGTTTCAACTTTCCTTGAAATACTATCGTTGAAGATCCTAAATAATTGAAACACTGATTCTTCACGGCGACAATGACGTGCTGCTGGGAATTGGACTGCAAATGTATGCAAGCTACCATCGTGGCCTCTAATTCTCAATCTCTTGTAACAGGCACTGGTACCACGCGCTAAATCAACGGTTGGCAAAAATCTTTCAATCTTGACAAAATGACTATTATTATCCTTATTCAACAAATACTGTCCAGGAATTTCAATCTCTTCGAATTTTTGATGGTGGAATTCGCTCAAATGAGGACACAAGTTTTCCAAATTGATTTTAGTAAATCTTCGATCCAATTTATCCTCTAATCTATCTCTCCACTTTCTCAATTTGGTAATGTACGTTTCCAAATTGGGTTTCGAATGCACCAAGTCCTTTTCAAATTCGGCTCGAATTTGCTTAGGTAAAACCGTCTCAGCAAATCTTGTAATGTTTGCCTCTGTGACTGGCGGCAACTTAGCATCATCTCTAGGGTTGCCCAATCTATTCAAGTACTGGACTCCATCGTTGAGTAATGCAACTCCAAGCCTATAGGCATCTTCATCTGCCGTGCACTTGAACCTTTGATTAATTTGGTCAACCAATGACTCTAAAGACAACGCCAACAATGGATATGCCGTTTTCAAAATAGCCATTATTTCCTCCACATGTTCCAATGGCTGACGAACCGATGGTGGTACCGAAATTGGGACCAGGTTCTGTGATTGTGGACGTGACGACATCTGACCTTGCTGGGAATCTGCATGAGATGGAGACTGTGATTGAGCAGCTTCAGCTTGCGGTGATTGAGCTCCATTTTGTGACTCAGCTTTGGTGTCAGCTTTACCATTCTCTTTATCACCTTCACTAGGGCTTTGGCTTGATTCCGGTGGAGCTGGTGCCGGAGTAGCAGCTGCAGCCGCTGCCTTTTGACGAGCCATTTCAATAGCTTGACGCTGTTGAGCCGCAAGATCCTCCCTCGTGGTACGCAATTGGAAGTGTAATGCCTGTGGATAACTCTTGGCTATTCTTACCAATACTTGCTTGGCTAATTTAGCTTCCTTATGGGACAATGAAGTCAACAATTGCGGAATAAATGTAATCCAATACCACACTGGGACCTCACCTCTGAAATTCTCAAACGCTTGTGCCAAGGTTCCTGATGCATCATCCAAACTAATCAACCATAAAATACGAGCCAATAGTCTTCTCGTCTTTCCGTTTTTGTACAATCCAGCAGCTTGCAAGTAGCAACTAATGGCATTGTTGGCATACACCATATCACTTGGATTCTCCTTAAAGCGACGGTCATTGAAAGCTCCCCATTCTGCCCAAGCTTTTGGTAAATTAAGGTCGATTTGAACCGATGTAGCAAACGCTTTATTGGCTTCATCCTTTTGATTTAATTTATTCAAAAACATTCCCTTGAGGGTAAAGAATTCTGCTTTTTGTTGAGTAGCAAAGTACACTAAATTAGTGTTGCTAATAACATCAAGACCGGTATTGAGCTCATTAGGGTTCTGGTAATGACATTTGACTTGTTCCTTCAACTTTAAAAATGCTTCTTGGATTTCAATGTTTGGCAATTGGTAAATCCTGGTCAACTCCTTTATACAAACTTCGGGCATATTATGCTTCCTTGCCACATGTGCGAATCTGTTAATAACCCAGGCAATTTCATGGAAGCCACGATAAGCATAAGAATTAGCATTGCTTCCAGAGTTTGATTGCTGCAACACCGGAATGAATGGCATATACACTTTATTGATCACCTGGAAGGCATGCTGACGCCATGTAACCAAGTCGTTCCAAATATTAATATCATCCCAAATATTTGGCAACCTTTCACGCCACACTTGCAACACTCTCTTTAACTCTTGCGATTTTACATCCAAGTTTTGTGCATTGGTGGTGACTAAACTTGAATAAACTTGACTAGCTTCCATAAACTCGACGTATTGCTGAAATGTGTGCAACAATGGAATGTGCGCATTGGTGAACCTCCTAGGCAAACCGTGCCACTTTCTCAAAGCTAGTTGGATACCTTCGTCGCACAATTTAGATAAGTCTTGCAAGGTCTCCTTCTCTTGACCAAATCCTTGCAAGCACAAAAAGGTTTGGAAAACTTGTCGCCTTGGGGTAGGAACATCCATCACATTCTTTACAGTTTGATCCAATGTCTCTCTATCATTATACCAATCGGCAACTCTCCATCCACACTCCAAAAGTAGATCGGAAAACCCTTCATGTCTTGCCAAATCGGTAAGAATGTCCCACTGTTGAAGTTTCTCAGAACACAAGATCCAATGATCCTCCCATAAAGCATACTCGGATTCTCCATAGGGCAAGGAGCCACTACGAGCTTTAATTTGTGCTGATTCATACAATTGCTGAGCCTTATCCCAAAGACCAATTTGCTCATACGATAATGCACTAATCGTTTCATTGTATTTAGCTCTTCTCCTCCAAAGACCATAGAACATGTCGTCCTCTTTCAAGGTTGCATATAGTTTCAACAATGCATCCTGTACAACTTCCCTTACATCAGCGTTTGCATTAATCGCTTCCTCGTTTATATTCTCCAACAATTGAAGACCTTGAGACCATGCATCAAAGTTGGCAGCAAGACACTCTATAGCAAAAGGTGGAAGTTGAAGTGTGTAGCAGCGAGCAACACCTTCTAATAAACATTGAATGACATTCGGACGCGAATCGATTTGTCGCGTATGATAATCCTTTGATAACAAAATTACCAAATATCTAGTAAAATCCAAATGCTCCGACCTTGGTATAGATTGGAATACGATTGGGAAAATTGCTGACCACGTTCTATGAATTGTTTCACTGCTTTGGTAAAACATATCAATCAATGGCTCAAATACATCTCCTGCCTTGATATCGCCAACATCTTGCAAAAACTTTGAATGCCTTTCAAGCATTTCACTCAATTTTTCATTTGAATCCACTTCCATATTATCAGACACGGGGAACTTGAAAGCTTCAATTGGAGCTAGTTTATTTTCATTGGCAACGAATTCGATTTTGTTTTCAAAGTTGAATGAGCCAAACAATATTTGCAAAGCCTGGTTCAACCATGGATAATCAGCCAAGTACTCCCAATTTTGTTCTCTGATGACATAGTACAACCTCTTTGCTACATCCTTTTCCAAGCTATTGTTCAATATGGACATCAACTTTCGTCTAATTGAGACATCGACTGACCTTGTACCCACCATGAAGGGCTGTTCCATACGCACAGTCAATTCACTACAGCTAAACGAATCATCTTCAAAGATGTCCACTATTATCTGGTAAAATTCCTTGGATAAGGTTGGTTCACCCCTGACTTCAAACACCATCATTTTGGATAAAATGGCCGCTTTTTCTTTGGTGGTGGGAAACAAATCTGTTCTTGAAAACACCCAGTTCTTCACAATCTTGATGATCTTCTCAAGTGTATTTTTATCTAAACTACGCTCAATCAACTGAGCCAACAACGACAAAAATATACGGCGCTGGTCGCCCAAGTTGGAAATTCTCATTGAACATAAATTCAAAATCTTTTCCAACAATTTGGTAGTCATTTTAGCCTCAAATTCTGCATTGGCGCTATCTTTGGAAGCTGACTGTGTACCTTGATGAGTGATTGTTATATGGTCCTTGCAAAGCTTGCTAAATGTTTTCATAATCGTAGGCAACAAAGGATCCAATATAGAAGGCTTGTATTGTGCTAGCGTCCATGACAATGTTACCCCAGCGGCAAATGAAGGCATGTCGCCCAAATCCTCTGAAACAGAGGTGGTTAACAAATTAATAAACTCCTTCACGTCCTCCTCCTCCTCTTCATCCTCTTCCGCTCCTCTTTGCAGGTTGATAGCTTCCAAAATGGTGCACAAAATTCTTTGCAATATTTCCTGGATGTCATGGTTATCCGACTTGATACACTTTTCAAGCAACTTATGCAAGTAGCTTAAATTAGACACTATCCACTCTGGTGCCTTCCATTCTAAAACCACCCCCAAAACTTCCAATGCATTTAAGCAGTAACCTAATAAGTTACTCGAATTCAAATCATTAGAAAGCAAAAATTTTTCGAAAAAGCTCAACTTGACGGAAACCTCTGACCAGTGCTCAGGACTCAATAAGTCATACAAAATTCCTAAAGCCTTTTGACCTAATTCACTCTCCGATGCTCTTTGAGGGCTAATGCAAACATATCTGATCAAAAATGTCACACAAGCTTCTCTTTGACCAAATGGCACTGCGTAGTTGGGAGCTGTCGTGAAATCAGCTTCACCTTTGATATCTTTCTCAGCATTGACATCGTCTGCATCCTTGGCATCTTCTTTAGCTTCAATGTCTTCTTCAACTTTGTCGTCTTCAATCTTTACATCTTCCTCAGCTTCAGCAGAACCGCTAAACATCTCCTTATTAGTTTCGCCACTTTTTTCAATATCCTTAGCCTTCCTTTCCCAGTACAATACCAACTCGGCCAAGTCTATAGCTAAAAGTTGATTTTCAAGTGCAGGATTTGCCAAGATGGTCAATTTACCCATGGCAGTGATGATATTTGATATAAAGTGCTCTCTAGCGACAAAGAACAAATCTGGATGTTGGACAATAAACTGGTAGACATTGAGAACTTGGGTAACATTAAACCCGTCTTCTGAGATAATACGACGTGGCCATTTCAACCAACTATCGGGTGAATCGGCATCCTTCATTCTCTTTGACATTACTGGTGCCAATATGTCCAATGCCTGTCTCACCAAATGTCTGGAATCAGTTTGGTGGGTTCTCAACAAAGCTACAAACACTTGTGTGGCTAATTTATCTGGGGTATCATAAGCTGCAATGAAGTATGAAGTTGTGACGTAAGCGATTTGTTTCGTAATATTATCATCAAGTTTGATATAATTCCAACTGAACTTGATGATATCTTTGCGCAACTCGCTAATGTGAGTGGGAGCCAACTTAAGTAACAAAGCGGTGCTTTCCAAAAGTGCCGATCTATAGCCATCAATAGTTCCTGAGGTATGGTTACCAATAATATCGTCTTGTGATTGCCATATATTCTTATCAAACTTCTCCAACCACAAGCTTTCCTTTTCAAATATGTGCGAAAGATCTCCGTTCTTGGTTGACTCATACACAAATACGGGCCCAAAAACTCTTTTCAAGAAAAAGATTTTTGATTTTAAACATGGTTCAGACTCGTTTATAAAGTCAACGGTCTTGTTGATGTACCTGATTTTCAAGTCTAGATCGGTTGATGAAACAACATCATTGAAAATAAAATTTTCAAAAACATCGGAAATCTCATACCTAAGCTTGCAATGACGATTTACAACAGTGAAAATCAAGTCAGTTTCATCCATGTTCGCTTTGGTAAAGTTGATAATAAGCTGTTGCAACTTCTCTATAGCTTGACTGCTTCTAAAATGAGCTGACGATAAGACAGGAGCTACACTTATATCGTGTATGTCCTCAAGAACCTGTGACAAAGTAGTCAACAACTGCTTTTGACCATTGAACCATCCTGTGTCGTGCTTAGCAATTGCTTCAACTAAATCAACAATGTTGGCAAACTTGACGACTTTGGTTTCTGGATCTAATTCACCAATAACGTCATCGATCAAGACCTGAATTTTCTCCTCTGCGTGCTTTCTCAAATTTTCACACCCGTCCATTCCTGCTATTGATGCAAGCATATTGCCCAACTTTCTGTTTTTAAAGTTGTTGATCAAATACTCGACACAGTTTTCAGCAAATCTGTTGAGGAATTTGGAGATGGGTTTCCTAAACGGGGAATCTTGATGACGATCCAAATGCCCTTCCAAGTATTGAAGAGTATTGATAATTTCCTCCATAAAGGTGTATGCCTTTGCGGGCAACAAGTGGAAAATATTCAAGATAGCCATCACTATTTGTACAGTATGGTTATTGTCAAGATTTTGTCCTGCGATTTGTCTTAAGGTATTGATTTGAGCCCATGCCATTAAATGATCCAACAATTTCCGACCGATTTCAACACGGAAATAGGAGATCAAGAGCTCCAACAATCTGGCCAATGCTTCCAAGCCAGAAACTGTCAATTTCTTGTGGTCCGATAAGTTCATAAGCATTGGACGAAGTCCGTTTTGCAACAACTCTTTGGGCAACTTGGCATTCTCTTGTAAGCTAGATGCCAATCCTTGGTGGGCCGCGTTGATAATTTTTGTCGACTTGTTACACAACGCTTTGAAGAACACACCCAAAATTCTAATTCTTGCTTCGCCCAAAGATCCTATTGAAAAATCTGGCTTTGACAAAGCTAGTGAGAGAAGCTTGATGCAAACAACTCGCAACTCAATCAATTGGTTGGAAGTACGGTATTCATTCAAACGATGAACATTGGCCAACGACTCGTCTTCGGCATCGACTAATGCCAAAGCTTCCAAAAGCAATCGGTTCAACTCCTCGTTAAAGCTCAAAAATGTGTCTTCCAAGCCCAAGCAAAAGGTAATAGCATCAATGTTACCAATCTGCATAGGAAAAGGCAAAGCCCTGAGCGGTTTCCCAAAAATTGGTGTCAACAACAAGTGCTTACAAGGACCCATGAGTGTTGCTGTGGATGTCGATGTTACATCTGACAAGACTTTCAAACACTCTTGAGCAACTTCCCTTACCATTGGAGTCGGGCTGGCTAAATCATAAACTAATGCCCCAACGAGAGTTTGAAATGGCTTCTCCATAACCGTTTCTTTTGTAATGTCCTTGTTACATGTTCTTAGGAGGTCAAGTACCAACTCTTTGGCGGATTGGCGAACCTCAACCGGTGCAGTGTCAGGTGTGTCCCGCAAGATAAAGAACACAGAACGCACTAATTCAAACTGTCTCTGATAGAACCAATTTGGAGAAATTTTCAAATCATGGAACATAGTCTTGAGTCCAATAATACCACCTAACTTGGTATAATAGTACTCGTTATAGCAGCAATGGGTAAATCGGTAAAACATTGATCGGAATATGACAGAATACAAGGCATTTTCTTCAGACCCGAAAGTGGTGACGGTAGTTTCATAAATCCTCTTGACAGCTTCAACACCCTTTGCTCTCACATCTTTGTCCCAGAAGCTCAACGAACAAGTGATGGCGCTGAGGAAAGCATTCTCACTGATGTATGCTTTTCCTTCATTATCGGTCACCGAAAACTTGCGTTCTTTCCTAATCTTATCCACCACAGATGTGCTCAAATGTAGCAATGTGAAATGAGTTGTCAATCCATCAATCAAGGCACTTGCTTCATCTTTCAATTCCGGTATCGATACCGAAAAAAACAACATCTCCAACAATTTTGCAAAAAGCTGCTGTTGGAGGTCAAGCTTCTCTCCATCTTTGATATCCAGTGGAGACAACGGTATATCTACATCCTCAGGCTTATCCTTCTTTAAAAAATCAACACTTTCTTGTGCGTATTGGACAAAGTTATCTGGAATTGGAGTGGTGTTGATGAATAGCTTTAATATACTCGTTAAGTACTTAAACGCGCTGATTCTATAATGGATTTTCAACCTTGGGTCATCCAACAATTTGATAGCAGACTCAACACCGGGTGTAACCGATACAGGCACAGAATCATTCAAGCCATACACTTGAACCAACGCCTTAATTTCTTGGTTTGCCTCGGTTTGTGTAGTCAAGTTTTCATAAGATTTAATCTTTCGATGGTTTCTACCACCGAGTTTACCCAAAATTCTAATAGCTGTATGGCTATGTTGATGATGGTACGGCACCGGCTCAAGGTGTTTCCACAAAGCAGTCATTATTTCATCAGCCACAGGTTCAATAATTGGGTCGAAATATTCAGCAGTCAAGTTGTCAACACATAGTTCAAATATACGCATGCCCTGGCTGACCAACTCTTGTGGTCCATTTAAAGCATACACAAGTGGCCTCGTCAAGTAATTGAGGTGGGGGACCAAGACGGCTAACCTGACAGGAATGGTTAAGCACAATTCAACGTATATGTCTCTCTCATATGGCCTTTGGGCATTGGCAATCATTTTGTTCAAGTTCTCCAACAAGACAGGTAATATGGGCATTATCTCTTTGTAAAGGTTTTCAAACTTGCCACCGCTAATACTCCTAAACAAAATTCTCACAAGGTAGGAATACACTATGGGTTCTTCGGCCTTAGTCCCAAACTTTAATGATTCTAGAATGAGATAATTTAAATGAGGGAGCAATACTCCTTCATTGGTGGTGGGGAATAAGTTAACCGACATAAAGCACAATTTAAAAAGCCTTATAAGTATGTTGGATTTCACCATATCAGCGTTTCCAAGTTGACTTAACTTGTCCTTTAAAAATGAAATCAAGATACTTGAAAAGTTGGCTGAAGTTACTTCACTAGCAAGAAAAAATTGGGGTAAATGTAATAAAGCTGCATTTTCCAACATGGAGTTGAACATGAATGGCAATTCCGAGCTAACAATCTCATTGAATGAGGCTGGGTCAATATTAATGAATATCGTAGCAAATATTTCCATCAAATCCTTTTCATCCTTGGATGAAGTGATTGGCAAGTTGGGACCTCCTGTTGAGAAATCAAATGCCTTTTGTGAAATTGTCGGTCTTGGCTTGGAAACGGCAAAGTAACGGAGACAACTTATGCCTCCTCTGAACAAAGACCGGAGAATATTTACTTCTTCGACTGCGATAAGTTTTGCCGAATCGTTCCATTTATCATAGTTTACCTGTTGTTGTTTCGAGGGGTCGGTAATAGCAGGTTGTGGTGGTACTGGTGGGTTACAATGCTTCAATCCAAACACGACGGACTTTAAGAATTGCATCAATGTACGGAAAAGGTATCTTGCATCCTTCAAAACGTCTGTGGTGTTAGGTGTCGGCACTGAAGCTATTGGCGAGTACGAGTCAATATTGTATATGTTTAATCCAAGGGCCCCATCCACCTGAGGATTAGCTTCCTCGTGTGCTTCTTCTTTATCAACATCCATCTTGTCGTTTGCCTCGTCTGCAATTTCTTCTTGTTGAACGTGATTTCGCTTGGATGAGTACCGCTCAATAGCCTTTTTCGAATCCTTCTCTCTGCCTAGCTTCTTTCTTTCGTACTCGTTATGCTTAGCAATGATGTAATCGTATTTACGGTCCAAGTTTTTGAACCGTTTAGCATACGCATCAATAATGATTAAAAACAATTGTCTACCTTCCAACTTATTAGGAAGCGTCATAATCTTCTCCACTAGATTTAAAAGCAACTTTGCACTCATTATCTGCACCGACATTGGTAAAGATTCGTCTTTCAACAATCCAGAATAAATACTTACAGTGGACCAGATCTGTTTTGGAGTCAATTCATCTCGTACGTTGTGAATAAAATCAGCAACCATTGAATAAGCCAACGGCCTCAATGTTTCATACGAAGTTAATCCATCACCAATCAAAATCTTCTCGTCAAAGAGCAACTCCAATTTGGGAATAAATTGCGTTCTAAATGGAGTTGACAAGATGTGTCTTGTTGCGTGAAGCAATTCCTTTCTTGCGACTGACAATTCTGCGGGGCAGTCCTGTAACAACCGAAGAATAACATCCGGTATACACGCACTTTCCTCTGGTTTCAAGTATTGGTTTGCATATCCTCTGATGAATACATAAGCCAAAAAAGATGCGGCCTTTACTTGTCCCAAAATAAATTCACCATATGCTTGCCTATTTTTGATTCTAGGTGATATTGAAGTGACAATATTGTTTTCTGATTCCTGGCGGTATTGTTCTTGTTGCTTGACCTGTAACTTTAAAATGTGCATTATTTTTGGCAAAAAGTGTGGAAGCGATGGTGCAACTAGCTGCTTGTTGGACGAATACAACGAAACCATCGTAATTGGGCATTCAGCTAAAGTTTTAAAGGAGAACATGGCCCTGTTCAATGTTTTTGTGGGTGCGTCCTCGTTGAAAGAGTTAGCCGGGGACATGTCTTGCTCGCCATTAACATCTTCCTTGGTGGTTTCATTATTTGATGAGTCATCTGAGAATACATCCTGTACAGTTTGATCCATATTCTCATAGATTTTTTGTATGACTTCCAAGAATGGTTGTACTTTCTCAGCCAAAGTGGCTTTGTAAGCTTTCTGTAAACTAGTGATTATCTTCATGCACAAGACTCCATTATCTTCGTTCTCCTCTACTAGGATCTTAGTCAACGCATCCAATATTTGTTCGGCAAATGGTTGAAATGTTTCATTCATGATTAATCTGTGAATTATTTCCAATGTGCTGTTTCTCAACTTCTGTTCTGGGCTTGTGGATATGTAAGAAATGGGAACTTCCTCGAGCTCCTTGAGAAATATCGGCACGAGGTTTTTTAAGAAGTATTCATACTCGGTGGCCCCGCTGAACTGTTCAATTGTGTCTAACAATTCTGACAAAATTGCATGTTTAGCAGTATAATCACCACTCTCATTAAGTCGAGACACAAACGCGTCTAACTGTGCTGTATATGACATTCTTACAAGGATCCAAGGAGGAGTAGCTGCTAGTAATGTTTAGTCGTATACTTGGTGTGTGTGTGTGTCAATGCAATTCTTTTGGTGATTGAGTTGTTTATACACTCCAAAAGCGAAACAAAAAAATGTAAATTTTGAAAAAAATGAGAAATGGTGGGAATTGATTTCACCAAATTTTCCAAAACTCACGTGCTACTCATGTGCTTATCACGATTATTGGTAGCGATAACGTCAACTAATACGTGCTTTATTGAGCATAAACCAATTCACTTCAGCATATGGAAATTGATACCTTGTTGGAGACACACAAATATGTGACAAGCAAACTATACCTTGTTGCAGTTGATGACCAATGATGCTAAAAGCGTACAGAGATTCTGGAACTGGTAGTGTACAAGAGATAAAAAAGTATCTCAAATAATTTGGCTCAAACTGGAAATAATTGTTCTTGTTTTTGATCAATTGTCTGAAAAACAAACGCGTTTTAATTCAACATTCTTGCTCGTTAGGATCCTGGATGGCCTTGTTGTGTGTGCTTTTCAATCGCCACTGGAAATTTTGTATTGTTGAGCTTTTTTGATAATGTTTATACCATTTTGCGTGTAATTGTGGGCTTGAAACTAAGCAATGGTTGTCTTACTGCAATTCAACTTTTGGAGTTTAAGGATAGGTCATTAAGTCTGCCTTTTTTAAATTTGGTGGCTCATGATCGTCGTATACCAAAGCTTAAACTTTCTATGGGAATGGACAAAATTCACTTTGCTTTGGTAATCGATAAGATTGTGTCTTTGCTTTAACCCCGGGATTCGGTGATCGTGTGGATATTGGTTTTTGTTTTGCTCGAAATATTTGTAAATCACTATTATAAAAAGTATAAAGGGATTTACAGTGCCGATCCTGGTTGTTTCACTTGGATTCTTGGAGTTCAATGTGAAGTTAGCAAAATCTTTAATACTGATAATGTTGTCGACAGCTGAAGCTGCGAAGTGTGTTGGAGAGTATTGCGTTGGAAAGTAGTAAGCTATATTAATCTCTGATTGAAAAGCATGTGCTTGATCAGTAAACACGTCTATTCTCTCAAGTTTCAGAATCTGGGTTGTATTAGTTTGTTTAATATGTAATTTGTTAATTTGATTTGTAAATGTCAAACAATCGTAGAATTGCATACACTTATAACGGTTAGCGAATGACTCAAGTTGGTAATATGCAGCCAAAACTTTTGTGCTTTTGCTGTTTAGGGGTGTTTACTTAAATGTCAGTTCACAAGTAACTAAATTGGGGAGACGCAAGCTTACGACAACATGTAGTAGTTACTTGTCCTTCTATAGAAAACTTTATACCACATGGCCAAGGTCTTTTTCTCCATGTTTCTCAGTACAACGAACTTCGGTAATTCTCAATGGCCCACGTTAACAATTGAGTCAACTACATCTTCAAATATTAAGAAATTTTAAGCTTCTCTAATCGTACAGTAGCATATGTACTAAAAGACATAATATATTTACTGGGAAGCAGTAAGATTTGGAAGCCAAATGGAGAGGAAGATACGATGAGAGTGAGGTGGCATGTTTCAACCCTTTCGACCCTCTAAGCAATAGTCGTTTATTACGGACTCAATGGTATTTCACGCTTAAAAAGAGTCTACCAACTGTTTCCGGTATTAGCATTTTACCTTCTACAGTCATTCAATTATGCTGTAATCTATTTTTGGAAACACGAAGGTTCCGAATTATGTAGTCAATTTACTTACGCGTTAAAATTGCTTTAAAATGCACAAAATTTATGTCACCGATGTGGTTGATGCAAATCATTTACGGCCGAAAAGTGGATATTATAACCACAGTGCATATGTATTGTGGTGCACTTCGTTTAAGGGCTCAGTTTCAGTACTATGTACTAGCAACTACACTATAAAACGGTGACGTTTAACTTCAATTGTTTGTGTGACTAGAAGCGGGTCCAGCGGTTCAACAACGTGAACCCTTTGTTTGTGTTCGTACTTCCTTTCTTGCAAAGATATCTTGAATATAAATGGGAGTGAACCTCCCACATTCAGAGGGTGGTTTCAACTTCTTATAAAATCAATTCAACAATGGTCCAGGCATCTACTTTAACTCAAAGCGCTTTATTGACAACATTGTTTGCAGTTTGTTGCCAAGGTGCTGCTATCGACCCAAGATCCAACGATGTTGTCTCCGTGAATTTTGAAGTATCGTATCGTGATGCACTCGCCGATGATGATTCAGTCCTTGGTGGTTCAGCATTTGACAAACGTAGCAAAGATGAGCCCAACAGAGGTTATATCAAAACTGACTTAAAGCACCGGAAAAGTTTCTACACCACCCAACTCAAGATTGGCTCTCACAAGGAAAAAATCACAGTTGTTGTTGACACTGGATCTAGTGATTTGTGGGTTCCTAGCTCTGAAGCTAAATGTCTTGAAGATTCTAAATGCAGAAGCGAAGGAACTTATTCGGTTGAAAAATCGAAATCTTCAAAGCCATTGAACCAACCATTTTCAATAGAGTATCCCGATAATGAAACCGCATCAGGTGTTTATGTCCAAGATTCAGTGGAGATTGGTAAAACTACAGTTTCTAATCAACAATTTGCAGTTGCTAATACTTCGACTGCGGGTATGGGAGTCTTGGGTATCGGATTGCAATCAGATGAGCAAACGAAAGATAATTATGTCAATTTTGTTTTCAGTTTGAAGAAGCAAGGGTCGATTAGTAAAGCTGGATATTCTTTGTATTTACCAGAGAAGGAAAAAAAGTCAGGTACGATATTGTTTGGTGGTATTGATGAGGAGAAATACTCAGGCAACTTGACCCAGTTTGAAGTTTCATCTGATAAGTTGTCGGTTCCTTTACAATCGGTGTCGTATTCAGGCAAAGATAACAAAAACGAAACCGAAGCCATTATTGATTCCGGGTCAACTTTTTCATTTTTGCCCTCTGGTATCGTTGGTGGTATTGCTGATGCCTTGAATGGTTCTTATTCAGATTCATTAGGCGTTTACGTTGTCGATTGCAAGAATAGAGGCAAGAAAAGTGGATACTTGTCATTCAATTTTGAAAATGACACCAGCATCATGGCCCCATTATCCCATTTCGTTCTCCGTTTAAAGCAGATCAAGCATCATGTTCCGGACTATGAAAAGAATCATTGTGGTTTGAGTATATTCCCTAGTGATGACGAAACGGTTTTGGGAGACAACTTTTTAAGAAGCGCCTACATTTCGGTTGATTTGGAGGACAAACAGGTTGGGTTAGCTCAAGTTAAGCATTCAAGGCATCATTCATATAAAAGTCTTTGAAGAAACTTTGGTTTATGGATGTTGGATACCTATTAATAGTTAGTATAACTTAATGCAAACTGTCTTTGGCTACAGCGTGAGTAGAATAAATCCTATCACCCATATCCCTACAATTTTTATCATAATACGAATTTTTCTTAAAGCTGTATAAGCTATACGAAGCCCCTTTGCAAACAACTCATCAAACCTTCTCCATTACAGCACCCTTCTTCCCAAACGTATTAGCTCCTCTCAAATTCTTCTTTGCCGCATAATTCGTCATGACAAAACTCAAAAACACCACAATCAAAAAACTAAAAGCCACCCACGTTATGGTTTCCGCTCTTTGTCCTCGTTCAACTTGCACTACTTGAAAACTAGCTTCACTCAAAACCTTCGTCGTTGCATTGACCAGTTGATGCTGCAACATGCTTCCCAAACCCCAAAGCATCATATTAGCAAAGCTTAAAACTAACCCCACTCTCTTTACACCTAAAGCTCCTAAACTTATAGGAAGGACCAAATAACACAAGATGAGAAGTAAAGCAAGAGTAAGTAAAATTGATGCCATTAGTAAACGAGAATGAACAATCGATTCATGGAAGGTTTGTGCTATATTGAGTAAGTTGAAATCTGTTTCAAGGAACGTGATGGTGAGTTGGGGTATTGTGTTTAAATTGACATACGATGTACATTGTTGAATATCCTTGGCTGAGAGACACAAAGCTAAGTAGCCCACTTTGACTGAGATATTAGACAATTCGGAATCCAACGGGGAGTTAGTTGTTGTTGTTGTAGTAGTATTGATTGATGTCTCAGTGGTATTGGAATCAAGCGTTAAATGTTGATACAACGATGACGAAGAATTGAACTTGTAAGTGAACAAGTATACATTGGAATAATTGGACGAAGTATCTATACATCCAAGTAACAAGAAGACAAGCAAGACAGTGGCTATGAATTGAATAACTATAGTTACTAGTAAGACACCCTTGCATATGATAAACATTTTTGAAGATCAAGGTTTGGTTATTGAGATAAAAAAAGGTGGGTTTCCTTTGGGCGTTGCAAGGGAAATGTGACCCTATTATAACTTATCCAGAATGAATTTAGACCATGGAATAATATTTTGAAACCTTGATACTACTTTCCACAAGTGAAACACTCCTGATGTATCAAAAAATAAAAGGAAGGAAACTGTTTTTTTTTTCGCAACAATTGGAAATTACACAAACCAAAATATCTCATACATTGATCAAACAGTTTAGAAAACATTTTAGAGATGAAACAACTTCTTCCTTATAACATCTATATAACACTCTATCTATACATCTAAAAGCAACTACTACTTACACCCAAATAACAAGGAGTAAGCAATCGACAAAAATGAATATCCTAATAATATAGCAGTAAGCAGCACAATGTATGGTTTCAAAAATTCAAACGAATTCTTTAATTTGAAATCTCCCACAATTAGTTTTGTAGTAACCTTGCTACCATCTGGAGAAGCTTCATTGTTGGCATCAACACCCCATTGGCCATTCCTGTAAAAATTATCCATCAACTTGTCCTTTTCATACCAGACATTCAATAACCAATCTTCAAATTTCTGCAAATCTTCATCGCTTGCTTCAACCGTACTATCCAATGCTTCTTCTCCCAATGGAATATCCTTCAATTTGTATCCTTTGATGAAATAGTTGACTACTGGTGGACCATAACCTTGTATATAAAATTTCTTCAATGAAAAAACAAGCTCGCCATATTCGTCCTCCTTCAATCCGGAGTACGCCGTTGTCACATCATAAACTACTTCAACTGTGTTTCGTAACTTTTGCAAAGCCAAGTACAATCCTCTAATACGAGGCAACAATACATGTTTTAATGGTGGCAACCCTTTTGAGGAAATATATTCAGCGGATTTCTTTGTCGTTCTATCAGATGGAACGGTCCCCTCAGGAAATAGTATTAGTTCATACGGCCAGATTTTTGAATCATCAACTCCTGATGGCCATTTCTTTACTTCCTTATCGGTTGAAGTCAAAAGGCGGTATCCATTTGCAGGTCCATGTCCTCTAGCATTGGCATCTATTTCCAACAATTGATTGGTCAAGACAACCTTGTCGTGTTCCCATTTTCTCGAAAGAAACAAGAAATTGTAATTCTTCATTCCATAACCCAATACGGGAATTTTTGACAAATCTTTAAGAATGATGTAAACGGCATTACTCAAATTGGAGGTATAAGTTAAAAACCAAAGAAACAACCAATCGGTATAGATTTGGTGATTGGAAATAATGACCGAATTAGGCTGAAGTAAGGTATGGATGTGGTTTTGCGAATCGACATGAAAAGATTGACTATTGGGCACTGAGTCAGTATCAATTGTAATGGCAACCTTACATGGATTAATAATCGCAGTAAGACCAGAAATTAAAATAAGAAAATGTGTCTTGGTTTCATTGATTAGGGCTTGTCTTGTTGATGGCTTGTTTTTGAATAGCAAAAGAGCTACGAATTGAGTGAATACTATTGCCAAACAGCTTAGTACAAATAATGGTACAACAATTGCCGTTCTAACAATAATCACTGGTAAGGTATGTCGTATACTCATTCTGAAAAAGCTGTGATGCTGTAGATGAGTGTATCTCAGTGCGTTTCAGGCAATGTCTAATGGGTGTGATCAAACTGGGTGTATCTGCTTGATGATGATGATGATGATGTTTGCCTCTCCTTGCTTGTTGTTAGTAAGCAGAGTTCCTACTTTTGCATTTCTCTTTTTTTTTCTGTTGGTCTTTTTTCTTCTCTAAGAAACATGGAGAAACACGAAATGATTTATCTCCGCATATTCAGCTGCAAGCAGTTCAGATATATCTCTTGGTTTTTAACAGCACAGGATGAAAGACTGAAACTTTTGCCTTGGCTTGGTTGTGTGGTGTTTTGAATAGACTTTCCACGACAAAAATTATGGTGTAAAAAAGGGGTTTAAGCTCTCGGCGATAAGTTCTTTATGACCGTGAATTCTGAAGAGCATGTCAAAAATTTCAAATATACAGCTCGACACGGAAATTCTGCGACACTTTTACTAACCGAAAAACCGTTAAAGGTTTCCCTAAACGGAACCTAAAATTAGAACAAACAAAGTTTAGTTCTTGAAAAGATTGCCGGTTAGAGGGAACAGGAGAGTTGCGGGACTTAAAAAGATGGATTTGGTGTTAGAAGGATTAGTCAATTATAAGTGGGTCGAGAGTTTGGATCTTAACAAGATTGTGATAAAACTCATTCCGGAAGGATAAAGAGTGAAGTTCTATTGTTTAGGTGAATGAATAAGTAAGTTGGAAAAGACTACAAAATGGCTAATTGGTGAAGGGTCGCCTTGCAGTACTCTGCTAACAACATATCTGTTCAACAAAATAAAGACAGCAGCTCGACTGGTTCCATCAAATTGTATGAACTTCACTGCTTGGAATTTCATTAGGCCGTCTCTGATGGTTCTACTGCTTTATATGTACTGGTTGCAAAAGGACACCTTGCATACTAAGCTGCTTTAGCAAATGTGCTTAGATCAGTGGTATTTTTGACCACAGTGTGCCTGTTTTTGGTTGTAGATATGATTAAACCCCTTACTTATGAGTAGTTCCCGGTTTTTTCCTTAAAGTTGTTTTACAGATTCTAAATTGCGTAATTATCCCACCTTTATAGTTTTATTCTAGTTTTACTCAGTCTTCCTGCATATTAAAAGAATAATTCCGACTTTAAGCCACAAACCAAAGAATTATTATCATAACCCAATTGCGTGTGATTGTTTTGATAAAAGTGATTTTGATCTCTATATTTACAACTTCTCTAAGCAAGAAGGGTAAGCGAAAGCAAATAGCTCAAGGAAATGATTAACCTGACAGTAGAACAGTAGAAGAAGTAAAGTTTACAACACAACCAAGTGCATGGTCGAATGGAGGAGGTCTTCTTTTTTGTATGGTGTTAGCCTTTCAATAAAAAACAAATTAAATACTCTTTTCTACATGAGCGTTGATTTACAAACGTTGAGCAAACGGATTGCATACGTTTCTAAATGCATATGTTCTAACTACTTCCCTAATGAGACGCGATTCACTAACTACCTAGCAATATAGTGTAATTGATTTAGAGAGTGTGTGTTTCTAACTCTTTTTCATACATCCCCGCTTTTAGCTGTCGTGTACTGACTAAATCAAAAGCAAATAGAATAGTAAAAAAACCATCGCATTTAAGGGAAGCATCGGATTTAAAAAAGAATATCACTTTGTGTTTGAATAGAAATTAGCGCTAAATAATAGCCCTTTCCTAAAGGTAACAACATCACACGCACATTGCTACATTGGGTGTGTATTTGATTCAAACTGCGCTTTTTTTTTCCTTCTTTCTCTTAATTGTTTCTATCAATGATATAATCCCGTCCTTTTTAACTTTATCCATACCCAACAAAGTATAATAATAGGATATTCTCTCTACAAAATAATACCTCAAGATCTTATACTTCTTTCTTTTCTTGTTCAAATTAATTTTTATTCAACAACCCTCTTCCGCCTGAGTACCCTTTTACTCCCTTTATACAGAGAGCGTGTGACTTATGGAAGGCATTTTCTCCCCAAATTTAGACGCTGCATTTATTATCAAAAAAAAAAAACTGGAAAGAAAAATTAAACTTCAGAAGAGAGAGCCCCACCACTCTTTACCACTAGCAGCCGTATATCACACGCCATAGATCATTAGCTGTTTTTATTCTGGAAGGAGTTACTTACTGGATATTTACAAGGTTAATCCCGGTTTGAAAAATTAATAGCGTTTAAACATCACACAACAACTACACTGTTACATGGTTCGCATTGAGTCATCTATTGAGAACAAACGTGGCAGAAATACACTACAATAGACCCTATATTTGTCCAACCAGTGACTGCCATATACATCAGAAAAAGTAGTAGAATTCTACAAGAGCCATTTTATTTGCCAACTGCTTCCATTATAGGTACATCAGTAGAATAATAAGGTATTGAATCCATTTGCATTTACACATCTCATAGACCTACATAAACCTGTCAAAGCTATATCTGCCAACAAGAATCTACAACTATGGCACACGACAAAAGTCCTACGCAGTCAAACGAAGATGACAAGCATAATGATCATTCCGATAAAACAGTCATACCTAATAGTCTACATGAAACGGTTGAGGAGACTTCAGGCGGTCCTGACAACACTTCAATAGCTTCATCAGAATCGCAACAAAGTGACCTACATTATCTGCATCAAGTAAAACCATTAAACCCTTCAGAGTCACCCATTTATCCTGCCGATTCGCCGTATACTGCATTTCCACCCCACATTCATCGCAAAGAGTCACGTCACAGCTCAAGACATGAACAAGAAGCACCACCCAACACTATACTTGGGCCATTAGGCGATTTAGAAAGAAGTGTATCGTCGCTTGGGGATTTGGAAAGACAACAATCACAAATGACAAGACAACAATCGACTGTAACCTCTGCATCGAAAAAGTCGTTGAAAGTACCCATGAAAGAAAAACGAGGATTATTGGCACAAATAGTAGTAGTGCCTGAGTACCGTGATGCACGTGATTATCCCCAAAAGATCAAGTATCTCATTGTTACTATTATTGCGTTGGCATCAATCACTGGACCAATGGGAACTTCAATCATGTTGCCAGCAATAGATGACATTGTCGATAAACTACACACAACAAATTCGGAAGTTAACGTGTCAGTGGGTGTTTACTTACTTTCATTGGGTATTTTCCCACTATGGTGGTCATCATTTAGTGAAAGATTTGGAAGACGCTCAGTTTATCTTGTTAGTTTTGTTTTCTTTGTTGCTTTCTCCATTGGAACTGCATTATCACCTAATATTTCTGGGTTGATTGTGTTGAGAGTGTTGCAAGGTGGATCATCAGCTTCGGTTCAAGCTGTGGGTGCGGGCACTATTGCTGATTTGTTCGCACCACACGAGAGAGGAAAAGCGATGGGATGGTATTATCTTGGCCCATTAATGGGCCCCTTCTTGGCTCCAATATTGGGTGGTGCTGTGTCCCAGGCATGGGGATGGAGAGCCACACAATGGTTGTTATTGATTTTTGCCGCTTGTAATTTGATTTCTATGACTTTCTTTTTGCCAGAAACGCTAAGGAAAGTTGATAATTTACAAGCGATCAAGGCAATGATGCAGAATTCAAATGATGATACGAACGAGGATGACGAAAAGAGTAATACTTCGCAATCAGTTGACGGGGACCAAAACTCATGTAGCGATGGTAGCTTGAATGAACAAAAGCGTAAACAAAAAGAAGAAGGAGGAGAAGAAGAAGAAGAACAACCCCGCGGAATAAGTGATACCGAATTACAACGAATTGCCACTAATTTAAGCAGACGGTCGGCAGCAGGTTCTATCAACTCACATTTTGAAGGCGAAGATGATGATGGTCCGGTGGTGGATCCAGTGATGCCGACGCTATCACGGTTGACTACAAATAGGTCAACCTACTCGCGTCGATTACATCAAAACTACATTTCCGAAGAGGTGCGTCGATCGGCATCAAATTTACCTTCAGAGGCGGCATCACGAGTCGCATCTAGCAATTCCTTGGCTGATGCACCACCACACAACAAATGGGCTAGTTTCAAGATCAACTCATATGACTTATTCATTCGCCCCTTGCATTCAACAATCTTGCTTAAACACCCACCGGTTATACTAGTCATTTTGTTTTCCGGTATCTCATTTGCCCTTATTTATTTTTTCAACTTGTCCATCTCCTACGAATATGCCAAGGCACCGTACAATTTTTCGCAAATTATTGTCGGTTTGATGTATATCCCCAACTCCGTTACATATTTTGCTGCTTCCATGATTGGAGGCCGTTGGAATGATTACTTGTTGAACAAATATGCTGAAAAACATGGTGAATTGGTTCCTGAGTCGCGTATTTCTTGGAATATCGTCCTTGCTGTTATACTTTACCCCATATCGTGTTTTATATTTGGATGGACTATCAAGTATGGTGAGTTTTGGCTTGTACCTTTGATTGGAACCGCAATTTGTGGGTTTGCCTCGATGTTGGTTATTGGTGCAACTGTTACTTATCTTGTTGATACACTACCAGGAAAGGGAGCTACTGGTGTCGCATTGAATAATTTAATCAGACAGATTTTGGCGGCAATTGCAACTTTTATAGTTGAGCCATTGTTGAGAGCAATTGGGCCGGGTGTTTTGTTTAGTATATTGGCGGGCATCTTGATTGTGGCGTCATTGATTTTGGTGTATTTGAAGAGAAGGGGTGCCTATTTTAGAGAGCATTATGACTTGATGCTCCTTTACGATAAATTATAGACGAGATAAATAGAAAATCTAATTGTGTGTATTACTGGTGAATAAACATATCTGAAAGCAGTTTAAACTGCCTTTGTAGATGCTTTAGTCTCCTTAAATTGTGGAATGGAATCAAATATGAAATCCACATTTATCCCTACAGCTTGCAATTGAGCCAATTGGGTTTGTAAATCCTTTAAAAACTTTCCGTACAAGGCGCTATCTTTAACTTGATAAAGAGTGTGGCTCACACCATATTCATCCTCTTCTCCAACTTGTCCATCAACAACCAATAACGTTCCATACAAATGCTTTCTGATCTGTTTAAACAATTTACCAAACTCTTCAGCGCACCAATCAACCAACCCCGATGAATCAACATTGTTGCTGTTGGGACTAGCTTTGATTATCCTTTTGATTTTTGTATTGTACGTTTCCACAGTCCTCTTGACGATGGCAACGTTGACCACCACCAAGTTGGATAAATAATTAACAACATCAATCTTGGTACTACCTTGTAACCCAACAATCAACTTTGAAACCATTGTCGAAAGATATAATGATGTTGAGTTCAAGTAGGCTTGGATTCCTGTCTGCAATTGATTTAACTTGTCAAACAAATCGAGTATATCTTCAATAGCATCTGATGGCAAGCTCGCTATATTATTCAGTAAATCAAATAGCAAGTTCTTGGTGAGGTCCTGCTTTCGATTAGAAATCTTCAACTTCAACACATCTAGTAACAAAATCTCATCTGCTACATCCCCAGATTGGTTCTTTTGCTTATTCATACTGCTTTCAATAGGACCAATACTAGATTCAATTCTCCGCATCAGTTTTACAGCGTCATGGTAGGCATTATGAGATATGTTCACATCGACCTCGTCCAAGTCATCTTCAAGACGCTTGATCTTCATAAAAAACAGTGACCTCCCACTGCTATTGGCCGCCTTCATAGTTTGGCCCATATCTTGAGATCTGTTTCTTGAATGAACACGAGCACTGATGCCATCCAAAACAAGCTCCGAAGAGGATCTCTTGTGAGTGTTTGACGAACGATTAGGACTGGAAATCCCATTAGATCCACTGACTCGTTTGCCCTGCTCGTCAACAATACCTTGACCACCATCATAAGATCCCGAATGCCTCAACGACTCGCGTAATTGGCGCTTCTCCTCTTTCGATTCACTACTATTGTTGTCTGAATCGTTGGCTCCATTCTTTAACCTTTTTTCATGAACCATTTCGTTCTTACCCTTGTTAAATGCATCCACAATTTTAACCAAATGATCATACCTGTCTGTTGAGTAAACATAGCTAAGTGATTTAGTCTTGATATTGATAAAATATAGCGAGTCATCGCTCTTTGGTGGCTTCACTTGGTTCAAGGATACTTGGATCAAAGGCAAACATTGTATCGCTTGTAGCTTACTTGCTTTTCCTTCCAAAGACTTGTCACCAGCATGGCCACCCAACGGCTTTCTCGTAGCTATCAAAATTAGATCATTCAAAATGAATAAATGTCCAGCATTGCTTGGTTTCCAAGTACCCACATTGACCTCATGCCATCTTCCACTCTCCGCTAAAACATGCCTGCCAGGGATTGGCTGGATAAATTTTGATGCTCCGTCAACGTGCTTAAACAAGGATTGTATCTCCTTGACCCACATTTTCTCAAGCACAAGGATGGACGATCTATCCTTTTGGTTATTTGAGGGACGCAATTGCAGCTGTTTCGTAGGCAGGTGTGTCTGCTGCTGCAGTTGGGGAGCATCAAACTCCAATTTTAGTCGACGCTCGGCAGTGTCACGGAAATCATCAAGCACTTCGAACAAGTCCTTGGCTGTCACCCTCATATTAATCAATTCTTCTTGAGTCTCTTTTAAATCTTTGGTCAATTCCAAGATATTTTTCTGGTTTTGGTTGATATTCTCCTTAATGTCTCTGGTAATCACTTGGTTTTGCTTTTTCAAAGTCTTGTAGTAATCATCAACTTCAGCTGCCGATCCATGTCCCAACTCCTGGAATATTTTTTGCTCAATTGTCTTTGGTTTTTCTTCGCCACGTACGTTATTAGGCACAGCAGGGACTCCTGGTAACGGTGGTGCTCCAGAGTGGCTGACACCTGGCGCGCCAGTTTGTGAGAAGGAGCGACGATGCTGGTGTGCGGCATAATGGATACTGTATCTTCTATTTTGTTTCTGGTTCCCATTAGCATTTGGCATGTCGCCATATGGGTTTGGAACTTGTAACAGGTTAGAGCTTGGTGCTCCTCCTCCTCTTGCATTATTGGTACCGTCTTGTCCTGGCACTGCGAGGTAACTTCGATTAGTCTCAGTACGAGCTAAGTTGTTGTTCGCAGCATAGGGGTTATTGCTTGGACCATCCTGATTTTTCCAGACAGCTTTGCTCTGTCTATTTCTGACTCTATTCATCGGGGATGTTGAAATAATTGCGTTGGCTGGAATAGCGTGTGGATCAATCGTTATACAATTTCGTTCTCTCGGCTGAGGAGTGAAAAAGTCAGCAACGACAAAAATTTAGAGAATAAGCATGTGTTGTGAAAGCTTACACGAGGGTGTATACGAAAAGATATGAGCTATGTAGGGCTATTCAAATACATGTGATTAACGAATACAAGACTTACGGGGTAGGGTGAGATTACAAACCCAAGAGGTAAACCAGAATTGTTGGTTGTTATATGCTAAAGGTCCCACACTACAGTCAGACGCTAGCCAAACATTTGGCTCAGTGGCATACAGCATGCCGTGCTGCATCAGATAGCTGTCCCTGGCCCATTTTTCGTATTTGCTGTACACTATCTTGTCAACTGAGATCGGCTCTGACAAACAACAATGCTGGCTCACCACACAATTGTGAGAGCGAAAAATTATCACCAGAAAATACAAACCATCAACAAAAGACAATCCACTATCCACCCCAAGTACACACAGCGTTCATAGAATGTCACTTACCAGCAGAGAACTAAACTATCTAATATGGCGATATTTTCAAGAAGCAGGCTACGATTTGTCTGCCTTCACATTTGATCGACAGTCACAATGCCTGAAATATGAACATGCCGAAAATGAAAAGATAATTGAAAAGATAGAGCCGGGATGTCTAGTGGATTTGGTCCAGAAGGGCATTCTATATACTATTGCAGACTCAGATTCCAAGGGTGATAGTGACTATAGTTTATTGGGAGCACTAGTACAACAAGAAATTACCAACTTGAGTGACACTAACTTCAGCAAGGCAAAGTGTCAAAAGAGATTCCAGCTAAAGACAGAAGCTGAAAATGGTAAACAAGAGGATGATATGGAGCTTGACAATAGCACGGAAAGTATCAAGTTTGAAACGAAGGAAACTTCACCAGAGCTGAATTTCCCATCTAGTTTAACATGTGATTGGCATCCTACAAGTGAGGTTCTTGCTTATGGTAAACCTAATGGTAGTGCCATAATCAATGCAATAATTGATGGAAAATTTGTCGAGTCAGTAGAAATAAGCCATCCTGATTTGCTAAACGTCAAAAATGAAATAAACATTGTATCATGGTCTCCATTGGGCAATTTACTCCTCACGACTGGTGCATTTAGTGAAATTCGAGCTTGGTCCCCTGATGGAAGGCTTAAAAATATCGCAAACACTGTTTTTGAGGATATCAATGCAGAAAGTGAGATTAAGCAATCGCTTATCACTAGTGTGTTATGGAACAAGCTGGGTAAATTTGTAATTACTATTGACAGTGTAAATCGTACGACACTTTGGGATGGGGTAACTTTATCCCTAGTACGACAAATTCAAACTGAAGAACAGACCGATACAGCTATACAAACTGCCTGTTGGTTGGGTGAGGATAAATTTGCCCTCACAACAGCAACGCAAGGGATAAAAATTTACGACATTACACAGCCTCACCTCGGTGTCAATAGCTTTGAAGTTCAATCCATTGGTAATTTGCCTGGGCATCAAAATCACATTTCATTGATAAAGCTTAATGATTTTTCTAAGCTTTTGGCTACATGTTCTGATTTTGACTATGAGATCAAGGTGTGGAGCAGTTCTTCCACCCATACATCCTTAGACTTGAACGTGAAGTCTGAAAAGAATCAAGGCTTGAAACTACATGCCTCGCCAATAATTGGATTACATTGGATACCTAGTACTGAAAAGAGCATATTAATATCTCTCTCAATGGAAGGTAATTTCAATATCTGGGATGCTGAATCAGGCGATAATATCAAGAGTTCTGAATTGTTTAAAAATGCTGAAAACTTCTCTTCAGAGTTACGCCACCACGTTTCGAAGGAAGTTTTGCTATTCAATAGCGTCTTGTCGCCAAATGGGAAACTATTAGCCATAGGTGATGATTATGGAAAGATATCAGTTTGGGATGTCAACATTGATGGGTATACAAGCGAAGACAAGAGCTTTGTAAAATGTGTCACTTTATACACGCCAGAGATACCGCAAGTTGAAGGAAAAGAAGCTACTATTGGATTATGTGATCTACACTGGGACCATGAGTCGAAAAAGTTAGCTGCGTCATATATTGGAATAGAAAGTGTAATAATTAGTGTTGTATGAATACATTTACATAATCTGATTTGAAAGTTGTAATTCATTCCTCTTGTTTTAGATTATTAAGCTTTTGCCGTGGCAGTGGCAGCTGCAGTAGCAGCGGTTGCCGTTTCAGATACAACTTTAGCTGCCCTCTTGACGGCTGGATTGGTACTTGGGAAAATTATGTCCATGTAACAAGTGACCAAAGAAATGAATGCAAAAACAACCCTTAATGCAGGAGATTGCTGACCTTGGTCCTCATCAGCAGTTCTGTTGATTGGTTCATTTAAGTACGATTGAACTGCCAAAAATACCGATGCCCATGACAACATTTTGTTTCTCATAAACATGGCGGCCATTGGCAACGATTGGGCCAAGACATTACCAGCATCCTTTCTGGATTTAGCTGGCTCGTGTTTGTATCTGGGAGGGGGAGTTAGTAAATGCTGTCTCATAAAAGAGCAATCGATTGATATACGTACGGAATGACTAAGTCTTCTCTTGCTTTTGGAGCCATTGTTGGTGGGTAAAACTTTGGACAAAGTATCTAAATTAATTTTTTTTGTTGGTGATAATTTCCAAAGTATTATTTACACTATTCACTCAGAGTTATCCTATATATCAATCACCCTTCATCCCTAGCAAATCAGACTGCCCGTAGTATACCCCGACAATTACAATAATCATATCAAAAGTAAATGCTGCTATAGAGTTTTCCACCGTGCTACTTTCTTCCAACCTTGACTTTAGCTTGACGGCAGTTTTAGCCAATTCTCTCAAGATCGAGCACTCACTAGCTTCTAGTATATTATCAATTTTCAAAAATAGTTTCCAAATCCACTGCCCAAAAGTTTCTTTCATCGTTATGCTGAGCCTTTTGGTTAATTCTACTAGAATATCAAAACACATTTTTCTGTCCAAAGCATAAACAAAGTAGTTAACATCAGGCGGTGAGTTTTTAAAGGCTGTTTTCCATTTAAGGGAGTACCTATTGTCGAATAAATCATTTTCAAGATCTTGAGTTTGTATTTTCTCCTTTAACTGTTTGAACTTATCCACCAATGCGCTCGACCATGCGTCAAACTCGACGTCAACAACTGAGTCTACTTGTTGGTTCAAGACAACGGCAACATCATCGGTAAGTTCAGCCTTATCATGATATATAATCGAACTCATTGTGCTTGCCTCGTTGCGCACAGCTTGTAAGTAATGTAAAACATCTTGGTCTGTGTTTGCATCATTGATTGGCAATGCCGGGGTAAAATTCAATTCAACATCGTTGTCTCTACTTTCCATTGGGAAAAGTGGTATCCTGTGATTTCAATCGCCAAGTTACTGTTTCGCCTTGGTATTTGTATTAACGAGGTGTAGTTATATTGATATTATCTGCAATTCCGCTATTTTTTCATCACGCAGGGAATTTTTATCGTTTGCCTTATCAGATTAAAAACATACCATCTGAGGGAATTTAATGCCAATATGGGCCAAAGATTGTCATTGTTGGCACCATCAGCTCCTACAATTGCTATATCCTCATATGTGGATGCTTTAGAAAACTACCAATACGTCGAGTTGCTCAACAACTCCCGATTCCTCAAGACGATTAAGGCCATAGATAATACTACAGGCAACTTTGTCATCATCAAACTCTTGATCAAACCATCGACACCATCATACACCCTTCAACTCCAAGATGTATTGGAATACCTTGTCAAGGAGTCATCAATGTTATACCCATTTAAAAGCATATTGACATGGCATAAACTAATTGAAACTGATCGAGCTGGTTACATGATTCGAGAAATGGCCAAGATCAATTTATACGATCGACTATCCTTACGTCCATTCCTAGAGCCAGTGGAAAAGTTATTCATCACCTTTCAAATGTTGAAAACAGTTTGCGAGTTGCATTCATTGAATGTGCATCATGGAGATTTACGGTTGGAGAATATTCTCGTCACATCTTGGAACTGGATCCTCTTTACTGACTTTGCCAGTTTATGTAAACCTACATACATTCCAGAAGATAATCCCAATCAGTTTTTTTTTTATTTCGACAGCTCAGGGAGAAGGGTGTGCTATATAGCCCCGGAAAGGTTCTACAATAGCCAAAAAAATGTGAGGAATATCCTGAATTTCAACGATGATGGATCATTCAATTTTAAAAATAGTGTGACCGATGAGATGGATCTATTTAGTCTAGGGTGTGTTATTGCCGAGCTATGGTGTGATGGTGAACCAGTATTTACATTGTCGCAATTATTCAAGTATATGAAGAATGAATTTGAACCTGATTTTTCAAACATACAAAACCCACATATAGTCAGTTTGATTCACAAATTGTTAAAAGTTAACCCAAGTGAGAGATCAAGTGCCCGTGAGTTATTGGAAGAGCTTAGAGGTATTTGTTTTCCTGAATTTTTTTACACGTTTTTGTATGATTTTATGGAGGGTATAAATAATCAAGAAAACTTTATTCCCGAAAACCAGAGTGACAACTATGTCACGCCAAGTGATTTGAAAATCAATTACATCTTTGACAATTTTAACGATGTCAGTGGGTCTTTGGGATTTGTCTATAAGAACCCAGAACCTTCTCGCAAGGTTCTTCCCATGAAGATGAATCTTCCCACGATGCCACAGAATTATCGAATTCAACCCAAAAAATATATTGAAAATGACGGATGTGAAGCCTCTTTGATTATTATAAATTTAATCACCTCCTTGTTGAAAACTGTGAAATTAACTGAATCTAAAAGGAAATGCTGTTTATTAATATTAGCATTGTCAGAACAAATTAATGATGAGTCCAAGTTGGATCGATCGTTGCCGTACTTGTGCTCTATATTGGATGAGTACATCGAAGCTTCTGCATACAATTTACACCAAAGCGTATCACCAAAAGTGGTGTGCTTGGCATTGTACTCGCTTACAAGTTTGATGTTGTCCTGCTCGTACATAACCCCCATCAATGTCCTTGTTTTCCCTGAATATCTACTAACGAAAATTAACAATTTGTTGGTGTTAAAGATAGATCTAGAATCGCAAAGATTGATCAATAGTTGCGTTGCCGTGTGTTTACCATATCTTGCTACAGTGGCCAAAAAGTTTTGGTCCATGTCAAAAGCATTCAAGCAAGGCGGCAGTACAGCAAACATCACCAACTTGTTATCCGAAAGTGTCATGAAATCAGTGACTACTATTCATCTATCAAAAGACCAACTAGACCACAGATTTAAAGAAATTACGTTGAGTATACTCACGGATCCTCAATCGGCAGTCAAAGTAAGTTTACTTGAAAATATCCTCCCCTTGTGTCAGTTTTTTGGTAGGGATAAAACAAACGATATAATATTGCCGCATTTGATTTCATATTTAAATGATCCTGATCCAACGCTTCGGTTGGCATTTTTGACCGCAGTTTTACAAATGGGTCCATATATTGGAGCTTTATCATTTGAGCAATACATTTTACCTTTGTTGTTACAGTCGATTGGTGAAGGAGAGCAATTTGTTGTTTTAAAAGTGCTTCGGATTTTCAATGCTTTTGTCCTGCAAAAGTTGATCAATTCTAGACTAGAGTTCAATGCGTTGGAAGTTTATACTGAACTATTGTCAAATTCAATCTACCTTTTATTGCATCCCAATGAATGGATTCGTCAATCGTTGATTACACTTATTGTATCTATAAGCAATAATTTGAGTGATGCTGATCGGTACTGCTTTTTGTACCCGCTTATCAAGGGGTACTTGGTGTATGACGTGTTTGAAATTGATTGGAACTCTTTATATCCAAGTCTCACTCGACCTTTGAGTAAACAAGTGTTTGATGCAATGATTACCTGGGCATTGTCATTTACCAACAAGTCATTGTTTTGGCAGGAAAAGAGCTTTTCATTGATGAGTAATAATGGTCATGTATCGAGTAAGAACCTAGTATCGTTTTCCAAAAACATGGGAAAGTCGGTTTACATGCCCAAGTTAAGTACTGCTGTTGTTTCCTACAATAGTGGTAGAAATAAGGAGAATATCCCCCTTAGTCCCGAGGATAAGCAATGGTTGCTAAAGCTTAAATCAATTGGGTTGGATGACAAGTCGTTATGGAAAGCTCTTGTTTTGAGAAGTTATATTTATCGTGTGAGCAGGATCTCCAAACCACAACAGTCACAGTTTGATAAAATGACTCTAAAGCCCAGGAATATATTCCTTGATCTTTTTTTCAAAACTGAACCTGTGGCCTCTGTCAGTGGACAAAAGAATAATAAAGTGGTTTTCAAGTCAGAAGATAGCGTATCTTTGCGGAGCTTGGACCATTCAAAACTGCATCAAACCTTGGTATTGCCTAATATGGAAAGAGCCATTGCCTCGGTTCAAACGATTGAAGCAAATGTATTTGGAGAAATGGAGTCAAGTCGAGACAGTTCTGCAAGAATGTCCTGGATGAATGATCCAACGGTGTTTCATAAATCATATCATGTTGATGATAGCCGGATCATAACGTGTTATATAAAACATACCTACAATGGCGCGAATCCGTTTATCTGGAATTACTTGCATACGTTGACGATTATTCCTTCACTTGATGATTTTGTTGAGTTTGGTAAACCTATTAAGGGAAAGACACGTGATGGGTTTGAGAGCTTGAATCTATTCAATTTAAATGTACATCGAACTAGCGATGATATTGACGCATACACATGTTTGAGTACATCGCCATCAGGGGAATACTTTGTTACTGGTTCTGAAAATGGTTGTCTCAAAATTTGGGATATTTCTAAATTGGATAATATAACCAGGGTCAAGAATGCCGATCAATCGATTGATTTAGAGTCACGAATTACATCTATTGCGTTTCTCCATGATCGAAATTGTATTGTTGTTGCCAGCAGAGACGCAATTATACGTGTATTTCGGATTGAGATTGCCAGGAATAAGAATAAAAAAATCATCAAATTTATGAAGCCAATACTTGTTCGCAAATACACTCTGGATTCATTTATCATCCATGTCGAAAACTTGGCCAATATCATGTATGCCATTGATTACCAACTGAAAGTGAATATAATTGACATGATCACAATGAGGCAATTGTACAGTTTGCAAAATCCGTTATCGTTTGGCATAGTCACTAGTTTTGTCTCGGGTACACGTAAAGATAGTTGGGCCATGATTGGTACACAAAAGGGGTATCTTACATTATGGGATTTGCGATTCAAGTTGCTTTTGAAATCATGGCAGATTCAATTGGAGTTAATAGATGGGAATAAGTTTTCTATTGAACAAGTAGATGAGTTGAAGTTGGTAAACTCTTCCAATATTGATATCGTCAAGGCAAAATTTGGAAACTTTGTGATTAAAGAACGATCGATTTACATTTACATCAAGTCTAACTTAAAGGAGGATGAGATTTTATTTGAGGTGCCTTCTTTGGAGTGTAAGGGAGTCATTCGTGAGGGGAATTTAGAGCCATACAAGTGTAAATTGTATGACGTTGATCGAAGCTCGTCGCGACAAACTAGAATCGAAGATTTGATTGATAATTTAGGATTAGAAGTCAAGTGAAGTCTAGTTTATAATACTACTGAGTAAGTGTATGTATTTACTTTAAATAACAATAAATGTTGTTGATCTTATTTAGATCAATGTGTCCAGTCCTTCCATGATAGTTATATACCGTAATCAACAATAAGCGAAAAGATTCTACGTTTGTGTAATATTGGATTAGTTTTACCTCTACCTTTATAAAGCAGTCAAATGCAATTATCGAACAAAGTGCAATTAGAAAAATCAATCGACGTAGACTTTACAACTAGAGATACTTTAAGTATATTCATATGTTGGTTAAAGCTGTAAAATAATAGTTCAATTACTTTGTTGGTTCATTAATTTGATGGTTTAGTGTCATCTTTCTTTTATTTTGGTGCAAAATTGTTTAAGAAAAAAAACAGATAAGTGTTGACAGAGCATCACCAAAGTGTAAAATCTGTTTATACTTTATCTACTTGGCTAGTTAGTGATGGTTCAGTAGGACTATCTTTGCATTGAAAACAGAGTCGGGTAATAAAAGGGCCTCTTTGTATTATTACAAGTGACGTAAGTCAACGATTGACGCGAAACTAAAAACGAAAAAGAAAAATCAGACACTCATCAGACAGTATAGTAAACAATTGATTGGAGATGTCATGGGTAAGAGATCTCGAGAAGAGGAACATGACGATGAAGACAAAGAGCAACACCATTCCCATGCTGATACTTCCCCCACACGATGTCCATTTTGCTCTACAGTAATATACGGCTACAATGGATTTCAAAATCATTTCTTGACATTTCATGAATACCAATGTTTAACTTGTGATAAAGTGTTTCCTTCACGTCATATATTGGATCTACATATTGATGAATACCATAATCCATTCTTAAAACTACAACTTGAAAGAGGTGAGGCAAAGCTGAGTCTCCGATGTTTTTCTGAGACTTGTAATGCGAAGTTCGATTCTTCACAGGCACGAATTGTTCATTTGATTGATCATCATCATTACCCAAAGACGTATCCATTCTCCATCACGTCTCAAGGTATTTCACAGACTCTCGAACTTTAGCCGACCTTAGCTGGCTTTATTCGAGTCTTCCAACTTGCGTTTCTTTTTAGTCACCACTTGAGGATCTTTAGTCAATTCATGAATAATCCTTTTATCAAATTCACTAGCACACGCAGGACATTTTCCATCATCAGGAATTTTACTCATAATACATAAACAAACTGAGCATACAAATCCTAAATCAACTGGCTTTTTGGTAATGAAGCAACTAGCCAAATAATTGACTTGAGTATTGGTCGGTAGGATCACATAGGGTCTTAGATTAGGTTCAATAAAGAATGCAGTTGATAGTACTTGAATTATCCCCTGGGGGTCTTCAATATGTAAATAGACGCCATTAGTTGCGTCACTAGCTTGTTGTAAATATGACGAATTTTTAACCCCCATTTTGGCAACGTCAATTGATACTTTTAGTTTTTGAGCTGTGAATATACAATTCATTAATGGGATGTAGTTGATGTTATCATCTCCATCGTTGGCACTCACGATTAGGATTCTTGATTTTATTGAAGATGAAGAAGTTGATGGGACTACACCGGAGGCCGTGGTTGCATCTGATTGTTTTGCATTTATGGCCGATGTAGTTATCGCTGATGCTGTAGTTGTTTGCACTGACTGATCTAAAATTGACATTCTATACGTATATGTTAAAGCCATACTAATTGCTCCTGTAATGCTTGACTGGTGGGTATTTGACTCAGGAACTTGACTTGTTTCGTTAATAAATTGATTCAATTCTTCTAAAACCACATCATTAACATTTTTAAATTGTCGATACATTCCTGACGATATCTTGGAACCGATAGGTTGATGGTTTGGATGAGGGTACAAGAACTTTGAAGTTTTGGGCAGACTGGCTATGAATGCCACTTGATTGGAATTGTTGATGGATAAATGTCCATTTAAAAATACAAGCAATGATTTGGAGACATCTTGTAACGATATTGAGTCTCGAATATTATACCAACCTCGAGGAGATACGTCAAGTATCACTGTGAGTAATGATGGTTCATCGTTGGAACTTGATTCAAATGAAGTTTCAGTAAAGATTCTATCAGATATTGCATCCATCTTGGGCTAGATATAGAAATGTTTGGTAACAATTGTGGTGTTTTTTTCAGAGATGCCTGCAATTGATATCAGCGCGATGATTCAGAACAGTCTCTCTTCCTTGCAGTTGACAGGAAAAGGATGTAGAGAAAAGTACACCTAATCCAGGCTTCATTTTCAAATATAAAAACCACACACATACATATATATATATATTTATATATGAAATCCATTATAAAAACAACCTATCGATACACTATGTATATATATGATTGAAAAAAAGAAAAAAGAATCGTACTAATTTGTAACCAAACTTAAGCAACCAAAGCAGAAGCAGTAGCAGATTCGTATTTCCAGTTTGGTGGCAAGACAGCAACGGTTCTGTAGTATCTAGCCAATCTGTGGATTCTTGATTCAATCAAAATCAATCTAAACTTAGAATCCTTATCTTTTCTGTTTCTTTCCAAATGTTTTCTAACAGAAACAGCCTTTTTAATCAAAAAGTACAAATCTTCTGGAATTTCTGGAGCCAAACCATTTGATTTCAAAATTCTCAAAATCTTGTTACCAGTGACAACCTTGGTTTGAGAAACACCATGAGCATCTCTCAAGATAACACCAATAGATGATGGAGTCAAACCCTTTCTGGCGTACTTGATGACTTGTTCAACGACATCGTCACCGGACAATTTGAACCAAGATGGTGCGTTCCTTGAGTAAGGAATAGCAGATGAGGAAATACCTTTACCCTATAAAAAAAGCATTTGTTAGTATTTGTGAACTAGAGACTAAGAACAAGGGAAATAATAAAGAACAGAATCTGAAATGCCAGTTTGACGCCAATGCCGGGGGATTTCAAAAGAGGCCATGTTAAACTTTTCAAGGTGACAGGTGGCAGGTGACAGATGTCCCTATCCCATTCAACCTTAATAGAAATCTAAGAAAGGCACGAGCCGTTAAGGACTCCCTCCTCGTAAAATCTCACACTCCTCCATTTCTATCTCCCCATCGTCAAAGACAACAACGACTCAATGTCCAGGTTATCAAGTACTCAAAGCGTATATAGTAACAATTCTAGGTATGTTATTTCTACCGTAGGCGAATCGTTTACTTTGGGCAAGACTCCTGGCAAACCATTGTTCGTTTGCCGCATAACACATCTAGTATATTGAATTTTGCTTGTTTCAACTTGAATATAAGACTGGAATTGATTCACATACAGATGAATGCATACGACCCATGATGAATGATTTTTTTTGCTAGTTTGTTGGTGATGTTGAAGAGAAGAAAAAGGAGTAGAAGTATGTGAAGATGTGAAAAATTTTTCATTTACAAAGAAAGACGGAGAGAGAGGAAGTGAAAAAAAAAATTTCTGCTTTGCCAAAGGACACTACCTTCTTCTTTTAAGAAATCTTATTTACGAGAGTTACCCGGAGAAAAAGTTATAATTTGCTTGTAATGTAGCGACAGTAAAAGACCGTAAGTTGGTGTTATTAAAGCTAAGGAACATACATACATACATACCTATATATATATATATATAGGTATAGACTAAAGGTAAATGTATCTATATATAAAAAGCAAATGGAGAATCTAAAATAATAGCTCGGTTGGTGTAGTGTCGCATCTAAGTTCACGACACAATTTGTTCTTCAAGTTCCTCAAAATCATCTTCATCTTCAACTTTAATCAATCTAAAGAAAAGATAGTTAGTATTAAGCTGCTTTGTGATTTATTGCTTTTATCTCCTGAATTACATACTTTGATACTCCAGCCTTGTCTCTAAACTGTTCAACTGCACCAGCGTATAACATTCTATTTTGCTGATTCGAAGTATGGGGGATCCAATATAACATCACCAATGGTGATTGGAATCTTCCATCGCTAGTCTTTGTTGGATAAGATAATAACACAAATCTTGGATTATTATCAGGCAATTCTTCAACCAATGATTCAATCGAGTCGATTGTATCATCAATCTCTTGTTTTATGATTTGGTTGGATGTCTGATCGATTTTGTCTAATAAAATGTGTTAATACTAGTGCATTAAAAAGGCGCATTTTTTGCTTTCGATTGTATACATACAAATCAAAGCTTGAACATTGTTCACTCTGGCGCTTTGAAATCGAAACTTTTTCAACTCCGATAAAGTCGTTGATGAAAAAGAATACAAATTGGAGGACTAGTATTGTTAGTATTATTAACTATTTTCCATGCTTTTTCAACGCATTATAGACAAACCATTGTGTTTGTATGTTTGTGGTAGTTGTAGTTGTAATTGCAGTTGGTGTATAGAGAGATATGTTTTGCAATCGTCCACTGATTGACTCCTTTTTTGCCTTTGATGAGATAATTTTTTATTTCGCAACCAATTGCAAAGATATTGGTCGTGCAATTGTTGACAATAATTACTGCATTAGGATAAGAAGTAAACAATATAAAACAAAATAAACAAACTAACAACAGACCCGCTGAAATTTATTAAATAAACCAAAACAACTGAATTCTACCATTCATTCTTCCTCATTCTTATCAGACCAACCGTTCTTTATCCCAAAAAGAAAAGAAAGCATAATACACATTCAATGGGGAGAAATAAGACAAACATACCACTCATAGAGTATTTGAAAAGTATGTGTGTATCCAGTGAGATCAAACATGACAAAAAAATTTACTAACTTCGTGTCTTTTAGATCGAATCTATCTTGGAGCATATGACTACACTCCCTCAGATACAGAAGCTGTAGTATACTTTACCATCGAAGATACATTACCTTACAATGCATTCCATTTGGACTTTGGTCCATTGAATATAAGCAATCTCTACCGTTTTGCTGTTGTTTTGCACAATATTTTAAATGACGATGACAATCAAGGCAAAGCAGTAGTGTTTTACAGTTCCACCTGTCCTAAGCAAAGAGCAAATGCAGCATGTATTTTATGTTGTTACATGGTCTTGATCCAATCATGGGCTCCTCATCAAGTATTACAACCAATAGCTCAGTTTGAAGTCCCATTTGCCAGTTTTAGAGACGCTGGCTACTCAAATGCAGATTTTGAAATAACTATCCAGGACGTAGTATATGGAATGTGGAGAGCCAAAGAACGAGGAATGATTGATTTGACTACGTTCAATCTTGAAGAATACGAACAATACGAGAGAGTTGACCAGGGTGATTTTAATGTCATTTCAAAAGACTTTATTGCATTTGCTTCTCCCCAGCACAAGAAGCATGCTTCACTTAATGAACCATTCAAGAAGGTGTTGCATTACTTTACTGAAAATAATGTTCAATTAGTTGTCAGGTTAAATTCACACCTTTACGATGCCAAAGAGTTTACAAAGAGAAACATACAGCATATTGATATGATATTCGATGATGGAACTTGTCCCACTCTTGAATATGTGCAGAAATTCATTGGCGCTGCAGAGTGCATTATAAATAAAGGAGGAAAAATTGCCGTGCATTGTAAAGCTGGCCTAGGACGTACCGGATGTTTAATTGGAGCTCATTTAATTTATACCCATGGATTCACCGCTAATGAGTGCATTGCATATATGAGGATGTTAAGACCAGGTATGGTTGTTGGTCCTCAACAACATTGGTTGTACCTTAATCAAAACTATTTTAGAGAGTGGAGACACACAATGGTGTTGGACAATAGACCAGATGCACTTATTGGTAACTTGTTCCCGTTGTGTTCCTATGACGATTTCAAAAAGCGCATGAAGGAAGCTAAAAAGGAAGCTCAAGCTCAAGCTCAAGCCCAAGCTCAAGCCGCAGAGCAAAACAATCAATTACCACAACTCAATTCTTCGTTTGTTGCCGACTCGTCCTTCTCGGCCACTCCTATTAGAAGACGTAAGATTAGTGGTGCCCTTGCATCAAAAATTCAAACAGCTGTACCTGCAAATGCTCCTGGACAACCAAGAAAATACATTCAAGAGCCAGAGGAAGAGGAAGAAGAGAATCCAAGCATCGACATGATTAATAATTCAGATGATGAAAATGTAATGCAAGATGTAATCAAAAGCTCACCGACACAAACACCGCAGAATAAAAATTCAGAATGGAGAGTGTTGCGGTCCATATCAGCCAACTCTTCTCACCAACAACCGGTACTGTTGACCAAGACAACCACCACCACCACAACTAGAACAGTAAGCACAACATTATCTTCGTCATCACCAGGTGCATCTCCAAGTAACAACAACAATGGCAGTTTGCGAATGACGAAATCTAGAGCATCGAGACCACGAGTGAGCCTGGGCGGTATGTCTAACCAGCCAACGAGAGTGCATTCGGGAGGGATAAGAAAAACAAGTGGGAAAAAGTATTAGCATCCTTCTTTAATCTCCTTTTTCGTTTTTGGCATATAGTTTCAATTCTGGATTTGTACATTGTAAGATTTTATAAACGTGATACCCTAGTAATAACCTTGGAGATCTAGAGCCTCCTTGACCGGATTGGAACCCAGTTTCCGGAGAAATGGATTAATCACAGATTCGCACTCAATCTTCATATGCCGCCTCTACAATAGCAAATTTCTCATCAGGAGCCGTAGCAAAAGCCAAAATATCATAGTCTTTAAACTCCACCTCGTCAATGGTATCATCAGATAACTCAATCCATTCGCTATCATATGGCGACGACTCGTTTCTAGGTATCGCAATTCTCAAATCGTCCAGATCAACCTGATGTGCGTCACCACCACCCACATCTTCAATTACTTCAAATTCAGACTTCGGTACCGGTATGTTATCTTCATCAATTATATCTTCTTCAATTTCCTCTTCCTGCTTCTTAATTTCAGCTTCAGCATCTTGACTGGGTATTCCACCGGATTTATTGATTGCTAATGCAAGGTCCTGGCGTATATTATCCAAGGTTATTGTTGAAAGGGTGAGCAAGTATGTGAGTTTGCCATTTTTGAGTTTGAGAATTGTTATGGCTGCTTTTTTGGCCTTTTTTGGTGGCTAGATTAAAGACAGTTAGTATGTGGTTGAAGACATGAGTGATGGAATCGTACGTACCATATTGTTATGGTTTATTTTGTAGAGTTGAACTTGTATGGATCGCGATTCCTAGGCCTTATTTTTTTCATGTGTTTTGAAAAATTGCAAAACAACATCACCAGTTGCGAAACCAGGGGCGACGACAAACGATGACGCGATGAACCCATTGACACAAACGGTAAACTCACTTAAACGGCATCCTGACTATTCTCGCTCGGTACTCCACTTGTACAAGGAACTTTTGCGGAAATCGAATACACTAAAGAGGTCAAACTTGGAGGATGCAGCGAGGTTGTCTATTGAATTGAAAGTGGGCATGTATGAGGCCTTTAGCAAACACTACACCAATCCTTATCAAATGACACAAGCATTAATAAAGGGCATTCACCTCAATGACGCATTATTTGATGCGATTGCCAATGGAAACCACGATAACCTCAGAAACTGTGTCCACCAGCACCGTAGCGAATATTTCGACTGGACAAAAAGACGAAGCTCCTTTTTGAAAAACCTCAAAGAACTAGAAGAAAAGAAAATTGATTCCTTAAGAGGCAAGGAACATACACTTGCTGCATCTCGTAAAAAGAGCAAAGTAAAAATTAAAGGGCCCGATTTGTCGACGGAACAAGGTGTTAGGGACTTTATCACGACAGGTTTTAAGACAGCATCGAAAAATGGCCAGTCGTTGGCATTACGCTATTTAAATCAACTAGAATATGCTGGAAAGATACCAAACCCCCATCTTTTACCGTATACCCCAGAAACTTTACAAACAAGTGGAGATGGGTACGACTCGCATCATGTAATCAAAGGACTGACGCAAAAGGTCATTGACAGATCCTTTGACACAGAGTATATCGAGTCCACAATCATTCCATCTCTCGTATTTGACTTGAACAATATGACGGTGGAAAAATTAACCACAATAGTTAATGAAAAGGGCCCCTATCAAGCAGTAGCTAAAGAAACCAAATCGGGTATAATCGCAATGCCATATTTGTTATCACCATTCAAACACAAGCCTGGACGTAGGAAGCTTGCATCTTTGATTCGTAAACAGGTATTGTGGTTTAGGATTAAAAAGGTTTGGGAAACGGCTCATAAATTGGAAGAAGAGAATATGAATAGGGATGGAAGTTACCCCATTAGGGGCAGTTGTGGATTTGGCCCTGAAGAGTTAATGAAGCCTAGATTATACTATGAGAGGCTAATTCAAGGAGAAGAAATGTTTCAACTTTTTTGTGAGATTGAGCAACGGAAATTGGATGGCAGAGATCCTAACGAGGTGCTTGATCTTGATCAGTTCAGTTGGACTAATGATTTAGACACGGTATCTGATCTCATTAGAGCGAAATACAACAGCATTTTGCAGGAATCTAACTTGAATTTGTCTGATTTGCAAAGGAATTTACAACTCCGATTCGATGAAGGATTTGAAGCCAAGGTGAAAAACTTTTCCAATTTAGTTCACGAGCTAAAAGCTCATGGTGTTTGTAAACATAGTGAAATTGTCACTCCAACCAATCCAAATACCCTTAGAAACGACTTGCCAAACCTTAGCTATGAGACATTCCCCACCGAGGAGAGAGTTGGTCGAGGAAAGACCTTGGGCGATTTCTTAAAGTCCAACAACTTCCCTCATTTTGAATTCGGCAACGAGTTGAGAAAGAAGCTTAATGAAATCATGACCAGAATTGTACATAAATTCTAAGTTAATCGTTTTTTTATTTTTGTAGTCGTTATCAAGTCATTACCAGTTATATATAATACTCAAACTACGTACCCACCAAAACTCTTGTTGGTGGTGATATAGCCTTCTATTCTGTTATGCGCCAAACTTGAATCCCCTTCTTCTTCTTCATCGCTTTCAACAGCTTGTTCGGGGATTTTCCCATCTGTAGGATGATGATAATCAACTTCTTTTTCAACTATATCAAAGTCCTCAATCAACTTGATTAATTGGTTAGTGTCTTCATTCATCTCATCTCCATTCACATTGAGTCCATTCATCATTGCCACTACCTCGGCCATTGATTTACCTTCTTCCTTCAATTCTTTATGCTTTGCAATCACTTCTTCTAAACAAGTGATTGAATTTTCATACCAGTATCTGCTACCACCTTGAAATGGCGGCACAACCATAATGTCCTTGCGAGCAAATACCGCCTCGTTCGATAACTGATTGCGATAAAATACACTGGCTTGATAATGATCCTTGCAACAATACTGACTCTTATAGGTGTTTGGTAAAATGATTGACGGTTTCCTGTTATATATTTGATACTTTGTCGATGCTCCAGCATCAGTCCTCAGCGCCGGTGTTGTACCATTGCTATTCAAACTTAGCCTCCGCACCAACAGCTTCGGCTGATTATTGCACAACACATAGCCACACTCGTGTTCAATATTCCTCTCCTCGATAATTTCATCATACGATTGTTGGGTAAGGAACCGCGATAAGAATTTTAACAAGCCAAAGTCGACGTAATCGTCAACGAGCAATTCAGTGATGAGCAACGATAGCTGGAGTGCTTCAGCTGGCGTTAGGAGCTCTTTATTGGCATATGGTTCCAAGTACGGCAAGAACTTTTCAATTGTCATCAACTCCATTGTTTCCAGATAGTTTTAATTTGTAGCAAGTGGCAATGAGTATGGTAGAGGGAAAGCGTTTTAATTTGGTTGTGTTGGTATTTGTCTATTTAATTTGGGGTTATAGATTCACTATGCTTTGCGAAAGGTTTTGTTGTAAACAGTATTTCAGTCGTAGTAATAGTAGAATCATGAAATATATGTCAAGTATACAGAGTGAAAAGAAAAAGAAGAAGAACAAGAAGAAGAAGGAGAAGACCAAAAGTGGTGTAAAAAAGGGGCATATCAATTTAATGTTGAAAGAGTATTTATACTCTCCCCCATCAGTGTCCCAATGGCAAGAGAGAGTGTGTGAATGAGAGAAAAAAAATATATTTAAATAAAATAAGGGCGCTTAAATTGCATCATCAGCATATTAGCACACGATAACGATAGTATGGTCATCTGTACATCTATGCTATATATATTGTACACTTTTAATGTCGTTTTATGATTGTAAGTGATGTCTCTTCTGTACTAAAGATGTCTTTCAATTGCTTCCTTTTGAGTGTTACCTGGACTGCTGGTTTAAAGAGAAGAGATGCGGTTACGTTTATGAATTCAGATGCCCTAAGGTTTAACTCTTTATAGCAATGTATTTGACTTCTCTACCTCATTGGAACTCCACTTTCACTCTCTCATTCATAAGTGAATAGCAAAAATTAGTGGGGAATCAATGATTGCGCGGGTTAGCTGGCGCCTGCATAAGAGCAAACTAATATTCTCTTACAATAGTAGTTCAATCTCAACCAATCCTTAGCCTGGCAGTCCATCTAAGCGATCACTGGCTTCTGTTCTATATTTACTGTCGTATTTTGTTGATAACTACAATGTCGCTCTGCAACTTTGTACATTTTTTGAGACATTGAGCACACACAAGATAACGCGAAACGTATAAAAAGCAGAATTCTGTAGGCATCGATCCAGATCAATGGCAAAACCAAGACTGACAGGTGGTATTAATGGAAAGATATCTGGTCACAAGAGGCCCAAAAGTAAGCCATCACTGGCTCAAGTAATCAACAGAGCTAGAGCAAAGTCAAAAACGAGAGAAAAACAAGTCATATTTGGAGATAACTTGTCACATGACGAGGAACAACACAGGTCTATACGAGAGTCATTAGTTGAGTATTTCTCCAAAATTGGTCTGATTGATGTATCACGAGCAAAAAATGGGGTCTCCTTGTTCAAATTGGTGCTCTTGGAACTCAACTTGCCTACACTTTCCAATACGAAAAATCAAATGCTGACCAAAGCAGAACGAAATGACAAGGACAATCAGTCGTACGAGGAGCTAGTCAATATGTTCAGCATACCGTGGTATTTGGAGAAATTTATGCTTTTTGGATTGTTTGTCTGTCTTAATTCATTTCTTGCGCTTTTTACAATAGCTCCCCTCAAGATCATCCTTGTACTTTTACAAGTTGTCATCATCTATATCAATAACCCAAACTCCAACTTATCGCATCAATTCAACTCCATAAAGAAGGATGTTATTACCCTAAGCTTAATATCTATGGCTTTGTTGGTTTTGTTTTCCGGCAAGTTGGATATCTCAAAGATGTATCATGATGTCAGGGGCCAGGCTGACATTAAATTGTACGTCATGTTTGGTGTTTTAGAAGTTGCCGAGAAATTGTGCTCCTCCATTGGACAGGACATTATAAATATACTATTTCATATATCTCCTCTAGATCAGGTTGGGAGATTCATAATTTTTTATTTTATTTCAGTGTTTTACCTATCATTTCACGCATACATCTTGATATACCAATGTGTTTCTTTAAATGTTGCCGCAAACTCATACTCCAATGCATTGTTAACATTGCTACTATCAAACCAGTTTGCTGAATTAAAGAGCTCGGTGTTTAAAAAACTAGATAGGGAAGGCTTATTTCAAATAACAATGGCTGATTTGTCCGAGCGGTTCCAATTGTCTTTGATGTTGGGAATCATAGCGGTGAGAAACTTGATACAACTCAACTCGGCTCATGGTCTTGTGCCTGACAGTTGGAAAAAGTGGAATACATGGTTAGGCGCTGTTTTTGGCCCTGGTGTTATCGTCATTGGAAGTGAAATATTTGTCGATTGGTTAAAGCATTGCTTCATTTCCAAATTTAACAAGATCAAGCCACGGGTTTATCGCAATTTCTTGTACGTTTCCTGCTTGGATTTCCTACAGGTGTTCCAAACGGGTGCTGAAGGTAAACCGGGAAAGAGTCATGAGTTTACTGATTTCATTGTTTTGACACGAAGGATTGGATTGCCTTTGTTGGCTTCTGCTGTGTGTTTTTTGAGAATGACAATCAGCGACTTTAAACAAATATTCATCATTCAATGCTCTACTCAAGTGCGAACTGTGTTGGCAAGTATTGTGTTTATTGCAGCATCCGTTTTCACCTTGCTTTTAGTTAGAATCATCTTGGTGCTATTGATTTTCAGAATTGCCAACCGTTCAGTTGAAACACACCAAGCACGTCAAAGAGAGCTTGCTGTGAAGAGAGACTACGTTCCAGTCAATGCGCTGTGTAAACCCCCCATTGAAAAGACACCTTCCCCAAAAGTAGATACTACAAGCACATTTAATAATTCTAATGTGGAACCTTCTCCGATAGATCTATCATATCTTCCTGGTTCTCCCAATACGGAACCTTCTACCATCAACCCCACCACGAGGGCGCATTTGTATGACCTTGACGAGATTGTTCCTGAAACTCCAGAGGAAAAGAGAAATAAACAGTTGATGGGTGGAACTTTGCAAGAACTGCCTGGGGGTGACAAGGATGGCGATGACGGGTTGTCCAAAGTCATGCGATATGAAATGTCAAGCAAACGTATATGGTAAAGCTATAACTTGAAACTATTTACAAGTACTATTTACACTTATTTACACTAGCTTTCTCCCTTCATACTGTTCTATTTTTTATCAAACTCTTTGCATACCTTACAAATTCTGGTCTTGGCTTCTTCAATCTTGCACAGAATGCCAACACAGCAGTCAATAAAGCTAATGCTCCAGCTTGATGAGCAGCCGCTAAAGGTATAGGTACAAGGTATATCAAGGTGCTAATACCCAATGTAACTTGCAATGTCACAAATCCCATAGTTGCATGCATCATGGATTTTGCCGTCTTGGGAATGATTGTTTTCCTCTTGTTGACATACATATGTGCTGCCAATACAGCAAAAAAGGTCGTAGTGGCAAATACTCGATGTATGAGTTGCACAGTGGTTGGATTCTCCAAACAGTTTCTCCATAACAAGTCTGACTTGTCCAGCTTACGCGAAAATACATCAGACATAAGCTCACCTTTGTTTGGAATCCAATCATCCCCCATGTGGGGAAAAGTATTGTAAATCAAACCGGCGTCTAAACCAGCAACCATACCACCCGACATTGCCGTGACAAACGTCAACACTAATAATCCCAAAGCCATCACTCTGGTGTTTTTCAATACTGGGTTTTGTAATTGTCCAATGATAGTTTCCACGGCCTGGCCCTTGCCCTTTTTGATCATGCTAAGTAGTTTATTCTCATTCAAGACTTCAAAGGCAGTGTACAACACAGCAAGATACATCAAGAATGCTGCTCCCAAATGTGTGGTCAATCGGTACTGGGAAACGGTGGGTTTGGACTTTCTTTCAGCCAACTGCTCCTCGTCCAATCCCGATCTAACCATCCACCAGCCAATTGCTCCTTGTAACCCCAACAATCCCGTCAAGCCTATGACTCGTTTGGTAAGCCTTGGCGTAAACTTGTTTCGCATATAGAAAACCACTGCTGGAACTATGAGAAAGAGTCCAATACACCTTCCAACTAATCGATGACTCCATTCCATAAAGAATATAAATTTGAACTCTTCCAAGGTAATGTGCGAGTTCAACTGTTTAAACTCGGGCGAGTCTTTATATTTTGCAAATTCATCTATCCAATCCTGTTCATTCAATGGAGGGACCGATCCTGTGACTGGCTTCCACTCAGTAATTGAAAGTCCTGACTCAGTGAGTCTTGTGAGACCTCCCAACACTACAATACCGAAAATCAAAGTTGATGTCCCTACCAACCAATACCCAACTGATTTTGGAGGAACAACATGATCTGGTTTGGGCTTGGGCATCAGACGTGTATTTTGAGCAGCAGAATCAAAAGTTGAAGATATTGTGGAGTACGTCCTTTTAGTTTTGAGAAATTGACTAAATGAGGTTGAAAATTTGGCATGGCATTGTTTGAGTATTGGCGATGATACTCTGCTACGTAGGTGGGAGATTAAAAAAGGACGGTTTGAAAGTGTCCTTATACCTAGCTTTGACCTAGCAAATAGCATGTTAGACCTGTGAAGCATGTCTCTCCGTGGGGTTGTACAGATACTAGTTTAACTGATGAAAGGAAAATCATCTGATTACATTGAACAATATTTTAACTGGTTGTGCTGTTACACCCATACACACGTATATAGTAGATTTAGCAGCCAAACAATAATCCTTGGTTGTAAAAAGTTCACCACTGGACTACAAAAACAACCTGTCCCTTAAAATTGACCAAGCTCCACTTGCTTGCTTTCTACATTTACTCCTTTCAAATGAACTACGACAATAGAGAAATTGTCCAAGCCAAAATAGATCACTATCAACGGTTCTTTAAACGTAAAAATTTCAAACAAGATCCTCACCTTCAATACATAAAGGTGTCAGTTAAGGAACCCAAGTATATTTACAAACACCATGATCAAGCTTATTTAAAACTAGGAGTTCTGGATCAGTCTAACTCCCTTGTTAGAAATCGTGGTTTTGTGTCTCCGTTGGTTGCGTTCAACAATTCAATCATTTCTCAGTCATTCTACATCCTCATGACTTTGATTTTGGTACTTATTGTGGGTGTTGTTGTATCCTTTGGAGTTAGGGAATACTTAATAATTGCAAGATCAAAGAGAAATTTGCCAACAAGTGGAGTGATCAACAATGAACAATGGTCTAGCGATCAAGAAGTTCAGAAATTGGTCACAGACAGAACTGACTTGCTGAGTTTAGAAAAGGTTATACAGAAGCAAGAACCATTGGCACAAGCTGGCAATTTGAAAGACGAATCTGGTTTAACAAAGTTTGCTGACGATACCATCACAACCGGTAAGAGTGATTGGGGTCTACAACAAAAGTATGACCTTACAAGTGCTGCGATAAGCATGGATATCACAGAGTCTGAACGAAAAGATAAGGATCATACTAGTGGGTTTAGTGACAAATCCATCAGCAAATTTGCAAAGCAGGTGTCACCATTAGTGGCTTCATTCAAGGATGACAAGATCCGCTATAGCATAGCGGAGTTGATGAGTCTTGATGCTAGTCAATTAAACCTGGAAGTCATTTGCAAGGCACCTCAAGGTATTCAGAGAATTCCAATCTCTCAGTTGGTGTCATGTCCAATTATAATCCCTTCAACTAGATTTGAACATGCTTGGGAGGCAAATAAAGCCATCATGGAGATCATGCAAACCATCAATGAGTCCGAATTGATAACTGAAAAGATATTTGCTGCCTTCAGACTCGTTTCTATAGGCAAGCAGAGTGGAGTTTTCGAGAATCCCAACCTCTTTTTGGGACATTTCAACACATGTGTTGAAGACTTGGTCCATACTTGTACTTTATTTGATTTGTGGTCACTGTGCAGTGCCACACTTGTCTTATTACTTCTCGAATGTATAATGAACTATTGCTGGTCCCATGCTAGGTATGATGTACATGTACAAAATGCAAAACGACTGCGCATGGAGCAACAGTTTAGCAAGTGGAAGGTCAGACAACCTTGTATCCAGCCTCAAATGCCAATTCTTCGCATCTTGTTTAACTTGTATTTGGGCTTGAAAACGGCCATTGCTTTACCAAAGGACGTCGCTAGAGAAAGTGAATTGAAACTAAGTCTCATTATTCGCGAGCTCATAAAGAAAACCATTTGCAACGACTACGTTCAGGTATTGCCCTTGATTGCTAGAGCTTTAGAAGCAGCTTTACATAATAGGTCAAAGTTGTTTTTTTACGAAATGACCAAGCTTTTGGTTTCCAACCACAAGAACTGTTGTATGAATGTATATCTCAAGGACTCTAATTTCGAGTTGAAAGCTTTGCTCAGAGAAGGGTTGCTGAATCCTGAGCTGGACCCTATCTACAGAAGGTCGAAAGAGATACTTGGACTAATTCTTGAGTGTGGCAAAGTGGCAGAGATTTGGCAATTAGAAGTGTTGAATGGCGAGAGCCATACCCTGGCAAGTTTGCCATTATCTAGTGAGTATACTGAACGTCTCTTTATTCAGGAACCAAAATTTGAATAGGATTTACTTAAAGGGAACGGAATTTAGGGGTTGGCTCACACGTCAGTCTCCTCCAACGTCACCAGTGATAATCTTTAATCCACCCTTATCGGGAATGTCAAAGTAACAAAAAGTTCACCATGTGAAATAAATTCAGTTTTGTGTAATGTGAATGAATTATACTCGGTTTAAAGATTTCCTCACACATGTGATACCGTCAGTTCATTGACGCACCACAACAACCATGTACACACTTTTCAGCAAGTTTCACTCTGTTAGTATACTCTATAGCAAATAGTCCTTAGTGTAACCCTCTCTTATTGAACAACATGCCTCACGGCATATCCTTTTTCTATTCCTGTTTTCACTAAATACTTTTTTTTGATGATTCAAAATAAAATCACAGGAAATCAAATTCTTTTGCCCAATTCTTTTTTTTTTTTTTTTTTGTTTTTTTATTTTTATTTTTATTCTTTTTTTGCTGCGGAGAAAAGACACAAGAAAATATTACGGAAAAGCATATTCTGTCAATTATCACTTTCAGTAATGTATATATTTTGCCTCCCTAGTTCTCTCTTTGATAAGCTAGACACATGCTACGTAGGTAGATTTCAGTTTAGCCAATGCCCCTCTCTACTTTACTATTCAATGTTCTTTTTCCCTTGGTTGTTTGAAAGAGACTCCCAACGAAATTAGCCAACCGTTTGAAAAACTCCCAACTTTGTGCAACCAAAAACAAAACTACTTTTTTATTTTTCTCTTTGTCACCTTTGAAAATAACCAGTAAGTATATATATATAGTTTTACACATCCCACTCGCCATTCATAAACATTCTACTACTCATTAAAAGTTCTTCTTATTAGAAATTTTAGATTAAACACTAGCTTACACTGAATATGTCAGGACTTGAAATAGCAGCAGCAGCAATACTTGGTAGTCAGTTGATAGAGGCCAAATATTTGATTAAAGATGACGTCAAGTTAGCAGCAAAGGTTGTCACCAATGCATTGCCTTACATGTGGAAAGCACTGAGAGGTAAAGCTTCCTATTGGTATTACTTTGAAGAGTCAGCTAGAAAGTACAAGGATCACAAAGCTTTGGCATTTCCAAGACCTAAGAAGAACCCACCTCCAGTCAAGACCGACGCTGAAGGGTTCAAATTTCTTGATGACCAGTTTGAAATTGAAGAATATACATACAAGGAGTTGTATAACATGGTTTTACGATTCTCGTACATCTTGAAGAACGAATACGGTGTCACAGCTAACCAAACAATCGGGGTAGACTGCATGAACAAGCCCTTATTTATCGTCTTGTGGTTGGCCTTATGGAACATTGGTGCTTTGCCCGCATTTTTAAACTTCAATACCAAAGATAAGCCTTTGGTTCACTGTCTTAAGATTGCCGGTGTTTCTCAAGTCTTTATTGATCCCGACTGTGCTGGTCCAATAAGAGAAACTGAACAGACTATCACTGAAGAGTTGCCCCAAGTCAAGTTACACTATCTTGATGAGTTTGCCTTGTTTGATAGATTACAGTCGAAATCAACTCCAAAGTATAGAGCTAAAGATGAAACTAGGAGACCAGAAGATACTGACTCAAGCGCATGTGCTTTGATTTACACTTCTGGTACGACTGGTTTGCCAAAAGCAGGTATTATGTCTTGGAGAAAAGCCTTTATGGCTTCTGTCTTTTTTGGATACATCATGAAAGTTGGAAACACCTCCAATGTCTTGACTGCTATGCCATTGTATCATTCTACTGCCGCCATGTTGGGTGTGTGTCCAACTTTGTTGAATGGTGGATGTGTGTCAATATCACAAAAGTTTTCTGCTACGTCATTCTGGACCCAAGCTAGATTAGTCGGAGCCACCCATATCCAATACGTGGGAGAAGTGTGTCGTTACTTGTTGAATTCTGCCCCTCACCCTGACCAACAGAAGCATGATGTAACCATCGCTTATGGTAATGGATTAAGACGTGATATTTGGACTGAATTCAAAAACAGATTCCACATCAAGGGTGTTGGTGAGTTCTACGCCGCAACTGAATCCCCGATTGCCACCACCAACATTCAATTTGGAGAATTTGGAAAAGGGGCTTGCAGAAAATACGGATCATTGATTACTTTGTTGCTCAACACGCAACAAAAGTTGGCCAAGATGGACCCAGAAGATGAAAATGAAATGTGGAAGAATCCAAAGACAGGTTTCTACGAGGAAGCTGCCTATAACCAGCCAGGTGAGTTGTTGATGAGAATTATTAACCCGCAAGATGTGGGCAGGTCGTTCCAAGGTTATTACGGAAACAAGAAGGCTACCAGTAGCAAGATTTTGTTTGATGTGTTCAAGAAGGGTGATGCATGGTTCAGATCCGGTGATTTGTTAAAGATGGACGAGGACGGTTTATTTTATTTCGTTGATAGATTGGGAGATACATTCCGTTGGAAATCAGAAAATGTTTCAGCTAGTGAGGTTGAAAACGAGTTGATGGGTTCAAATTCTATCAAACAATCAGTTGTTGTCGGTGTACAGGTTCCAAATCACGAAGGTAGAGCTTGTTTTGCTGTTATTGAGCCAAAGGATGAGTTGGATCATTCAGAAGTTTTGAAAAAGATTTACGAACATTCTCAAAAGTCATTACCTAGTTATGCACAGCCGGCTTTCATCAAGCTTGGCACTATTGAAGCCTCGCACAATCACAAGGTTCCAAAGAACCAATACAAAAAGCAAAAGTTGCCTAAAGGAGAAAGTGGTGATGAACTTATTTACTGGTTGAATGGGAACAAATACGCTGAGTTGACCGAGGCTGATTGGGCCCAAATCTGTGCAGGAAAGGCCAAGTTATAGAGACAATGTTTCTCTCTTGTTGGCTCTAAATTTTTATTTCTGACCATTTACATATATACATGATATTTAGATTTAAAATAAAGATCATTTTTATTTAACGATACTTAAGATAATATCATACATATGAAAGCAATGTTTGAGCCTCTAGTTTTTGTTTGAAAGAGCAACTACACCTGGCAATTCCTTACCTTCCAACAATTCCAATGAGGCACCACCACCAGTAGAAACGTGGGACAATTTATCAACGGCATTGTATTTCTTTGCAACAGTAGCAGTGTCACCACCACCAATGATGACGATATTTCCGTTTTCAGCTGATTTGACAACAGCATCCAACAAGTTCTTGGTACCTCCGGCAAAGTTGTCGAATTCGAAAACACCCGGTGGACCGTTCCAGACAATAGTCTTGGCCTTTGCAACTGCATCGTCAAACAACTTTCTCGACTTTGGACCGCAATCAAGACCCATCCAGTTTTCTGGAATACCTTCTTTGTCATCGGCTTCACCAACCTTGGCATCTTTGTCAAACTTGTCAGCGGTAATAAAGTCTACAGGCAAAATGATTTCAACATTGTTTTTCTTGGCCTTGGCAACCAAGTCGTTGACATTCTTTGCCCCTTCTTCATCGAAAAGTGAGGTACCAATTGACATGTTGTCCAAAACCTTCTTGAAAGTGAAGGCCATACCACCTCCAATGATCAACAAGTCGACCTTGTCCAACAAGTTGTCAATCAACTTGATCTTGTCAGAAACCTTGGCACCACCCAAGATAGCCAAAAATGGTCTGGCTGGGTTTTCCAAAGCTTTGGCAAAGTATTCCAATTCTTTAGACATCAAGAAACCGGCTGCTCTTTGTGGCACTTCAACACCAACCATTGAGGAGTGAGCTCTGTGGGCAGTTCCAAATGCATCATTAACGTAAACATCAGCCAATGAAGACAATTGGTCTCTGAATTTCTTGACAGCTGCTGGGTCAGCCTTGACCTTTTTACCATCCTTGTCCTTTGACGAACCTTCTTCCTCGGCGTGGAAACGCAAGTTTTCCAACAAAAAGATCTCGCCATTGGATGCTGAATTGACGGCTTTTTCAACTTCTGGGCCAACACAATCGTCCAAGAAAGTAACCTTTTTGCCTAACAATTTCTCCAATTCAGCAGCAACTGGTTTAAGGGAGTATTTGTCATTCCTTTCACCATTTGGTCTACCCAAGTGTGAGGCCAAAATAATTGCCTTTGGCTTGTGTTCTTCAACGTATTTGATAGTTGGTAATGCAGCAACAATTCTTTGGTTGTTGGTGATTGTTTTACCATCCAATGGGACATTGAAGTCAACTCTGATAAAAACTCTTTTACCAGCGACATCTAAGTCTTTGACAGATAATTTGTTTGATAATGACATTTTGTTGTGATTTAATGATACCCTTTTCGTAATTGAGTTTATATTCATTCAACTAAAAGAGGGAAAAGGGAAAAGGGGAGTGTTGATTTCAAAAGAACGTGAAAAATTCATTTGTTTAAATAATCGTCGGGAAAAAAAGGGAGAGACAATTGCTACCACCTCGGATGTCTGTAGAGAACAGCCTTCAAACTACAAGCATTTACACAACAATAATTTTAAATTTTTGTCATTCGATTTCAAGCACCTCTTTTGAATCATGGCGCCAAGTCGGAGCATTCTAACACGATATATACAGAGATAGCACACTGTTACCGCTTTGCTTATAAAACTTTGTAACGTGGACGCTACGTAATTCCTCGCGATTGTTTGACCAAAAAAATTGTTCCCCGGGTTTCAAAAATCCGCCAATTTGGATAACCACTATGCTAAGTCTATATACTGCCGGTAATGGTACTATCCCTCACCACGTGAATTTACACAATAAACCCTAATTGAAGGTAACACTGTGCGGCTTCGCGTTCCACCATTCAATTTACTGGCAGTCGCCTCCCACCCCCCACAAGCTTCATCCTAATGTCACTATGGTATTTCAATGTCGTGTCGCCAAAATGTGTTTAAACTTTTTCTTTTCAGAAACGAGACACAAACACAAAATAGAAGCCATCAGAAGCTTCTCGAACACAGCAAAACAAAGTACTAACCCTTCTAGTTCACACAACTTACTCTTGAACTAGTATAAATAATCTATTAAAGTAGCTACTGTACCGATCAGATATACCCTCCTGAAAAAGCTAACAAATCATGGACAAGTTATTACATTGGTCCATCGCCCAACAGGCCGGTGATAAGGAAGCATTGACCAAAATTGGTGAACCAGATCCAAAGTTATTGAACCAGTTATTTGGTGGACCAGATGAAGTCGCTTTGATGAAGGAAAGTATTGCAATTGCTCACAATCCTAAGGTTGAGGACAAGGATAAAGAGATTGCTTTGGAAAATTTTGAGATGTTGATTGAAAACATGGATAATGCAAACAACATTGAAAACTTGGGGTTGTGGCACCCCCTTGTGGACTTGTTGAAGCCTGATGTGCCAGATGACTTGAGGATCATTGTCGCTGGAATCATAGGTACTGCTGTGCAGAACAACCCAAAATCACAAGAGGACTTTGAGAAAACAAATGGCTTGCAAGAGTTGGCCAAGATTGCCGGAGATGATGGCCAAAACAAAAGCTTACAAAACAAAGCCCTTTACGCCATCTCTTCATATATTAGAAATTATAAGCCGGGTTACAAGCAATTTGACGAATCATCCGGATGGGACTTGGTTAAACTTGGGTCTAAAGATTCAAAGTACGATTTACGAATTTTGTCGCTTGTCTCCTCGATACTAAGTAATGGATTAGATAATGATGTTGAAAGCAGGTTTAAAAAATCAAAGTTGGTTCATTATCTTGCTTCGGTATTGAACTTGGACTCAAACGTCAATTTGGTTGACAAGTCGTTAAACATAATATCCGAGTTGCATCGTTTAAGATACGATTTTTCTGCCGATGAAACATACGAAGTTGATAGAGGAATCCAAGTAGTTGAGGGGTTGAGTGATAAGATCAATATTGACGACCTAAACCGTGCCAAACAAGTTACTCAAAAGTAAATCTATATACCTGTATCTAGATGTGCTTCTATAATGGACGAATTTCACGTAATTGCCTTGTCAGGGTCATCGGATGTAAAAAAGTTCAACAATGTTGAGTCAACTGAAGGTGGTACAATGTTTTTCCCAGTAGCATCCTTGCCTAATGTACCAGAGGTACACAACTTTGAATAAATCAGATACATGGATGCATGAGAGGACTGCAAAATCTGCGCCTTTGAATGTGTCATAAGCGGGATATGTTGAAAAGACTGTAGAAAAGTTGCTTTTGTGTCACTCCCAGATCGCACCGCTCCTAGGTTTGCCAAGTTTTTATTTCTCTCGTACTTATCATACAAGGCTGAACCAATGGTGTACGTAAAAGAATTCAACCACATGACACCCTCTGGTCGTGATCTAACAGTGAAGATATTAACCTTCAAATCTAATTGCGCTCTATTGGACAACCTTTCAATCTCAGCTGGTTCAGGAAATTTAGACATCTGCTCATCATCCTTCTTTCTCTTTGCCTGCTCTTCACCATTTAAAACTTGCGATCGAAATTGTCTTTGCTTGTATGTCTGTATCTTGTTGATTAGCTGATCATATCCCTCAACCATGATGATTACGTGATACTTTTGCACCAATATATTACACATTTGTTCAGTTGCACTTGTCACATCACGCTTAAGCTCCTGTGAATGAAGCTTGGTTAAAAAATCTTGGGCCAAATAATACAAGACAAAGGTTCGTTGTGCAACTTTTTTTGCAGATATGGGTATAAAGTAGTCCTTTTCTTTGATGTACTCTGCTTTGACATTCCTTTTCCAGTATATCAAAGGCACTTCCAGATCAAAAGGCACAATTTTCAGCTTGATATCCTCCGAGTAATCCTTTATCAGATCATGTAGTTTAGAACATACATAAAGTTCCATTTCTGCATATAGCTCCTCCTTCTTTCTAGATACCCGATTAACCTCCTGCAACTCCTTGTAGCTATATTCGAAATTGTCAATTTTCGGTAGTTCGTCAAGCAAACTGTCGGCTTTGGAGCGCCTTGCTTTCTTTGCTCCAGGGTTATCATCTTGTATAGTACTTGCTCTTTTGACTGGTTTCAACGAACACTCAGTGGTTGGTCTAGCAAACCCTGCATCCAGTGTAGACTTAGATCTAGTGGCCGTGTCGAGTGTTTGCGAACCTGAAGGTTGAAAGGTAGAACTTTTAAGTTTCAGGGCCCCGTTTTCCGTGCTTCGTTCAATTCTTGAGTTTTTGATAACACGGGTAGATGGTTGCCTCGATTCGGTTTGCACAGGCTCCAATGGAACAGAATCATGTCTTCTCGTGATATTGCTGCTCGTGGTCCTTTCCACTGGCATCGCAGTAAATGTATCGTCATCTTCTTCATCTGAACTTAGCCAATGAATAAATGCAGGCTTTTCTGGGAGGACAAAAGAATCAACTTTGGAAGGCTTTTTTGATTCTTGAAATGACAAAGGTTTGGGGGCTTCTTGCTTCAGAAAGGAAAAGGACGAATCGGCAATAGAATCAGAAGCAAGGTTCAACTCAAACCGAGACTTGGTAGGAACAGGTGATGAAATCAACGAAGTATCAACTGCATTTGTATCCTTCACTTCATTTACTGCTTCCACAGAAACTGAATCTTCATCGTCACTGTCAATAACAATAATGGAACTCTCTGGTGCAGCCAGAAGCAGAATAGGCCTCACATATCCGTCTTCAGATTCATCATCTGATAGCTCAATAACAACCCGTTTTGTACCTACTGGGGCTGAAGGTTTAGTAAAAGAATAGTTGTTTAGTTTCTGCCCCACTGTTGTCTTCGATGTTTGTCCTTCAACAACTTCATTAGCCTTTCCGTCATCGATAGTTAGTTTCTTGTTTTTGGCATTTTTGTTCGTAAGGTGGATCGCTGCTTTCTTTTCTTGAATGGCAGATTTCTGGCCAAGTACTGAGCTTCGTATTTTCGGTTTTCGCCCATCACACCAGCCCCCAATTGTATCCTCTACATCTGTCATCGACATTCTGAATTTTCTGTCCCGAGGCTTTGCGGTTGCGTGAGACTTGGTTGAGTTGTTAGTTGTTCCCTTTGCAACTCTGTCAGCCTGGGATGAGTAAGGGCTGCTAGGTAATCTATCAATTTGATTGCCTACCAAAGGCTCCGAGTGTGAAGGGGTATCAGTTGGAAGTTCTTGTATACGTGGCGAGGAGAAACTAGGAACACTAGGGCTAGAATTATACCTGCTTTCACCTCCACTTCTAGGTTGTTGGGCTACCCTATTTTGTCCTGGTGTACTTGACCGACTACTAACGAATAATTGGGAGCTAACAGAAACACCCAGAGATAAATTGATTCTTCGATTGGATGAAACCTGGATGTGATTCAGACTTGGTCGTGATGGCCCTCGAGGGGTGTTGTTCTGTACTTGGACTCTGCTTGACGATTGGTCTTGAAATGAAGATGGAGCATCACCAACGTACACAGAGTTATTTATATGTATATTCACAGAGGGAGACGACGAGGGAGGAATTGGTTGAGAATAATTAACATGAGGATGAGGTCGAGATAGTGGTGGTGGAAAATTTCCTGGTGACCGATTCGCCGGTGTGGAGCTGTAAGGAGGGTATGGTTGGTTCCAATTGTCTGGCAGGATGTAAGGCAGCGATGAGTTGTTGGGAAGGTTGTTAATATACTGTTGTGTACCATAAATGTTAGAATAACCATTGGAAGTTGGTGGTGCACCACTAGGCGATGAACCATACAGATGAGGGCTTTGATAAATTGGTGCCGAGTAATTTGACGGTGCTAACGGTAGTTGTGGGCTCATGGACGCGTTTGTATTCTCGTTAGGAGTATGTTGACTGGCAGCATTATTCCATGCTTGCAGAGACCCTAGCACGTTAGATGTGTTACTTGATTCTTGATTTGTTCGAAGCTTCTCATCCATGATGTAGCTATTCGACAAACCAGATAGCCTAAGACGATAGTTTAGATGATATAACGAGTAGCTTGAAGTGGGAAAATGGAATCAAATTCAACTGGTAAAGACATTCTAGTTTATGATACGCGTTTTTCAATCTTAAAAAACTTGAGAAGCGGCAGTGATGCAATTACAAAATTTATCAATAATCAAACAAAAACAAGAGAGGGATGTTCAAGGGTAGAACATATCTGGCAACTATGTAGAACAAAGATTGACACTGCTTCAAAATTGTCAGGCCATCTACAATTTTCAATGAAAATTTACTACTGGTGGGGTACTGGGGTCGGTTTTCATCGCTACCACCTTTCTCGACCTTCATGAACTTTTTGATTCCTGAAAAGAACGAACCTAACTACAAACTTTAATAAACGCCAATGACAAGTCGAAGATTATCATACAGCATACCCCAATCTGAAAGCAATAAAGAAGAATCTGTCACTGGATTGAAAGAGCTCTACAGCACCATAAAGTATGACTGGCCCCGTATTTTGGAGGACGACGCCAACCCAATTGAGTTAGCCATTTCGCTATTGGATGATAGTTCAGTTGGTATGGCTCACAGGCTTGATGAATTCAAGAGACTTAAAAAATCAACTGAAGGTGCATTGCGAGGCGTTGTTCATGAGCACTACGAGTTGTTCAACAACAGTATAGGGTCATATCATATGTTGTTGTCGACATTGGACAAATCACAGCAAGACTCTGAAAGCATCAGAAATTTTCTTCAAACATCAAACAAAGAGATTCATGATAGAAGTGCTGTATTGGCTGAGTTATCTGAGACTTCAGGGAGATATGCAGAGCTGATTGATATAGTGGACGCCATACAAGAGATGAACAAAATTCCCGATCAGGTGGAGCAACTAATCAATGAGAAGAAGCTTCATGAGGTGTATGATATTATTGCCAATGGCTATAAGACAGCTGAACGTTATAGCTTGTGGTCTTTACCGGCAATGAACGATATAAGAGCCTATCTCGAGCAGCAATCAAACAAGTTGTACGATATGATTATTGATGAATTGCAAAATGAAATATACCTGAAAAATAACAGCTCAATTTCCAATACAGGTGTTACCTTGTGGCAGTCAATAGTAGAGTCTACAAGTCCGCAGATGGCATCTTTCAAGGCCTTGGTTAAACTGGAGAACTTAGAACAGTATGTGCACAATTCAGCCAACTTGGATATTTTGGAAGTAGTCGACTATTTGACAGCACCGGTTAGTGATTTTTTAATTCAGCTGTTGCCCAAATTGCACGAAAGCAGTTTGAAAAATGATGGTATAGTTGACTACACTATATTATTAAAGATGAACAATACCAATGATAGTTTCTATTATATGTACATGCTTTTGGTAACTGCCTTTAAATTAGGTAGGTTACAACAAGTGGTTGAGACATTAGTTGAGGCAAACCAACTGGAGTTGCACGGGTTGGTTAATAGAGTTACCGAGGAAGTGAAACTGAGAAATGGATATGCGCTTTCGAAACTCTCCAAAATCCAACATTTCGAGCAGGATTCATTGCTTGATGTAATGGCACACAAGAGCTTTAGTGATTCAGCTGTTGTCATCCTTCAAGAATTATTTGGATCGATAACAGTAAGGTGTTTGCTTGCCTTTCAGAAACACAAGGTTGTCAGCCAAATTGCTTCACTTTTAGGACAGGGCCAGGATGCCAACTATTCCAATTCACCATCTCACTCCAAAAACATCTTGCGCGTTTGGGATACCACAAAGAAAGAATTACAAAATTTGATATTAAGTTATATCTATGATGATGGGTCTCTTGAGTTAGGGGTTAAGTTAGTGGACAACAAGGCCGACCAAAGGAAGGTGCATAAATCTTTACATCAACGAAAGCTATTCTATTTTGAAAATGTTGATTGGAGCTTTACAAAATCTGCACAAGAGCTTCAGGATTCATTGAGTGATATATTCCCCGGATTCCATATTGATGATAATGATAAGGATCTTTTGACTATGGAGACGCCTTATTTTGAAGACGAATCTTTCAACACGCAAGTCGAAGTATTAACACCTAAAAACTTGTTCAATATGAGAATCATATTAGAGCCATTGCTAATATTTGTTGAGGGTTCGCATAGAGTGCTTTCCAATTTCCACGTCCAGAAGAACAGCACTGATAGTGTGGCCTTTCAATTTTTCAGTGACTTTATGAGGTCTTCATTTTTGACTTACTTTAGATCAGCAATCGATGAAGTATTTAGTGACCAAGTTGGTGGGGTATATACCGGTGGTCCTGTGAAGTTGAACGAACCATCGGGCTTAAAACTTGAGGTTATTACCTTGCGTCAAGATAATGATTTGGAATTATTAGAGGTGTCTCGTCCTGACAACGATTCCAGCATAGTGATTTACGAAAATGCATTCAATTTTAAGAAGTTGTTTTTGGAACTTTGCCTCATTTTGAATACTTCGTTGACCTATAGAGAGGACATATCCGACACTGTTTTGCAAACTTTGCAAAGTTTTGCTACCGAGTACAGAAAGTTATTCCAAGATTTGTTGTCGACTGAAGGTGCCATGAGCAGACCTGTCCTGCAAATAAGCAAGTGGATGAAGATGCATGCATTGACTGAGGTCAGTGGAACTATCATACTTGATCTTAATGAGAAGAGCACTTCCAACTTGTCCAAGTTCATTACCTCTGAAAACGGAATGTTGCTTCATGAAATCCAAAATTCTGTTGTCAATAAAGATAATCTTTTAGATGGTGATACTTTTTTCCATGTCGTTTATTTATTGTTAACTACATCATGGATTTTGACATGGTTAGTGTGGGTCAAAAAGCAATCCAACTATGCCATTGCCGATGACCAAACCAATTCAGTTGTTGTTTCCCCAGTCGAAAAGTTGAGGTACAATTGGTCATTTTTGGAAAACGGTCGTCCTTCAATCAATTTCACGACCAACTCCTCAGACATTACTCAGAATAATATCCTTTTGGCATTGAGTTCGGAAAAGATAATTGAATTCAATGATGTGGTTGCATATTTCGAAGGCATACGAGATCAAACATTGTTGGCATTGAGATATGAGTTAAGAAGCAAGGCTATTTATTACCTTAACTTGTCGTTCAATGTGATGGATTGGGTGCCAACTACGGAACCAGGCGATGCAGACCCATACGTCGTTGCATTAAACCTGGAAATCTTTACAATTGATACTCAGTTAACAAAGGCTTTAAAACCAGAAGACAAGGAAAGTATCTTTGTTGGATTTAGTGAATTCCTCAATGATGCAATGATCCAAGGTTCATTCAAGGTTAAAAAGGTAAACAACAACGGTATCAAACGGGCGATGTTGAATATATCCACTTTGCAACAGATTTTGAGAAGTTTATCGCCCACTCCTCAAACAATTGATTTCAGCAAGTCGTCACTATACTTTGAAATGTTTACCTTGAATGAGTTTAGTCTATTGAACCGTATCAAGGCAAAGACATCAGCATATACAAGACTGCAGTATCATAATCTAGCTAGGTTGATTTACAGCGAAAAATTAGCTGATGGCAATGGGTCTCAGTTCAACAAAGACAAGCACAGTGACTTGGTTAAAAAGATAAACGAAATAATAGAGTAAAAATAGAAAGTCATATTAAGTGTTATTTTATCAAATTGGTATATAACCCTCTAGCAACAGTTTCTAGGTGGTGTGCGTTTAATTCTAAACTTTTCCATTAGACGTTCACTAACAAATCTTCCAACGCCAGAACCAATAACAACAGCAAAGAAATACGTCAACGTATAAGTCATTGCTGCCAACATCAAAGTGTATCCAAATAAATCAGGAACAATACATAAAACCAACCGTATAGCATCCCTCATGATAGTGCTTGCTATTGGTAAATTGGATTTTGATGGTTTGGCCTCTTGTGATTGTACAATAACGTCATCATTTGACACACGTTTGTCAAAACTTTCGTCGTCGGCACTTCCTGCACAACAGTCACCTTGAGCAGGTGTAGTAGGTTGCAAATTAGCACTGTGATTCGCTACTCCAGCTTCGAACTCATTATAGCTCTTATTCTGCCATACAACTTCTTCCAAGTAATTTCTGATAAACTCTAGGAATCTGGCAAAGAAAGCAGCAAAGAATAGCAAGACAAATATACCAAATGCTTCGCCTTTTGTAGATGCTGATAAGCTTTTGAATATAACGGGATAATCTTTAAACTCTCTGGTGAAGTACATGTGCATACCACTCATACTACTCATACCACTCATGTCTCCCATACTGCTATTGCTTGATCCGCTGTGATCCATTGCAGCTGCAGTTGTTTCCATTACCATACTCATTGTTGAACTGGCCATCGAACCCATATCCATCGAGGACGAGCCCATGCCACTCATATCGTGTCTTTTGTACATGTTTTGTTTTAGTGTTATTTGAGTATAGTTGTTATTTTGTTATGCTTGGAATATCTGAGGAAAAGGAAATGATATGTCCTTATATATATACAGGTTTATTGTTATGCCGGTTTGATCTATGATGGAATAAACGAATGTTTCAAAAGTGTGAGTTATAATTCTATTACTGTTTATGGCCACTTCAATATTTGCTCAAGGGGGAGTTTAAAAGTAGATTAATAGTTAGATACTCTTTTAAAATCAATCTTCGAAAACGGGTGGTTTTTCCAATTCCTTTTTTCTCATCTTTTCTGCAGACGGTTTTGTGGTTTTGTGTATTGTGGTGTTAATCTTGAGCAGTTTTGACACTTCCTAAAGTAGTAGTGTGTGAGGCGTTCTGCGCAATATACCTACTTCCTAATTAGGATATCGGTACCGATAAACCTTTAAACCAATAGGGAGTGAATAAACGCAAAGTATGATACGAATGGGCTCATTTATCAGTGATTGCGCATTACCGGTGAAATATGCTCATACAATTTGAGCTTGTCAATACCATAAATGGATCTGTCAAGAAAGTTTCAAGCCATTGATTAGTCGTTCAAAATATAGTATAGTATATTCAGTATACAACTCTAACAAACTGGAATATCCCTAAAAGCTATACAACAAGTCCTTCACTTGGTATTCTTCATTAGCGTCATCAATCTCTTGCCAGTTACCAACATAATCATCTCCTCTTACAACCCCAGGCAACGTCTTACCAGATGCTTGTCTGCGCCAAATCTTTTTCGCTTCTTCATCTGTGCCCAAGTCTCTATATTCGAATTTGATTCCATTTGCTTGTAAAATAGTTGCTAATCTGTTGGTTCTGGGGATAATTTGAGCACCCCCAGCTAATGATGTGAAAATATAAACTGGTTGAGATTCAAGATGCTTGCGGATTTCTTCCGGGGAGATATCTTCCAAGTCATCGAATTCATCAGTTGTTGCAACTTCTTTTTCTGATTTTGCGGTTGGGGAACTAGGAGCTTTTGCTTCAGGTTTATCAGACGCCGTGTCAATCTCTCTCTCCTTCTCCTTAGCTTCAGACGTTTCAGTAGATGGTTCGGTAGTTTCTTCTACATTTGTCTGTTGAACTTCTTTAGTTGTTTCTGAATCTTGAATTTTGTCAGCTTCTTTAGTAGATTCAGCCTCTCTGATAGATTCAGCTTCTTTAGTAGATTCAGATTCTTTAGTAGATTCAGATTCTTTAGTAGATTCAGCCTCCTTCTGATCATCACTTACATTGTTTATTCCAGGACCTTTCTTCAATTTCGCTTTATCAACATTCTTCCCTGCTTGCTCTTCGACTTCATCTTCTTTCAAGTGCTCAGGCCCATCAGCATTAAGAACCCCATCCAACAATTTACTTGACGACTCCAGTTCTGGAGATTCTAATTTCGGTTTTGGTTCAGTCTTCTCCGGTACGACTTCAGATTTATCGTGAATATGTTCTTCTTTGGATACTTCGGAGGTGTTGGCGTCTGTCGATCCCAGTTCGTTTACTGCAGATGTCCCCTTAGAAGACGACTCAACCTTAACCTCTTCTTTCACCTTCAGCTCCACCGAATCATCCTGCTCAACGCTCTGTATCTCATCCTCTCCACCAACAATCAAGTTTGGCTTATTTTTCTGGGCGGAGTCCAATTCTGCTTGTTCATCCTTGGGAACCTTTCCTTCTGCTTCTTCCTCCTTTTCAAGCTCATTCTCTTTAAGCCCTTCCTGTTCTTCTTCTTCGACTTTTTCCAAATCAGCAGGTCCATCTATATTAAGTGAACCCTGAATTAAGTTATCTTCTGGTTTGGACGTGCTTGTTTCAAACTTTGCATCTTTATCCCCTTTGATTTCCTTTGACGTCTTTGGGTCCTCCTTCGTTTCGCCATCAGTTGAAACACCTTCTCTCAACTCATTCTCTTCGATAGCCTCGGCTGGATCGTCACTGGTCAAAGCACCCTCTTGTTTCAAAGGAGTGGTATCCGCATCGTCTTTCTCGTTTCCTTCAATTTCAGCGCGTTTTGCATCCTCGTCGATCAAGTCTTCATGGACTGATTCTTTGTCATCCTTTTCTAAATTCTTGACGGAGGTAGAAGCCTTTTCCTCATCCTCAACTTTCTCAGACTTTTTCGATTCAAGCGACTTAGAGTCCTTGCTTTCTTCCTGATCCTTTTGTTCCTCGTCTGGAACCGATATCAGATCAGCTTTTTCGTCCAACGCAGTAACATCCTTTTGGTTTTTTTCTTCTTCAATTTCTTTTTCTTTGGAATTTACGTCCGAGTCCAATTGAGCTTCTGCAATTTTGGATTGAGACGACACATTCTCACTTTCCTTCGGTTTGGTCTCATGGTCCACCTTGTCTTTATCTTTCTCGTCGCTTGACTTTGATGAGCCCTTATTCCCTTTCAAAACCTCCTCCATCAAGCTATCCAACTGATCTATTGACGCATAAGGATCATCAGTAACCAAAGCGCCCTCTTCCATTAATCCATCCACATTTGAATCATTTTTCTCGTCCATAGGGTGGCTTGAACTAGATCTGATAAATCTGGCATTGGGCTTGTATTTGACAGGAGAGCGAGGATTATCCACTTCAAAATTGGTATAATCGCCTGTGGTCACCAATGATGGCTCTCTACTAATTGGATTAGAATCAAATTCAGGGACAAAAGGATCGTTTGCACGAGCTTTTCTAGCCTCAGCGGCTGCAATCGAATCACCCATTGTTGGTCTAGCAGCTCTTCCTCTATCCTCTTCCTCCGACTCCTTTAATTCATCATTTGAAAATGATGGTGGGAGCTCATATTTGGACGGTTCATCCCCATGCACATTCTTGTAGGAATCTCCTCTGGCTAAATGGCTCAGGGCTGATGACGAGCGTGCAGCTATTCGTGAAGTTGGGTTCGAAGATCTAGATCTTGACCTTTGTCTATCAGTATGGAAAGGGTGTAAACTGCCTTCCAATCTTTGTTGCAGTGCAGATGATAATGTAGTCTGAGGTCTTGGTCTAGACAAGGAAGATGCCTTTTCATCCCTTACCGACAGGTTGGAGCGGGGTAACTTTTCTAGATCATAAGATTGGACATGACTAACAAAATCATTGTGATCGGTAATGTTCTGGTCCAATTGATAGTCTGACAAGTTGGGAGTGGAATAGTCGTCCTGTTTATAAAACGAAGAAGAAGCAGCAGCAGCCGTATTGTTGGCACCGGATGACTTTGTTTCCCTGTCAACAGCCTTATCTAAGTTTCTCTCCCCAACCTTTGTTCTTCTTCCTCTCAAAGGCTCGTCCCGATCTCCAATTGCCTTTTCAATTTCTCCCTGGACTGCTTCAGACTCAATGTCGTCTTGCCCCTCGTCCTCTTCTTCAATTTCGTCGTTCAACTTGCTCGTATATTTCGCCTCGTTCTTAACAGTGCCATCACTATCCAAGAACTTCTCAAAGTCCTCCTCTGAGCCCAATAAGGCACCCTCATTGATTAAGTCGTCTAAGGACGCGGTGATTGACAGTTTCAATTTACTTGATCTGCTTCTCGATTTTGATCTCGATTCAGCTCTAGAAGACACATACTTTTCTGGATGAATGTAATTCTGGTGTGGTGAATCATCAGCAGATCGTAAAGACGCACCAACTAACGAAGGCGAATCTGATCTTTCTGCTCCTGCTAAACGTTCTTCGAAATCCATGGTCTTTTTTGGTAGGAAAGTGGTGTAAGTATTACCCAACAGTTGTGATTTTTATCGTTGTTGTTCACAAAAGTGCGCGATAAAAATTAAATTAGTTTTAATTCAATTTGCAATCTCCTCGTCTCTCTCTCTGCCTATCTCTATCTCTATATCTATTGCCCCCCAACAAAAAAATAAGCACACGTAAAGTGCCTAGAATCTTTTTTTCTGAGATCTAAAGGGGGAGCGGAGGCAGTTGTGAAAAGTTGTGTTAAACTTGTTTCATCAAAAGCAGTAGCCAATCCGCCAGTTTAAAAATAGCCCTTCAGGTCGCCTTGAAACTGCAATAAGCTGCAGGTTACTCGTATGTACTTTTGGGTCTAGAGCTTCAGCGGTTTCAGTTTACTGAGTTCTTACTACATTATGGTCGCCACCCGGCTGGTGTCGTGATTCTAGAACTTAATGAACGCATTACAAATTAATCTTTAATTCAGGTTGAACGGCTCTTTCTAGTTCCAGTACCTCTCTTTTAGCTAGTCATGAGACTTACGAGTGATCACTTGAAGGGGTTGCTACTTTTGTGTCTCTTTTCTTACGTAACAAGTAACAGATTCAGTTTTGATTGGTCGAGAGATTTACCCCAAACTTTCAGTGGCGGCTTTCATCGACACTGAAAGCTCATGCAAAAATACTGAAAAGGTGCTTTACAGTATGCGTAAAGTTTTCAAATACGAGATAGCACCACATTGTATGGAAGAAACATAATGTACAAATAACAGTATCAAAAGCGACCAAGTATGCCACTAACTTTAAAAAGGGGAGACACACTGAGAGGGCTTGCATGGAAAAACGTAGAATTCTATGGCTAGTTGGAGCTACCACACATACTCAAAAACAACACTCTAATTTCTGGTCATGATAAGAAGGACCTTGTCTATGACTTACAATACAAGGTCATTCAATCATGCCTCAGAATAGTATTGTCTGGTCTTGTTGTAGTCCGTTTGTTTAAAGCGTATACCCGGAGCTAAGCTCTTACCTCGGTACACTACTTTTACTTTTCCTAGCACGTTTTCTCGCCACCAAAAAAAAAAAAGAAAAAATTACTGCCTATAAAAAGTTTACCTGATTTACACATCTCAATACAACAGTTAGTTTCAACTCATCAATCAATTAGTAATGCCTAGACAAAGAAGATCAGCTCCAGCTCCAAGACAGCAAACCAGGTCAGCACACACTGCTGCTGCACCAACTTACCAACAACACCCACAACACAGCCAGTACCCAGCCGCCCACCCAGCTCAACCACAAACACAACAAAGACAACCAGGTTTATTTGGACAAATGGCATCTACTGCTGCTGGTGTAGCGGTTGGTTCAACTATTGGTCATACTTTAGGTGCTGGTATCACAGGAATGTTTGGTGGAAGATCTGAAGCTCCAGTTGAACAAGCACAACAACAACAACAAGATCTTGCCCCATATCAACAACAAAATTCATATGCTACCCAAGAACAGGTAAGACATTGTGATGCTGACGCAAGAAACTTTACTAGATGTTTAGAAGAAAATGACGGCAACATGCAAACATGTGGGTACTACTTGCAACAATTGAAAGCATGTCAAGAAGCTGCTAGACAATACTAAATGAAAAGAGAAGAAAAAAGATCCCACCTGTGTATAGAGTAAATAACAACTTTGATTTAATATTTATTTGTTAACGAATCAATTCCGTGTACGTGTCTATTTCTTAGCTTGCTTAGTCGAGGACGTGTAGTACCAATATCCAGCTCCTCCAGCTCCTAATAGAGCCAACACTCCAGCTACACTTGTGCTACCTGACGATGATGATTGTTGCTGTCCCTCATGGTGCAAGTTGTCATGTTCAAGATCATCAACAACACGTGTTTGTTTGCCAACCAGTTCAGTCTTGTGGTCAATCTCGTTTTCACCCAAGTTGACGACATCAGCAGCATTGACATTTGGGTTGACTGAAGACTGTACATACTGATCGTGATTAGCTGCCTTCTTTGGTTTCGCCGAATTGGAGACATTTGGTTTGGAAGAATCAATTGGGTTGCTTCCTCTATCCTCTTGGAGAATAGGCTCAGCCCCTACTGATTCACCACCATGCAAGACCTTGGCGTCATTTGCCTCAACTTTTACTGATGAATTGGACTCCTTGGCGAATAATTCACGTTCGACAGCCTTTGCCTTTTCCTGAGCAACATCTTGTTTGACAGCCTCTTTGGTGACAGGGGGTACTTTAGGTTGAGAAGTCTTTGGAATAAAGTCGTATTTGAACTCCCATTCATTGATTGAGGTCTGAGAAGGTAATTTGAATGAATCGATGTTGGAAGAGTCGCCTTTAGCAAGTCTAGTTGCTGATTGCTGCATAAACCTTCTGGCGGCGGCGTTTCCCTTGTAAACACTTTTAATTGATTGCTTAAGCATAGTGTATTGTAATTGTATGTAATCACTAAGTTGTTGACGGGTTAACTAATACGTTCTCTTTAATAAAAGATGAGCGATAATCGGAGTGATTAATTGGATCTTTCTCTCTTTTTTGTTCTGTTTTTCCCTTTTTCCCTTTTTCCCTTTTTCTCAACGTCATAATTAATTGGATATAAGGAATAACACAAAACTACAATTGTCGGCGAAATGGTAGCACCAAATAATCTAGAACCGAATCAATGTGGGGGAAGATCTGGGGGCATGAATTGAAGCTTTAAATCGTTCAATTATAGAAGCTTTTGAGTGTAAGCTAGTTGAACAAAGGAAAAATAAGGGTACAAAATGCACCACTCAAATACAGTCTTAATGATGTCGTTCTGTCTCTGAAGTTGCAGGACACCTGTGCAAAATACCTTCAGATATCAAGGTACTCACAAGAATGGGCTGCGCAAATTTTAATAATGGTATTAAATCGCAACACGTAACTTATTGAATGGCATTACAGACACAAAGTTTTAACATCAGTAGAATGAATCTTTATTAAAAGTAAAAAGAATAAAAATAACTAATGTGTAGTGCATGCACTTCTACAGTGCTTAACGGCATCCGTCAAAGGATTGTTTCTCAAGCCTTCTCCGACAACTTTCTATCATCCTTCGATGCTTGATCTATCGATTCGCCATGATTTTTTTCCGCATCTTCCATGGAATCGTCCGCGCCAGGTAAATGAATATAATAAGCATCATTTTCCAAGCCTTTGTCTCTGGAAAAGCGACCTGATCTTGAAAAGACATGATAAATGCCAGCCACCAAAACAAACAAACCAAAAACACCACCAGCGACACAATATAACGTATTGGGAGACAACCCTGTAAAGTTGTCCATACAGGAAACAGAAGATCCCGAAGGTATGACATCTGACAACCCATGTCCAGGGATAGATGTCATTACAGGTATATTCATCGAAATGTCCCGTTTCTCAATAGTTCTCAGTGTTAATGTAGTAGGAAATGAATGTATACTAGTAACTTGCTCCTTGTGTTGCTTTTCATTGGCTGTGGTTATAGAATTCGGTGAATGAGTCTTTGACTTTTTCTTGTGCTTTTTGGTCTTGGTTTTTTTGTGATGTTTACTTGATGTTTTCGTATGTTTCTTTTCTTCGCTGCTGCTGCTGCTTTTATAGTGATGGGGTTTGCCACCTGCAACGGCTGGCCTATTCCCGTTGGGATTTTTAGGTTTCGAACCTGAGCCTGAACGACCTCCACCTGAATGACCTCCACCTGAATGACCTCCACCTGAATGACCTCCACCTGAATGGCCTCCTCCTGAATGGCCTCCTCCTGAATGACCTCCTCCTGAATGGCCTCCTCCACGACGAGGTTCGATAACAACAGACATTGAAAATTTTGTTTTGATCGGATAAAGGTTGGATAAACCTATTTAGTTTTGGATAATCTCAGCACTATATTCCAAAAGTAGGGACAATATGATCTGTATATATACTGCTCTGGCGATAATGGCTGAAGGAATAGTCACCAACTTTTCGATGTCGAAATCTAACCGCGTCTTTTCAATGATCTACAATAAAAAATATATCTTTTGTATGTGAGTTTATTGTTACATTTTTAAGCGGTTGCGCATTTTAACAAACGGAAAAAACTTAGAGTGGCTGAGGACAAGAAGTAAAGAAATAAAAAAAATAGATCATTTATCTGTACCTAGTATACGTCAAAAAAGGCAAAGAAGTTGTAAGTCCGCGTCGAGAAAACGAGAGCGATCGGCTTTATTTTTTTTGGTGGCTTAGGAGGGTATCTTTTTTTGCGCTTCTCATTATTGACGAGGCTTGGCACATTTCGTAGCAATCGTGATCAAAAGGTGCATATCACGTATTACAACATCAAGAGATTATATTTACTTGTGATATGATAACTCTCCTTAAATAATATTAGGGACTTTAACAAAACGTGTTTTGGCCCATCTCCTCTCCATTATTTTTCATAACTCAGCCCAAATATATCATGTATTTACTGAAGGATGAATAATATAGGATCGACACGGTTTTCGTGCTAAGAACAACTTTTTAATTCTAAATCTAATAAAATTTTAAAACAAATACTGTAAGTAACAATCTGCACTCACAACCAGTCTCATAAGACTATCTATAGGCCACATTTATAGGTCTTTCTGCAAGACTCCCTCCTGCTAACGTTAAGATCTTGTTGAGAGAGCAAACATTATAATGAGGCAGTCAATGTGTGTGCTCACGAGACATATTGCTGAAAGAAGTAAGCTACGAATGCCACGAAAGGAAATTGGTAGGGAAGAATTTTGGGGGTAATTGCTCTAAATCTGAGCACAAATAGGCGCAACTGTCAAACAACTGACTACAAAGTAACGAATATTTATGTCTTGTATAGCAGAACTCTCTTTTCTCCACACCTCACGGTTAATTGCTAGCTACTCCTTCTGTGACAGTTATCTAACAGGTGGTTCATAAGCGGAAGTCAAGAATATCACTGAATCTACATTTTGTCAAATACTGTACATAGTTAAATTCCGACCCTTGAAGAAAATTTAGTGCCAAACGTATTTATTCTTTCTTTTCTATTGTTGGTAGTAGCCCGGTTAAAATCATATTTTGCGTTTGCGCAAATTATTTAGAGGCTATCAATCGATCAAAAAGGACACTAGAGCTGCCTGCGTTATGATTTCTAAATTTAGCTTTAGCAGCTGTAAAGGCAACAGAATACGCCCTTTGAATAAATAGAGGTGAATGGTTCTTTAACCACTTCAGTCCATGCAATTCCCAAATTTCAGGGGGAGGGCAGCTTGCATTCTATCGAATAGCTTTCACTTAGTAGCAATTTGGATCTACCAAGATTATGTTCTTACAGAGATTACTTTGATTGCACGGAAATTGATTACACGATAACACTTTGTATAATAATGCGTTAACTCAAATGGGCCAGGTGATACTTGTCCAATTCACATTCTTTTTGCTGTACTCGAGTCTCTACGATTCTAAACCTTGGCAAGAATCGTCAACTGTATATTCGCGATTCGTATCAAATGGCGTGATGTGGATGAATCGTTCGCAACAATTCTATCGTAAATAATCCTAGATCGTGGTACTTTTTCTTCGTATATAGCGTCTTGGAAGTATCAATAAGGGCTGCTCTACTTTGCTTAGAAGAGCCACACAGAAGTGTCAGTAGCTATGATCCCCAAGTTCTTCCAAAGGGAAAGGTAATAAATCTATCAAATTGCTTGCTATAACAGCTATAATAAAACAATACAAAAATCTATAATACAGTACAACACAGAGTTCATCACTTCCCTTTCTCCTCTTCCTCTTCATCCTTCCCATTCAAGAGATCTTCAAGGAACATACTAGGAGGACGCAACGTGGTTTGAACACTACCAGCAAACGTACCAGTAGTTCCTAATTTTTCACTGTCTGTATCCCTATTATCGCCATTACCAAACCCATTGTCCAAACAAGAAGAAGACGCCATCGTGGCTGAATCCAAATATGGGCCCATCGTCGGTTTCAAAAGTGATGCTGCTGACGAATTGTTGTTATACTTTTGCAAATACATTGATGAAGAATTTCGTTTATCTTGATATAAAGGCAATGATAAACTATCATATTCCAAACTGGGATTATTAAACATGGATTTACGAAATTGTTGTTTATCACTAAGAATGTGATTTTGTAATGATTTTCCCTGTGATAAAGTTGATGACGAATTTGATGATAGATCAAATAATGACGATGAGGATCCATTACGTTTGAGGTTCTGATGAGGGAATGCATAATGTTGAGACATGTCACCAAGACCTGGCGTGGTCGAGTAATAAGTTTCCTTTTCCAATTGAGCTTTTGAGGAGTAGATGTAATGGTTAATGATGCGGTATAATGTCAATGCAAGCAAAATGGCACCAAGAATCGAACCAACAATAATGAAAACTAGACTTGTGGGTAGTGTCGGTATATCAATGTATGGGTTATTCAGATTGGGTATGGCAGTGATGGTAGTGGAGATGGATGATGATGAAGATGAGGATGTTTCTGAAAGTGACGGCATTGATGTCTCGTCACCACTGTCTTTTTCCTCATCACGAATAACAAGTGACGGCATGACTGTGACAAGGGTTGAGTGGGTCGACTGGACAAATGTCAGGCGAGCAACAAGTTCATCAGCCCATGATGATGCTGATGGTATAACTACTTGGCTGGTAGACGTTGGCATATCGATATCGTAACTCGGGCTGGCTGCAATATTGCTAAGATGGCGTTTGTGATTATGATGCTGGTGGCGGTTGTGCTGGTGAATACCACGCGTGCTTATTAACTCCTCATGCGATGAATGTATTATTGTACTCATATTGAATCTTTTGAATGAAAACCCCTTGTATCTGTAAGGAGCTCCGTAGGTATCTCTATAAGCTGGTTTAATCCAAAGGACAAGAAAAGTCAATAAGAAATAAAGTGATGAATTGATAAGTAAATTGTTCAGAAACAACTGAAGATAATTTCACTTCGGGGAAGAATGGAATGAAATGTACAAATATCAATAAAGAGACTAAATTGGGAAAGGGTTAGGAGAAAAGAAAATGTTATAGTAATAGATGGAAATATGACATGCATGAAGAATAAAAAAATAACACGTTTGTGGCTTTTAAAGAAACCCATACACGTCCAACCATCGATTCCTTCCATCCATCGATCTATCTCCTTTTGTCATTCGTAAATGTTGGCTTTTCTTCATCATTACCACCTCCTATGTAGAAAGTGTATTAATTGTGTCACTAAAACTAGAGATAAGTAATTGCGCGTCAAAAAAAAAAAAATAATTAAAATTAAAAAATAGCAAAGAAAATAGACTGTTTTCCCTTATTCTACTCTTCAGCTCTAAAACTATAATCCTGGTGCCATATACCAGAAAAATTATCCTCTAAATTAGCTTGATATCTGTTTTGCTTCGTAAAGAGAACTTCTCGCCACTTCAACCCATTATCATCATCATCATCATCATCACCAACAACAACAACAACTCCAGTTCCATCTACCTTTTGTGTAACTAACAAAAAAGAGTAAAAAAAAAAGATTCTTAATAATAATACGCGTTTCGTGTATTCTCTGCTTATAAGAGAAGGCTTTTGTCTTCCTTTGCAATGAAACAACCCTTTCAGGTATAAAGATTAAACAAAAATAGTTTGTGTCTCTTGAAAGCCTTGCGAAGAGGAAATAATCCATAGGTGTACAAGTAAGTAATTAAAAGAGTTTACGACTATACACTTACTTTCTAAATATGTATAAGCAAAAGGGATGCCCTCAATTCAAGCCACCTTGTAGACCTTTACCACCAGCATCAATAACAACATAGTCCTGGGTTTATCGTCTCCTATTCTCCCCCAAACTCTCTAGAATCGCCAATTTTCATCAGCTGATTCAATAGCCCACTTGAACTTATCTCTCAATGTCTTGGTAAACAACTTTTCAATTGGTACATCAAACTTTTTCGAAAACATAACCGTTAATCGAGGATCGATATAATTCATTTTCGAAGTTCCCAAAGAAACTTCAGAATTATCTTCCTTATCCTTCAATTGCAATGAAGTCGAAACTATTCGATTTTCAAGGGTTTCGATTTGTTGGTATAGTTTTTCCATTGTCATTTTGGCAGGAACCTCAGGTTTACCCGTTTTCAACTCCTTCTTGTATTCCTTTTCCAAATCATGAATCTTGTCCAATTTGTCCTTGATGTCTTTCTTGGTCAACAATGGTTTTTTCTCCATTTTCAACTTCTCATTATCACGTTCCAATTTTTTTAATACTTGTTGTTTTTGTCGTTCAATGATTGCATGATGAATATGTTCAATGTCCTCTTTCACCAAGTCATCCAATTCTTCGAAAAACTTGGGGTCCTTCTTCTTCAACTTGGGGTCCAATTGAAGAATCATCTTTTTCAATCGTATCTTTTGCCAAAGTAGTTCCTTCAACTTATCACTGATTTTTTGAACCGAATTGCCGTGGTTTTTACTCACTGTACGCTGATGGTTACATAAAATGGCCACAGTCCTATTGGCAGCGTTGAACTTGACTACCTTCTCCGCCGCCGTACCCTCATTAGGAATCAAATCCAACTGATCTTGCATGGTTTTGGATGCATTATACGTACGAAATACCTTGGCAGTTAACCCCTTCATATAATTTTGCAATTGCTTATTAACCATACTAGGATTGATTCGATCAAATAAATTATCACCTGGTTGTTTAGGGTCCTTTTTGAATATACGCAAGTTTTTAAAAACTTGTTTTGATACTTCAACCTCTTGATAAAATCGAATCGAATCCTTACCAAGGAAATCAAATATAACAGTATTGGGTGGTTTTAAAGTAATGTGTTCAAATCGAAGCGAACAACATCCGACTGTGTCAGCTTCATCCTCACCTTTTTCTCCGCCAGCTCTCAAGGCGTACACATCAATAAGATACATTGCCGTTGCCATTTGTCGATCCTGCATCTTTTCCAGTTTTAGCATCTTGGTGTAATCTTTTCTAATCGCATCAACATATTTACGCAATTCTCGTGCCGTCTCGAATTTCTTAAAGTCAGATTGCCCCTTAACCGAGGAATTAGCGGCAAACCGCACATATTTAAACGAATCAGCAATGTTCTCCTTCCACATTGCCAACCAAGTGACTTCATTGTCGTGTCGAACTTCCGCCCACTTGTGTCCTGGTGGTGGATCAGGGACTTTAACATTGGCACTCAAATTCAATGTAACTTGTTCAGGATAAACTCTTCTTTTCAATTTTCCAGTCTTGGGGTGGGCACCACGACCTCGGAATAATCCTGGTGGTTCAATACGAAAATTACCCACTAATTCTTTCCTTCCATTAAGCAAACATGTCTTGTATGGTTCTTCAATCTTGTCTTTTTCTTCCTTGAGTCTCTTTTTCTCATCTTTACTCAACGCCTTCTTCTCTTCACGGTTTTTTTCAAAATATGCATACATTTTGCTAAAGTCTAATTTATTGAAATCAGTAATGTCAACTCCACATCCACCACATTCTTTTAGCACTTGTTGGAAATCTTGGAAAAAATTGTTTTGGAATACGGGGTTTTTAGCATGATCAGTTTCAACCATGGCTCCAAAAAACCCAGCAACTTCTTCTGCTTCAATGGGTAAATTGACTGGTTTTCCGTCATAATATAACTTGACATGTGATGGTAATGGTTCATAAGGTGGAGGGAACATGACTCCATTATGTTCCAATGATGTCCATTTGATTTCACCATCATTGTCGCCTGACTGTTGTTCCCACCATTTATAAGTATCTTCATCTTCGGATCCTGGTGTTTCGCTCTTGACAGAGGTCTCCTTCTTTGCTTTCGATGAGTTGGATTTCGGTTCCGCTTTAACCTTTGATTTAGGTTCTGCTTTCACTTTTGTTTTGGCTGTTGTAGTGGCTGTTTTGGTTGCTTTGGCTGCTTTGGTTGCTTTGGCTGCTTTGGTTGCTTTGGTCTTGGGTTCAGCTTTAACTTTTGGTGTTGCCTTCTTCTTTGTGTCTGTCTTTTTCGTAGTCGTTGTCTCCTTCTTGACTGACGTAGCTTTCTTTGTATTTCCATTGTTAGTCTTGGCCTTCTTCGACAATGGAATATCGTCGTCTTCATCATAATCGCCATCATCGTCATCACCATTATCATCACTGACATCTGACTCCACGGCTGCTCTTTTTCTATTTCTCCTTATCAATGGAACATCATCCTCTTCTTCGTCGTGATCTATATCATCTGATGTTGGCGAAGTAGATACTGTTTGCGATTCAATGGGTAGTTGACTAAGGGCAGTGTCTTCATCAGAAGAACTCATTATTTGATAATATTAACCTTTCTTTGAAATGGTGGGAGCACTGAAGTTGGGGTGAGTCAAATCGATTTGGATTAAAAGGTAATGAAGTGAATGTGAGGTAGATTTAAATCTGATGATACAATTTGTTGAAATGTATGTATCTGTATTGGGTGTGGGTGTGTGTGTTAGTGTGTGTGTGTGTATCTACCTACTGAAGGTAAATTGGTTGTTAAATATTGATTTGATTTTTGCTCAACTGTTGTTAAGAAATTTCCCAATAAAAGAAAGAAGAATGAAAAAAAAGAAAAAAGTAAAAAAAGAAATTGACGTGTCTATCTCAAAACAAATACCCATGGAATTCAATCAGCTGCAACATTGAAAATATAGCACTAAAGAAGTTAGCCATTACTGTTGTTGCACTTTTAACTTACTAGTTAGTCAAAAAACGTTGATTTATATTGAAAATTAAAGTTATTTTTGGCTTTTCAAAAGCCAACTTAAATGATATGTGGTTTTAATCGACCCATTGTTTCTCTTGTTTTTTTGTCCTGATTTTGCATCCAATATATATAAAAGAGCACAAGACTTTGAGTAAATCCACAATTATTGCACATGCTGTGTCCCAGTGAATTATCAAAGGCTCAAGTTGAAAATCCTAGTGGTTTATGTGTATCCTTTGGTTCCAAATTGTAGATAGTTACAGGGTTTACCTCCACTTTCTAATTAAGTCGTGTGCAAACTTAAGAAACTCACAATCAATGTCGCAAAAGTTTGGAATTGTCGTGTCATAATTCAGAAATCTTGACAAGTCTAACTCCATCAAATGTAAAAAAACGTCAAGCGTCTGAAAATTGCCCTCTTTACGTTGAAAAAAGGGTTATTCATTGTCTTCTTCGAACTTAATGAATGTGACGAAAAGAAAATAATAAAGATGTAACCCCTTACACAAGATAAAAAGTACCACCAAGGGATGAAGCCATTTGACTACTACACGCACCACTTATACCCTCTTCTTTTGTCAGTGGTATGTCTTGTCTCTCTTATCACAAATGACCATCTCTTTTTTTGATATTAAAAGATTCCAACAAACCCAACTACATCTCAGTTCAGTTGTATCTTAATTACCCTTCGCTTCTTTTACTCTCTTCAAACTTTTGTGATTCATTCAACGGCATTTGACAAAAGAAAATTTCTTTTTCTTTATTAATTTTTTTGCCTCTTAAATAATCATCGTCATCATAAACTAAACTATTTGACAAGATGGACATGCCCGAATAACCCTCTTAATAGCTCCTCTCTCTCTTTTCCTCCTCCTCCTCCTCCTTCTCTTCCTGGCTATACACGTAAGAATAATCATTTGGTAAACCATCCAACCAACCATCCGTCCATCCATTAAGTCCAAGCGAAAGCGAGGTGTTTTTGTTAAATGTTAAACAATAGGAAGAATTGCCTTACAATTAACTTTTGTACGGCAAATCTACCACATATTGCCTTTCTTTAATTTGTTTTCTTTTCTTTTGTTGGTTTTGTTCTTTTTCTTTTTTCGCAATTAGATGCCGTAAGAAAAATAAAAAATAAAAAATAGAAAATTAAAAATCAAAATTGCCTTACAATGAATTGCCCATACAACCCAGTCCTCTTTGTCTCTGTTACTTTCAATTATTGTTTAAACTTCTCTCTTTCTCTTTCCATTAGGTGTCAACTTAAGACTTCCCTAAAAGGATATAGCTCACTTTCTACATCGCGCTTCTCCATCTTATCTTTTTTTAGATTCCCTCCTTCTACTTCAAGTAAACTCTGATTATGTGAGATTGGCTTGGATGATTTTGTGGGGAAAGAAAGTTGAAAAACAAATGAGGTATCATTCGTATTAGTTTTCATTACACCCCCTCTTTCACTCACAACAACACTCACACCCACAGTCCCTCCACCACCCATTATTTTTTTTCCTCTCCCATGTTCTTTTCATTGGAGCATAAAGAGCCGAATCAAGGGGAGGACTTTAGTCGTAATCAATTTGACTATAATTGTGTTAAATTGGGGGGATGATATGCTATCTTTAATTTTTTTTCCGGACGACGGTTAGTGATAAATTGATTTTGCTTATCAAGAAGCACTGAAATTGAGAAAATTTTCTTTTTATTTTTAATTACACTAACTACTGTAACAATGCAGCGAAAAAAAGAAATTTTATTAAAAGGGCTTAACCGCCCTACAATTGCAAAAGATACAACTTAGCTGAAACTGAAAATTTTATCGTCTACATTTCTATTGTATTCCACTTTAAAACCATTTTGCTCCTCATCATTTATTTATCCCACCCCCTCAATATATATATAACATCTCCTTTCTTCCTTCTAATATTTTTACCAAGCGGAGTATTTTAAGATTTTAAGATTTTAACTTTTAACTTTTAACTTTTAACTTTTAATACCTAATATCACCAACAATACCCACTAGCCTTCTAACAAAATGAGTCGTCACGATCTAGAAAAGGGCAGTGGCTCATTATCCGCAACAACATCATCGTCAAATCCAAACATTGCCGTATCACCTTCCCATAACAACAACATCTACCCATCACATTCAAAGGCTTTCAGCACCAAAGAAAAACATCCTCATGATTCCGACTTTATACAGGATGACGACGAGATATTTCTCGTCGATGGAGATGCCGAGGATGGTTCAGTAAACGAAATCAAGCGTGGGTTAAAAGCCCGTCACGTGTCCATGATCGCTCTTGGTGGAACTATCGGTACTGGTCTTTTCATATCAACAGGTAGTACATTGGCCGATGCCGGACCCGTTTTGTCGCTCATTTCATTCTTGTTTATGACATCAATTGCATTTTCAGTCACGCAATCCTTGGGAGAAATGGCAACGTTGATTCCAGTATCGGGTTCGTTTGCTCAATTTGTTACTAGATGGATTTCAAAATCGGCTGGTGCCGCCAATGGTTGGTTATATTGGTTCAGTTGGGCCATGACATTTGCTCTTGAATTGTCGGTTATTGGACAGGTGATTCAGTATTGGACCGACGCTGTACCATTGGCAGCTTGGATCAGTATCTTTTTTGTCATTATCACTGTGTTTAATTTCTTCCCCGTCAAATTTTACGGTGAGGTTGAATTTTGGGTGGCGTCAATCAAAGTGTTGGCTGTCTTTGGATGGATCATTTATGCATTGTGTATGGTTTGTGGTGCTGGAAAGACGGGGCCCGTTGGGTTTAGGTACTGGAGAAACGGATACGCTTGGGGTCCTGGGATTTTGGTCTCCGATAAAGCCACCAGTAGGTTTCTCGGTTGGTTATCATCTTTGATCAATGCCGCATTCACATTCCAAGGTACTGAATTGACGGGTATTTCCGCTGGTGAGTCAGCCAATCCACGCCGTACTGTTCCTCGTGCCATCAAGAAGGTGTTGTTTCGTATTTTGATTTTCTACGTCTTGTGCATGTTCTTCATTGGTTTGCTTGTTCCCTATAATGATCCTAAATTAACTGGTGGTAGTTACACATCAAACTCACCTTTTATTATCGCCATGAACAACTCGGGAACTAAAGTGTTGCCCCACATTTTCAACGCTGTTATTGTAACCACAATCATATCGGCCGCCAACTCCAATGTTTATTGTGGATCGCGTATTGTTTACGGGTTGGCTGAATCTGGTGTTGCGCCCAAATTCTTCCTCAAGACAAATCGTGGTGGTGTGCCTTATTTCGCCGTTATGTTAACGGCTGCATTTGGTGCATTGGGATACTTGGCCGTTTCCGACAGTGGAGAGAATGCCTTTACGTGGTTATTGAACATGTCCTCGACAGCAGGATTGATCTGCTGGGGATTCATCTCCGCCAGTCATATCAGATTTATGAATGTATTGAAGAAACGGGGAATTAGCCGTGATTCCTTACCTTATAAAGCCATGTTTATGCCCGTTGCCGGTTACTATGCCTGTTTTTTCATCTTTTTAATCACCTTGATTCAAGGGTTCCAGGCGTTCTTCAATGGGTTCAATGTTACTGATTTCTTCACTGCCTATATCTCGGTTATATTTTTTGTTGTCTTGTGGATTGGATTCCAATTATTTTTCCATGGTTTTAGTTTGAAGTGGGAGGATTATTTCGTGCCTTTGGATGAATGTGATATTGATTCTGGAGTTAGGGAAGTTGATGAGATGGAGTGGGAGTCAACTGAGCCAAGCAACTTGTGGGAGAAATTCTGGGATATTGTGGCATAGAGAAAGGAAAGGAAAAGAGGAGAGGAGTGGGAATTTTGACATACAGGTTTTTATATTTGCATGGAAGTAGCCGTGACAGCTGACACACACAAAGGCTACTTCTTTTTTGTTTTATTCATTTATATTCGTTGATGATGTTATATATGGTTACACATTTTTTGTATACTAGAGTTTAGTTTATTTTTTAATTCACATTTAAAATAATTTGTTTGTAGGGAGGAGCTACTTTATTCAAGGTTTAAAAATTCAATTCATTGTTATACAATATATATAACAGAGTAAAGTCTGATGTATTTTGTAAAATATAAAAAAACAACTAATCAGATACTTGATAGTGTTTAATCATAATCACATACTTAAAAATAGGAAAATCTGGGAATCAAAAATAAAAAAAAAAAGGAGGGGAAAGAATGTAGCAACGTATTACAAAGGAATGTTGGTGTCATGTCTGTCCTTAATTGTACAAGACGTAGTTACCCTTACCTTGGGTAACACCAACGGTACATCCATCCTTTCCATTACCATTGTATTTACCATTCTCATAAACACATTGGCCACTAACATTGGAAGAATCATCAGCAGCAACAATCTTGACGTTGAAGTTCAATGAATCGTAATTGTTTGGGTTTGGAATCAAGGACAAATAAGCAATACCATTTGAATAACCAGCACCGAAATTCAATGGAGCCCAATTTCCAACACCAGATCCTGATGTTCCCCAAACACAACCATCTTCGTACGAAACACCAGCATTGTTGACATAATATTGTGCAGAAGTAGATCCTCCTTTCCATTTGTAATAAGAATCTTGGTCAACAACAGTAATAACTGAGCTTTGACCAGCACCAACAACGGTTGGAATAACCATATTTTCAGTACCTGGGTAATCAGTTCTACAAATGGCAACTGATTTATCAATTTTGCTAACAACGTTGGCTTTATTGGCACCCCATTCACACAAGTAGTTTGATCTTGAGTTGGTCTTGTATAATTTACCATTCTTACACAATAATCCACCAACTGAAACTCCATTTGATGGTTGTGAGTCTGGCCATTGGGTCTTGGACATACCACTTTGACAAGCATAGGAGCAGTAAGAACCGTCTTGACATTTTCCACCAGTTGAAGTGTCACTGTTGTAAATTCCGGACCAACCACCGAAACCCAAGTGGTTCAAGGCAATAACACCTTGTCCTGAAGGGAAAGAATCACATGAGAGAACACCATCTTGGAACTCTTCAGTTGGATTTTCAAAAGCCGACAAGTCTCCATAGATACCATTGTCGGAGGACGATCCACTAGAGCTGGTTGAGGACGCTTGCGAAGAAGAAGTAGAAGCAGAAATGGTTCCACTTGGCAAAGACAAGGTAGATGGTTCGTTTGAAGTCAACGAGTCATTTTGAACAATGGTTGTAGTTGATGAGACGTCGAGTGAAGTAGTGCCAGTTTGCTCTGCATCGCCAGTTGATTCAGTTGAGGTAACGGCGGTAGTAGTAACTGGGTTACCCTTGGCATCAACAGTAACGGTAACATAAGCATAATCATAAACCACGGCTCTCTTGTGTTTATGATGACCGTGAAAAACTGGTTCTTGACAGTCTTCTTCCCTCTTGACAGCAGCAGGAACAACTGCATGTTGTTGATAAGCAGCATCAGCGGCAGGAGCAGGTGCTGGAGCAGCCATGGCACAGGCAGCAAAAGCTAAAACGAATGTATTGGAAAACTTCATTGCGATGGAAAAACTTAAACAATCTAATTGTAATAGTAGTAGTAGTAGTTGTTGTTGTTAAAGGAACGTATTAGTGAGTGAGTGAGTGTATATCTAATGAGTGAACAAGGGTGAGTTTTGTAGTTGTACTAACGAAATGGAAATTAATCTCTTTTGGATAATTTGATAAAAATTAAATAAGGAGTGACTTGAGGTTAGTTTTAAGTTAGTAACAAAGAAGTGTTATATGGATAACAGTCTGCTTTTGCTTTGTTTTGTTTTGTAAATTGGTTTGTGAAGTTGTAGGTTGAAAGAAGGAAGAAAAAGGAGTGTGTTGTGGATTCAAGGTTGGTTAAAAAATTTTTCTCATTGCCAATTGCGTGGTGGTGGGAAGTTTGGTTGGCTTAGCGTTGTTGATTAATATTATTATTAGCAACTATTTTGTTGTTGTTGTTGTTTATTATTACTAGGCTTAGTGTTGGGAAAGGAGGTCGTCTCATTCTCTTCAGAGGCTTCTTAATGCAATAATTCCATGCGTCTCACACAAAACAGCTAAACCTGTTTTTACGACACTAAAAGTAAAAAAATACAAAGGCTAATGGGGAAAAATGACAATGGAATGGTATGTTTTAAGTATTGGTGTATGGTTGTTGTTGGTGTGTCGTAATAAAATCGTTTCATATTTTCCAAACGACGTGCGTATAAATTAAAACAAACAATTTTAGTATTATTATTATTATTATTGTTGTTGTTTATTATTTGCGTGTTTTTCTCTTGTGTGTAGTAGTAGTAGTATAGTAATGTGCGTGTGGAATGTGTTTATTTTTTTTTAACAATAAAGAAAAAAATAACACGATATTTCTTAAAACCAAATGCGCGTCTTTGTGTTCTTTGATTTTCTCCTCAAGTGTTGACCAGCCATGCAATAAAACAACAAGCAGCAAGCAACAAACACCAAACACCAAACAACAAATTGTTTGTCTTTTCTTGTGTTTTAGACTAAAACTAAAAGAATTAGTGAGGTCTCAGTATGAAAAGTTGTTTTAATAATAAGCGACACTCTAACAGGACTGGCATAGCACTTTCATAAAGATCACGTTATTCTCTTGGAACCCACTCCTTTTGGTTTTTATTATTATACATCCAATTTCATTACTTGATTCATAGTAAATTGTGAATAAATAGTGTGCATGCTGTTCAAACTGTTACTGTATCGGTTATTCATTACTCCGTGTAGTTTGTATGGCATTCCAATCTGTTGTAGTAACTTTAACCTTAAACAATTCCCAGTTCATGTGTATCTATTTCTCAAAGCCACGCACTCTCCTAAAACAAGGCGTATTCTTCCTCTTCTCCATCCTTATTGCCTTAGTGCGGATGTTGTTGTTGTTGTCTTCCCCTCTGTGGTTGTAATGTTGTGTTATGCTGGTTGCCTCTTCTATTTTTAGATGAGACAATTTTGTAACTATTTCCTCCTGTTTCCTCCTGTTTATCTCTCCATTCCCTGTGTGGCTATTTCATACTCCTGTAAAACAAAACAAATGTGTTGCAAAAAAATTGTGTTTAATACATACCTCAAGTTTGTTAGAAAGTAAAACGAGTGTTGTGTTGTAATTAAAAGAATGACTAGTGGTGAGTATTATCGTGAGTATGTGAGTGTTAGCGAGTGTTTGCTTCTCAGGTTGTTTCAAAACTGAATTTATAAGTAATAGTAATATTTTCTGTATGAACTGCAAAAAACCCAAAACAAATTCTCATATCTTACGATCCAGAGATCTAGAAATGGCGATTCATATATATATTAGCATCTATATTGACTACATGTACTTCGACGTCTTTTTTTTTGGTTCAACAATAGACCTCACCCAATATGTAATAACAAGCAAGTAAAACGAGAGAGGGTAGCATTGAGTGAGAGAGACTATTTTTTGCCCTTTGTTTAAGTCGCGCTAATTATATAATTTTCTTCAGTTGTGCTGGTAGTACTTGCCTGTCTAATAGTTTCTAGTCGTCCTTGACTCTTTTGCGCTCTACATTCTCTTCGCTTCTGGTTGTTCTACAGTTGTTGATAATCTATTGTTTAATTTTTTGTTGTAGTGTGTGCTGGCTGACTGAACTAAAAGAATCAAAAAAAAAAAATCGATAAGAAAATATGGTATATGCAGGACCACTAAATTTATAAGAACGATAAACGTCATATTACATACATACATGCATGGATACAAACAAAACAAGCTTTCTTGCATAACCTCTAACCGAAAACAGTCTCTCTGAAGGTGTAAATTTCGACATGATTAAAAGGGTAGGTTTGAATATACCTGATTTGTTTGCTCGCTCATTAGATTTACGTAGACAGGAAATTGATGCCAAGAGCTGTAAATGACTTTGCAAGGGCATCATTTACCTGTTTCAACTAAATTGGAAAAAGTTCTTTCAAAACCGAGTCAAGCTAGCATTTGATGGCAGCTTACCATATATGTCGTACTTCTGAGACTACTGTTAACTGATTCAAACTGGATTTGAGTTGATGTAGTCAAGCGTAAGCGATAAAACAAGTCTTGTACCACCTCATAGTCAGAATTGAAAATGATCTTATATGTCGTGTCGTACTGTAATTATATGACATTGGGACAAAAGTGTTGTTTAAGAATAGACACAACCCAACTAAACTTCACACTTGTCACATTTAAAACAAGACACGTGCTGAATATACCCTACAGATTGTCTACCGAAGTCTATTGTATTTTTGTCACATGCATCCTTCTTTTTATTGCTTTTTCCACTTCTTTTTTTGTCGTTGTTCATAGAAAATTATTCTTTTTTCTACCAAAGGGTTCACTTTCATTTGGGATAATAGACCAAATGAGAAAAAAGATTACTAATTATTTGTTAATCATGCCAAACTCGGTAGGAGGTTATTTACATCAAGCGAGAAATTAGGAAGAAGTACAGAGTCCAAAAGGCAGACCTAGCACTAAAAACAATAAAATTAAAAATAAAATTAGGTTAAAAGATCGTCCGTCTCATAACCCTTGCAGCACCTCGAAGATGACGAATAGCTCAATAGTGGGTAAAAAAAATACAAATGGGGCGAATCGATGCATTATGCTTTATTGCACATCCTGGCTAATGTTTTTTTTTTCGTTTCCTTTTACTCTTCTTACGTTGAACCCTTTCCTTGGAGGCTTTTGGACTACACACGAGACGACCCACTGTAAATTCTATCTCAAGTATCCAATAGTACGTTTGTTTTCAACATTTTTGTCTTCTTCTCACGTAAGAATGTTGGAAACATCTTTTTCTCTTGACAATCCTTTTACTTACACGCTATCAGGAACACCGAATAGAAATTAGTTAGGAGCTAAAGCGCCCACAATATGTGTCAGATTTTTAAATTATTTGAAAGCTCAAAGATGTTTAAATTAAAACGCAAAAATATTAAAATTTTACACAATTGACTCCGGTCGCTCATTTTTGCCCAATACGGTGTGATATCCCGGGAAACTATATACATTTATTAACTTTTTTTGATACCATCTTCCCGTACATACCCTTTGCTCTTGGTCCACGACCCCTTGCTTTGTGTAGCAAGAGGCTTTGAAACCAACCCATTATAGAGAGAGCAAGGTGGGTGTATTATGCGTGCAAAGCATGCTTCTTCCATCACAAAAGGAAACCCCTCTTCTCTCTGCCTTGTAGTTAATCCAACGATGACAGATGTTGCCATACCTTCTAGGACCAATGATGGTGAACAAAGCTAATATTGTTTTCTGTTTACCCGCCTTGAAGAAAACTGTGGTTCTTAGGTTTTGTTGATTTTGGAACAGTTGTTTCTCTTTTGTTACTTTAAAGAAGGAATCGAGTTTTCAAAAACAAAATTTTTTTATTCTAATTATTTTTTTCTTGGTTTTTTTTGTACAATCTTTGTCCACCAAAATCTATAACTATTAAAAATCTCCCTTCGATGCTCTACTATTTATCTTCGTAAATGCAACTGGGGTAAAACAAATATCAAATATCAAACGAAAGAAAGGTTCATGTTGAGTGAAAAGAAAATAACAGAAACTTGAGCAAAATCAAAACCCTTCTACTAGTCCATACTGGTTTTGAGTAACTTGGTAACATATCGATTTAAACTTTGAGAGGCAAAAGGGAAGAGGGCGGGAGATGGCTATTTTCTTGATTTTAGAAGATCCTAAATCTCAATTGTTTAAACCTTATTTAATGGCCGCTTGAAAGCTTTAATTTTGTAATCGTCTGAGTAGTGACAAAAGACACCCTGTATTGGGTCCTGAACCTAGTACTTGAGCCTAGCCCATTACAGATGGTTCTTAATGTTTGTAAATCGTAACTGTGTGATCAACCAATGAAATTTGCTTAAAGCTTTCAAAAAGAAATCTTGAAAAAAAAAAAAAGAAAAGAAAATGAAAAAGAACAAAAGTTTACTAATTAATTATTCATTACTAATGTCGCCAGAATATTGCACAGGAGCGAAAAAAGATTCGCAAGTACACAAGATTGTAATACTAAATTTTAACACACAACCAGAGAATTTTATCCAAACACAATAGCAATAGCTTTGTCTTCTTATGTTTTGTACGATATGTTATTGTTTCTTTTTATAATTATTGCGAGAAATAAAAATAAAATTAAAAAAAGATAAAAAAATAAAATTTAATTTGCGCAAACCTTTTTTTTTTTTTCATATGAGAAGTCGTTTATTCGATTTTTACGAAGAAAATAGAAGGTTCCTTTCTTTTCTTGTTCTTTTCTTCTTTATTTGATAGAATAGAAGGAAAAGCTGAAGGCTTAGGCTACGTGTTCTATGACATATAGTCATCTGTTGTAACAACCTTTTTCTTTGGGGGAGGGGGGTTGATACTATCATTATTTCTGTTTGGAGGCGCTATTGTAACTATTTGGGGGCACTAATCATAAATGAAACAAAAGCAACGTCTTATCCAACCAATCGATCACTTTTCGAAGACCGTACTCTATATTTGACTTAATAGAGATACTCAAGGTCCGAGTCTTATTTTCTTTGTTATAAACAGGGTTGTGCACAAACAGATGACCCAATGTCACGTCCAACTTAGGCTTCTTTGAATTTCAACTTTGTACAGCCAATTCATAGGGTAAAGCAAAATGACTGACAAGAGTGGATGTTTTACTCACATAGTAAATAAACCACTACAATGGTAGTTTTTCTCGTTCTGCCCCTGCGTTATGATTCGATTACGGAGTAGATATAGTTGATTTTGAGAGAGAGCCAAGAAAACGAGCTTCAACGGTCATGGGACAGAAAGAACGCATATACACATTGTTGAACAATAGCTTACCTTTGATACATTTCTAAATGAAATTCTCATCTCTCTTCTGTCCTGTGTTCAGCCCTGAATCTACTTGAAAGTACTAGCTAACACGTGGGAGGTGGGGGCACAGCAAAACAATTGTGGCATCTGAATCCCCCAAAAAAATAATAATAAAACACTGACCGAAATGGATTCTATTTGATCCGGCTTGGCTCCTGGGGAAACTGTTGAGGCTATTTCAAAGGTAAAAATGAATCAGATGGATGTGTGATCTTTCGTTCTTAGTACTACCTCCGTTGTAACTGACTACAATACTGCATCATTACTTATTTTACGGACATTTCATTTTTTTTTTCTTTTTCTTATTGATTTCTCGATTGGGGAATAGCGCAAGTATAACGTTCTGTGTAACAATGTTTATTATTTGATAGGAACTCTCAGCCTTCTTCAGCAAAGAAGCGAGCGAAGCCTAACCGTATCAATTGGTCCTTCTGTAAAAGACATGTTGCAGTTGGACCAAAACCACTACTCCAAGCACTGCATATTTTTCTGTCGTGTCTCTTTCCACAATTTGGATGGTGTTACCTTACCACTCTCCTCGAGAAACGTGCTTCCAGTATAGTTGGTGGTCTATACTCTTCTGTCGTCTAAAAAATTTTCAGCCCTATTCTTCCCCCTTTCTGTACCTTCTAAATACAATCTAAAGCCAAACAAAAAAAGATGGGGCGATATCATGAGACTTTTACTTTTACATGTGAGGAACTGTGCATGAACTAAGGGCGGGATGACGGATTTAGTAGTCCAGTTTTAAAGTACTTTTGTCCCTTTTATTTCACCTCCTTTATCCGTTTCTGAGAAAAAATAACGTAACTTTGGGATCTACCAAGATAGAGAATGTAGCAGACAAGGATTGCACGGGCTAGGTTGAGACCGTTTTCTTTCTGGAGACGTATATACCCAATGATTACTACATTAAACGGCTGTAATACTCGCAAACAAATTTGAGAGTGGCTGGGTTAATCTTTGGTACACGAAACGAGAGGAAACATTCTTCTGAATACGATTGTGAAACTTGACTCTTATGGGCTAAAAAAGTAGTACCCTGCCTCATACATGTAAGGACATATGTGTGTACATGCTTGAGAGATTTAGTTTGCTAATGGTAAGTTTAACCTATGTAAAATATGTGGAAATGTAATGATGTAATATGCAATAACTGCTAAAACTAAATATTTTTAACAATTGAGTACAAAACCAAGAAGAAGCTTTCTTTTTTTTTTCCAACAAAATAAATTTGTTTTATATTTTTATTCTTATTTTTGGGTTTATAGAATGTACACAAAAAACTAGTCTTTTAAAGTATAGGTGACTAAGATCTGTAAACAATGGATGTATCAAAAATCTGACTATGAAGTTACTACTGCTACTTCTACTAAACACACTCTCTCACAAAGAGAGCGTTCTTTGATTTGAACAACTCAAAAAAAAAAAAAAGAAAAAAAAAAAGAAACAAAAACGAAGAAACCAAAAATAAATAAATAAAAAAAATTAAGAGAAGAAAATAAATGATTCCTTTGGGTATGGGTTTGAATTTAAATATAAAGTACAAAATATCCCCCCCTCTATGTTTTCCATCAACCTATATTATTACCAACAAAGTACCATATCATTTGCCTCAATCGCTTGGGTGCTCCTTCTGCTAAACTCACCGGTTAGATACGTTTCCTTTTGAGAAACCCATATACTATCCTTTTAACGTACAACGATTTCAAATCTAGCCCAGAGTCAATTGACAAAGCACTCAAGCAAAAAACTTCATCAAAGAAAGTCAAAACTTCACCTGGGTTTAGTTTTTATTTATTTTTATTTGATATTCAAAGACTCATTGAATAAAGGGACCATATTATTTTTTTAATTTTTTGCCCAAAAGTTTATTATTGCATTTGTGTTTTAGTCTTGTGCCGTCATTCCAGTTTCGTCATACATAAACAGGATATTTTGAAGTATTTTCGTACTAGCCATCATTGGTTTCCAAAATAGAAGCCCAAGGAAACAGACCAAAGCAGCGTTACCAACATTAGCAGTATAAATAACTGAACAATTGTATTTCCCTTGTCTATGCATCACTTGATTAGCCCGCCTTGAATACTTTAACTACTTTACATTTATAACCTTGTAAATGGAACTATAAAGACTAGACTATTTCTTTTGCAATTGAATGAAGTGGAGAAAGACATTTTACAAAAGTGATAATAAAGCATGCCCAAAAACGAAAATTATAATGGTGCTCAACTGCCTCCTCAACCAAGTCAGCAAGAAGTACCAATTTCCCAACCATCGTCATCGATATATGTTCAGGGACAGATGTTTCCTCCACAATTTCAACCAGCTATGAATATGACTACCGTGCAGCAGCAGCAGCAACAATACCTACCGCAACCTTATTCTCCATATGTACAGTATCTGCAACAACAGCATCAGCAACCACCACAGCAGCAGCACCACCATCACCAACTACAAGTATCACAACCACCGCTACTGCTTCCGGGACAACAAACGCCACTTCAACAACGATATATGCCAACTTTGCAACATCCACATTCACCACTGTTACCCCACCACCAATTATCATCGTATCAATCCCTGGTACAATCACAACTACCGTTAAATAACGTGGAGCATCAGCAACAGCATCAACAACAACCATCGATATCGGCTGACCCGTCACAAGAAGAATTTACTGCTACTCGAAACGCTTCAACAACAAGCCTAAATACAGAATCCACGAGCCACCAATTACAACCTGTATTCAATTCCACCATGCACAACAACGAAGCCCTGGATCAAGCTGACCAATCCAGCTCTGGTCCTTTATCCATGCAATCACAGTATCTGATGCTAGGAACTAATCAAGATGTTTCTTCCTCTTCAGTTCCGACGTCAATAACCCCTATGGACAAAGATAAACCGCCGGCCGATTATGGTACCACTACGACTGATCCCAGTGCCTCATCATCAATTGCAAATCTTGGATCTTCTTCCGCCACAGCTTTGCATCGACAACCACCACTGAATATTGAGGGTAATATCTATCTTCATTCACAGTCCTCTGCTTCTTTAAACCAAGATGAAGCTCATCAACTGCTGCAAATTCCATCACACCCACTTCAAGTGCAACCGCCAGGTCAGTCACTGGTCCTCCATCTGCAACTGCTGCCACTCTTGTCGCAGCTTCCTCAGTATTCGCGCCATCAACTGCACCACCAGCCAATAAACACACATCCTCACTTTCCTCATCAGTCAGCAACACTACCATTTGCCCCTTCAAATTTATCTACACTACCACCTCACCCAATGGATGTTTCTGAGTATCCCGACATGACTACATTTGTCAATTCCAACATCAACTCCATTCCGATCCCGTTAGTTGAAGCACGGTTTGTTGATCATCGGACGTGTGAAATTTGCGGCAAAAGAATCACCCGCGACATGTCAAGACATATGCGCACACATCAATCGGAATCTCGCTTCACTTGTGAATTCCCCAAACAACAATGTCGACATAAACTGGGCAAATTCAATCGGCCTTATGATTACAAGAAACATTTGCTCAATCGACATTACCATTTTGATGATCCTGAAGTGAAAAAATTGCATAATTTGAGTGATAAATTGACTCATTGGGGAACTTGTCCTTGTGGTTTGCGATTTACGGGTGAAACTTGGTTAGAAGAACATATCCTAACTTCAGATTTATCAAAGAGGTGTCCAATTCTCGATCCAAAGTAGAATGTAGATTGTGCTTACTTTTGGGAGGAGCAAGTGGGTTTTGAATAAAGGGGGGTGAGTGTGTGAAGTCTACTAGAAAAATGTTTGAAGTAACAACGTATGAAGTAAATTTTTGGTTAGTCTTGAAAAGGAGTATTCAATATCATTTGTACACAATGATATGACTAGACTCAGAACTTGGCGAATGCAAGGCGGGCTACCTTGTACAGTAAAATATAGCCTGCGAAATTAGTTAGAAAATGTGATAGATGTAATACTGCATAATGTGCAAAAAGTACATCTCTAGTTTTATTGCTTGAAGGACTAACCAGCCCAATGCATATCTCAATGAAACAAAAAGTATCATAACCAAGCAATTGAGTTTGCATTTGAATTGGGGAAAAATTACTAATTTTACCATTCTCTCCTATTCTAAACTAGTTTTGATCCCGATTGAGGGATTTCATGCCTGTATCTGGAAATGGAATCGTAAAAATAAGCGAAGTATATCGTTTACTATGCTTATTGTTTTTTTTTTTTTAATCTTTGTTATCCATCCTTTCCCAACAAAAAGTGCACTTGCTTAAACGATACTTCATGATGATCGGCAAGAGGTGTTTTATGGGAGAAATGTGGCACTATATGAAGTTGGAACTAATTGAAAGCCGATTGGGTTTAATATGTCACTTCTTTTGTGTGTTGTATTGTAAAGACAATCAAGGCTTTTTAGCCTATGAACTTTGTCACAAAAAATGTTAAGCGAAGATTGCTATCTCTTTTGGAATAATATATGAGCTTTGTTTAGGATTCTATAACCTTTTGAGGTTATTGTAGTTTAGTTAATCAATGATTTCATTTCAAATGTGAGCAAGAGTATACTCTAATAACGGGGCAACTCATGACGGATGAGCACTATTGTCTTTTCCATGTCTTATTCAACGTGTTCACGTGATCAGTTCTAGTTCGTTCGAAGTGATGGTCTCAATTAAATTACCCACTTTCTTCGGGATTGGAACGAAAGTAGAGCTGGCATGTGAGATACGGTGTCCCTTAGCCGCAAAGTATGCCACTATTGTACTTTGATGCACTACGTAACGTCTCCTTATCACTCCTACCAATCCGGCACAAATTGGCAATTTACCTAATGAGGAGCTCTTAGATCACACCTGCTATCTAATCGGCTTCAGCTTGATCAAATTGTGGAAAACATATCGGTCTCCTTTTGTCATTAACAAAGGATGACAAAGCCTCACTTTGTTCCCCCCATTCGGATGCAAGTATGCAACTTGATGCAACCACAGAAAATTGGCCAGAGTACACACTAGCCAACAAAGTAAAAAGGTTGTGGCGGGGGAAACTTGCTTTCTGGTTACTACTATGGACATGTCATACAAACGACATATTGAATCTCCTATCCAAGTATATCCCCATAAACAAAGGAATCTCTGCATAAAAAGAAGAACTATCTGTGGTGATAAATTTATATGATAGATCGGCTAAATACCCGACTCGGTAACACTTTGCCCAGAATTTGCCTGCAACCGAGATTTAATTTACTTGACACCTTGAACTAACACACATCCAAATCCAAAAAGCAATGGCATGATGGAATCAATCAAGGAGTGACCAACTTAATTGGTGTTTATTAAACCTCAATGCTGTTATAGTGTGCATTATCAAGCGAGATTATGCGACGTCAAAAAAGGAGTTTACGATTTTACAAAATAGTTCAAAACTTTCATTTTGACATAATGCTATGTATGCATGCAATAGAAAATGATGAACACCATTTAAAATCAAATAGGTTAGATTTAACTCGGGTAATCTTTGGAAAATTTTAGGGTTTTTGTCACCTCACATCGTAGATATCATTTATAGTCAGATCAGTTTAAGACAGCAAAGATCTAAGAAGAGCTGCTGTATGTAATACTGCATCGCTTATATCAAGACAGAATACTCACTTGCATCACATGTAATGCTTGCATCCTATTCTTGGACCGCTTCCGCAATTCAAATATTGTCTTCCCAATACGGAAGCCTTGATTGATTGTAAAGAAAGCTTGAGATTTATATATATTTCCTCAATTTTAAAAAAAAATTAGCAAAAATAAAAATTAAAAAAATAAAATAATAAAATTAAAAAAGAAAAAAAAATGAAGCACAAGAATTTTGATTATGAGAAAACAAACGGATTTTAAAATATATGTATATATATATGTATATATATATGACCAATCAAGCTTAGCCATAAACGAACAAACAACAGCAAACTATAGATACATCACACACTTGGAATTCTTTATTACAGATACAGGACTTTATTAACTTTCCATTATTTATTTACACAAGGATAGAGAGAGCCACCGCCACTTCTCTCCCCATTGACGGATAAATTTGCTATATCACCTTTATGTGCTAAAACAAGATGACATTAAACGAAGTTGACCACAATTCCTCTCATAATCCACAGTTTAGCAAATCAAACTACCACTTGCAGTTGTCGAAGTCATTGTTTCGACACTACAATAAGTCTGCACAAGCCTTGCAAAAAAGCGGTGGTGGTACTACGCCGGATTTCGTTTACCAAGAGCCGAAACTATTAAACCAACCGGCATATGCAGACTCTAGCTATGACAGAATTGGCAATGGTTACTTTGTTGATAGAGGAGCCATTTCCGTTCCGTCATCTAGAATTGAAACTTTTTATACAGACAAATCGATAGAAGAAGAAGTACATAACTTTATGCAACATTATGAAGGCTTGCACAGTTATGACCAAGGAGTTCATGAAACGCCACTGCAGCCCGGAAGCGATGGGTACCGTTTGTCATCTAATGAACATTATGATCAAAATGTACAGCCTGTGTACGAAGCTCAATCATCTCAAGAGTACCAAAGTATAGCAACTCGAGCACCGCAATGTCAGAATTTACTGGGATATAATGCACCTCAGGGTGAACAAAATCAGCATTTCGACCACCACCATAATGCTCAGCAACAACAGCAACAACAGCAGTTTCAACAGCACGCAACAATGAACAATCTACATCAACAGCAAGCTGCACATCAGCTGCAATCACATCCAAAGCAAATCCACCAACAACAATATCAACATATACAACCCTCGTTTTCTCAAAATTACAGCCAATCATACAATTCCTACCATGCACCAACGCAAGCCTCTTACGTTAACAACCCTCACAAACAATCCAATGACCAATACCCCCCTCGTGGCTCAGCCGAAGAACACACTGAATCTCGACATTTGCCAACCTTCCAAAATGCTCCCCAACAAGCTGCTCCTGCCAACAACGATACTACCAAATACCCCCATGCACTATCAGCCACCAAGGAAACAACATTCGAACCCAAAGTTAAGGCTAAACGGGGAAGACCAAGAAAAAAGCCTGGTTTCCACTTAAAGTTGGATGGAATCAACAAAAGGGCCAATTTACCAAACCGACTAGTTTCTTCGTCTCAGTCCGATTCTGGAACGGATTACTGGAACAGGACGCCGGGTGGTCTAAACCATGGTCCTCTGCGACTATCCATGTCATTAGCGCGTGAGGACTTTGATGTAATGAAGGAAATGGAGTTAAATGACAGCAATGTGTATGGATCTGTTCCTGGATTTAACTTGACCCCCTCTGTTGATCCACCAGCGGGAGCAAAGAGCTACTTTGAATTGAATCACACGCCAGGGGTTGACTCTGTTGCAAATGGGAGCTACTTCTCGCCAGCTATAGGCGTCAATGCGGGAGTAAATAATTTCAATCAATCTTTTGAAGTTTACCTAGATAAAGCAGACGATTTTGCCACCGCAGGTGCTCAACACGACGACTTGTTGGATTCAAACATTATGGGATTTCCGATCCCAGAGTTTCGCGAAGAAAATATTGGTGATGGACAGCAAGAACCTATAAAGGATGAATTCACTCCGTTAGGCTTGTCTATTGATCCATACGTATCCCAAAACGAGTCGTCCCCAGGAAAAGGTTCAGGTTCAGGAGCCGAGATTGACAACTATTCACAATCCACATATTCCGCAGACATCAACCACTTCAACATTGATAACTACATTAATTCCGATGAAGATCAGGAAATATATCCAAATCCATCTACTTTGCACCGGACCACATCGAATCACAGTGTTCACAGCGTAGCATCTGCTGGATCCGATACCGGTCAAAGAGATTCCCTGGCAGCAAATAAAACACATACATCAGCTGCGAAAAAGAAGGGAAGCAAAGGTGCTAAGTGTCCTGTTTGTGATAAATTCATTAGTCGTGATTTGACCCGTCATATGCGAATACATAATGAAATTGGTAGATTTCAATGCGTTTATCCCAGGGAAATGTGTAACCACAAGACACAAAATTTCAATCGACCCTATGATTACAAGAAACATTTGTTGCATCTGCATTTCAAATTTGACGATTCAAGAGGCAAAACAGCGCACACTTTGGGAGATAAATTACCCTTGAGTGGAGAGTGCATAGCTTGTGGTGCAAGATATCTTGCTAGTGAATGGTTGAGTGAGCATGTGTTGACCAAGAATGAGAGGCAGAGGTGCATCTACGTTGACGCGAGGACCCTGATTGAACAGTCTTGAGGGAAGATTAATTTTTTTTACGCTTTTGTTTTCTTGATTGAGTCACTTATAGAGATTTATACTTCGTAATTTGTGTTATCCAGCGTGACATTTATACTTACTCAATAATGTGTGGTTAAAATTTTAATACACGTTTATTTGTATATTCGTATGCATCATAAAAAGCGTGGGAAAATTTACCCCCCAAAAAGTTATTTTCTCACCAACGAAATAATCAAAGGCTCATAGACTTTATCATAAAAAGTAGACTGTTAAACGTTGAATGTCTAGAGTAGCACAGCATAGACCCATACGACACTTGCTAGATAACCATGTGTCGTTGGCTCCTTTAGTACGACAGTTGCCATCGAGGAGATCTGAATTGGTTCCTTACAATCAACAGCAACTCCACCCGCTCCAGCAGCAACAACCATTGACAGCTCCACAATATCCCCCGTCACTTCCACCATTACGTGTCAAACCGTGTACTAGATTCAGCAAAATTCCACGTATTTTTAACAAATGTGACAATGATATCTCGCCGGAGGACAAACTTGACCTTGAACGCAAGATGAACCTTCTGAACTTGATTGAAAAACTAAAGAGCCAGATCCCCAATATACTAGAGCATAATTTATCAAAGGAAATAATCTCAAACAACATCTATCTCCGAATATGCCCTTCCCAATTTGATGAAAACTATCTTCCTAAACTACATGGCACAATTGCGTACAATAGTGCATGCAAAGCAATAACGTTATTCATTACATCAATAATCCTTAGCCCGCAAGTCAAACTACACATATCTAGTATCAAAACTTCAAGGAAACAGGATCCACAATGCATGTTTAGTACATCAATGAAAGTGTATGTTAGATGGAGTACATGCAGGCCCAATTGTGAACATTTGGGGGTGCAATCAACATCAAATGCCCATTTTGGATCGCACAAGTGGTCACCTGAGGATACAAAGAAGTTGATGGGGGCAAATGTCACATTATCGGGGTTGATTGGTAAATTGACAGGTGCAGTGATGGGTGTAAATAAAGAGAAACAAAAGGATTTGGAGAGGGTAATTTCGGGGTTATTTATCTTTGAATTGAATGATAATTGCGATGAAATATTGGTGCATACAGTTGAGAATATGGATATTATTGAACGGTTTGAAACAGAGCCGGGGAATGCGTTGAGAGTGTGCTGAGAAGGGGGATGGAGGACAAAAAGAGACTTTGTAAATAGTGTTTAGCCTCACTTGTATTTTACATTATAGGAGGAAAGCAATTTCATAATCTTATCATTAATTGTAGAAGCTACACATCATCTCGTGGAATCGCTCCGCAAGTGCATCTCGAATGCAGTCTGTAACAAAATCAACTTGTACAAGATAACCAATTGTAGCAAAATCACAATCAAAGCAAGTATGTAACCAGGGTGGAATATTCTCGACACCAATGCTTCGCTAGCAGCCACTGATGCAGCCACTTCATGCTTTACCTCTGCTGCAATCTTTTCTTCTACGGTCTTCTTTTTCTTCTTCTTCTGGGGAGCAGCTTCACTTGGGCCATCAACATAGTAGACATTTTCATTCACTTCATCTTTCATTTCCTTCACCAATTCGTTTAAAGTGGTTGTTGAACCACTAAGTGACAGCTTCTCAATCACTGACTTCATCCATGACTTGCCCTTCCATTCAATGTAGAGACTAATCAATAAATTTGTCGTATTCAGTTCATCCCAACTAAGGATATACCGTGTCTTGACTGCAAAAGCGTTACCCAGGGGTACGTCTGGTGTTTGGGTCGTTGTGGTTACAACAACATAATCAGCAAGGTTCATATGCTCTATCGTGTCAGTGACTTCACATCGTGTTGACTTGGGACCAATTGAGTAACCTAATTGCCGTCGATAAGTGTATTCTCTTTTCAATAACGCTGGATCTTCAAAGGATGATTTGAATTCAGGAATTTCCGAGATTTCCAGTCCGTCATGACGCTTTAAAAAGTCAATTTGGAATGTAGGGTCAGATCCGAATAATATGGAAAATACTATACCCAATGGTGCATCAATTCTGGTCTCAATCAAATCAACTTCTTGAGGGAACTTGGTGTATTTGGCTGTTGTTGGAGCATGGGTATCAGGACCAAGGTTTTTGTATTTCGAGTCTGGTTTGAGTTTTGCCACTTTTGTAAGCTTGGTGCTGATTCCAAAACCTGGTAACAATTCGCCATTTCTTGGTTCTTCAGCGTCGGAATTCGCATTTTCACTCGATTCCTCCTGATCTGTGTCGTCTTGGGCTTGTGAAATTGGCTCATCATCACCATCTAGAGACATGATATATGATTGTACTCTAGGCGATGTTGTATTCGCCAAAGATGCAGAATCAATATTGCTAGCCTCTGGGGAGTCAAACAGTTGCTCTTGATTTGTTCTTCCTGTTTTTCCCTTCCATACAGTAGTCATTAAATCATAGGTTTGGTCTCGTGATAAAAAGCTAGCAAACGTATGCACTGCTCCATCTTCAGTTTCTATGCTGATACCGTTGGGGAACAACCCAGCTGTCGATCGTTTCTCAAATTTGACTATATCGTCAAACTTGAGGACTAAATTTGTAACCCATCCTAACAAATTCGAGTTGAAGCAGAGGTAGCTTTCACTAACGTATGCTCTGCCTTGAAGTAGAATTTCTCGACTCAATGCGCAAGAAAAGTCATCCAACAACCGATCCGTCAAATCAAGTGAATTGAACAACTGATGGAATTCGACATTTCTTTTTATAGTGGCGTATCTGTACTTTGAATCTTTGTAAAACTCATCCACATACAATCGAGTATCGTATTTGCTTGTTGGAGGCGGTGTAGTCAACAGCGTTGAAGGGTCAAATGAGTCAAATGTGCTTTCACTTACAGTTCTCTTTGATTTGCGATAGGTGATAATTTTGGGCGATCCCAATTTCTGGTCAAGGTCATTCGAATTATTTGACGTCGGCGACGTGGCTTGGTTGTTGGCGTCGATGTTTTGAAGGTTTTTAAGAAACCTTGGCTTATCCTTATTATTGGCCTCGTTTGTTGATTGCTGAGTGCTTGAGTCTTTTGAAATCACTGAGCTCGCATCCTCTTTTGTTGTCAATGGATTCAACGGCGTTTTATTGAATGTGGATGTTAACGATATGGATGATCTGACTCCAGTTGAGCTTGCCTCTGAGTTTTGCGACTGTTTTATCTTATTGATTATATCAGCTTGTTGGGAGAGTTGTCGCAGCTGTTGTTCATCTGAATCGACTCTGTGTAGTCTCGATAATCCTGGTTTAGTTGCTTGTGGTTGCTGCAAAGTCGAGGATTGCTCTAGTGGAAGCGAATCTGTAGATGGTGGGAACGAGTAACTCCAGGCATCATCCTCTTCATCTACTGGGTCAACGTCAGGCATTGCAAGAGAGTGGTAAATGTAATTTGTTATACTATGTTAAGCGTTGGATGTAATTCACTTGGTTTTTGCCTACACATTAAACTGGAGTCACATATGAAAAAAAGGCAAGACAAATACAGGACATTGATCTTTTTGCGAAACGACGATCGCAAACTCCGAAACGACGAACCAAAATCAGAAACGCTTTCATTCAAGTCACCTCCCTACATAAGATGCATTTATAAATAACGGAACACAGTGTTTATTCGACAAACCTATATGCAATGTTCACTATATGATATTTTTCTTTTTCTTGATAGACCCATAATAAATTATTACTTTCAAATGATTATACAATAAAAAAAAAAACAAAACAACTGATTGTTTAGAATTGAATTAAAATGCAAGTCATTCATTGACCATTAATGTGTGTGTGCATAAGCTCTTCAGCTTTATTGGTTTTCTGGACGCAATTTTCTAACTTCCTTACCAACTCTCCAGATTTCCATATTTCTGATAGTTTGTAATTCTTCTTCCAATCTTTCTCTGTAGTCTGGTTGTGAGTTGAAGTCAAGAGATCTCTTGGTTTCGGTACCATTTCTAACGGATTCGTACAAGTCTTCAAAGACTGGTTTCAAAGCATCTTTGAATCTTGGGTACCAGTCCAAAGCACCTCTTCTGGCGGTGGTGGAACAAGCATCGTACATGTAATCCATACCGTACTTACCAATCAATGGGTATAAGGATTGAGTAGCTTCTTCAACGGTTTCGTTGAAAGCTTCAGATGGAGTGTGGCCGTTCTCTCTCAAAACTTCGTATTGGGCCAAGAACATACCGTGGATACCACCCATAAGACAACCTCTTTCACCGTACAAGTCTGAGTTGACTTCTCTTTCAAAGGTGGTTTGGTAAACGTAACCGGAACCGACAGCAATAGCCATGGCAATAGCCTTTTCTTCAGCTTTACCAGTAACATCATTCCAGACGGCATATGATGAGTTAATACCTCTACCTTCCTTGAACAAAGATCTGACGGTTCTTCCTGAACCCTTTGGAGCAGCCAAGATAACATCAATGTTCTTTGGTGGTTCAACGTGAGTCAAGTTGTTGAAGACTGGTGAGAAACCGTGGGAGAAGTATAAGGTCTTACCTTCAGTCAACAATGGCTTGATGGAATCCCAAGTTTCGGATTGAGCAGCATCAGACAACAAGTTCATGATGATGGTACCTTTCTCAACGGCTTCATTGACATCAAACAAGTTTTCACCTGGAACCCAACCATCTTCAACAGCAGCTTTCCAAGAAGTACCGTTCTTACGGACACCGAGAATAACGTTCAAACCGTTATCTCTCAAGTTCAAACCTTGACCGTAACCTTGAGAACCGTAACCAATCAAAGCTAAAGTATCATTCTTGAAGTAATCCAACAATTTTTCCTTTGGCCAGTCAGCTCTTTCGTGGACAATTTCTTCGGTACCACCAAAGTTGATGGTTTTGACACCACGTACAGCCATCATTGGCACAGAAGCCTTGGCAATGGTGGTAGTTCTAGTAGCATTAGCTAATAAGGAGAAAGTTCTTTTAGACAAAGTAGCCTTTGAAGTGGCTAATCTAGCCATACGGATGGAATTGGTTCTGAATGACATTTTTTGTTCAAATAAGTGACTTGTTGTTTATTGATAGATATATCCAATAGGAGACAGTCTGAAAATAAGATTAAAAAGAAAAGGATTATAGGGGTTTTTATAATGTTGAAAAAAATAAGAGAAAAATTTTTTTCAACCTTTGGGGAGAGGAAGGAGAGTGTGAGAATGAAAGTGAAAAATTATGATTCATTAAGAAGACTGCATATTAACACTTTGTTCTGAAAAGCTTTTTTTTCTTCAGGCCCTGAATCGGAGCATTGACCCCAAACCAATTTGATTTAGTGGAGTACAATGGACCACCGGAAAAGGCAATGACTCAAATGGTTGATGCGACCGAAGTTGTTCTGTTCTTCAATTGTATGACTGTATAAACACAAAGTTAGATCTTGTGCTATGCCTGTCAAGGAGTATTACACCTATCAACGGACTCGAGCAATCATATGAGCGGCAACGGGCAATGCTCTGTGTATGTGAATTCCAGTTTAATTACGGTAAACTTGCCAACATGTCCAGAAATGGAAGCACGCGTCAGCAGGTACAAATTAGTACACTGATTCCAAAGCTTTTCATGGCAGCATTAGGAAAGTGAATGGCTACAGTAACGTATTCTCTGCCATTTGGTAATTACTACAAGTCTAATAATGGCAACACGGCTGAATCACGACAGGGAACAGAACATCATATTGATTGATTTGCCACCATCTCTTCTAAACCAAAACAGATTTGCACCATCATTTAGCTCCATTAGTGATTTACCTCTTGGTGGAACTTCTACAAGTGTACTCAGAAAAGATAATAAGAATTAAACAATTAAGCTATACTATATAATTAAACATTTCAACAAACTACTTGGTGTTCTTCAACAAATGCTCTATTTTTGGAGCAATATCTGCAGGTTTGGCCAACGAACTAAACCTCTCCACGACATTTCCATTCTGGTCAATCAAGAATTTTTCAAAATTCCACTTAATTCTAGTCAAACCCAACAAGCCTGACTTTTGACTCTTCAAGTACTGGTAAACAGGTGAGGCATTGCTACCATTAACGTCAATCTTGGCTAATACAGGGAATGTAACACCATAGTTTAGCTTGCAGAATGATCCAATTTCTTCATTTGAACCTGGCTCTTGGTTACCGAATTGGTTACATGGGAAGCCCAAAATTTGCACTGGTTTACCTTCAAATTCCTTGTTCAATTTCTCAAGCCCTTCGTATTGAGGAGTAAAGCCACACTTGGAAGCAACATTAACAATGAGCACAACTTTGCCCTTCAATTCGGAGAATGGGTATGGGTTTCCTTTACTATCGAGTGGAGTTAAGTCGTAGAATTTGGACATGATGCGTTTGATACTTGGAAGACGGCTCAATGTGATAGTTTTAGAAGGGAGGGGGAGTGATAAAAAGGTACCTATTTTAGAAGGCAAGAATAAAACGAAAACGTATTTATATGAGAAACTGCTACCATTTTAAAAAAAACAGTTTCGAGGAGGGGGCTGGTGTTTAAAAGCACGTCATGCAAAAGATACAACAAAGTTACAGATACTACACACACGTTAGTATAAAGTAGTTAGTTGCAATTAGTCAGTGATCAAGGGGTCTAGATGTGAAACATTTTGTCTTATTAATCTCGTAATTCAAGGGGCTGAGTTTGTGTTTCACGGCCGCAGTTAAACTCCCCATCGCATTTAAATCAGGATCCAACTAAAATCCGCAAATATTAAACCCGAACCGAGAAATTTTGAATTTTGCTTGTGCCTTTAGCCTCGGCTTCAGAGGTGTTTGCCTATCTGGTGTGTATGCAATTGGATTCTATTTACATGGTCACTACACCTTTGCCTATACAAACTCCACAACGTAGTAATGCTGTTTTCCAATCCTCAACAACATCAACCTGCCATCTACCAAATGATGATCTTTGTCAAACAATACAACATCATCAGGGTCTTCCACTTGGTTTCTATCCAAGCCTAAATACACACCACCTGACTTGATCAATCTTCTAACCTCACTCTTTGATTTCCCGGTGATATTGGCAATCAAAGCACTCAACTTTATGTCATTGCATTTACTCAACGGGAACTTGTACAATATACCAGATCTTTTAAAGTTTTCAATCAATTTATCAGCATTAACATGGTCGTTAAAAGGCTGGTCGGGAGTTGGGAACAAAAATCCTGTAATATATGCCATCTCGTCTCCAACACCTACCCCGTGTACTAAGTCGACAACTTCTCTAGCCAACACCCTTTGGGCTATACGCAAACCAGGATCACTTTGATGCTTGGGAACAAGTTCACCTTCGATGACATTCAATGGTAATAATGTAAACACTTTGAGCAATTTGCTAACCATGTCGTCGGGTACATTGATGAAAAATTGGTACAACTGATACGGAGTTGTCAAATGAGGGTCGATAAAAACGGCATTTCCTGCAGATTTTCCAAATTTCTCACCCGAAGGAGTGGTCAACAACGGAACGGTGACTCCAAATGCTTCGCGTGTCTTTTCGTCCTGCTTTCGCAAACGTGAAATAAGATCAATACCAGCAGTGATATTTCCCCATTGGTCATTACCACCAACTTGAATGTTGACACCTTCATTCTTGTACAAGTGGTAAAAGTCATATGCTTGTAGAATTTGATAGGTAAATTCATTAAATCCAATCCCACCGCCTTCTAATCTTGACAGGATTGAATCTCTAGCCAACATTGCACTGACTCTGATGTGGCGTCCATAAGTGGCCAAAAAGTCCAACATTTTAACATCTTTCCACCACGTTTCATTGTTGACGCTATTGCTTTGGCCAATACTTTTGTTCATTGGAAATTGTCTTGATTTGGCATACTCAATACCATTGGATAGAAAAGATGTAATTTGCTTCTGTATCCTGCCGACATTACTCTCAACTTCATTTACATTCAACACACTTCTTTCGGTGGATCTCCCACTAGGGTCACCAACCTGACCGGTTGCACCTCCTACTAAACCATATACATTACTTCCGCTGAGTTTAAAATGTAGTAGAACCATCAATGGCAATAAATTACCTAAATGTAAGCTTGGTGCTGTTGGATCGGCACCACAGTATAACTTAAAGTTTCCATTGTTATCTCTTTTGGTTATGTTGAACAATTTATCATCGGTCAATGACTCAATTAGATGTCTTGACTGTAAGTAGCTGACTAACGATGTATCTGGACTCGTTTCAGGTGTGACATCTTTTCCTTCAGTCAATTCATACACAGTTGGTATTACTGTCACTGTATCCCTAGGAAGAGTCGTTGACGAGTTGAGTCTGATTTGTCGACGCAATTGTTGTCTTAGTGATACTTTCAACATCTTTGGTGAAGATCCAACATAAACCTTTTCAATTTAATTTTATTTTTATTTTTTTCTGTTCTTTGTTTCTTTCGCATCTCTTTTTCATCTGCAAACGAATAGAGGATTAGGATGAGCTACGACCAACCTAATGGTTCGAGCCAGGACTATTCCAAAAAGAGAAAGAGAAAGAGGAGCAAAGGCTCCAAGGTAACGTCGGGCGAGATTGCATTACCGGAAAGTACAACACAAATTCCAGTTAAGTCTCAGAACAAAAAGATCAAATTTGGTGATGACTCCAATGAAGCTAAAACATTGGATGCAACCCCCTTGCCAGCTTCGGAAAGCACCCTCACGATAGAAAAACCAACTGCACCAAAGAGCGATACATTTAAAGAAGATAAAACAATAACGAAGAAAGATTACAAAAGTAAACCGAAAGTAGTCAAATATATTGATCATGCTTCAGATTCAGATTCAGATGATGCAAACGATTTTAATTTCCTGCGATCTTTGCTACAGTCAACTGAGAGAGCAAAGGAGCTACTCCAAGTACGGCAGAACTTACCAATCTACCAACATAAGGACAAAATCACTCAATTTGTGACAGAGAACCAAGTAACTATCATCATTGGTGAAACAGGTTCGGGTAAATCAACACAAATACCACAATTTTTGATTCCAGAAAACAGAAAAGCTATAGCTGTAACACAACCAAGAAGAGTTGCAGCAGCGTCGTTGGCATCCAGAGTAAGTGAAGAATATGGTTGTAAATTAGGCTCCGACGTTGGGTACCAGGTTCGTTTCACCAATATGAGCAACCCAAGAACCAAATTGAAGTACCTCACCGATGGTATGCTTTTGAGGGAAATCATGTTGGATAGGGAATTGAAAAAGTACAGCACAATCATTTTAGATGAAGCGCATGAAAGGACAATATTGACTGATTTAATTATGGGGTTTTTGAAATCGTTAATTGTTTCTGGAACCCGCAAGGACCTTAAAGTGATTGTAATGTCGGCAACATTGAATGCTGAATTGTTCAGTCGCTTTTTCAATAATGCACCTATCTTGTATGTTGAAGGTAAGATGTATCCAGTGACTCAGATGTATGTTGGAGACGAAAGTAATCAAGATATAGTTGATTGTGTTATTCGCTCTATTATCAAGGTGAATATGACCGAACCTGAAGGTGATGTGTTGTGCTTTTTAGCAGGACAGGAGGAGATAGACAATTGTGTGAAAACATTGGAACAACTAGCACCGCAACTACCTCGAGAAGCACCTTTGATTGTTCCATTACCCTTGTATGCAGCATTGAGTCCACATCAGCAGCTGAAAATCTTTGAGAAATTACCCAAAGGTCGTAGAAAGATAATCTTGGCTACAAATATTGCTGAGACTTCGATTACTGTCCCCGGCGTAAAGTATGTTATTGATTCAGGATTGAGAAAGGTTAAAATCTGGAAGCACAACTTGGGCTTGTCTACTTTACTCACAACTCCTATTTCACAAGCTTCGGCTAGGCAACGAGCAGGAAGAGCAGGAAGAGAAAGTGCGGGAAAAGTGTTTCGGTTGTATCAAGAACAGGAGTACTTGAACTTGCCCAAGCAGCAAGAATCTGAAATCAAAAGGAATGATATCATCTTGCCAATTTTGACATTGAAAAAGTTGGGTATAGATGATCTATTAAACTGGACGTGGCTTGAAGATCCTGGGCAGGAGCTGATTTTAAGTGCTTTGAACACCTTATACACACTAGGAGCATTGAATGATGCTGGTAAGATTACCAATTTAGGGTACAAGATGAGTGTGTTGCCATTACCTCCACAGTTGTCGGTAGTTTTGATTACTGCTATTGAAATGGGCTGTTTGGCGCCAGTGATTGATATAGTCTCGTGCTTATCCGTTGACAATCTAATCTTGAATGTTACGGGAGAGTTGAGAGACGAAATGAACTTCAAACGTAGGTCACACTGTCCAAAAGGAAATACCCACGGTGATTTGATCGCATTGTATGAATTTTACCAAACATTTCAATCTTTGGGTAAAGAGTGGTGCCAAGAAATGATGTTTAGTTACAAAGGATTCAAGAATGTGCTCAAGATAAAGAATCAGCTAAAGGAGTACATGTTAGCAACTATTAAACAAGACGATAGCCTTTCGGATGACGCAAAGGATAAACAATTGACAAATCTACGTTCTCAGTTTGAGGAGAAAGACGAGGTCTTGGACATTCCTGCCATTCTCAAATCATTCTTGAAAGGATTCATCACAAACACGGCCGTAGGAATGCCAGATAGATCATTCAGAACTTTCAATACTGGGCAGTTGATCAGTGTGCATCCTTCCTCGGTGTTGTTTGGTAAATTGAATCTAGATGCGATTATGTATATTGAGTATGTGTTTACTACAAAGGGCTACGCAAGAAATTGTTCATCAATTGAATTGTCGTGGCTTCAAGAAGTAGCTCCACATGTGATTGGTGGCAACAAGGTGAGCATTAATTGAGTTTTAAAACTTCCTTCACTGCATCGATAACTGTGTTGAATATTTTGCTGTTGCCGGCGATAACACCCTTTGAATTCAAGTACCTACCTTTACTAAAGTCCAATGGAGTTCCGTATATATCACCAACTTTACCACCTGCTTCGTAAATCAAAACATTTCCCGCAGCATGATCCCAAATCTTTTCTCTATACGAATCGTCAATAGGCAAACGTAAGTATATATCTGCCTGTCCACTAGCTAACAAACAATATTTAACTTGCGAATCTAAATTGATTGTCTGTGTTGAGACTGTACTCTGGTCAAACCCAATCTTTTCCTTTATTTCTGCTTGGGTTGAATGAGACGAGTGGCCCTTTTCCACACCCTCCACCACTTTCAAGTCCTTTGGAGAGTCATGATTTGACATATGTATATGTTGTTGTTGTCCTAAAGGCTTAAATCCTGGTGTAAACAATTCCGAGTAGTATGCCCCTTGACCAGTTATAGCCAGATACAATCCGCCAACTGTTCCATGGTGTTTTTCATTCGATTCGACATACTGTGACAAGTTAGGACACCCAATAACACCGAGAACAACCTTCCCTTGATCGATTAGTGCCAAACAAACAGCAAATTGATCTCCTCTGAGAAACCCCTTAGTTCCATCAATTGGGTCTAACGCCCAAAATCTCCCCTTTGAGCCACCCTGAGAGTTTCCAAAGTCGATGCTTTTGAATACAGCCTCCTCTTTGGATAAAGTACCAATTACGTCGTCATACTCAGCAGTCTCTTTCTGTACTTTAGTAATTAAATTCAACACTTCAGACGAGAGCTTAGCGTTGGCTTGTAAATCCTCAGAATCTTCTTCACCGACAATCTCATCACCGGGAAAGTTTAGCTTTATAGCGTTATTAATAATAGCCTGACTTGCAAAATCTCCAATTGTCACTGGTGATTTGTCCTCTTTAGTGATTGTCCCTGATTTGGCCTGAGAAATTGAATCGCTCAACTGTTTGGTCAATATAGATGCTCTCTTTACCGCAAGTGTAGCAATTTGGAGTTCTTTATAGTATGAGTGAGTAGTTGTTGTTGTTGAAGATGATGACATGGTGAGCCAGCGTACGAAATTGAACCTTTTGAAAGATATTATAGTTATCACTATGACTGTAAAGTAGATAAGAAGCCTGCTCCCACGCATATGATGGAATTGTTCGAAAAATGGGAAATGGAAAATTGAACAGAAAAAAACACTGATGACACAAAATGTACATACTGTTTCAACAAGAACACCCATCCCCAACTTTATAGTTTCCCCTTCACTACACTTGATCACTCATTTAATAGCATATGTCATATATAAGTCACGGTATCTAATTTAAAACAGCTTTATTTTACACCCACACGGCATGTACAAAGCACTCCTAGCTTTACTCGTATTGTGTACTGTTTGCTGGGTCATTCAGCTACTCCCGGTTATTTCAGTCCCACTCACGTCCCACAGAGGAAACATTTACCTTTCCCATTTCGAAAATGTTAAATTTGGAGTGTTTGGTATATGTGATATGCAAACTGGGAAGTGTAGCACACCCAAGATAGGATACCCTTCATCGAATAGCTCGTTTTACAACTTGGGGAGCGATGTCAGTACAAGTTATAGTGGAGTCGTTCTCCCGTCATACGTGAGGTACACAATTTCAAAGTTATTGGTGGTTCATGTTGTTGCATTTTGCTTTTCCAGCTTGTTATTAATAGTCATATTTATGCTATATGCTTTGGAAAGCATGGATAGGATGAAGGACCGTATCGAACTGCGGAAACGGCGAGATGAGATGGACCACTTAAGAAATGAAAGACGAGAAGAAGAGCATGAAGATGATGCCAATATGGACACTGGTGATCTACGTAAAGAGAAAAGAGACTTGAGTCCGTACTTGAATATAATGTTAATTCTAACTATATTTTCGGTTCTAACGACATTACTAGCCTTTTTAGCTGATATTTTATTGTTCACTCCTAGGTTGAGTTACTTGGGGTGGGTGCAATTATTGCCAATCGTTTCGATGGCACTAATCACATCTATGTTGTGCTTTATCAAAAGGTCGATATCGAGCAGGAGGTTTTTCGAAAACTACGACCACCCATATGCTAATGCCGATATGAAGATATTGCGGAACAGAGCTATGGAACAATCTTGGAATGACAGCTCAAGTGACGATGGATTTGTTGTGTACACTGATGGTTTCTATACCAGAAATGAAGGTGACGGCGATGAAACCAGAGTCAATATCCACTCTACTAGTTCTTTAAGAAGTGTCGTACGACACAATCATCAAAGCGATGAGTTTTCAGTAAACTCTAGCAGGGAATCTATTGAACTTGACAACCTACGGTTGGCCTAACCTATAATACACTATACACGTGATATCTTATTAATAGCAGTTATCACATCTGAATCATTATTGTAATCCTTAATTGCTCTTTCCCGTAGCTTTTTATTCAACCGTACATTACGTGCTGATAAGAAGCGCAAAAATTGAGTCGTGATTAGTTGGGACGTAGTCATCTCACGCAATTTGGAATACAATTCATTTTGCTTGTTATTGAGCATATCAGGCGTCCTTTTTAGCAATGTTACGAGCTTTATTAACTCGTTTACATTGCTTACAGTATGGAGAACCAAGTTGAATGCGACATCACTCATCTTGCGATAATGGAGTACCGGTTTTAAGAATGACAACTCTTTTAATGTAGTCACCGGATCGATGAATTTGTAGCTAGCATAGTACTTTTCAACTGTTTTCTCAGAAGGACACACAGATGCACTGACAAGGTCTTTGATTAAAATCGTTGCAAGATCTGAATTGATATCGATTACTGAACGAGCTAACTTGTCTTTAATGTCAGATTCCAAAGCTCGTAGCATTCGCGGATGCAATTCAATAATACGTACTGCTAATTCATTGATGGTAGAAGCACTTACAGGAAACTCTTCACATAATGATGTTACCAGTGTCAACAATTCTTTCAAGCCGTGGAATGTGAAACTCTGCACTTTTGGGGCAACAAAGGTTAAAAACTCTTCGAGCGCCTCGGGGCGATCAATGGTGCTCAAAACCAAATTGCAAGCAGACTCGACAGTGAACAAACTTTTAATCTCTGACGGTTGCACTTTACCCTCTTTAATCAAGATTGAGTTTTTGAAAGCTCTCGATTTTCTGAAAAAGTCTTCGAACGAGGCGGCACCTTTTAAAAGGTTCAAGTACTTGTCCTCAACTGGTGGAAACATATGAGTGACTGGTTCAATTTCTTTCAAGTTCTTGATTTGCTTGTTGTACACATTTTTCCAACCAAGAAGTATGCTTGAAAATGGAAACACGACTGGAGTTTCATACAGCTTATTAATGCTTCTAATGACATAATCTTTGTCTCCATATAGATATTTTTCCTTCGATAGTATAGAAATCAAGACATCATTAGTGTTTAACTTTGTCACCAAATCGGCAACTTCTTCGGGATTCACTATTTCGTGATGAACTTTATCAATGGTTGAAAAATTTGGCTTGTCCGGTATAGCATCACTATTCTCCCTTTTGGTTAACTTCTCAGACTCAAAAATATGTCTATCTTCGTTGGAAATAAACAGGATCGTCGAATACCTTCGAGGAAGTTGTCGTATTAGTCTTTTTGTAATCATTGGTAGTTAGGTTGTAGTGGTTGAAAATTTTTGGATTTGATCAAATTTCGAAAAAGATGTTGATAAGTACACAAAGTTGGCGCCAATTAAACATCAACATTATTCTCTTGCCAGTTTAGCCACGACATGACAACAGACTAGAAGAACCCTTGCTCGTTGGCCTTTCCACTCCCTGCAAGATATACTGCTCATGATTGTTTCTCCTGAAATGGTTATTTAATTTACAAAAAGTTCTAGTTCCAACCTTGGATACGAAGTTGAAGGGGATCTCTCCCCTAGTATGATCGTCTAGACAGTGTTCAATCACATACACGTCGCATCTGGTATATCATTCTACTATATATATGTTCTATCTCCTCATGATGTTGTTTTATGAGTTTTATTTTTTATGATAATGTGGACGTTGTTTCGAGTTTGTTTCAGGTGTCAAACAACATACCTTATAAAGCAAAGTCAACATCCATGGAAAATGAAACTGTTGCATCGCACCAGACTCACATGCAGTTGACATTATGGGCATTTTGCTTGAATCGCTTACTTGCTAGAGAGCTTACATTAAGGGAAATATCAGATGAGCTATACACTTTTCCTTTACTAGATGAATGGAAAGACGATTGCAGCAGACAAGCATTATTATCAATATTGCCACAGTGTTTACACGGCCTAGAAACAATCACTTCTTTACAACAGAAAGAAGTTGCTTTGGAGTTGTCGATATGCGAATTGGATAATGCCAAAATTGAATACCCACTAGATTGCGATCCACAAATTAGACAAGCAAACATTGACAAGTGTATTCAGTCATTGGAGAAGTCACCTCAATTCTGGACTAGCTACAGTGGCAACTATAGAAGCGTAAAGGAAGTATGTCATCAAGTGAGCTTGCCATTCAAGAAGGAACAAATTATAGAAGTTTACGAGAATGTAACTATACTTTTCCAAAATGTGATGAATGACTTGAAGACATCTCAAGCAGATAATGATGAAGCCCAGAAACACATGAAAGAAAGGTTTGAGGCAATGTTTAATATTGTCGACGATATCATGAAAGAGAGCAGAGGGTCAGCAGAGTTAATGAATCAGACATTTAATGTATTTTACGAGAATTTTGAAGTCTCTTTAAACAATGCCCTTGTTATCATAGAGCAATCGTATCAAGGCGCTAATACCAATATGAATGAACTCGAACAGCATGTCAATTACTTCACTAAAGAAATGTATCACATTTGTGAATTGATACGAGAAAACCAAGACATGTTGAGCCTGCTGCAAAAGGATTTGGAAGCACATAAGGAAATTCTTCTGAATCAACAAAACGAGGCGTTGAAAAATATAAAGGGTATTAACGAGTACACTTTGGAGTTGCGAGATTCTACTAAACGCCACTTTGACTACATAGATCATAAAATGCAGTTCTCGGTGTTTAAGATCCACTCCATTAATGAATTACTAAACCGAAACTTTGATAATTTACAAGTGCAGAGACAATATATAAATCAGCAGTCTGTTGCGATGGTGGATGACATTTCGAAAGCTTTTGTTCTGTATTTGAATGCATCGGGTCAGGAGATACTCGCATCGTTTGAATCTTCATTGAACACCTCTTTGGAGAATTTAGAGGAGAAAATAGAAGAAGCCGTAGTCTCAATGGAAATGCTTGATTTTAAAGTCAAGAATTTTCTAAATCTCGCACATAATGCCACCAACTACATTGCTAATATAATTCCGGACCTTGTCCGTGGAGCTTTCGATTATACGCACAAAAGCTATGTTTCAATGATGGCTGTGTTTTCTAAAGCGTACAAACTTCTGTTATGTCTAGCGGTGGCTATACTTTTTTTGATGACAAAACGGTTTGCTCGTTTTGTCTCGGCCCTTTTCATCAAGTGGTTCATTATTATAGTTGTTCCGCTAGTCTTGGGAGTTGTTGCGGCTATAATGACGCTAAAACTTGTATTGGTATTTAGCTCATTGAATAGTTGAAAATGAGTTTCTCGGACTTTTCTCTTTTAGGACTTAAAGCGGGGTAGCATGCACTTTTTAATGAGCTGGGTAGCTAATGGTATGCCTTTATCGAGATACATAGCCTTGGTACTTGTAGTTATATAACACAGCATGACTTTTCACTGACCCCAACTCTTTGATGTGAAAATAGCTGTCCCCATTAACATACTGTGATTGCTATAAAGTGCGCTGTTCTAACAAAGCTCCGTTTATAAAAATTATACCCCAGTCATGAATCTTTCTGCAGCACACACAACATGTGGTACCCAGGCTTATACAATATCTTTCTATTCATAACCATCAGTTTACTCACACTGGTCCGTTCGCACCCCCTTGAGAATGAGATTTATCTTGATTTGCGAGAAAACAACGTTTATTCCATTGACCCTGAAATATATTCCAATTTGTACACTTATGCCCACTTGATTGATATATCGTATTGCATATCTGAAGTTCATGGAATAGAACCTCCTTTCAAATGCGACTTGAATTGTGAAAAGCGTTTTCCCAACATGTCGTTGGTCTATCAATGGTACTTTCCTGAGTCTGTGACAGGGTATATCGCCAGCACCTACAACAACATCTTCAATTACGATATTTCCAAACCAAAAAAGACAATAATTATATCACTTCGAGGTACACGGTCTATTTTTGATACCTATGCCGATATGAAAATTGATATGATAGGTTATTCCAACGTCGGATTGAATTTACCATTATGTGGACGTGGGTGCAAAGTCCATAATGGATTCTTTCGTTATTTCACGACCACTTTAAGTAATATCAATCAATATGTAGTCGAAGAAATTGGAGATGAAGATGATTATGAATTGATTATAGTTGGACATTCATTGGGTGGCAGTGTTGCATTATTGTTGGGGTTGCACTATCTTGATATGGGTTACGACAAAATGACTTTGGTCACAATGGGACAGCCACTAACTGGCAATCAGGATTTTGTGAATTGGGCAGATAAAGTACTAGGGAGTCATATTGAGTTAAAGCATAATGAATTCAAAAGAAAGTTTTTAAGATTAATCCATAAGAACGACGTGATTACTACAATACCACGCAGTAGTAACCCATTCACTCAATATCATCAATTTGATAACCAAATCTACTTGAATTGTTCAAGTACAAATGAAAGACCTCGTTTGAACCAAGTTTTTGATTGTGCTGATGCTACGAATAAGAATTGTATTGCGCATGATTTCCCCCTCCTTGCATTTGAGAGACATAACTACTTACAAACGCATATTACGTACTTTAGAAGAATGGGGCTTTGTGGAATTGTGAAATAACTATCGACTAAACCCGAACTTTGGTTGATCATCATCGTCGTCGTCATCATCTTCTTCTTCTTCTTCATTGTCATCACCGCCACCATCGCTGCTATCATCATGGTTGCTCTTATAATTTAGTCTCGGCGCTCTTCCTGTACTACTGGCATTCTCTTGACTCATTAAAAATGGTTGGGTGATAGATTCTTCATAACCACCATCAGAGTCATCTTCGGGGACAAATAGGGTGTTTGGTTCATATCCTCGTACTTCACTCATTGCACCACTGAAATCTTCATCCATGGTGGTGGTATGTTTGTGCTTTGGCTTAGGTAGTAACACATTAGTAGTTTCTTCAATAACCATTTCAATATGTGGGCGTGACTGTTGTCGCTTCACTGGCACACTTTTGACAAATTTTTTAAAGTTCTTTCCTACTGTAGTGGTTGCATTAGTAGCTTTTTCGTACTCTCTTTGTCTTTTTCTGATTGGTACATCAACAACCTCCACGATGGCCAAATTTGACAAGTTGGCGGTAACTCCCTCGGATTCTTCCAGTATTCCCATCTCTTTTTCCCACAACTCTCTCGTCTTCTCTTTTGTTTTCATCACGGCATCAGCAAATGATACTTTTGGAACAAACTTGGGAAGCTTTGGTGGTCTGTGAGTTGTAAACGACTCGCCCCTCCTCTTTCTCGGATTCTGGTGGTCCTCATCATTTGGCTCGGGGGATACCGGAATTACTTCTGGTTTGGGCTGTTCTTCTTTGACTTTTCCTGCCTCGATGGGTGTAGACACAACAGGCTTTTGAACTAGTTTTCCAATACTTGCAGGCTTGGTATTTTGTTCCTTAGCCAGCTCTAGGGGTGTCGTACCATCTTGGCTCTCAATAACCGGTATTGAAGTAGCGCTAGGTGAAAAGAAATGAAGCTTGTCCACCTTTTCATACCTTCGTCGTTTCCGAGAACTAGACCCCGTCTCGGTTGAAGCTTGTCTTTTCTGTGATTGCTCTTGAATTCTATTTGTTGGTATAGTGTCCAATGTCTTGGATACAACTTTATTCCAGATATCAGCCTGATGCACTGCTTGAAATCCAAATACACTGAAGGTGTTGATTAAAATGAACTGATCGGTACCCACTTTTGACTGTATCTCATCCTCGCTCTTTTCTACTACTATCACATCCAACCATTCTACAGGTTCAAAGGATATTAACTTTGTATCGAGAAGCTTTCGTCTTGGTTCAGGTAAATACGCACTGTTTTCATTGGGAAGATATAGGGAATAATCACAATTGAGCAACCACTTGTTGACATTATTAGGTTTTTTAAGGACACTTTTAGCCCAGGAGTCATTAACTATTGGTATCCCTCTAACTACAGCATTTTTGAAGTGAACCAGATTTGGCATGGCTTGAGCTGTGTAGAAATGGGTTGCATCCAGTATATCCTCAACAAACGCGAACTCTATCCCTGATCGTTTCAACTCTTTGATGTTGTCATCTTCCGTGTCGACAAATAATTTAACCTCTATCCACTCAATAATAATAGGAAAGTCCTTCAACTCCAGGTCTGAATCGGGCTCAACTGTAATTGTTATCTTGGTGCAATTGGTGTAATCAATTTCCTTCGGACTTTCACCTTTACTTAGTCGTAATATCGCTCCATTCACGTTCGTCTTTGCTCGAGATTGGATACATAGACTCAATGGTGTCTTTGCAGATGATGGAGGGCCCATTATAAGCTCCAACAATTCTCTTGCCGATTTACGTGAATTAAACACGAAATCTAATTGATCATTTCTGCCTACTTTATAATTCTTTTCAGGAAACAATATGCGATAATCTGATGTCAATTGTTAGTATATGGCCTATGAATATGTTCTGAATGTAATACTTACCACCATGGGGGTCTACCTTGTGGTGCACAATCCACATTGCATTGCAGAGAAAGTGTCTACCAGAAATGTATTTTTTTTCAAGCATTTCAGAGTCTCGCTATGTGGTAACTACTGCTGAGCTTTTACTACCGGTCCTTAATTCAACAAATATCTGTACATATCTTCTATTTTCTAGGCCTACTTACCTTTCCCTTAACTTTCTCCTTCTTTTTCTCCCCCAATTTTTTACCAATGGCTTTAGCAACCATTTCTGCATCTCCTAATTCTAATAATCCCTTTTCAAAAGCCGAGAGCTCATCACCTTTAAATGTTTCTCTCTCCTTAGTTTCAACTAGTATATCATCCTCATCATACAAGCTATCTGTATAATACAATGGCAAGGCAGGTGAGTTTGGAGTTTTCAACATGATCGACTTGATAGTATTAAGTTCAAAGCTGGATGCAACAGCGTTGATATTCTTGTTCAAATCCTCGAGTGAGAATTCATCATTAATGGAACCAATTTTAATGGATACAGTTGTTCCTTGTGGTGGTAAATAACTGGTACTAGCCAAAAGCTTTTCCAATTGATTTGATAAAGTTGTTAATGACAATTCTTTGTTATTACTCGAGGTTGTGACTCTCAACGGAATAGGGTACTTGTTTGATTCATAAAATATCTTGCCCAATGAAAATGGCATGGTATTCAATACAGCATCATCAACAAAAAACAAATCATGACTGGAGTGCAACTCACGTCTTTTTTCAAATGGTTTATATTCAGTCTTGATCGACTGTAACGGCAAAATTTGCGAAATCGTGGGCAAGTTTGCTTCTTCGATTTTTTCAATTTCTTCATCTGACTTGACAAGTTGGTCACGAAGTATCAAACAAGATTTTAATGATGCATCATTTATGGATTTGGATAATTTAATGGTCTTGGGTTTGAATTGAGGTTTTGAACTAAAGAACTTTTTTGATTCGACAATAAGGGTTAATGTTGAATCCTCGGCATCATCTTCGCCAAACAATTGAGATTTGGAGGATGGGTTTTGAGATGTTTCTTGTTCTCTCCTAGACTTTTCTCTCTGGATGTAACCCTTGAGCTCGGAGATAGCTTTGTTGGTGACCTTGTTACTTATTACAGAGGGTGCAACATTCTGTTCTGATTCAGTCAATTTAACCTGAGCTTGAGTTTTCTGGTCCTTTTTGTTGGTTGGCTTTGGTGATTTTTTTGGTTTGGCAACTTTGTCTGACTCTTTAACCTTATTTACTACCGGTGAGGCGGGGCCCTTGGATCTGGTTCTAGCCATGGTGCTTTTTAAGTTGTAATGTCTACTGGTTGTGCTGATTTGAGATGGGCTGGAAATTCAAAAGAATCTCATCTCATTTGAGAAAAGAAGAAAAAAAATATTTTACTTAGTCTCTACCTGCATATAAAGGATATGTCTTAATGATAACCATACTACAGGATAATCTCAGCCAAGCCCATTACGCCAGTTGTACTACAATGACTTCTGTCTGTCTCAATTTGTTGTATGGCAGTATAAATAAATGTTAGCCATACCTTATTCGGTGAGAACTTTCAACGGTTAGGGCTTTAGGGGAAACTTACGCAGTGGTTGCGAAAAATGTTCCACTATTTCTACACAAGCAAAGTGTACAAGACGTATTATGCCACTCATATTTTGCTATCCCTTATCATTCAATATCCAAAGTTAGATAAAACGGGTTGGGTTGTCAAAACACAAAAGGTTACTCTTCTTGCAAATATATCTAATATTCTTCAAAAACAGTACAATCTATATGTTCTCTTCAAAAAAAGGCTGACATCCATCAACAAAACATAAGCATCGAAATTCTGTTAAGAAACGTCATGAGTGAGTTCTTGAATATTCAATATTTGTCAATAAAAGATTTCTTTGTTACCCGCTTCGCAACTTTTTCTTGTCAGTTGCATGATAAATAGTGTAAACTGTATACGTAGAGCACACTTCTTTCAATATCTTAAAAGGATTTTTGGATGTCTCCAGTCCTTGCCTTCCAAGAGTTAACACAGAAGTAATTAAAGTGAATGATATGAGTGAGCTATACTGTATCTTCCACACAATTTCAAGAACATTGACATGAGAAATTTTTAAGGACAAGTTTTTAATTTTTCCAATATCAATAAGGCATAAAATAGCCTCAACATCGATAAAACCGTCTTTCCCCATGTGTTCAAATGAAAATGATTGCAAGTGGCAAAATCTATGGCTAAATAGTTTTTCTATTATCTTGTGTGAGCCATCCAGCGCGATCTTTAAACTCAAATACTGTGGTCTAAGAAATTCATCGATTTTAGAGAACTCCTTTAGTGACAGCGGCCATAAATATAAGTAAATCAGTCTCAACTCGACAAAGACTTCCTGCCTGGTAACTGCGATCTTATCTTGCACACTCTTTTCTTTAACAAAAGATTCAATCTTACTATGTTCCAAATCCAATAGACTTGTCCGTTCCGATTGTAGTTTCAATGATGCAACATCAGACACACGTGATTCACTTCCGTTGAAATGGTTCCAAGTGTCAATGCAAAATGGATAAGAATACAAATAAAATCCCCAATATCCAACTAGTATATCTTACCAGGAACATACCTGCGCAAAGGACAAGGCGTCTGCTGTCTCGGGACTCACATTTGATAGAACTACCTCGTAGTGAAGAGCAAGAAACTTGCCGCTCTTTGGTTGTTGTTTTCTTGAACCAAAATTGATGTAGAAACTTAACTTGATTGGTTTTGGTAGCTTGCAATTCTGTCAGTTGAAGGCATTTCAACACCGTCAAGCAAATGAATTTTCTATACCAAAGTAGTCTGATATCAAAAGGCACATTAGCGATCGAGTCGACATAGTTTGTCGAGTACTTCAAGTGGAAGTTCTGGGAATTGCATTAATTAAAGCATAGGTACTCAAAGTAAAACATTTTGGCCGTAGGTCGAATCTTCCCAAGACACGTCAACGCGGAGTTGATCAATCCACTAGCGCAACTGGGACCAAAAAAAGTGGCAACAAGCGGTCATCCATGAACCATTTATACTAACGCCGCATTAACTACAACAAAGTAACTTCTTTTCACTATTGTAAAATCTTCTCCATTCCTTAATTAATCTTACTATACAATAATATATATGCATTGTTGATACCCGAGCTCAACACTTCATCCTCTTTAATTGGTTTGACAATTGTATCATCGATTTCCCACCATTGGTTATTTTCAAAATCAAACGTATCACTGGTATAATGTCCAGCATCAGCACTTGATCCATGGTGGTAAACAACGGAAGTCAATTGATATTGATTGGAGCTTGATAGCGTTGGCTGTGGGGGTGATGATAGTATTTCATTGGGTATTGTTAATGTATGGTCATAAGTTATATTTTTAGCCAATTTTTCTATAGCATTTTCTTGATCCTTGGAATAACTAAATCTTTTCAAATGGATAATCAAAACTTGAGGTAATTTTTCAATAAATGTTTGCTTTTTAACCTCAACTTCTTTATTATTGTTTCCTTTATATGATATGGTTTCTATTTCATTTAAATGGATAAATGCCTCTTCTATTGAATTTGAATTTGAAATGTCAAGTTGGACATGTTGGAAAGGGTCCAATGTAATTGATTTTTGGAAAGTGGATGATGATGCTTTAGGGAGGGTAATTACTGACTTGAACTCTCCACCAAAAATCATATTCAAGGGCGTAGGATCAACTTCAATCTTGGTTATATTTTTCTTACCTCCTACTTCGTTCCATTCACTCTCTTCCTCTCCTTGCTCATCCTTCTTTATCCTTTTAATGCATGTTTTGACGTTGTACTTGAATTTGGCAACATCGTCTTGTGTATATGACTGGATCAACTGGTCCACTTGTGGCGTGTTTAACTTTTTCAAAGCAAAAATCATTTCTTCATTCAATGCGTCGAGGTAATACCCTAAAAACTCTTCAGCATCTTCTTGTTGTCCCCATTTTAAATGTTGGAATTTCTTATGTTTAGATAATGCTGCATAAAACGGCTCTATTGAAACCGGCAATTTGTTCTCACTGGGCTTGAATTCGTTATATAGTTTGATAGTAGCATCTATTAATGGCTGTGATGACACTACTAAATCTCCAATTGACTTGGTTTCGATTAATTTGAGTAGTTTATTAAATGGTTGACAGTAAAGTAAAGATTGAAGGATCGAGTTCATGAAACATATATTGCCTGTGTTTGTCAATCCTTTTGGCTTTACATCAAATACTGGGAATTCGTTTGATAGCGAGTAGTTGCTGTCAAACATGACTTTGAGTAGCAATATTCCCAATGGGTATGCAGATTCTGAGTCAAAATTGAACTCGGGTGTTGATGAGTGCGACTTGGTGGTAGGACTAGTGCCTGTTTGATCAATAGTTGCTGGTTTTGTAGATGTGGTCCTTGGTTTAGTTATTCTTTTTGCTGGTGTTTGTGGTGCACTCGATTGCAATACAGAAGCCCAATTAGTGCTTGGTGGTTGATTCGCTGGCTGAGGTTGTGGTTCTACTTTTTCGGCTTCTTGCTTAATGTTTCTACCGTTAGTGACGTAGGTTTCTGTTGTATTGATGTCGAAAACCTTTGTGTAGTTAGGACAAATGATGATCTTCTTTTCTTTTGGGACATTGTTATTCAAGTTGTTCAACCTGTCAATGTCATTTATTTTTCTATTTTCCTCCGTTATGGGAAAGATGTTGGAGAAGTTTGATTTGTTTTCATTTATGTACAAGGGAAATTTGGCTTCTATAGGCTTTGACTCTTTTGTTTCTTTGTGTCCATTGAGTTTAGAGGAATCTACCACTTGTTCCTTGCTTTCTACTTCCTTCCTTTCTTCTGGTGTTATTTTATCTCCCGCACTTTGTTGCTTTATATCCATTTGTGGAGTCGTGTTTGTCGACAGATGTATGTCTTTATCCAGTGGTGCTTGGGGAGAAGAAGAAGTTGAATGTGCTGGCATATTTGTGGTATCAGATTGGGTTTCATTCTTCTTAACAGCTGCAGATTCAACTGACTCTGATGATATCAGAGTTTCTGTATGATACTTCAGTTTTAAAGAAGGTGATGGGTATGTCTGATGCTGAGGTTGTGACTGTGGTGCAAATTGCTGTGCGTTGTGTAATTGCAGTTGCAGTTGCAGTTGCAGTTGAGGGTGAGAGTATGGATGAGAATGTTGATTTGGATGTGGGACCGGAATAGGAATTTGTGGTGGTTGATGATGTGGCTGTAGAGGAGTAGGTGGCTGTGGTGTAAAAGCTGGTGGTATCATAAAAGCTTGTTGAGGCGGTTGTTGCTGTTGTTGCTGCTGTTGTTGTTGTTGGTATAATTCTTGAGGGTATGGAACATACATGTACATTGGATTTGTCATCACGGGGTAGCCAAAATTGCCATATTGCATGTAAAACTGTTGTTGCTGTTGTTGCTGCTGCTGTGGCGTAAGTTGTTGCATCTGCGGTGGTATATACAGCTTATTCGGCATATGCGGAGAATAAGGTTGTTGAGCATAGTGGTAAGCCGGGTAATGCCGAGGTGAAAAGCTCGCTGCATCACCACGAAACCGCAGACGACCTCCTCCATTTGACGTAGTATTCGATGTGGTTGATGATTGAGTGGAAGACGACGATGGTGCTGACATTAAATACAAAACAAAAGGTAAAAAAATTAAGGACAATGGTACTAATTAAGTGAGTTGTGGTTTATATCAGTGTTTTGATCGATTAGTACATGAAAATCTCTTTCTAAATGGGGGAATGTTGTATGGTCCTATAATCGAAAAAAAAAAAAATTATACAGGCAATCGTGAATTAAATAATCTGATTTGGTATCAAAGTATGGGGGAAACAGTGTGCTTTCTATCTAGTGGTGGTGAATAGGAATGTAAAATGTATATGTTAATCTATCTCTGTTGATTGAGTATTTGTGGATGATTAAATTTTTTTTCTTCTTCGTTTTTCAAAATTTGTTGATTTCAGAATTTATTTTTTTTTATTTTTTTTTTTTAAAAAAATTTTGACTTCTCTTTATTTGCGTTGTTTTATAATTTTGTTGGACTTTGGTTGATATAAACTATAACTATAGTTCATACAGCAGGAGTAGAATAGCAAATGTGTATATAGAAATAGTAAATAAGTTTGTTTAACCGAGCTAGAGGGCCACTACTTAATATAATTATAAGTGTTTCTTACTGATATCGGATGGGTGTCAGCTAGCCGCCCGCTAACAAATTTTTGTCATTTGGGTTATTGCTCATTACCTACGCACTCACGCAATACCATCATCTTTGCCTGGGACGCTATCGCTTTACTCCAGCTGTTTTGGCCCAATTTTGCACGAAGGTGTCCTTCTGATTAACACTCTATGCGACGTAAGTTCAGCCAGCTGAGTGCTCCTCAGAATGTGGTGTCGTAAAGCAAAGCAATCGTCGTGAATTTTAAACTGCGCTGTTGCTCTAAATGGAGTAACATTTCACAACGCTTGTTGATGAATATATATGGGCTAGCACCCTATTTCTTCACTAGATTTGTCTTACACTGACAAAGTTTGTCCAGTGGCAGTATCTTAAGTTAATAGCTTCTACACCACTCACTACAGCAACTTCCGACTGTCCCTACCATCGAAACGCCGCAGCAGAGAATCATATTCTTTTCAATCTACTCCTCCCAATCCTCAAATCTGCGCAAGAAAATAAAAACAAAACCAAATTTGTCAGAAACCTCAGTTCAAACTTGCTTTACACCTGGTTCAACCTGCTATTCTTAGCACTCAAACTCGACTATGGATTGGCTACTGGAACTACCCAGCGATTTGCAGCATCAAATTACTACAATCACGCAGCAAAATCCTCAATCTCAACAGGTATTTTCAGAATTATACACCTTTTTAACTGACAACAAACGGAGGAAAACTGATGCTGCTGCAGAGAATAATGGCAATGGTACTGGCGGATATGAAGAATTGACACCATCCTCCTCAGTTCATCCGGAATCCGTCATATTTGAAATTCAACAAGTGTCGTTTTCGTCACCGATTCGTAAACGAATGAATCTTACTTTCCATTTAATTGAACAGAATGGTCAGGCATTGCCAGTGATGTCCATAGTTAATCCAGCTAATGATTCTCCGGAGTTGTCCTTTATTAATCTAAAACATGCTATCAAATTGTGTCTTATATTGCCAATATTGGGCAATTCAACAAACTCGCAAAAGAAGGGTATTGCATTGCTATGTTTTTGGATTCATGATCTGTACTATAATGATTCTAATGTGTCGAAAGATCCAATCATTTGCCAGTTGAATTTAGATATGATTAAGAAACAAATGATTAAAAATGGTAAATTACCAGCCGATATTGAAAGCCAATTTGACTTGTCCACCTACAAGAACGATGTTGTGTTGAATCCAATACAGGAAAGAATCATTGATTATTTTAGACGCCAGTTTCAATTAATTGGAATCAATTTGGTCAATTACTTACCTTGTCCCACTATATTCAAAAATAAATATATCGTAAATGAGGATACCGCAGTGGCATTAACTGGTGAGAGAAGTATCAATCCTACTATTATAATGGTTGAATGTCACAAGGGAGCAAGAGATGGCAACTTGATCTTGTTGGAACAAAATGAATATAATCCTGCTTATCTCATTTTTGCATTTAAAAAGCCAATCTTAGTGTTTAAGTTGTCAAGGGTGTTACGCGCCAGTTACACAAGTATAACTAAGCATACATTCAGTTTGAATGTTGATGTTCTCAACGACAGGGATGAGGAAAGACAGCTTGAGTTTAGTATGGTTGATCAAGCTTATTTCCAAATCATTGATAATTTCATAAGACTTCATGGGATCAGCGACGACTCGTTTAATGATAGCAACAAAGAAAAAGAAACAGGTAAACCTAGTACAGGTGGTGGTGCTTCTGGAGATGCAAATGCTGTTACTGGCTCTGCTGCTGCTGGTGACGACGACGATGATGACGAGGAGGACGCAGACTTCGAAGGTAATGAAGAAGGCAGTGATGTTGCAGAAGAATATGATAGTGCTGCAGAAAGTGCTGGTGAAGATACACCAGACCACGAGGGAGATGGCAAAAGTGATGATGTATTTACTAAATCGAAAGAAGAATAACTGTATATCTACAATTGTTGCAGTATTTTACTATATCCAAAAAAACGTACATGTATTGAACGACGCATTTACTTATAAGGCTGGCTGTATTTATCAAACAATCTAAAGAATCTGCCTTTATCCTTAGCAGTAAACAACCTACTCTCTTGCTCTTCGAAATTTACCAAATCCAGCTTTCTTTCTCTTTGTTCTCTCAAGGCAGTCAATCTTCTACTCAACAATTCCCTATTGGTATTGATCTGTGGATCCAATATAAAGTAGTAAAGTGAACCGGTGATTGACATTGCTGCTCCATAGCCAATCAACTTTTGTGATAATTTAGGTGGTGAACCACTGAGTCCGGTTTGGAAAAGCCTTATTGCTGCACCTGAAGCTAAACTAAATACAAATCCTCCTGCAGTTGGCATTATTGTTTGATGTGAGTGGGATGCTATGTAGTTGTGATTGTTACTGAAAAGAATTGGTAATTTTTTCTATTGCAAATCTCATTGGTTTAATTTTTCTTCATTTTTTTTCCTCCCGTTTTGGTGGACAACTACTAAAGAAGAATCAACGTTTGGATAATAAATTTAGCAACGTACATAGATGTGTCTACTTGGATGTAGCGTGTGTGGTGCTACTTAGATGATGAATGAGTCTACGAAGCTGATAGATCCTGGTTCTACGAAGCGATGGTTTTACAGAGGATTGACAATGAAGAGCCAAGTGTATCATGCCATGAATTTCAACCTAAAAGGGTTGAGAAGTGGACACAGATGGAAGATGCGACTCTCTCTATATCTCTTCATTTACTCACTCTTTGCTTGTAGATGGATAGTAGAGTTCCTCTCCGTACGATTGCCTAATTTGGAAGGTAAACTTTGACTGAATCACCCTCATAATTTGAAATGTGTATAGAGACATGTGTATCTAAACCTCATCTCAGGAGAGGCATAGTGATCCCACCCAAGGGCTAAACGACTAATTAAACTGGGCTGAGAACCATCAACTTGTAATCGCCAGCGGGAATGAAATTAAGCGCTACCTCGCGATTTTGAAAAATTGTGGCTTTATGGTCAAATTCCCCAAAGTCCAATTGCACCACAACACAATCTAAACCGCGTATCGACATGACCATGATAAACTTCCTCAAAGGACATCCTACTAGAACTATTATACCAGTTAAGGAGATAGCAAATGCATATAGTAAAGTGTTGCTTGACAGTGACTATCTTTCATATGATAGTGATCCAAATAATCAACATCCACTAGCATACGGCACTGATCCTGGTAATTTGGATGTCAGAACTACTATTTCCAACTGGGTAAATGACAAATACCAAATTCAATCAACAAGTGCTGACTTGATAAATTTGACGGCAGGAGCGTCTTACGGGGTCGCCAACATCTTGGCATCAACAACAACACCCCAGCTAACAAAAAAGGCCTTTGTCGTTACACCAACATATTTCTTGATCAACAGTGTTTTCGTTGATGCAGGTTTGGGAGATGATTTAATAGCCATAAATGAAACTTCGTCAAGTGAGTATGATATCGACTTGGAGAAACTTGAATCTGAATTGCAAAAATTTGGCAAAACTGGAGTTGATACAATCTTGAAAGATCCCAGAGGCGAACGCAAAATCTACCAATTCGTAATGTATCTTGTTCCAACATTTTCAAATCCCGGTGGCATGACATATTCGTTAAAGACTAGAGAGAAGTTGTTACAACTAGCAAGAAAATATGACATGCTACTCATTAGCGACGATGTTTATGAGTTTTTAAACTATGCCTCAACAACAACAATTCCACCACCAATACTGAAGATAAACCAAATTGATCAAAAGACGGTGTCAAACAAGTACGGAAACTCAATTTCTAATGCTACATTCTCCAAAATTATTGCGCCAGGGTTGAGAGTTGGTTGGCAAGAATCCGCGACACCAGCATTAGTCCACCAATTGAGTGTCACTGGTGCTAATAAATCTGGTGGTACACCATCACAATTATCGACTTTAGTCGTTGCTAATTTAATTGAATCGGGAAAATTGGATACAATCATTCTCAATTTTAAATCAGTTTATGCGGAGAGGGCCCAAGTTTTGAAAAAGAGTATCAAAAAATATTTACCTGCCAACACTCAAGTTGATGGAGGCGATGGTGGATATTTCCTTTGGATTAAATTACCCAAGGAAATTGATAATCATGCAGTGATTGAACAATTGGCCCAAAAGGGTGTTGTGATTCCCAGTGGGGAAGGGTTTGAAGTTTTGGGGTCAAATAATAAACAAAGATGGGGCGATCATTGTGTTAGATTGAGTATCAGCTATTTGACCACCGAGGAAATTGAACAGGGGGTGAAGATATGGGGTGAAACTATTGTAGAGTTGGGTAACAAGTGAAATTCAGGGATGAAAATTCCACCATGACAAACAGTAGCAGAGATAGTAAGTATTTAAGTATTGGTAGTTGCTAACACCATCACCTAGCTTATAAACAAGAAAATATTATGGCTGAACAAAGAACAGAACTGTAATCATTCTTCTTCAATCGAATACATCATTCATTCTAGCTATTTGAAAAGTTAGTATTGTACTAAATGATAACACATTTCTTTTTAAGACAAAAACATCAGCGTAGATCTTGGTGTATATTGTTTGTTGTAATCTCATGAGTAATCGAGGTTTAGGCGAAAACTTTATCATCAGGGTTTTTGTAAAAAGAAAAAAGAAAAGAAAATCACACATATAAGGTGTAGAACATACCATTTATGGAGCCATTGAATGTTGGATAAAAAGAAGAGTTGGGTAAGTGAAGAAAAATTTTCGTTCTTTTGTTTTTTTTTTGAATGAATGTTTTACTGTGTCGCAAAAATTCAAGTGACTATTTTAGAAACTCACGACAATGTTTGTCCAAGATGATTGTATATGAAGAGTTACAGAATGCAGGCCCATCAAGGAAGTTGAGATTACTTTGGTTGCTTGCTAAGTTTATCAAATAGAAGAAGGTGATATCAAATGGGTAGTCAGCCCAACTTAGCTATTCCATCTTCCTTTGGAATCTACTACTAATCAATGGAAAGTAATGCAAGTAACCATGGGATAAGGCTGGTTTTGCTATCTGAAGTTCTACATAGTGAGGTAGTAGTAATCATGAACTCTCAATTTTCCCCACCAAAATGATTGAATCCTCAACCTAAATATATTTTTTCTTCATATCAAACTTTTGAAACAATTTTTTTGCATCACTTTTGCAACCAAATTCACTCAACCCACCACCACCACCACCAACTATGGTTCGTGATTGGGCAATTACTTACAGAAATTTACAGTTCTCGGGACTTTCAGCACTCTCATACATCTTTGACTTTACATTCTATTCAACAATCCTAATAATTTCAGCAGTATTAGGAAGAATACTCCCCCCTAGGTATCATGAGTTTCTGTTGTTTGACATCAATTTACGCTACACATTCTTACCACAAGCAACAGTGCCCGTTTGGTTATTAATCCTCATTTCTGCAGGGATCCCTTTACTTCAGTTTTTGCTATTTGCCATCTTTTTCCAAACACTATCCATCAAACGTCGGTTATGGGATTTTTTTGCTGGTTGTTTATGTCTTCTTGGTGCACAAGCAACTCAAGTATGGGCAGTAGCTTTATTGAAGAATATTACCGGGCTTCCTCGACCGGATATGATTGAGCGATGTGAGCCCATGATTCAAAATATTGCCATTACACAATTATCCAATGTCGCCATATGCACTCAACCTAATTGGAATGCAGTTATGGAAGGCTTTCGATCATTCCCCAGCGGACATGCATCAACGGTATTTTGCGGCATGATTATCACTTCACTAAACCTTGCAGCAAAGTTGCAAACTTTTGATAGGAGAAATAATTCATTCAAGGTGTTTTTAACTATATCGCCATTATTGGGTGCTGCATTCGTGGCGGGAACTCGAGTCAGCGATAATCGGCATTTCTTGCGTGATGTTATTGCGGGATCAATATTGGGTGCATTTGTAGGCGCATCGTTTTATCATCAGTACCATCCAAGTGTTTTTCAATTGGCTAGTAGAGGGGGAGCATTCCCACCAAGGAGGTTTGGTGTTTCGAGATTTTTCAGAAATGTGGGAGGGTTCTGGCGAATGGATGATGGTGGGTCCTTTGAGGAGGGAGATATTACACGCACAATTGAGAATGAGGATGTTGAAAGACGAATTCAGGAAAGCGGACAGGGTGAAAACGTTAAAGTGAAGACACTAGCGGATAATATCAAGTTTGTAAATATGCTTTAAGTACATTCATTATAAGTCTCTATGGTTTCATCTCTCCTACAAGATCTTTCTTGTTCTCCTCCTTGCTTGTTTGATCTTATCTGTGGTCTGTTCAACTTCTTCATTAAATTTATCCAACATTGCATTCTGCTCTTCGACTTCAGTACTAATTGTCTCCCCTATTTGCCTCTGTCGAGCAATAATCATACGCAATTGTTCCAACTCCTGATCCTGTGTCTGGTGTATTTGCACCTGGTGTTGTAAAAGCTCCTTGTTATTCAATGGTAGAGTCTCCTCGGTCTCTTTGGCATCCTTACCACCTTTGCCACCACCACCCAATACTCGCGAAAATGATTGGACATCCAGCTGTTGTGGTTGAATCAACATTTCATCAATTTTCGATTGGAGTTGACTAATCATATCGCGACGTCTTTGCGATTCGACCTTGTCTTCAGTAGCACTCGATGTGATTAGATCAGTGATTGAAGGTTGAATAGATTTTCTAATTTGTTCCTTTAATTTGATTACATTTGATCCATACGTTTTGGATAGCTCAAAAAGTTCACTTTTTACCTTACGATACAATTCATGCCAGTTCTCGTTATTCACCTGAGGTCGGTCTTGAAATTTGAAGTTTTTGGGCAATTGTAAAAAACTTATAAATTCACATTCATTCTGCAACGCGCGATCACTAATCATGGCATTGAGGAACTCGGTTAGACCTCGTTTACGCTCTTCAATCACGTTGTATTTGTTTAACCAATTGATTCGCTTTCCGGGTAAGGCATAGGGGAAATCTTTATGGCCAATGCCCAAGTCATGACATAATGTGTCAACTAGTTGTTCAAAGTCTGAGTACCGTTTCTTTATCGAGTATGAGCGGAGCGGTAGTTTGATGTCAATCTGGTAGTATGTAGAGCCATCTATGTCAATTTCTGTGGGTATGGCTATTGACATTGGAGAGATAAAGTGTGTTCATATAAAGTGTGTCGTATAAAGTGCGTGTGTTATTTTTCTGTCTTCTTTGACTTGGCGCGAATTTAGTGGTGGTTAAAAAGCGGTTTTACCAGAATAGGTCAAGATTGTGGCGACACAGGGTTGGCAATTTCTTAACTCCAGTTTGGTCACTAAATGGATCAATTACCCATTGTAGACCAAAGACCAATTGTATCTTCTTATAGACGTTGTAAGTACTTATTCTACGTATTAAACCCTTTTGCGATTCTTGTCACATTCTCCACGCACACAAAGCAATTCTCAGTCATCGAATTTCTCTTAGATTGCTGCGAATTGTATTAGAACCTCACTACTGCAGACACCTGTACAAACGCACCAGTACCATGTCAAAATACCAGGCAGTCGACCAGTCCGACTCAAATAGTGAGCGCATTGGCATATCTGAGGAAAACGGTGAGCACGGAAATGATCACGAACGCTTGCATCGAGAAACACCTGAACCAGTCAGAGAAAACCGGGTGCCAGCTAATGATCGACTTTCCTCATCTGACATTGAAACGCAACCATTATTGGATCCAGATGATCCAATTGTATCACCTTTGAACTTGGATCGGATCAAATTACTCAAATACATCCAATTAGTTTTAATATTTGTCAACCTAGTGTTATTCTTTGTCTTGTTATTCAGCGACTTTTTCCCCATACCGGGATTCAATAATAGAGGAAAATCATTTTTACAGATTGACTTGGTATTGATATGTTTATTGATTAATGGATTGAACCATGTGTCGTTTGTCGTGCCCGCATATTATGACCGTATTGGTGGGTACATTGTCCTGGGATTGTTGATCATTGATTTGATTTTGGTTCTCGCCATCCCGGAACCAAGAAAAGAGCAAGGAATATTGGGCAGTGTATTGATCTTGTGGACAGCTCTCACGTCATTGCTTAATTCGCTTATTGATTACTGGGTTGAGGAAGGCAAGCATTATCAGGAGATTAGATACACCGGAAGGATCGAGAAGCGTAAAACTGTCCGCGAATTACTTGTCATTTTCATCAAAACTGTGTTTGAGCTATTCATATTGTGGGTCATTTGGTGTGTTAGTTTGACTATATGGTTACATTGCTTCGATACGCATGAGAAGCCATGGGGTCAATTGGTACCAGTGAATAATAACCAATTTAGAGTGCATTTGGCTTGCTTTGGAGACGTACACAACAAAGACTCCAAACAACCAATTATTTTAGTTGAAGGGGGTCAGATGACTTCGAGCGAAGTGTTTCAAGAATGGATTGAAGAGTTGCATCATTTAGACAAAGTTGAGAGATATTGTATTTGGGATAGACCTGGGTACGGTTTTTCCGACTCAGCTCCTCCACCGCAAAGTATAGGAATAATTGTTGATTACTTATCTGAAGCATTGGAGTCTCAAGGAATTGAAGGTCCATTTGCAGTTGTTGGGTTTGACATTGGTGGATTATACGCTCGAATGTTTGCTAGTAGGCATCGTGCTAAAATCCACCTGGTCCTCTTTGTTGACGCTTGGCCGGCTGACTTGTTGAAGAAATGGCCGTTTAGCGGATCAGGAAAGAAGAACGAGTCAACCAAAGTGTTTAAACATTCGTTGGAGGTAATGGACAACATCACCGGTATCAAGTTATGGTTGAAGGGTTTCATTTCGCCGTTGGGTATCATCCCTAGTTTTCATTGGTTCTTCCACCCAATGAAGTTTTCGAGCAAGAGTCGCGTTTTTGGTAGGGACATGTACTACCAGTCAAAATACATTCGTGCTAGATGTCAGGAACAACTAGTATCGGGCATCTTGTCATACAATGAAATTAGAGAAGCTGATATAAATGAGTTGCAAGTTGGCGTCATCTCGTCTGACTTTATGATTAAGAAATCTTTAAATTGGGGCAAATGGCAACGTGAGTTGACCAAGTTGAGTTCGAGAACTGCTGAATGGGTCATTGCTGAAAACAGTGATCATTTTATTTGGCGCAGTTCAAAGGGAAGAAAAGAGTTGCAGCAATTGTTGTTGCGTTTGATTGGTGAGCAAGAATATTAGTACAATCTGTAATATATATAAGAGTGTTTTTAGGTGTTTGTATAAAGAGCTATGGTGTGTAGTGTAGTGTAGTGTGTGGTGTGGGTTTACCCCCACTGTTCGTGCAACTTGAAACAATTTTCTTCAATTTCCCATCAAACAATAAGCTCACCTTTTTTTTCTTTAATTAAATTTTATTTCCTAAACTGTACTACAAGGCCAGAAAGATATAATAACCAAACTGATTTAATAAAAGACATACAATAGAAAAATAGAAAAAATATCAACCACCATCACCAACAACAACATTGGAAGGATCATCATTACCATAGAGAATAGTTGTTGGACGTATATCTAAACCTACATTATCATATTCAGTCAGGAAAAAAAATTAAAAAAAAGACACAAGCTTTGCTATCATGCCCGAGAGCTCATCAATCTTGACGAGAGAACACATCACTCAACCGCTTAGATTGTTATCAGCCAATAAATCAAACTCATCACATAACTTAAACTCATCCTCAGGGTCAAGTAGTCCGCCATCACCAGCATTAGTGTCGACTGATCCAAATCCAAGTCTTGCTTCACAGCAGTTGCATCGTCCGACACCACAACAAATTCAGCAACTGGAATACTTGCAACAACAGCAACAGAAACAGCAACAGAAACAGCAACAGAAACAGCAACAGAAACAGCACCAGCAACAGCAAACAGCACCAGCAACCCTGATACAACAACAGCCACAAGTGCGGCAGCAATCGGTTAATACCGCACAACTGCTGCAGCTGACACAACAACAACCTCCTCCTCCTCCTCCTCAGCGACAACGAGCACGACTGCAGCACCAACCGCTGGTTTCAAGAAGACCTTCATTTGGCTTGCATTTCTTGAGCAGTTTTAGTTTGAGGTCGCCACCACAATCTGATGCAACTGGTTCGCATCAAACACCGCAACAATCTACTCCTCAGCAACAGCAACAGCAACAGCAGCAGCAACATTCATCATCAATAGCCCCAACAACAATGTCGCCAGCGCAACAGCAGCTGCTGCAGCCACCCAATCGCCACCTACTGAACTCTCACGCACAGAACTCGACCCTTCAATTAATGTCAAACAGTCCTACCTTGGGTAATTTGAACAACTATGTTGACGAAGAGACGAATGAGGCCAATGTTACTGCATTTCACGATACACTTGAAGAACCGCCTGAAACCACAGCTGGGACTTCTGATGTCAATTCAAGGCCGCAACCACAGCCGACTGCTACAGCTGTGTCGTCATCATCGTTGGGCCTTGTGTCCAGTGAACCAAACTCATCCTCAGCCCAAGACACAAAGCAAGGGTCAGACGAGGGTAAAGATAAAGATGGATCTTTTTCAGTGCGTTTGACACCATTGATTGATCACTCTTCATCCTCTAGTGGGTTATACTTTTCACCAATTATACGTAAAATCAAGCCTGGATCGAAACTTAGTATTGGTCGGTATACAGAAAAAAATAAAGCGGCAGCACATGCGGCACAGGGCTCATCAGCACCGATTGTTTTCAAATCAAAGGTGGTTTCACGTACACATGCATTATTGGATTGTAATGAGGATGGACAATGGTTTCTCAAGGATTGTAAATCGTCACTGGGTACGTTTCTAAACCATATTAGACTTTCACCTGCGTCACAGGAAAGTTCATTGATGCCAGTGATTGATGGCGATATAATTCAATTGGGGATGGATTATCGAGGCGGGACAGAAGAAGTGTATCGATGTGTCAAGATGAGATGCGAGTTTAACAAGAGCTGGCAACGCAAAGTGAATCAATTCAACTTAGAAATTCACAAGAAATTTAGAAATTTGAGTATAAGTGATCCAAATATATTGGCCAATGGTGGAGACAAAAATGGATCTCAATCAACTACTTCAGATAATAATAATAATAATAGTGAATGTGCCATTTGCTTGATGAAGGTTGAACCGTGTCAAGCGTTGTTTATTAGTCCTTGTTCACATGCGTGGCACTATAAATGTATCAGACCCATCATCATCAAAAGCTATCCCCAGTTTTATTGTCCCAATTGTAGGACAATGTGTGATTTGGAAACGGATTTGGAAGATGACGATGATGATGATGATTGAGAGGAACAGTTGAAGTTGAAGATGCATTATGGTTAGAGGAGCTTTGGTTTTCGAAGAGGAGGTGTGAGGTTTGTGTATTTAGATTTCAATCACTATGTTGTTTTGATTTAATTCGCGTAGTAAGGAGTTATATCTCGTAGATAAACCAAATGCTTTATACAAAGTTGGATTCTATTAGAGTCGTTTTGACTCGTTCTCTTCTATGGGGTTGCACGTGGGGTGTTTCCTACTATACCTTTCCCAATTGAGATATTATCTTGACTATTCTGGTAATGTCAACGGTTATTTTTTATTATTTTTCTATTTTTTCTCCTTCAGGAAATAATCCCTTTAGTCGAGCGTACCTTTTTCTGGGCGTACTACTGTATATCAAAATTTATTATTTTGCCTCTTTGCAAGGGGACCATTTTATCAACAGAGAAAAAGAGATAATAAAAACCATAACCATTTAACCTCTAATCACAAACTAGATTCAAACAAATAGTTGTTGTTCAATCTACATTCCACAACCAGTGTTAATATTCAGCTGTACTAATTATTATAAAATTTTATTAAGAACTATAAAAAATACACGATGTTGTTTTTTTGTTTGTAGTTTCTCTAATAAACTTACAATAACAAAGCAGCAGCACCAACCAAAGCAGCACCAACTTGCAATTTACCAGCACCGGCTTCGAATGAAGAGACAGCTGGAGCAGATGATGATTCAGCAGCAACAGTTGATTTAGATTCAGAAGCAACAGATGAAGCTGGAGCAGATGAAGCAGCAGCGGATGAAGCTGGAGCAGATGAGGCAGCAGCGGATGAAGCTGGAGCAGATGAAGCTGGAGCAGAAGTCAATGGACAGTAGGTGGTGTAGACAGTGTCAACGTCAGTGACAGTGGTCAAACCGGTGGTGACTGGGACTTCAGTACATTTGTTTTCTGAACATGAAGTGATGGTAACAACGGTGGTAGCAATGTCAGTGACAGTGGAGTTGTATGAAGCAACAGCTGAACCGGCAACGGCAGACAAGATAGCGACTTTTGAGTATTGCATTTCGGATATGATAATAATTTGTTGGATTAAGCGAGTGTAAGGTTTAATGAAGAGAGAAAAGAAGAAAAAAAAGAGGGCAAAAAAATCTTAGCAGGGGAGGGATCTGGAGCTTAATTTATAATTGAGAAAAAATTTTCTCTGTAAGTGGCAGTGGCAATAATAAAAGGTTAGTCAATTTGGTAACAAAAGCAAAAAGCAAAAAATAATAAGAATATACTGCTGCTGTATCTATCTATCTCTCAAAAAGCATCACCCATAAGGCAAAAATGGTTTTGTTTATTTTGTTTGACGCCTGATTTGGTTTTGAGTTTTTACCTTTTTCGAGATTTTGTGTTATAATTTCGTTTCTCTTCTATTGTTCTATATTTGGTAATCGCACTACCTGCGTGGGTAAGTGGGTTGATTAAAAGAATTCTATTCCTATTGTGTGTGTAAAATAACAAAAGAAAAAAATATATATTTTTTATTTGTAAAAAGGTAGTGCGATATGGCGAATTATATCCATTTTGGGAAATTCAAATACCGCATTGGGTAGGCGCAGCTTGGTTTAAAAATAGAAATAGCAACAACAAAAGAAAACAAAAGAAAACAGAATATATACAGCAATAGAAAAAAGAAAAAAGAAAAAGAAACTAAACAATAAAATTTTAGTCTCGTGCTTACAAAATGATTTTTTTTTTTCGTAATGGGTTGTGTAATCTTCTATTACCACCGCTCCCTCTCTCTCGTCTCCTATTCTTTCGATACTCAAAGAGGGAGCCTATCTGTCTTCCCCATTATCAAACGGAGTGATTGTCTTTCTACAGAGCGTACAAAATGAATAGTTGCTATTTTCCCCCATTCCTACTCTCTCTCAGCCTAATTATTGAGGCTTTTTCACTTTGTATCGCCCCCTGTCGGCGCTATACAAAAAATAAATAATATGTTCCTTTTTTTTCCTTTTACTAATGGGAACAATTCCATTCGAGGACGTCCAGTTTTTCCATAATTTTTTCGAATAGAAAAAAGTTCTTGGCTGGTTGTCACGGTGCTTTCTTTGAAAAAGGGAAACGTTAAAAAGCTACTCGCGGCAGTCATAAAACAAAATATAAGAACATGGGTTAGGAAACGTTTGTTACCTGAGTCGGGTGTCGTGGGTCTAAAAAGTGAAACCAAAAGGTTAATTAGAGTTCGGTCGGACCGCTCCGTTTCTTTTTTTTGCATTGTCTGACGACTCTCATACAAAACAAACAAAACAAACAAAACAAACAAAACAAATGAAGCAAACAAATAAACAAATAGAGCAACACAACAAAATATTTTGACAGACTAGGTAGGAGGGTAGTTACTACCATTAGCAACTATGCTTCCCTATTAGTCATACGCTTTACTTCTTTTAGACATTACCTTCTAATTGCAGTAATTTACCTTCTATGCCTCGAGAATCGTTTTATGCCTTACTTCTTGTTTTGAAGTTACTGCATAACTACGTTAAAACACCTCCTTACTGCATCTTGCTGGACAGGGGTGCGCTTTACGCACATCTGCCTTGCCTCCCCCTCTCTGTCTCTGTCTCTGTCTCTACTCTTAAGCATGTGATACGGATTAATTGCCAAGAGTGTGTGTTATCTCCGAGCAATGTGTAAACCTGTATATAACTATTTTTCTCTTTTGGTTTTGTGATTTTGTTTTCTTAATTTTATGTTGTTTATTTTTTTTTCTTGGCCGACATTGGCTAAAAAGAGAATTAAAATTTTTGACCAGCGGTTACCGCCTATTTGGTTATTTTGATTCTGGCTCAACATTTTGCTAACCCTTAAAGACAAAGAAAGAAGCAAGAGACAAACAAGCACTACGAATACAAAAAATTAGACGAAATCAGAAGGCCAAGCCAGGTTAAAAAAGGGGGGGAGGTCAAAAGCATGAATCTCACCTGAAGTTCTTGGCAACTGGTTGCAACCTGGTAGTTATTCCGCGATAAGATCAAGGCTAAAAGCCCAGTGGCTTTTCTTGCTAAACTAAACGAAATAAAGGGAAGACGTAAGGTACCAAAACAGGAGATAAGGCCCAGGTCAGACATACGAAACAAAACGAAATTAAAAAATATTTCAAATACTTTGCTTAATTAGGCAAATACCAGTAAAGAACTGCTTGCTCTGTAGTCTCTTCTCTTATCTTTCTTCTTTATATTCTCTTACTTTGGAAACAAACACGCACACACACACTCTCTCTCTCTCTCTCAGGCTCATGCCCATGTGGGATAATCTCTTTGCTTAATGCGGTAATTTCGTTAAAGAAACAAACAAATTTTCAAAAACAATGTTGATCAAGATATTACGAAAAGCTGGCTTAAAGGAGAGGAGAATTGTTTTTTCTCTCTCTTTGTTCTTAATTCAATTGTTTTTTTATGACAATGGAGGAGAGAAGAGCGGAACAAGAAAGCGAATAGATTGCGAGAGTAAGTGCAATATTTCTCTCTCAAGCCGTGCATCTGTCTCTTTCCCTCTCTCTCTTCCTCTTCAACAAACATGACATGATAAACTAAAGTACAAAAGAACATTTATTTGTTTTCTTTTTCTCTTGTTTTGTTCCGGTTGTTAATTAGACCACAGACACGATGACGATTTCTTTATATTCTCCTCACCACTTTCCTTTCCCCCTTACTTAAGGCTACAAGAGATCACGTAATGCTTTGGAGCCGTACATCTTCCTCTTCTCCTTTTCCAAGACGACATAGCAACAGCAGGGTTAGTCTAACCAAAGGTTGAAATTATTAACCCAAAAAAATAGAAAAGAAAAAGCGCGTTATTGTGTCACGATTGGTTTCTTTTTAGTTGTGTGTTGTTACTTGATTGGATCAAAATATAAACAATCACGCATTCGACCAATAAAAGCTATGTGTATATGGAAAAATGAGAGAGAGAAACTGATGATGGAAGTTGACTCTTGAATGGGTGTAGCTGTCGCTCGTTACTAAGTTATTCAATCCGAAGTGATTTGAAAGAATTATATGCACAGCGTGTTGTAACAACACAAAGTTATGTGTAATATTGTTTTTGCGAGACTTGTGACGTTGATGACGTTGTCGGGAGTTGTGGTTGTAGTTGTAGTTGTACAATAACCTTGGAAAAGCAACGCACTCGCGCGATAGTAGCATATAGAGTCCCGAACGTTTGTGGAACATTGGCAAAAAACCTCTTCTTTATTGCTCCTCTTTCCATCGCGATCTCGCAATGCATCCGTCTTTCTCTATTAAAAACCACGCTTATGTTAAAATTATTGGTGTATTCCTAGCATGTCTCTCGCGTTTATTGTGTCTTTAGTACACGGTTTGTGGCTCTGCAACAGTCTTACATATTAGATACCTGGTCATGTGGTTTTGTTGTAGTATGCACCACTTACTGTTTTGCCATTTTGCTGTTGGGGGGAGGGGGGGGGGGGAGTGGAGGAGAAGATTGTTCTACATACTTTTGGAGTCTTGCTTAGTAGCCATGACAATATTTCGAAATCACTTCACTGATCACTTGGTTGCCATCCAGACTCACTTGGGCTTGAGTGCATTATCTTGTAAGTAGATCTAAACTGTTCCAGAACTTTTTTTTTTGCATAGCTCGATCTTCACTGTAATCATTTTCAAAGGAGCCGAGTTTTGCAACCAAACTGAGTGGTGGGTTATATCTTTGTAGAAAAACGAGAAAAGGAGAAACAATTATGCTACATTTGCAAGTAAAGTGCAACAACTATGATAACTTCCTCTTATGATCTTATTTGGGAGTGTTACATAAGACTCACTGTTTCGATGAATATTTTTTTTGCATCAAATTTGATGTAAATTTGAATCTCTCTTTTGTCTTGAACCAACTATTCATTTGCAATTAATGTTTCTGAACAAATTATGAAAATTTTTTTTAAAAAACTGATAAGACTAAACCAATGCTGTCTGATGAATATTTAAAACTCAGTTAATACAATGGCATGCATAATCTTCCTAGGAAAAATCGTGGTAGCTAGATAATCTCAATTTTAAAATTTTATGCCTATGATGTACCAGAAGAATCGTGTCGTATCGCAAAATTTCAACACACGACACTTTTCAAGTCTATTGCCGAGGAACAAAAGCATCAATTACGTAAGCATATATTCGCTACCAGTAACGTCACCACTAAATCTTGTAAGTCCTATCAACATAAATAACTCTAAAACCAATCACAAAGAAAGGTACATTACTTCAATAACTGTGTTTATTGATGGTTATTATAATGAGTTGAAAAACTAAAAGACTTCTTAAGTTAGGGCACTAGCTACAACCTTTGTAGAGAATATTTCGGGAGAAACTAAAAAGTTGAGTATACACCAAATTGGCCAACAAAAAGTAGCTGAATATAGTGTCAAGAAGACCACGAATGAAACGAGTCAAGAAAAGTTATAATCTATTAAAAGTTGAAAAAAAAAATATACCTAACTAATGTACAAAAATCTGATGCTCCTCTTCAGTTCTTATTATTAATTCTTCTTCCTCCGTCACCACGCGTCCCAATTACCAACATTCGTATCCACCATCTACCACTAGATTGTGACCGGTAGTATACGATGATGCGGAATCGGAGGCCAAGTACAAGATTGATCCAACGAATTCTTTTGGCTCAGCCATACGCTTCATTGGAATCTTGCTCTCCCATTCAGCCTTCATATCGGCATGACCAGCAATGACATTCCTCGTCAATGGAGTCAAGATGTAACCGGGACTCAAGGTGTTGACTCTGATATTGTATTTAGCCCATTCACAAGCCAAGGAACGAACTAGATGTATGACACCAGCTTTTGACATATTGTACATACATTGTGGTTGAGGATCATTGACAATTGTACCCGACATCGATCCCACAAGAATAATAGAACCCTTCTTGTTGGCAGCAATCAAAGGTCTGGCAAATGATTGTGAAACGTAGAAAGCACCCAATCCATTAACCTTCATTATCGATTCAGCATTCTTGGCTGGGTATTCTTCAGCAGGGAAATTTTCAGCATATCCAGCTGAATTAATCAATAAATCGGAAATCTTGCCGTGATGTTCATTGATGGCCTTAAAAGTCAATTCAACTGATTCAGCATCACCAATGTTACATGACCAAGCAGAAACTTGACCAATAGGAGATTCATTTTTACCCTTCATTTGTTCTTCTCCCCAAAGCAAAATCTCCTTAGCTGCTTGTTGGGTTCTTTCCAAATTGACATCAATAAGAGCAATATCGGCACCTTGTGCTAACAAAGCTCTAGCGACAATAGCGGCCAATCCACCGGAACCACCAGTCAAGATGGCCAATCTCCCATCCAATCTGAATGATGGGACAATATTTTCGTATGCGTAGTATGATGATAAATCCATGATTGTGAGTAAAAACGATTGATTAAGAGTGGTTGTTATTTGTTGTTTGATAAGAGGTAGAAGAAGGAGAAGAAAGGAGGAAGGATATTGATAAGGATGGGGAATATTGAAAGATATTTATATGATTTTAGATCATCCACACTTTATTAGAAAAGGGAATGTCATTAAATTTTTTTTTGTTGATAAAATAAAAATAAAAATAAAAATAAAATATAAAATTTGAATTTCTTTTTTTTTTTTATTTATTTGAAGCCAGTAGTAGAGGACATCTAAAACAAAATAGACAAATACAACAACAGGGGGTGTATCTTTTCTTTTTTTTTTTTTATTTTTGTTTTATTTTATTTATTTACTAATCAACTAGGCACGTTGGTATTACGTACAAATATATTACACCCCCTTAGGACATACTACACTCTATACACACCATAGGACAAGATATATAGATAGATAGATAGATAAGTCGAGAGATAAAACCCTGGCCCAGATAGAGCAATAAAGCAATAAAGTAAGTGTATTCATAATTCTATTAATAGTAGAATAATAAAGCAAAGAAAAAAAATAGATAAATAAAATAGGAAGTCAACTCTGCCCACCCCGCCTCTACTAGTTGATCATTTTTACCCCATATAATCGGACTCTGAGGAAGTACAGTAAAATAAAGTAAAATGATAGTGGTTAGTACCCAATGGGAACATTTTTTGTTCAGTTGTATGTGCTGGCAAGTATTGTAATTCGGAGAGATTATAGTTTTTTTACTTCTTTCTTCCTTCTTTCTTTATGTCAAAATGCATAAACACGTTTTGTGTGATCAAACAAATGTATGGCATTTGGTCGGTGGAACTGTAAAACTGCTTTGGTTATATGCAGGAAACATTCCTCCGATGTTAAAAGTATACCCACAGACAGGGACAGAGGCGGGTCTATTTCAATTTCTCTCCCTATCCCTTTTCTTCCAACCTTCCCTGCCTCGTAACCCCTTGAAAAAGAGTTATCTTCCATTACCACAGTGTTTTGACGAATATGTTTACACCACTTCTTTGTAATCACCGATAGCCGATGTATTCTTTACAAAGAGGTTTTGAATTGATAAGCTATTCTTAAATTTGGACATAAATCCTTTATTGTTGTTTAGCCACAGTATCGTGTAGATCGTGTAGCAGTTTTCATTTTAGGAACTATATACTTATGCAATGCCACATATACACATGGAGTATGTATAGGAAGGTAGGTGAAAGGGGGTGTTAAATCCTCCTATAGCCTCTTTTTACACAGGTGTTATCGCTAAAAGATTATGTGGTGTCGCGAAATCTGTCAAGAGCTTTATGCGACAAGCCACTACATACACATCATTTCTCCATCTCTGTTATATTTCTGTTATTTTTGATCTCGTTTAATCGTGCCTATCTCCTTCAAATTAGTGCACTTTTCGCTATAGATTTAGTAACTGTTCACTAAGCTTTGTGGAATATAGTATACGTTGTTCCATGTTCTTATGAGCCAATCTCATCCTCGTGGCTATGACTTTAACCTAAGCTTGTGCTGTATTGTTTCTTTTTTTTTTATATACAGTTTGTCTCCCTTATTAGCTGAGTTTTCGTCAATCTTCACACATGCATACGTAATATACATACATACATACATACATACATACTGCAATATTACTCACTATTACAACAGTTTAGTCGTTTCGTGTCATTTCAACCGCTTTGTTGATTGACTAAATTCTTATTGTTGTTTGTGCAACAGTTTTCTTCTTTTTTTTTCAGATCTTTGTGAAACAAAGTTCACGTGCTCGTTTCTTTTTTCTTTTTCTTTTTCTCTTCCCCCTTTTGGAACAATGAGATGAGATCAAATTCTGAAACATTTCTTTTCAACAATGATATCATAATACATATAATATAATACTGCATATATTTTACATAGGACAACAAAAAATATATGGATTACTATGACGTCTACATCTCTTTTCTCTTCTTCTAATTACGTACTATTTTTCGGGTATCTATCGTTCGTAAATCTAGAAAAGGGGTGCCATCAGATCGAATAACTCAACTCGTAAATGCAATGTGAGATAGTCACTGCAAGCATCCTGTTTCAAGAGTCATAGCGAAGGAAATCCTTTAGGTTGAATCATATGCTCACACTTTCTGATGATGACATCACTCCTTTTTTACTTCATTGGCTTAGTCTAACCTTTACTCACACAATAGCCTCCATAACTGCAGTGAAGTTCATAATACGATTCTAGTCTCTAAATCAATTGTTAAGCTTTGGCAATCTCAAATTGTGCAAATATACCGTGAACAAGCAAACACACAGCACGTTTCCGCTATAGAAGGTGAGATCCGTACAGTTGCACCAAAATTGAACCAATTAATGATACAGTGCAGACAACATTTGCGCTATTTTGTATTACATCTCTACAAAGGGGGAAGGGGGCGCGGTTAATTGAGAAAATTTGATTACGAATACTCGATATATTTCCTATATTTAGAACCAAAAATCAACAATATTAGTATCGTCAGTACGTTTGACTGGCGCAATACCAATATGCTTGGTTTCCAAATCCTTGACAAAATAAACTTCTCTAAGGATTGGAAGTCCAAGTCCTTGAGCACCTGCATTATCTGGCGCTTTATAGATATGCCCAGCGCACACAGAGTAATTTGGATATGGTTTGTAAAAGAAACTTGAGTATGGGACGGTGATGTTGATTGGTCCAAGATCAAATGTGAAGCTCTCAGTTGTATTCAAAACTCGATCACAATCAAACCAGCCTTGGGAATCAATACCCAATTCTTTGTATATTCCATCAACAATCAGGCTCTCCAATGCAACCCAAGCATTACCAGTATCAAATCCAACTTTTTTCGTAAATGGGAAAACTTTACCACTTGCAGTAATTACTGATGTCGCATTAATGTTTTGCTCTGCATCGAAAAGAACCAATTCACCCTCATACTTGGCCCTATCGATACCACCCAAAAGTAATGTACCTTGATCTTTTTCTGATCCCAAATAAATTGAGTAGCCGGCACGGTTTGTCAACCCAGCATGCTTGGCTGCAAAAACATAGTTTGAGTTAGCATCTCCACCATCACCAACACCAAAGACTCCAATATCACCCGAACTTTCATAACTGACATCAAATTCAAAGCCAGGAATTTTTTTACCATTATCAAAGTAGAGATCGTCATTGGCCTTGAAACTCTTTGTAGTTGCACCACTATAAGTCAGATCAGACCCTTTAGTCAAGTTTTTGAACGTGGAGGAATTTTCTGGATGGAAAACTGCATCTGGTGCGCATGTCTTTTTTAAACAAGTTGCACCAGGAACAGGAACGTTCAAACGATAACTGCCTGTATCAACTGTAACTCTAACAGGTTCTTGCGAGGAACCTAATTTTAACTTTGTAAACCATCTTGCCCCAGTGTCAGAGAACCATTGCAGTTCGGAAGTGGTTCTCTTATCATGTAAATTAAATTCAGCACTTTCAAGCTCATGAACAATAAATTTGTCGTGTTTCTTTTCAATGGGAGTACCATTGGTAACAGCAGCAAGTAATGTAACCAACACTGTAGTCTTGAGTAAAGGTAACATTATTGTGGATGTGTTGCTTTGAATGTAAAATGGATGATAATTGAATTGACAAAGAAGTACAGAAATTGGTCTATTTATAGTTCATTCCTGCAACTGTCAATAGCGTATTCTGTAGTTGCTCAAGGGGGGGTTAAACCGTGAAGCAGAAGTAACATGTGGATTATGTGGTGGTCACCAATTCTTGCTCTCTCAACGGGTCATAACCGTTATTGTTGTTGGATACGCTATGCCATTGGCACCAATGCATCCTTCCGTCACCCCATTGCTGATTATAAGGTGGGTAAAGTGGGGTAAACTAGTTGAGGTAGTTGAAATGTATAATGATTCTCATAACCACTTGATGGGGGACACTTTGTTTTAGTCCACCATGCTTTGCAATGACGTAATGTCCCTCATTTGTACCTTGGTTTGTATACTATTTGTTTATTCATTGGTCATTGGAGACACACACGGAAGATTTCCATTGTTCGGTGCGTCCATCACATTTGCAGTGCGATTGGTCTCATAACCACACCAGCAATGTAAAGAAAACGACTTTCTTTGATATGCAAAAAGAAGGGAGAATGTGCAAACACGTGGATATATCTCCATTCATGTTAAGCATAGCTGGATTACAGCAAGAGAGAAGGAACGGGAGACGATACCATCATAGTTTACAATTTTTTAAAAGGCCAGAGTTTTTTTAAAAGGGTATTGGAAAGACAAAGGCTATCTTCAATTTTGTACTCTAGTCGACATTAGCTGTTTACTGCAGGAAAACAATTGTTTTGAATCTATATTTCTATACTACAGACTCCACTCAAAACCAGAAATCAACAATGTCACTCTCATCGGTGTATTTCACCGGTGCAATACCAAGTTTTTTTGAGTCAAATGAACTAGTAAGATAAATTTGTCTAATAAATGGGAGACCAAGGTTTTGGGCTCCACCAGTTTCATAAGTATCAGTGATGTAGGTATCACAATAACCCGGCTTATCGGACTTTTCGAAATACAAATCTGAATATGGAATTTCAATTGTAACATCTCCCAAGTCAACCTTTAAACTTTTATCTGTATTCAATACTTGATCACATGGTGCAACTCCATACTCATTAGCTCCAACTTCTTTATTAATCGCATCAAAAATATCTTTGTCCAATGATAAATATGGATTACCAGAGTCTATCTCGACTGTATTTGTCAATGGAAGTACCGTTCCATTTCCAGTGGTGATGGATTTACCTTGAATGACAAAATCAGACTCAAAAAAGGCGAAATCGCCTTCGTATTTGGCCCTATCAACCCCACCAACAAGAAAGGTTCCTGTTTTTTCGTCGGAGCCCAAGTACAACGAAAACCCAGGGGTGTCAATCAAGCCAGCTTTTTTTGCAGCATACACATAACTTTCGCTCGGATATGTACTATGTCTAACCCCAAACCAGCCCATCTGAAAACTTGTGTAATTAGCCAAGTCAAATTCAAACTGAGGGATCTTATCGCCATTGTCAAGGAAAAGATCATCATGAACTGTATACCCAATCACAGAGGTTTTACCTCTTCCATAGTAGGAAGCAGCTGAGATACTCAGATTTTTGAACGTGGTTGACTTGTCTGGGTGGAAAACACTGCCAGCAGGACATGTTCCTGTTCCAAGACATGGTGCATTTGGACCAGGAATATTTAAGCGCCAACTACCAGTGTCAATCATGACTTTAACTTTTTCTTTACTAGATCCAATTTCTAAATCAACAGTGTATCTAATACCAGTATCATCAAAGTTGAGCAGCTCATCCCTCTTACCAGACCCAGAAATGTCATACTTTTCAATTTGGTGTACAAAAAATTTGTTGTGTCTTTTTTCAATAGGAGTAGCACTTGTAACACTAGCGAATAATGCCACCACGATAGATGTAGTAAACTTCATCTTTAGTTTTCAGTGTCTGTGAAAAGATCAACATGGACAGAAGTGGCTCTTTTCTTGCTCTATTTATATATTTGGTTTCTGTTGTTGTTTCTTCTTCACAAATGAGTAAATTTCAGCAATCTCTCACACTACAAATGCATTTTCATACGAGGGTAATCCATAGCGACTAGTGTCAAATATTATAACCAACGATTTTGCTTATCTGGCAATACTTTGTATCAAAGTACAATAAAATATCGCAACAAAATTTCAAATGAAATATTTTCAGTGCCGTGGTTGTGTTTGTTATGATGCCATGCTTAATTTCGAGTCAATGAACAATGGGAATTGAACAATAAGAAGCAATTTGAGTGTAATACATGTATTGTTGACCGAAAAACCCACTGGAAAAGCGCGCTCAAAGATAGAAAGTTGAACTGTTTTTATTTCTTGGCTTCGATTACAGACTAGCCTCAATTTCAAAACCATTTTTATGGCAAAATAAAAATTGAACAAAAAAGGTTTTTACTTAACAGGTACACCCTGCCATACATGACATTGCGCATGGCTTTTCTGCATTAAAAATATAAATAATTGCAGCTTTACCAAGCTATTTTCCCAAGTACTTGCTATCTTTATAATACGCCATAGAGGAAGGTAGTTCAAAAAATAAAAAGAAAGGAAGAAACGAAAAAACGTAAAGGTGGTCCGGTGCTCATGCAAAAGCAAAATGCGAATTTGCTACTTTTGAGACCGCCAATGCATTGTTTTGTAATCAGGAGCAGAGCTCATAATCATTATGCAATGTGAAATTTCATGGGCTAAATTCAATGGGCATGTATTATTCACCAATGATATTACAAACAGTATACAAACCATCAACGTCAAGTAAACACAAAAAGTTTCCCATGAATTGATTAATTCTTAGGTGCTGTATAAATGGTTATGATTTGACATCGGATGTGTCCTTTGTAATTGAATTGCGGAAATTTCTTGTAAGGCACCACAAGTGTTGCACAAAAGTAAAATGGTTTGAAGGTTATGAGTTCTTATCGAATGGCTGTATTTGTGTAATAAATGGCAACCTTGCTTTGTGTTATATTTCAATCCATCCGTCAACGAATGAATTAGGATAATATAATTGATTCAATAATGGTAATTACACAATTTAATACTACCAGGTGCACAGCAGAAAGACATTTCTAAAATTAGAAATCATCAAACACAAAAACCAAAACCAAAACCAAAACCAAAACCAAAACCAAAACAAAAGCAAAAGCAAAAGTAAAAACATCAGAGTTTGAGGATATGGCAACGACCTTTAAGGCGTTTTGACCCACAATCAATTTGGAAGAGGGGAAAATATCAAGATAAAAGGTTGTATTGAGAAATGTTACTCAGGCGATTTGGAAAAGGTGGATATCATTTAAAATATGGAACAGCATTTTCGCATCTATCAAAATCATTTTAGATAATGGAGCCATTTGCATTATAATATTATTGAAATTATAAGTAGCATTAATATCGGAGTCATTTAACCAGAAGTAGAGATGATGATTTTATTCAATGGCATAATATTAACATATAAAACACGGCTTATTCAAAATTTCATCTTTGAGTAAAAGAAGAACTATATAGCTGACATTGAAACTTTTCATTTTGACCTGTTGTTAGAGGCAAGAAATTACCCGAAACAATTTAAATAATATGAGGCATCGCAGTGCGAAACCACATGTTTGAGAAATTTGAAGAGATTGTTTGTTAACATATTCAAAACGTATTTTCTTTTGGTCCAAATTGGGAAATGTACTGAGGCTCGGATGCACTTAACTATGGGGATTCCATATGTACTGCAAAGTTCATAGAATTGTTTTTGTCTGTAAATTAATCATCGCAAGTGTTGTCTCTCAGGGTGTAGCTAAGTGGTGGAAGTCTCAAATTGTGCAAATATACCATGAATAAACAAACATACAGTAAGCTTCTACTGTAGAAGGTGGAAAGAGCCATGTATTTTTGTATGAATTCATTGAAGTTTCACCAAGTTGAACCAATCAATAATAAACTCAAACTTGAAGGTTAATTTAATCATGCGGAATCACAAGCGGTTATCGCAGCAAAAGATTATGCTGTACTTATCAGTGGTTGGGATGTCTTATCTTGGACTATGGATGAACTTATCGGCACTTCCCCTCATTGCCTTCCCCCCGCCGCACACAACGCTTTTCTCTCTTATCGCTAAGCGCAAAAATCGGACTTGAGTCTCCTCTTTAGCAAAAAAACGATTTCTGTGAATTTACTCGTTCCCCGATTAGGAAATGCTTAGCGCGAAGTTTGGTTTTCTGGGGTGGTGGGGCGAGGACAAACTTCTTAATTGAGTCATGGCGCACCACGCGATTACATATATAAGTACATCTGACACTTACCCCCTTTTTTGAAATAAACTAATAATCCACAGTATCAAACAATGTCAGTAATTATTAGACCAATTGAAGCAAAAGATAAACAACAATGGTTAAATCTTTGGACTGGCCCAGGAGGTTACATTGAATTTTATAAATCGTTACATAAAATTACGCCAGAAATTTCCGAAACAACATTTGCACGTTTCCTTGACCCTAATGAACCAGTTTACTCGTTAGTTGCCATTGATCCCAAATCGCCGGATATCATCATTGGCTTTGCCAATTATTTAACTCATCGTAATACCTGGACTATTAATGACGCTTTATACTTGAATGATTTATTTGTTTGTGCTGATAATAGATTACATGGAGTGGGGAGGAAGTTGATCGAAGCCGTATATGATGAAGCTGATCGGTTGAAATGTGAGAAGTGTTATTGGTCTACTCAGTTTGAAAATCATCGGGCTCAGTTGTTGTATACGAAAGTGGGAGTCAAGTCTGGATTTTTGCTTTATCGTCGTCCAAATCTGTCTGATTGAAGGGGGGGGGGAGTTTAGTTGTTGGTATGTATTAATAAAAGAGTATCATGATAATGATCCTGGATTGGTGTTACTTTTCAGTAAGTCTTGCAACGAAGTGTTCCTTGTCGCTCTTGATATTCTACTTCCTCTATCAAACTCCAGTTAGCAGGCACTACCTAAATTACGTGAACCACCCCAGCCCCCTACTCGTCTAAAGGCTCCGAAAATTTATCCAAAGTACACGATAATAGTCTTTCCATTTTGTGGTTTCTTTGTTTTACTTTTTTTTGTTTACACCTTAATTCTATGTCGTCTAAGGGATCTCCATCCTTTAGCAACCAACGAGTGAGCTCCATTATTGGCCATGAATTTTATTAAAAAATTCATAGGAGCTACATCTACTGATGAAGTTGCTTCGCTTCCATCAGGAAAATTATTCCTAACGCGATCAAAACAATCACCAAAAGGAGAAATCGAATGCTTGTATAATGACGCCTACGCCTCGATTAAACAAACAACAACACCATTTTTCTATCAATTGTGTATAACAAAGGTGTACCAAGAAGGAGAACGTGAATTCAGTAGCAACTCCAACTATTCCGATGATGAGTACGATGAAGATGAGGAAGATGAGATTGAGGTAAATTCATCTATTGTTCTGCCAAATGCTAAATACGACTCAAGACATTCATCAAAAGACGAGTGGGTGTTTCCTATAACTGAGGATCTCAGATTTTTCCGTAAAGATATTGCATCTGATGGAAGCTCAAGAGCTATTGCTTGGAAGGATTTGAATGGAGATTTAGGTGATAAATTTGAATTTATTGTTAGTGATGATATAAGAAACAATGACTTTGAATCATTTATGATGACAATTTACAAGTGCTTATATGAGCAGAAGTATCATGAAAGCTCAATCAGGATTAATGATGTCAACCTGTTGAAAGAGTTTATTCATAATCCTAAACTGGAATTGTTGAATTTTGATGACTTGGAGTACGAAGAGGAGACAGATTCGGACCACACTGAAGATGAATCGGATTTTAAAGATGCCAAGCTACTGAAGAAGGATCATGATGCAGGTGATTTGTTTGTGGATACGGAAGATATAAACAGCTCCAGTACGGGAACTAGTGATAACGAGAAACCAACATCGCCCAAGGGTGACGTTGTTTATTCAACAAAAAAGTTTGCCTTGCATTTGTATGATTCAACAACGGCTTCATTTGTTTTGAAAAGCAGCTCGGTTGAATTGAAATTGATCGATTTGAGCAAATGGGAACATACGTTGTACATCACCTCAAGTGACGGGTTAACCATTAATGCAACAGTGAGCAAGAATATGAATCCAACTTTTAATTATGAACATATCTCGTTTATTTTCAATCATTATACATTTAAAGAGGGTGAAATAGTTGCAAACTCGTGGTTGTTGAAATTCCTCGAATTTAATGATTTGGTTCAATTTCAAAACAAGTTTGTTATTTCTATGTATGAGACTTTGAATAAGAAGAAGTTTGGAGCGGATAAAGGAGAGGATGAGTATTTTGTTGATGCATTTTCAAACTTGGATTTGGACAATAAAGATGAAGTTGAAGAAGAAGAAGAGGAGGAAGAAGAAGACGAAGAAGAAGACGAAGAAGAAGACGAAGAAGAAGATGGAGATACGGAATCGGATAATAAATCAGCAAAGGACTTTAATGAGAAGTTGCAAAACTTTGGCAAAAAAGACAAAAACACTTATTTGAGTGTTGGATACAAAGATCGTGCTTATGTGGCTCGTGGTGATAAAATTGGAGTCTTTAGTCAAGGCGACAAATCATTAAATTTCCAAACAACAATCAATAATGTCACCGATTTGAAGGGACACAATTTCAATCCACAAAAGATGTTGCTTCACCAAGAAGATCAATTTTTAATTTTGTCCAATCCCGATGTCAATGATAAATCTCTTTACAAGATGGATCTTAATCGAGGCAAAATTGTCGAAGAATGGAAGATCTCCGATAATGTACTGGTTAAGTCGTATGCTCCTAGCTCCAAATTTGCACAATTGACAAATCAACAAACATTGACTGGTATTTCTGCCAATGGGCTTTTCCAAATTGATCCTAGATTGAGAGGCATCAAATTGGTTAATGATCAAACTTTCAAACAGTATAAAACCACAAATAATCAATTCCAGACATTAGCTACCACCGAAGGCGGCCACATTGCTTTAGGTTCAGGTAATGGTGATATTCGATTATTTGATCGACTAGGTGTAAATGCCAAAACGGCTTTGCCTACTTTGGGAGATCCTATTGTCGGCATTGATGTTTCTAAAGATGGTAGATGGATCTTGGCCACTTGCAAAACATACATCTTGTTAATTGATACCGCAATTTCAAGTGGTCAGAAAAATGCAGGTAAGTCGGGATTCACGGCTTACTTTGATAAAGACAAGAAACCAACACCAAGGAGATTGCGTCTTTTACCCGAACATGAAGCTTACATCAACAATGCCAATCACAAGAAGGAATTACAATTTTCTCGGGCATATTTCAATACTGGTTTAGATAAAAAGGAGACTGCGATAATTTCATCGACTGATAATTATATAATTACATGGTCTTTGCTGAAGGTTTTGACAAATGATCCTGTGCCTTATGTCGTTAAAAGATATAAACAGGATGTTGTTGCTGATAATTTCAAATATGGATCGAATAATCAATTGATTACGGCGTTGCTGGATGATGTGGCGATGGTTAGCCGAAGGAGTTTGGCTGATCCCAAGGAAGTGTTTCAAAAATAAAACAGCAACAGCAAATATATATTACCGTAGTTTATAGTTTTTTGATTTTTAATATGTAGTATCCTTTCCTTTTAATGCACACATTTCAATTCACCTATTAGAACCGCAGATAGATCCATAAACTGCAGGTCTATCACCCTATATACTCTTGACTAAATCACCCTCTTCTACCAAAATTTAAAACTGTCTTTCAATTCTTGTACCCAGATTTTCCTAAACGCATTCATCTTCTGTAAATTGCTAGGTTTAAAATTATGAGCATCAATCTCTTTAACTTGGGACAAGTCTGGATAATGGTCATATGAGATACGGTTAATTCTTGCGTGGATTTTACTCACCCATCTATTGAAGCCAGGGGAGTCGATTAGTAGTCGATACAAGTATTCATGGATTGAGTTTGGTGGTGGTCTCATTATTGTTTACGGTTGGCTGGCGTGGCGAGTGGGTTGTAGTGGGATCTATTTAGTGGGTCATGTGGGCCGTTTAGAGCGCATAAGACATGTAGGACCTGTGAGGATGAAAGAGTTTTATAGCAAGTAAATTAGAGTATTTTTTTTTTTCTTTCGAATTAATGAAGGAGGTTACCTAGAAAAAGAGAGGGTGGAGCATGACGCTATGAATAACTGGAGCTAGTACAATACATGTGTAGAGCAGCGATTGAGTATAGATTCTCCAATCTGTGTCTAGTGACTTGTTATGAGCCTAATAAACATGCCTTTGTTGACTGAAGCAAAGTTACTAGCTTTCTCGTTATATAATTGCCTTATTTGGTTGTAACGTAAACAAAAACTTTACAAACGTCTTCTGATACAAAAAAAAAAGAAAAAGGAATTACAATCACCATTCATCATCCCATAACAAATTGGAAAAGAGGACTAGCATCAGCTAGTTACAGCTATAGACTCTAGATACTACAATAACCACTTATAATGACAAGAACACTTTTGTCACTGCTGGAAGATGATGAATTGATTGATGAATTGATTGATGAAATTGATGAAATTGATGAAATCGATTACGATCTTCTACCGCTTGCGGATTTCAAACAACAGCAACAACAACTCGATCATACCCAGATACCAGCAAGGCCCAAATCAGCACCACCGCACTTGGACAACATGCGAATATGCCTTCCACCAAACAAGAATAGCACTAATCGATATACAAATGAGCTATTTGACGCTACAAACAATTTCATTGTCAAACAACGGCGAAGCAATACTATACGGAATTTAAGCGATTATAGAGTGATACCGCCAGACCAAAAGTTTCTCAACTGCGTGGAATGGAACCAGATGGAAGAAGTCAACTTTGAGTTGGATGACGTGACCAGGACCAGAGTGTTCAATAATCGATTTAAACGACCTATTGATGAAATCAATCCCGAATTAAGCGAGTACTTTAGAATACATAATAATGATAACAAGGAAAATTTAAATAAACCTTACAAAGTGACGAAAAAGACACCTGTTTTGAGTAGACGTAAAAGTCTACCATTGGTTGAAACCAACAATATTCAGAGAAAAGCGCTCCTGCCATTCAAAAACCAATCAGCTAAAGTTGCCACCAGGCCATCTCCTCCTCCTTCAGGAGGCCCATGCGAACCAAGACACCAATCCCTTATGCCATCAAAATCTTGTCTTAGCATTGAGGAGGCGAAAGTTTACCTTATTGAGTCACTGACAGGATTAGTTAATCAAGCAACAGATTTCGCTACTGAACTTAATGGGTGCACTAATGAATCACTACCTTTTCCTGAACATGAAAATGAAGTTGTGCAAATACCTACAAACTCTAATGATGCTCATCAAATGGCAATAATACGAATGTTTAATTTCAAACTAGATAAAGCAAGAAAGGGCGTACGAACTGGATTTTATTCAGAAAAGGAGTTTAAAGATTATCAAGCAAGGCTCAAGAAACAACACGCCAAAAGTGCAGCACGTGATGCTGGAGTAGAGATTGTGTCTCAATCTTCAACCCTAGTTGACGGAGAAGATAGTAGTAAGCCTTTAACAAAGAACAAAGGAGTCAAATGGGCTGATAAACTCGAATGGTAAGGCCTTCCCCTTATAGAATTTGTGCCTTGATGTCATCGTCTGTGTATCCATTATAATATACCTTTTTAATTCTTAATTTGTATCATTGGTTACAGCCTCGTTGTAGTCGTACGCGTTATAGTAATTTCTTTTTTTCTTCAACACAGAAATGAATGGAGAATCAAAAATTCGTCAACATTCCCACCACCAGCAAAAAAACACACACAGCTTAAATCTTTTCATATTACTCCACTAGCAAAGATCTACCCTAACTATAACCACTTTCCAACATGTCCACATTCTTTGATGAAATGCAAAAGTCATTTGCCGACGTGAAGATCACCGACGGCAAAATCGACACCTCCGATTTCTTACAAGCCTCCGAATCACTTGTTAAGTTATTTGACTTGTTGGGATCTACTGCATTTGTCGTGGTTAAAAATGATATGAATGGTAACATAGCCAAGATCCACAAGAAGTTATTAGAAGACCCAGTGAATTCATCCACTTTACAGGATTTGGTTCTCACTGAATCGAAAACCAAGACTAAAACTGCCACGCAAGGTTTATTGTGGTTATCACGAGGTTTACAATTCACTGCCCAAGCAATGAGAGAAACAGTTGACCAACCGACAAAAGAGTTGACAGCAACATTCACTGATGCATACGGTAAAACGTTGTCCAAGTACCATGGTATGTTAGTTAAGCCAGTTTTCAAATTGGCCATGCAAGCATGTCCTTATAGAAAGGATTTCTTTGCCAAGTTGGGAGCTGACCAAGCTAAAGTTGCTGAACAGTTGAAGGTTTGGTTGGAAGCTTTGGAAAACATTGTCAAAATCATTTTTGACTTCTTTGCATCAGGCAACTACGGGAAAGGATTATAATAGAGGTGGTGAGAGGAGATAATCTTTGTTTACGATAAATACGACCTGACATTTTAATAAAATCTTTAGACTGTACTGTTGGAAGTTCTATTGTTCTACTTCCTATTTGCCTCTACTTTCTCCCTTATCTCATTCCAGCACTTCGTCCTCACCTATTTTCTTTGTTGCTTGCATCAATTCATACAATTGGCCCACTTGCTCAGGAGTCATCTTATCCAACTCTGTTTTGCTCAATTTCCCATCAAGCCATTTCCCCCCATCAACCTGTTTTAAATAATCCTGCCATTCAGTTAAGAACCCAACTACATGCAAAGGATTGTCAATCTTTTTATGATCTTTAAACTCCTTTTTCACGTATTGATCACCTAAATAACGCAATTCTTGAGGTAACTTATGTACATGAGCTCGTAGTATGGCACGGTATAATTTCAAAGGAGGGAGTAGCGGGGTTTGGTTTGGACGTTCTGGACGACGTGGTCTTACTCGAAGTACTAATGAAGGTCTCATTTTTTATGGCTAGGCTTTTGATCGATTCTGGTGGGGAATGTCCTTGTGTGGAGGGGCTTCTCATTGGAATGATTCTAACGATTTGGTTTTTTTTTCTTCATCAAAAAATCCATCCTGCATACAGAATAAGCCTTGGAAAGAAATTGCGAAGGTGATTGAAGCAAAGCCCGCCAAGACATGCACCATTAAGCATCAACGATGTGTCACTATGGATTCTTAAAAGGCTTTTGGATAAATATAGTGGCTTACTTCAGGAGAAGCACAAGCTTCTCAGATTGTGAATAGGATGAAAACGACATAGCCATCTAATATTGAAGGGAATTTTTGTACTGGAGCTACTGTTTACTCTATTTAAGAAGTTGAGACTGTTGGGAAAAACAACATCTTTGTAGTAATTCATTTTTAATGCGGATGCGGAACTTCCTCAAAGATCCGCTACCATCACAGCCTTAGTCAAAACAATAGGTGATTGTGAGCTTCACTATTACATTAACCATCTCATTGTGGAAGAACCACTTTGATTAATCACCTAGTCGGGTAATAAATTCCCATACACTCAGAAGAAAGGCTAAAAGCCTCATTCCCCTTGCATTATATGTCTAATACAATAAGTTCGTTACTCAAACTGTTTACATATATATATATATATATTTTTATAGACATGCCTAATTAGGAACAGGTAGCGCGATATTTGATTGTCTTACAGATTTTGTCAAACTTTCAACAATTTCCCAATTAGGATAATTCTTTGATCTTTTGGGACCAAATGAGTATCAAATAAGCACGAACAAAACCAAAAACAACCTTTTGACAAAGAGTGCAAAGGGGATCAGCTTTGCCATAATGGCGATGGTATATATATATATATATAGCATCGATAGATCTTCCTCTTGAGATCAAAAATTTGGGCAAACCTAGATTTATACTCACTTCTATTCATTCTTTTCTTTGGAAATAAACACCCTTTTAACCAAGACCATTTGTTAGCTATACTTCAAATTTACACAACTTGAATCATGAGAATCAACACACTCATACTATCTGCTGCTTTGGCCGCTGCTGCTCCTGCTTCGATTGATAACGCTGAACAATTATCTAATTTCCTTAACTCAGTCCAAACTGCAAGTACATCAGGTACCGCTTTGGGTGGTGCAGCTGGCTCAATTGGTTTGCAAAATACCAATACTGCTACAGGAACAGCTACCGGAAAAGCAACTACAGGAGTTGCTACAGGAACAACTGCTACTACCCAGCCAACTTTGTTAGCTACTGGTGCTTCGACTGGTCAATCTAAAACTTCTGGAGGATCCAGTAATAATTTGCTTGGCGATCTTTTTGGATCAGGTTCAGGTTCAGCAACTACCGGTGTTACAAGCAAAGCACTTTCTGCTACATCTACTGGCCAATCGACGACAACCTCAGAAGGGTTTCTCGATGGTTTATTAGGTGACATCTTTGGAGGAAACACAGGCACTACAGCAACTACAGCAACTAAAGCAACTACAACTGCAAATACAGCTAGTGGTTCAACTTCAACTGGAAGTGGTTCGTTAGGTGACTTGATTGATGACTTCTTTGGCTCAAGCTCAGGAAACACAACTGCTACATCACAAACGTCTACATCAACCGGTGGCTCTCTACTCGGTGATATCTTTGACGACTTGTTTGGCTCCAGTTCTGGCTCCAGCACTACTAGTCCGGCTTCATCATCTTCATCATCATCCAGCACTGGCTCACTTATCGATGACATACTTGACGCTCTTTTTGGTTCTTCTAATTCTACATCTTCATCGAGCTCTAGTTCAGGAGGAAGCGGAGATTTCATCACTGATATTATAGGACTTGGAGAAGATATTTTTGCTGACTTGTTTGATGGAAATTCAACCCTGTTCTCTGGGGAGGGTATTATTGGCTCGTTATTGGGTTTTGCTGGTGAGATCTTTGATGACTTATTCGACAGCAATTCTTCAGGTTCTTCGTCAAGTGGATCATCAGGATCATTCTTTAGTAGCTTGTTGAGCTCATTATTTGGTGGTTCTTCCAGTTCATCGAGTGGCAGTGGATCGTCCTTTAGCTTCTCAGATCTTATTTCCGACGTTTTCACAACATTATTCAGTTCAATCTTTGGCGGTTCAAACGGTGCTAGCAAAGGACAATGTAGTGCAACAAAGAGGTCATTAAAGAGAAGCTTGTCGGAACAAAAGGAGATCAAGAAACTCGTTAGAAAGAGTGTCAACAGAGTCATTGCTAAAAGAAAAGCTGAATTTGCGCAAAAGGCAAAGAGAGCAGAAACTTTGTCTGACTTGCCTTACGTTAACCTTATTTAACCTGGAAAGGTAAGGTAAAAGTAAGGATGTAATTAATACCCGATTTTTAGTTCACCAGGCTTTAAATGTTCGAGTTTAGCCGATTTATGTCCGTTGTTTTAATATACGACATCGTGTTACAATGATGGCTTTAAAGATTTATTTCCTCTTTTGTTAAATGCAATATATAGTCGTAATCATATGCTGTTACGCAAATCTATAACCCAGTAAAGTATAGTTTAGCTACTGTTTATTCCCAAGTCTGTTATTGGCCTGTGAAGTTATACACGTAAGAAAGGAAAAACCTCCACAAATCGGCTATTAAAGAGAGGGTTCCATAATGGAACCGTAAAATGGAACCGCAAATTCCATCTTAAGCGCTTTTGTAGTAAATTCCTTTAATAAACCCGACATACTCAGCTGCATCTATTATTAGTTTCTCGTAACTATGGGACAAAACCTAGACGAGTCGGGGTAATTGTGAGAGAGGGAGAAGAGGGCTTTTCATTATTGACAGAAGAATCTAAGAACTATTAGTTTACAAAAGAACACAAAGAACCCCTTGGAGTCGAAAGTTTCTTTACCAAATTTAGTAAATATTTTTTTATTTTTTCTTACAATAATAACACCACTACACGCAGGATGAAGAATAGAAAATAAACACTACAGGTAATATGAGGACCCACTAACTCAAAGAGCATTACTGTATCTGGTGACGAGAGCTAGATAAGAACATGTTAAGGATTGGGTAGCTAAGAGATTGTAGCAAACAATCAAACCAATTCACCAGTACCAGCCACGGCACCATTCCTAAGGATTCGTTTTCAATTTTGACTGAACAACGTCGGATAGTACAACATGCCTACAACTAACCAACGCCTGAAGTGCAGTACTGAAATAGACGAGTACTATTAGTTTGTAGCCCCAAGTTAGGAAAGAGACAATAAACAAATAAGAGATCTTCGTCGCTTGTGCTACAAAAGAAAAAAATGTAGTGTCCAATTCCCCTTCTATACATTTTTAATTTTACTTCCCAAAGAGGAAATTAATTCACACCCACACATCAATACGCAACAACAAAAATATTATTTTCTGCTTATAGGCAGTACCGCACTAAATTTAACACAAAATCTAAGGCTGCAAAATTTACCGAATTGAGAAAAGAGTGTGTTCCCCAAAATCCTTTACAACCAAAACAAGTTAATAATGTCTTGACAACTAACCATGAGATCCAGGGCCCTAAATGTTTCATTTATAACTAATAAGAAAGTATAGTTTGTTCAAGAAATCAATTATTCATAACTTTTTTTTCCTGGCCCTTGGAAAATCTTTCACCTCATCTTTGTTAATCCATCAGCAATTGACTCTCATTTCATACTTTCGTTAACGTTAGAACTACAAGTCAGAATTTTGAAAGGTTGAAAATGCAAGTGTCAACGTTAACTTCAATTTGTTTGGCTTTGATGGCTTTTGCCAATGCGGAGGAAGTACACCAACAGAAGAGAGGCTTTTTCAATGATATAATAAACGGAATTACTGGAAATACAGCTACAGCTGCTGCCAATTCAGCATCAGCAGCAGCTGCAACAGTAGCAGCAACTACCAGTGGAGGTTCTGGAACATCGTCAGCCGCTTCTGAAGAAGATGACGAAGAGGATTGTGAAGACGAATCTACTACACCTTCAGCAACAACTCCAACTGCTTCCAACACAGCTAGCGCCAGTCCAACTTCATCTGATCCAGCTACATCAGACTCAGCTTCACCATCATCTCAAGGAGGTCTTAGCTCAATTTTGTCAAATATATTACCTGGCGCATCATCAACTTCAAGTAACCCTCAATCCCTTGCTGGTGAGTCGACATCGTTATCACATAGTTTGGATGCTACTGTCTCAACATTGAGTGGTAGTCAATCTTCATTAAGTCCAAATTCAACCACTTCGAGCGGAGGGAATTTCCTTTCAAGTATTATCGGTAATTTACTGCCATCTTCAACTGGTTCTCAGAGCTCTAGCTCTAGCTCATCTGAACCAGATGACGACGATGAAGAGTGTGAAGACGAAACAACCAGTTCTGTAGCCTCAAATACCAACGTCGTCCCAACTACAACAAGAGGTAATACTACACCAACCACCACTGCTACTACATCTGGTAACTTCTTGAGCTCATTGCTTGGAAACAACTCCTCCATTGCTGGTGTTTCAACCACCACTTCCGGATCAAGTGAAGAAGATGATGATGAAACTGACTGTGAAACCACTACTCAAGATCCTACTACAAATGGTGGAAACGGAGGAACAACTGATCAAACCACAACTGCTAATCAAACTGGAACAGCTGATCCAACTACAACAGCGAAGACAACTACCACTTCCGGATCAAGTGAAGAAGATGATGATGAAACTGATTGCGAAACCACTACAAATGATCCAACCAACGGTGGAACAACTGGTGTTACTACTACCCGTCAAACAAAGGACCCTGTTTCTACAGTCACTAGTGGTACTACTGTGACCGATGCTCAAACAGTCACACTCACATACACTGGAGCTGGTCAAACATTTACCACTTATGTCACTCAACAACCAGAAGAATGCGAAGAAACGGTTTACTATACTGTGACTACTGTGGTTCCATGTACAACCGTTGCTCCCGGTGGACAAATTTCAACCACCACTGTTACCGTTGTTGTTACTCAAACCGTTTACCCACATGATGACAATGATGATGATTATGTTAACAGTGGATCAACTAGCTCTAGTGGATCAAGCGGATCAAGTGGCTCTGGTAGTTCTAGTGGCTCATCAGGAGATGATGACGACTGGGAATGGATTGAAGAGGGCGATGAAGACTGTACTTCAACCACAGTGGCAGCAGTTTCAACAAGTACAAGTGGCTCATCGGGCTCATCTGGCTCATCTGGCTCATCAGGTTCATCAGGTTCATCAGGTTCATCAGGTTCATCAGGTTCATCAGGTTCATCAGGCTCCTCAGGCTCCTCAGGCTCCTCAGGCTCCTCAGGCTCCTCAGGCTCCTCAGGCTCCTCAGGCTCCTCAGGCTCCTCAGGCTCAAGTTCAACTGACCTCTCAGGGTTGAGCCCAACCGAGATTGTTTGCCCAGGTGAAGACGGTTACGACAGTGATGATGACGACTACACCTACACTTCGACACTGACATCAACTACAACAGAAAATTGTGACGACGACGAAGACGATGATGACGATGATGAAGACTGTGAAGACGAAAGTAGCAGCTCAAGTAGCAGCTCAAGTAGCAGCTCGAGTAGCAGCTCAAGTGGCGATGATGATGATGACTCAGACGACTGTGAAGAGACTACTACTACCTCTCCTAAACAAAATGGTACTACCACAGCCACTGCAAGCTCTACTCACCAAGTTACATCTTCATCTTCGTCTTTGAACGGTACATATGGATTTTTGAAGAATGCTGGAGCATCAGTTGTCACCACTACTCAAAACACTGTTGTCACCGCTTCCGGTGCTGCTTCTACTGAGCAACCTGCAGTCTCACAAGTTGCCAATGCTGCTAACCGTTTGGGGGCCACAGAAATGAATGCTGGTTTATTCACATTTATCGCTGTTGCCGGATACTTGTTATTATAATTATGAGCTTGTAAATTGCAGGCAGTTAGAGGCTACTCATAATTTCCCTTCCCACTAGAAGTGTAAGAAATGGAAGTTACAATAATTTGCGTGCTTACCAAATGCGATGTTGCCTAAAAGTCAAATATCGCTCGGTTCTTCTTTATTATTCCAGATAAGTTGCTTATTTTTATAATCGGTTCAAGTGGTCTGAATTTGTGGATACATACTTTGAAATCATGTTCTGGCCTTGAATAGTTGATACCTAAAACAAAAACCTTTTCTTCACGTTTATTAATTTTATTTAATTATTTTAGCAATTTTATATCACCTTTCTTATCAAAGTTTTAGCGAAAAGCAAAAATAGAGAGTATGTGATTCGTTACCTTGTAAGCTTTATAAGTGTAGAAAGTATAGTGCTGAAACTATGAGGTATAGTGAACTAGCTGTTGAATGGGCCGAGGGCTAGACACACGGTAGCGCAAAAATATACAAGGGCAAAAATTCCACAAAACATCTTCTACCTCGCTACACTCTGTACTTTTCCTTTGACACACAAGACCACAACAGAATAGCAACAGGAGACAACACCAAGATGGCAATGGACAGGGGAACTATAATATTTTTTATAGTCATGTTCATATTCCTCTCCCTACCGTCTGGGAATGAGGAACCTCGCTCAGACATTGAGAGAGAAACATTAGCAACGTTCCAATCACAAGCCAGTCAGGCGCTGCAGATGCTAAACAGCTCGGAGTATTACCTGGGCTACGGAAACATCACGGGGTACCAGCTCTCATATGACGACTATCTCAATCATAAGTCCGTAGCTGATTGGCCCGTGCACAAGTTCAGTAAGGATGATCCTTGGATTGAGGATCAAAGATATTCGATCTTACCTAATGAAGTAATTGATATGGTAAAGCATTTTTGGGGAAAGGACAGAGTGGAAAGGAACAATGGTAAAGCTTACATGTTGAATATATCCGGTAGTGCACATGGCGAGTTTGTGCCCGTTGAATCTCACGTACAGCCAGTGAAACAGAAAATACCAAAGTATTTAAAAAAGTATTACAATGAGAGGACAAGTAACGAAGATATGGGATTAGAAGGAGCAACTACAGAACAAGAAGCAAAGAAAGAGGAGAAGGATGAAACACCCAAAATTGGAAATATCACTAGCCCCGGATTGATTTCGGTGGGTATTAGAGCGTTTCAATATAATTTCAACGAGCCTAAATTTCACGTGTCTAATAAGAGCGACCACGTTAGCGATGCAGTTGTTGTGAGGATTGATTTAAACTTGAAAGATTATCAAGAAGTTAACGATTATACGATCGAAATGGATGCAGTATACTACCAGAACACTGGCGCGTTGGTAGCCACATCAAATTCAGCCAAGTTTTATGGGTCGTATGGGTTGAGCCATTTAACGATGAATGAAGATAACTTTTCAATTGCAAAGAAATTAGTGAGTCAATACAACAGCATGCAAGAGGATAAAACGTTATCTTTGGACGATATGAATGCTTCCATTTTGAAGGCATTTGACCAATGCGAGATGGTTGCATTTATGCAATTTAACAAGACTAACTTTACTCATGATGAATTGAGATATATTGATGCCGAGTTGAAAAACCCAAGTGGGAAACCTTTACCTGAGACATTACCCCAGTTGTCTGTCAAAGATTTTGTTATCTACTCGCCTAATTGTGGGATTGTTTTAACAAACAAGTCGCAAACTCCGTTCAGCGGGGAAAAAGTTGAGGTTTGGTACAAACAAGTGAGACATATATTGACTGGTCTCTTGGTGTTGGTTTCGCTCCAGTTGTACCTCATTTTCAATCAAGTGAATGCAGCAAGAACTCCGGGACAGTTGTCTGTGATATCAAGCAAAACTTTGTACTTTTTCGGCTTTGAGGATTCCTTATTGGCTATTATGTCGTTGTTGTTGTCGACGATTGCTAGTGATTTGTATTTGCTTCTAGCATGTGTCGCTACTATTGCATTCATTCTGTGTGGCGTATTTGAAATGAGATTTTTGGTTAATGTGTTGACAACACAGGCCAATGAACGTGGAACTACATGGTGGGAGATTATGAGAGGGTCAAGACAAGAACCTTCGCCGAATGCTACTCCTACAGCTCAACCAGTTGAGGAGCCGGCAGAGGGCCCTCTTTTGCCTGTAGCCAATCCACCTGCTCAGCAGCAACAAGATCAAGCACAAGAGCAGCAAGCAACGACAGAACCCAATACGGCTTGGCAAGAAACTTCATACAGCAATTCGATATTTGCTTCAGGGTTTACATTGTCCATCATTGCTATGTTCCTCATCTTTTCCGCTTTTGAGTGGAGACGCAGGTATAGAATAATATTTGAGTATGTTTGCTTGGTGTTTATAAATTCCTATTGGGTGCCACAGTTTTTGCGTAATACATTGAAGAACAGAAGGAATTCATTTACGTGGCAGTTTATCATTGGAAGTAGCATCATCAGAGTCGTACCCATTTACTATTTTGCATTATACAAGGCGAACCCGTTTAAGCATAGATATGATCCATACTTGTGTCTTTTAGTTACAATTTGGGTCTTGCTTCAATTGGGGGCATTGGTATTGCAACATAGGTTTGGTGCTAGATTTTGGATCAATGAGAAATGGCTACCACAAGCTTATGATTACCATCGTATATTGAGTTTGAAGGATTTGGAAGAAGGCAGAATTTCGAGTGATTTATTGGCCAGTTTCAAACAAAAAACATCCTCGCAAACCACTTTGGAGTCTAATACAGAGGGCGGAGCTGAAGAATTTGTTGATTGTGAATGTACGTGTCCGATTTGCATGACGGAGGTCACTCTACCGATATTAGTGAAGGACGACGATTTGAGCGATTCAAAGAAGAAAAATCTTCAACACCATTCTGGCGCTGCGCAAAAGGAGTATATGATCACTCCCTGTCACCATATATTCCATGCCGATTGTCTCGAGAGTTGGATGAAGTATAAATTACAATGCCCAGTTTGTCGAACAAGTTTACCGCCAATATAGATATATAGTGGAATTGAGGATAATAGTGAAGGGTTTAAGCGATTTGTATATCCGCTAAGCTTCCTCTTTTGTGCCTCTCTAATAGATGTTGCATCCACGGCCAGTTCGTATTACCGTGACCAATCGCATACTGCAAAAGTGGAGAAACCTAACCATGCACATTAAACATAGGACTTACTCTTCCTCAATGCATATCGTATAGAATTTTGCGGCGCGAAGTCGCTAATTTTCCTGTGATACAAGTAACCCTTTTTGCTTAGGTAGTGAGGACCTCGGCAAAATTTACCTGTACATTGCCAAAAGTGGAAGAGACGGAATGATCACACAATGACGGAGTCGAGCATTCTGTGTAATGTTTTTAAAATGTTAACGGCGGTGCACAGAGCATTTTCAGGTATATCCGTGTTGCTTTTCAAGAAAAAAGAGTCCAGTCTCTGTCTTAATACCCAGGATATCGTTCTAAGTCTACACGCCGGATTTTAATGACCGACTCACTCTGACAAATCAGGATAAAGCAGAGGGTTAGTACCGCGCGGTTTATATTATGTTATATGAAAAGGGCAAAAGCCAAGACCAATACATTTCCGTGGATGGTATTTGATGATGCATGGATAATTTCGGAATGGGTCCTTATTTACCTTATATGGGAGTTTTTTACTGGTTCCGCATACAGGCGAGGGTATGATTTACACACTTCTATGAGAAAATTACAAAACCCCCTTTTGCATAATAAGCCGCATATATTACTATAAGAAGACTACAATATTACATAATAATTACAAATTATTGATACTATGTATTACATAACACAGTACTTAACAAAATATACACGTCACACAAAACCACAAAAAATCGGATGATCTTTTTCTGTTTTCTTTTTTCAAACAAGCACCAGAAAAAGATAATATAATAATTAATACTAGACAGATTGAAATATATACAATCACTGTTTCAATGTAACAACAAAAGTGCCTAAACCTTTTGATACATTCCAATTAATTCACAAGCAGAAATTATATTATTCTTATACATATAACGTTTCATTGGACTTGTGCCTTTTTAAAATTTTTTTTGTTTTGCCAAAAAATATTTCATTTTATTGACAACTTTTCTGTTCTTTTGCGAAGAAGTTGGATCCAAGGGAAGGAAGTCATATTTACATATAATACACAACATATAAAGCTTTTGCAAAGAAACTAATTTCTTTTTCAGCTCCAAAGCCAACCAGTGCAGTTTATCAAGACACAGTTTATCCCACACAAACTACAACACTTCAACAATGTCACAGTTAGATGCCAGCTTTGCTGGTTCTGGCAGGCCAGATAACGACACCAAAGTTTTTGATCAAAGCAACGATATGAATCTTCTTGATGACGGAAACAACAACATCTTGGGTGATGTTTATGGAAATGGTCTTGATACTATGAATGCGGCCCAATCAGGCTTCAATTTTGACGAGACTGACGATTTCCTCAAGTCTATATCGGGAGTATTGGGCAACAAACCAGATTTGGCAAACGTCAATCTCAATAATGTCAACTACAATAATTCAATCTTGTCTCCATCGTCAATTAATGGAGAAGAAGCAGGGTTTCCCGAATATTTAGGAGCATACCCCGACCAACCTCAAGCCACGTTTCAAGATGGTCTGTTTGAACAACCATTGTATGGTACTAGGATAAGATCACACTCATCATCGATTGCCACCTACAATGGCGAGACTATATCGCCTTTATCCAATCACACCAATGAAACATCGGACTATACTTCACCAGAGTCAATCCAAAATCATGCAGCTGAGAAGCCTACTCGTAAGCAAACCAAGAGAAGTTCTACATCTAAAGTGGCAAAGCCAAAGAATACCAAAGATAAGAGCTCACACAATATGATTGAAAAGAAGTACAGAACCAACATCAACTCAAAGATTTTGCTTTTGAGAGACGCCGTGCCTGCTTTGAGAATTGCTGCTGGTGCTGCTGATATTTCCTTGGCTGATTTAGAAGGTATTACACCAGCATCAAAGTTGAACAAGGCTAGTGTTTTAACTAAAGCTACCGAATATATCAAACACTTGGAGCAAAAGAATGCTATTTTGAAGGATCAAAATGATTATTTGCAAAAGGTTCTTCAAGAAGCTAACTTGAGTCCTCAGATTCAAATGCCATTAGCTCAACGTCAAATGCTGAGCTCACCTTATGATGGTAGTCAACAAATGTATGGAAATATGAGACCAAATAGCCTGCAGAGTTATGATGAGCCAGCGTACATGCAAAATCAACAAGTGCAACCATCACCACCACAACAACAGCCAACAGCAGCAGGAGCTCCACCACCACATCCACCATCACAATCGCAGCAAGAGATTTCGAATAAGCCCAATAGGTACTTGTTGGGAGGCATGGCAACCGTTATGGCTACTTCGTTGTTTGGTGGTTCAGGTGAGAACGACTTTAGGAGTTTAAGTGCGTTGCCATTTTCTTCGTACTTGTTCCCAAGCGCATTCTTGAATCCATCGCCAGTTATGATTCAGTTATGGACATTGACGAAATTGTTGTTGGTTTTAGGAAGTTTATTTTCAGTGTTTTATCCAATGGTGCAAAGCTTTGTCAACAAGCCTAATGGTAAAGAGGTGAGAGTTACCAGTGAGTCCAGCACTTTACTCGATTGTCTTTTTGTTTCGTTATACATGAAGGTGCCTAAAAAGTTATCTGAGCAACGTCGTACAAGGGTCATTGCCAACTTGAGAGGAGGCAACAACTGGAATCAATTGATTTGGGATTATGTTGAGTTGTCTTCATGTGAATCCAATTTTGAAAATACATTTTTGATGTTGTTGATTGGCACCTTGTTGAAGAACAAGTTTGAAAGGTTGTCACCGGTATTGAATCATTTTTTGAGTATGAAGGGTGGATTGATTATGAACCTTGATTACCGTGGCAGCAGCAAGGCATTGATCAGATTAAGTCAGTTGATTGGTAAAATTGATGGACCTTCCATGTTTACTAGCGAAACTTTAATGAAGAGATTGAGTAATGTGGTAACAGGTAAGTATATTAATTCTGGTGTTGAAGATGGACAAGATGCCAAATACATTGAAGCGTATCGACACACCGTCGGTGATTATTACAATTTGGTTGTCCAATGGAGAATCATTGATATTATCCATGCATTGAATTTGTCTTACTTGGAAAACTTGAACGAGGATACGACCCAAGTGCTAACCGATTTGAAGATTGTTGAGTCGATTATTGATAAGAAATCACCAATATGGCCGCAATTTCAATTACTCGTTACTATTGTTGATCCAAACCAATCTTTGACGTTTGTGCAACTGTTGAAAGATAAAGTTGAATATCAAGTGAACAAGTTTAAGTCTGACTGTAAGGAGTTGGAAGAGGACTCGGATGGAGAAGAAGAAGAGGAATTGTCATCGGAACTTGATTTTGAATCAATTGTTAAAAGTTTGAGTTTAGTTTCACAGGAAGAGGTGATTGTACTATTGTCTTCCTTAGTAACCTACTATCACAACCTTGATGATAGTGACAAGGAAGCAGAAATTTTGAGACATTTGAGAATACCCAACAGAAAATTTAGTTTATTGACATTCACGGCCTTGGTCAGTATGCTTAATGCAATAATCCCAGGACCTGTTGATGATTTTGAAGGCACTTCAGAAATATTGATTCTGGTTCGTAAATGGCTCAAAGAGGGTTGCTTGCAAAGAAATAAATTGGGTTCACAGTCTGTTGATCTTGGGGAGAAATTGGCAGAGTTGTTGCTTCGCAAAGGAAAGATAATAAATGGTATATGTGTGGAAGATGGTGATGAGGAGTAGAGGAGACAAAGAGAGGACGCAAGTTGATTTTTGGATGATTTTATTTGACGAGTGTATTTTGATTGATTGTTTATTTGTTTTCATTCTTGTGATTTTGTTTATTTTTACTTAATAAGTTTTTTTATAAGTTGTTTATTTTAAGAGATTTTACATTATTTATTCGACTATTGTCAACAATCTGATAGGGAATGAAATTGTGTAACAGCAAACTCTTTTCGATGGTTCCTGGTTTTTCAAGGAGTGGCTTATTTTCGGAAAGATTATATTTGAATCTTGTGTATTCTTTCGGGGAGATTCAATTGCATCGCCTAATCTTTAAATTTTTTGTTGTTTTTTTTATTAGGTCGCAAAACTATTGTAAAGTGGGTCGCATCTGAGGACATTCATTGTCTCCTTTTTCTACTACTACTACCACAATGGGACATACTCAATGGCATGTTCTGACCCCTGTTAGTAATCTATTACTAATTGGGTTGTAACATCTCCGTGAAGTTGCAATTGGGTATAAAGTTGAACCCTCACTTTGTGTCAGATAATTTCTTGTTAGTCCAAAATCTGCAAGGGGAGATGGGACCAGCTTGGAATAATCTGCCCAAACGCATGGTCTCCTTAAACTGATGACAAAGGCTTATAATTACGAGGTGGATCAAAAGCCAATATATGTGCTGCTTTGATTTCAGGTAGAATAATTCACGAGGTTTCCTGAGCTAAATATTTGGTTTGGGCACATGCCGAATTTTCGTATATTCAAGTTACTCACCTACGATGGTAATGCACATGCAGGACTTGATGTCTAATAGAAATTGTTAGAAGATGCAAGAATCGAAAGGGGTGTTTGGAGTGGGGGATTGTTATTATTATTGTTATTGTTGTTATTGTTGCCATCGTTAGTGTATGTTTTGCAACAGGATCTTTTGTCACAAATGCAGTTTACTGGCGCACTTAGTGCGTTGCATCCCAACCATTGTTGTAAGGATAACAATAGTATTCCAAACACGAAGGGTTTTCTGTTCCATTTTTTAAAATGAGTTTTTCAGAGAGAACTTTTTAATGAACAACGTACACAAGAAGGAAGTGGCTATGGTTCATGTTTCTACATAGCCCTACTTAATTACAGAACCATGAGTCGATACCTGTTGTTTAATCCAGCTAAAATTCAGCCTGCAGCAATGCACTTCGAGGAGACATGTTTGCTAGTTCTACTTAAGTTGAAACTCGTTCGGCATTTTTTTATTTATTTTACCACCCGGCAGTTGGAATTTTGTAGAGTTTTTTTTTCTTGACAATTTTGGTGCCGCATCCTCCAATTTAGTTTGTGTTTTAATTTGTGCGTTTTCCTACATAGCATTCTGCAAAACATAACAACCGAGATAATGGAAAGGTCGCTTGATACTAGGCGACCACTCCTGCTTATACCATTTACCATACTTATTGAGGTGCCCTGTTTTCTTAACGTATAAAGGCATCTGCTTCTCGTTGTTAGTTGGTAACGTTGGAGTTAAACCCAAAATAATTTTTTTTCATGCAAAAGTTGTATCGGCAGTATAATTACAATTTTGTTATTGGAAACTATAAAGCGCCCGATCCTGTTTCAGTTGTGAGCTTTTCTTTCTGTGCTTTGTATTCACCTTTTAACCTTTGCGGCTTTGGAAGATGAAATTTTCACTTTCAATTTTTATTCTTTTTTTTATTATTAAGTTTTAGTCTTCATTTGCAGATGTGTTATATGCAGAGATGATGGTCATCATCACACAAAATTGGCACATTCTATGAGAAGGATTAACAAAATCCAAAAATCGAATGATTTTCTTCTTCGTAATGATAGGTAAGAATGAATGAATGGAATTGGTCGATATAATAGTCTTGTTTGTGGTATTATTCCGAGCACATTTTAGGGATGCAGAATTATTGAAAAAAGGCAAAAAAGAATTGTCAGTTAGTTTCTTGTCATGAGCTTGAAATGCGTTTCAAGTGTCTATAAATTCTGTAATTACAGGCTATGAAAGAAGAACTCACACTGGTTTATAATCAAAATGAGCGAAAATTTCAGTTGAGGTTGTCTTATTTCAACTCAAGTTGCATACGTTTTCAATGACTTTTAAAATCTGCATATCGGGTCTTGAGTTGCATTGCATGTAAGCAATGTATAATTATAAATATAACAAAATAATAAAAATACAATAGTAAGAAAAGCTATAAGTAAGTTTGATAAAAGGAGAAAGAAAGATCTTTGTCAAACCTTTTGTCAAATTACAAACTATGAACAATACTCATGTTTGTTTAATCATGCAGTAAAATAACGCAATAAGGCGTGATACAGTATGTACATGAGGTGAATTTACCTATCTATACTTGAATTTTGCAACTTTCTCTCAAGGTCTTCGGTTAAAAGAGTCAGTAAAGTTTGTTGATGTTTACAGCAAAATATTTCAGCACTTCGACACCCTCTATTAGACGTCAATCTATGATGCCTTGCCAGGACATATACTACTTTCTTCAAGTAATCATGTCGAGTAAACAAAAGCTTTTTTATTCGCTTCAACTGAAACGATGACGTGTAGGCGAATAACGCTTCTCAAATTATTCATTTTGCCTTTGTGTAATATAATTTAAAAAATACGGAAGTCGGATATCGGGGGAATATCGGTTAAGAGCAATTTTGTGAACTAAAAGAAGGAAATTAGAAATAAAAGAGAAAGCAAAATTAATTTTTAAAGCACTAAAAGCATTGTAACGAAAATTTCAAGTTGAAAGGACTCGACCTCTCAAACGCATGAGACAACCATATAAGATTGCGAACATAAGCAAAGCTACACAATGAATAGCAAATGGTTTTGATACTTTGAAAAAGATTAACGAAACGCAAAAGCCGGAAAGCGCTTTTTTCCAATAAAATACGTATGTTTCACAAAACGTCGACACTTTTGCAAAGTTCAATGAGCAAAGCAGAGAACTATTGCTTCACAAAGTAGAAGAGGTGGAAGAATCTAGAAATTGTTATGGAACTGACCTAGTTCTGGTCTTTAACAATTGGAACGCTAGATACACAAATAGCACTCAAAGTGGTTGATTTTGTCGCAGTTTGTGTAGTGATAAAGCTCTTTTATGAAGTTTAAGTTGTTTTCTTCGGGGTGTTACGCCTGTTGTCCTGATTATCCCCCACCACTGACTCCAGCGTTATCCTCAGTCACTATTCTTCAAAACCGCTGTTGTGCAAGTAGTTCGGGTTTTCACAAATGGTTAAGATCATCAACAAAGTTCTTGAGTGTGTTAAACAAGTGCTATCATCATTTAGACTTTTTGTTATTTTAATGCATTTAATGTAACAAGAGATTTATAGCACCACTCCAGTGAAAACTAAGCCACAGTAGACTTTTGAAACAAGTTCACTAGCAATTAACTTGTAATTATAATCACAATTACGTACACATTAGGCAGGTAGTGAAAGAAATGGCATGACTGACGCAAAGGAACTCATGTAGAGCGTAGATATAATAGTTCGACATAGAATGGTAAGTTAGAGATTATTGCCAGGCTTTCGTCATTTTTGTGTATCATATTCCTGTAAGTGCGCAATTGAATAAGGCTGTTGACTCAAACAACCTTTAAGAAGTGTATTTCCGTTTGTAAAAACAATGGTGGGTTTGCTCATTTTTTTTCACCGCTTCACAAAGGGTTTGAAATTGTGGCTTAACTAGTGATTTTATTTTGGGAAACAATCGTTGATGTAAGTGCACAAAAAAGGAATGGGTTATTTTCATATTTGAGCTTATGGTTAGTTGCTTGGTTTGAAGAATAAAAATCTGTCATGACATAAACTCAGTAAGATTCAACCGAGTTTTTCCATTTGTGTGAGCTTACTGAAGCTTCGTAAACTCCGCACTCTCATGATCAGCAACAAATTCTGTCTACACTTCAACAACCAACAAAACACATTCAGAACACAAACTTCTCGCATTTCGCTTTTTTTGTTTTCTAGATATACCCCGCTATTAATTTACTTCATTTTCTTTAAAGCTTTGTTAAATATTGGAAAGAGGGCTGGTCAATTGCTTTTTAGTTAACTAAAGTTTTTGGCGCGGAGCTTGTACAGCGTTTATTTTTAGCGATAGCAGAAAAAAAAGATTAAAAAGTCAACAACTAAAGGCTTCCATCTGGTAATATCTTCCATATTAGGCTAAAGCTTGCATTGCATGTACTATTTCGTATACACACATTGTGATTGAAAAGTTGTTGTTGATGCCTAAGAGCTAATTTAGTGGGGAAGAAGAAGATTTGTCTATTGCATAGACATATTTTCTATTGTTTTAACTAACTGGTGATTGAATTGAATTGAATTGAATTGACTGATTAAGTTTTTCGGCTCGTATAAATCGTGCATTGTCATCTGTGTCACGTCTTTTATTTGTTTTTTAGCTTTTTAATTTTTAATTTTGCGGTGTATTAATTTTTGGAAATTGGAAAACCCAAAAGGTAAAAAGGGGGAAAATTATTTGCAACACAATTCCAACAAGAGGTCACACTCTTGTGAACTTCAAATGAGACCACTACATGCTCTTGACTCAAACCACATGATTGTGATTAGAAAACCATTGTTAGTTCAATGCGGAGATTGAAGCTTTCTATGCATTGGGTTAAATGTCGAAGTTTTTTCTTGTAAGAGATTCATGGTTTAGACTAAGGCTTTCTACTGCCGTTATTCCCTGATATTGGATAGAAGAGACAGCCGGTTCTAGACGGTAATTATAATTACAGACCTAGCCAGCGTCTTGCAAACTCTATATTAGGTTAGGATACACGTCATTAAAAATGCAACAAGTTTAGAGAAGCTGCAGACTAGCAAAGTAGGCTCAACTCGAATTTTTCAAACAGCAGGAAGAAATTTGAAACGAGCGAAACTTTTCAATTTAGTAGTGTTTATCCCCCACGATAACCAAAAGTTACCCTTCCAGCTTAATCTGCGGAGTTAGTGAGTGCTGGTCTTTCTTTGAGGATCGTTTCTGTCCAATGTCACACGCTCTACTTCTGCGTCATTGTTGCAGTGGGTGAAACTGGTGATTTGTGTCGTGCTTTGTGTGCGAGTGCGTGAGTGAGTGTCGTCATCAGAAAAAGTAAAAGTAAAAGAAAAAAAAAAAGAAATGACATTGTTCTCTTTTTTTATGAACAGCAAAAAAAATAAAAAATTAAATCATTTGTCGCCAAATTACACGAATCGACAATCATTGACCAAAACGTACAGAATGCCCATTCTATGCTTTAACTAAATGAATGACACACAAAACTTGCATATAATAATAAAGAAGAAAATATCAAAGAAAAAATAAACAATCCATCACAAAGTCGCAATTAAGACTTCTTTCAATATTTTCCTTTTTTTCTTTCATTCTAAAGCACCACAAAACAAAATGAAGAGGTAACTTAGAAGATACATTTCAAATAAGCAAGAAACACAATAAACGAAAAAGCAAAAAAGCAAAAAAAAGCAAAAACAAAATCGGACACATTGCGAGCGAAGATCAGAAGGTTCAACAGAGGGACAAAACCATAACAAACAATCAAACAACTACATGTGGATTCTTCTCATGCTTTGTATCCCAAAACCAAATATAACCTTTAGTGACTAACATACGTCTCTCAAATATTTAATTTTTATTTTCAATTTTTTTGGCTTTTTTTTTTAAGCACTCGCTATTGTTTTAAAAGATGCAGAGATTTATTTCAGTTTAAAGTGTGTGTGTGGAAAAAAACATTTAAAACCTAGTACATTCGCCAAACTAGAAATTGAAAATACCAATACTCATAGAGAGAGAAGCTGAAGTATTTGAAGGGGTGACCATGTTATCAGATTCAGATGAATCGCCGACTGCTGATAACCATGAGTATACCATAGATGACTACTACAGACTTGTCAAACCCTTATGGTCGCACAAGAGCGTCAATTTTAACCACAAGTTTAACCAGCACAAAGTGCTTCGCACACTAGTTGACTTTAGTCTAACACGTACCATGCTATTGGAAAATCCACAAAAGAGAAGCATAACCATAGGTGACTTATCAGCGATCAAAAGTAGGAACGTCGATAGTATAGCCGTTCGAATTGACGACGACGTCAACAACAAGCCAGAGATCCGCTCATCCATACACACCATCACCAGCACCGACAGCGAGAAAACAGGCGCCACCACCACCCGCCACAGCCAATCATCATCAACTCATGGCCAGCAGTACAGGTCGTGCTTGAGATCAAAGTATGTCGAGTTTTGTCCCCATACCGCAATTAGTGCCTATTTATTCAGTCGATTTCATATACCTGACATTGATGGGTTGTTGGAGTTCTCGCAGGACAGCGTTTTTGATATAAACATAGCATCCATTTACAAGGGTAGGCTACTAAAAGGTAATGGTAAATCAAAATCATTGTCACTGTCGCAACAACTTATATCAAGTAATAGGGCCTTGGAGATTGCTGGCTTCAGTCTTGAGGAGACAAACTTGAGGAAGTTATTGTTGGCTCATACTTTTGAAGTACCTGATAAATTATCGGGAAATACGATTCTGGAAGTGCCTTTTGACGCATTGATGCAATTGGCAGGATTTGAGAGTGTGAATGAGTATTCAATTTTACGAAACTCAATCAACCCACCACAAGACTTGTTGGATAAAATTTTCCCTTTTATTAATCAACTGGATAAAGAGACACAAAATAAACAAGAGTTAAAGAGTGATGATATGTTTTATGATGGCATACCACCCTCTCTAGAGCCCCCTACCACTGATGAGAGCAAATTCCAACATATCAAAGAGTTATTAAGGATGCTACGAAAAAGTTTGTGCCAAGATATGCTCGTCATTAGGAAAAGGTATCCCCACAACCCGCTTCTGAAGAATGAAATTTTCAACTCAGCAGAATTTGAAGCGTTTGCTAGAGAAGTGGAAAACAATGGGGACTATGACCGATTAATCAGAGAGTCATGTTTCAACCCTCAAGATGACGAAACTGAGAGTGATTCTGATGATCTTTGGCCATCATCGATTGATTTTGACTCAAAGGAAGATCTACACCGGGTAGTTGAATTTCAAAATAACAAGCTCAAAAGTTTGGAAAGAGAAGTAGCAAGAAGTGCCCAACAACAGCACGAAACAACTAACCACTTATACGACTTTATATCCAAACAAACGGAAATAATGAACAAACAAAGTGATTTCTTACGCAATATTCAAAATTCAATCAATGGGTTGATTATTTTAAGTTCTTCCAAAAATAAAAGTTCAGAATATTTAGCAAAGCAAAGTTTACAAGATACGGCAAGATATATCAATAGTGGAGAGAATCAGCATATACGAGCAGGAATAGACAATACTTTGGAATTATTATCTCGAATGAGGGAGCTGCAGCAACGGCAGAGTGGTGGCGGTGATATTACAGAAGGAGTCGCTGCTCATCATCAGTCACAAGTTCTGCAACAGAACCAAAGCCATAGCCAGTCTTATTATCCACCATATAATCAACAGCCCCCAACTGCAGTAGTATACCAGCCACAACATTACCAAACCATGGCAGCTGCTCTGACAGCGCCAACACATCGACCGTCAGATGCATCCATCTCCACTAGGTCGTCAATGCTCTCAACCACGTCGCCCCATTTCCAGCCAGCATTGTCTCATTTTCAAGCTCAACAGCATCAGCAGCATCATTTAACCCAGCTGCCTATTGCACATACATCACTCAGCAACAACCCAATACTTAATCAACCGCATCCTCACTTGCCTCACCACAGTGACTCATTTCAAGGTGCCCAACCACCACAACCACCTTCGTCTTCTTCGTCGTTGCCCCAGATCGGTCAACAGCAACAATCCAAATCAACAAGACAGTTGGTCCTAGGAAAACGGTTATCGCGTCAAGCAACCACATTATACGAGATGTGGGATGACTTTAAACGGTTAGAAGAGGAGTTACGCCAACACGAGATATCGGTCACCGAATGGTTAAAAGTGCATGGCTCATCTGAGCGTCAGTTTCGCCATACAAGACTTAAAATTATCAAATTTGTCGAAGAGGAGGCCATGAGGCGAAGTGTCCCTGTTGAGATTGTTAAGGAGATGTTGCATAATAAAATGCGCAACCGGTTGCGGCCGTGGACTTTGGATGAAGTGCAACGGATGCTTACATCAGGTCGGAGAATTGACTTGGATGACCCTAGATTGTGATCACTTTAACCCTCTGCATATTGATATGTATTAAAAGTAGAACCATTGTAATATTATATTTTATGTGTGTCATCATGTCTATTCTGGCGGTGATTGCGAAAATTTAACCTTTTTTTTCCTACACTATCTCTCAGTAGATTCTGGTTGTTGGTGTTGTTGTTCTTGAGCATACCTTCAATTCCAACATCGCTTGTTATGGCATAATTTGGGTGACTGTGGTTTTGAAGAAACAGCTTAAAGTCTTTCTCTGTCGATGCAAAAGTTTGGTTGTCTCTCTCGCTTCTGCACCTGCATATATAAATTGTTGGGCTTGGCTATTATTAACAAATAAAAAGGGAACAATGATTCACACGCGCACCTGCATTTTCGCTTATAACCGCTTAATTTCATGTTTGCACCTTGAAATCAGGAGTATAATTCTTCCGCCACGTACCAGTTGCTGTCTAAAGTTGGGGATTGTTTTGCTTCGCCCTCTTGTTGTATTTTTCTTTTCTTTCTTTTTTGTACTTATTAACAACTATGCATTGGCTTGCCTGTTTCCGGGCATAACCATTGAACAATGGGAAATTGAATTAGTATCGACAGTGGCGATGGTCGACATATATGCATATAAATTTGGATACACTGCATGTTGAGTTAAAGACTACGACTACTACAGGGAGGACTTGCACTGATGTTATTGTTTTTAATTTTAATTTTAGATTTTATTTTATTTTTTTTTTTCCCTCTGCCCTTCAATGTTCAAAAACACAATAAAATTAGACTGGGCAAGGGTGAGATTTTGCATACCTCTTGTTGTTGTTTGTAGGTGCAAGGGCTTACCTAGACAAGAAAAAAAAAAGGTGAGCCCCTTTGGAGGAAGATCTTTAATTAAACCTTCTTTTTATAATGACAGTATACTTTGAATCTCATCTTTGCTTTGCTTTCCTTCGCTTGTAAATTGCAAATCTTTTGTGTTTGGCTGCGAAAAAAACAAAAAAAATAACATTTTTTTTTTGTTTTTTTGTTTATTATTTTCGGCATTTCAAAGTCAAAAATAGTTGTCTTATTTTTTTTTTTTTTTTTCCAACTTCGACATAGACAAATATTCCAATTGTCAAAAGTTTAACACACACAGGTGAAGAACAGAATTGAAAATATAGAAAACAATAAAAGTCACAGAATAAGATTTTGTGCATGATATATATGTAATATGTAAGATAATTATTATATATATTGTATTATATTGTATCTATTTTTATATTTGCATCTGTGTCATTCCACGGGTAAACGACTTCTAAGCTGCGTTGTCATGGCAACCACACAGCAAAAGAGAAAAAAAGAATAGAATGGCCAAAAGTCACACAAAATAACAAAAATTCAAAGGATATTTTTTTGTTTTGTTCACATGTACACTACTTCTGGTTACAGAAAGATTGTATATTAATCAACTTTGAGTTTCATATTCACATGTAAAAGGGCAACAATTGTTTGTTTGCTTGTTTGCTTGTTTCTTTTCATAAAAAGGGGGATGAGTATCTATTTCTATAATGGGCAAACTTGCCAAATTCAATTATCGTCTAATGGCAGCGTTTTGGCTGCCTGAAAAAAAAAAAGATCTCTCGTTAATTTGTACAAAGTTGTTTCTCGTTGTAACTCAATACTTTAAATACAATTTTTTATTTCATATTTTTTTTATTTTTTTTTATTTTTGACGCTAAAATTCTCAGACTGACATGTTTTAAGTTGTCACGACATTGGTTTTGCCTCTTTCTTTTTCATATTTAGCGGGGAACGATGAAAATGATGAATGACCACGATTATGACTTACCAACTGAATAAAATCGTATTGTTCCACAATTATTGTTGGATTTCTAGGTTATCTGTCTTTCTTTGTAAGGAAAAATAGCGGGATTCTTCTTTCCCAAAAGAGAAAAAAAGCAAAGTAGAAACTGGCTAATGCAACAACATTGCATTAATAGTAAAGGGACTGCAAATTAACCGATTTGCCTTTAGTCAGTAAACAGCACAAATTATTTACAGTGCAGCTGCGGTTAAAGGCTTAGCCCTGTTAGGTGTTTTTGCTTTTTATCAAATGACAGCTTCACAAGAGTTTTCGATGCATCTGCTGGCAAACCTATCTTTATCACTACTGGCACAGGACTTGTCATGGGTTGTCCACAATCGCACAAACCAAACAAGTAGCCAGATAACCATTGCATTAGAGATCTGCAGGATAACCTCATTGATATGCACGAATTTGTCGCGCTGATCTAATTGCTTCTCTGGTTACAAAGCACCAAGAGTTACGAGCCAAGTAACCTTTAAGCACACATTATGCACCCAACTACATTTGCGTAATAACCGGGATTCACAAACAACCTAACCTACATTGTAGGTACCTAGTGCCTTTATTCTAAAAACCAGCAATTCTGCCCTCCACCAATGAACATTTCAGGAGGAATGGAGGCGCATAATCTACTAACAAAATTGTGCAGGGCTGTCAAAGTTGATGTTGACAAAAAAAAGACCACTTCATCTATCCACTAGAACCCAAAAACCACCAACAAATTATCCAAAAGCTTTACTCAACAAAATTTCTAGAAAAGTACAAAAGCCACAATTGACCTTTTGATATCTTCGCCTATTTTCGTATAACATTCATACGACATTACACAAAGATAGCAAAATACACTTGGAAACACCTACAGACAGGAAAAAGAATGGCCCAGATTCACCACCACCTAAGACAATGGAAAGTTATCCCTGTGTTACCTCCATCCTTCTAATTTACTATACATCTATAGACTTAAAATTGAACGGCTCATAGGCATACCCTTCCCCCTCGAAAAATTTCGACATTGCTTCGACCCAATGAAGTCTCAACGAATGCAACATGGCAGACGTACCTTCCATAAGAACCAAGATACACACAGTCAACAGAAACCACATGGCAAATAAAACCACAGTAGCAATAATCCCAACGGCACCAGTTTTACCAAATGCATTTTGGATGGTCATGGACCACAACACTGTCGACAACTGTGCATGTGCTAATGAAAGTGCCCACAATCTCAAATAAGACGCTGTATGACTAACACAGTTTAAACAAAACTCAATAGTGTGAATCACTTGATGAATGACAATGTCACCAAAATTAAATTCTCCGTGATCATCTCCATGTGCAGCCGCAGAGTGGAACATTGGCTCAATATCATTGGGGAATCTGAATTCGTCATCTGTTTCTGGCTCTTCGTCAGTTGGGTCGTTATTCAATTCATGTTCCAACTCCAATGCCGCCTCCTCTTCATGCAACATGAGCGAGTGGTTCCTTTGCGAATGTAAATCCGAGTATCCTAATCTTACTGCCTTGTCATTTTGTCTCTTCAACGTCAATGGCTTGTAAATCAACAACCAAGGTACACAAATGAGTGCAATAAGAACCAACACCACTTGAATAAATTTTTGTCCTGGATACAACTGTTCCTCAACCGTGCCTGGCGACAAAAACATGTTGATCAACATATTCAACAACCCGGGGGGTTGTTTACCACTACCCAACCAATCAACTGACCACTTGTACACAATTGTCAATGCCAAATAGCCAAATATACTTGTCATAAAAAGAAAACCGGGAATAAAGTTTCCAACTATGTCTACCCTTCTTTTGAAATACAAGTAATTCACCAAACTAAACATCAAAGAATAGTTCATGTGAACATATCCCATCAAAACTGAAAGCTTCATCTTGTACGAGTTAGTAAACAATAAATTGTTCTCCGTTCCATGCCATGCCCAATCAAGACCAATGGGATACGTCTTTCCCTCAACTTTAGTTGCCGTCAAGGTTCCTCCCTTTTGCGGATCATAGTTGTCAGGGAATACATACTCCCACCCCGACCCGAATATAGCCATTGACTTGGAAAAAATATCGTTATAAATGAAGCCAGTATACATGGAGAAAAGCCCCATCAACAATATTATGTATCTACCATTGAAGGCCATTTCGAAAATCTCATCCTTGTTACGCATTGCGCCAAAGGACACTTCGTTGATGATCAAGTATAACGCCATTAACAAGACAATAAACCCATGACCTAAATCACCAAACATAATAGCAAACATAAAGGGAAAAGTTATAATAGTCGCTAAGCCCGGATTAACCTCCTCATATGTGGCAATACCATAAGCATCAATAATCAGCTGAAAAGCAGCGGTAAACTTATTTGTCTTGTGGTACGTTGGTGGCGTTCTGTTGGTCGTGAGCTTATTCACTACTGCAATTAATGACCCTGTCTCCTCTCCCCCATCGTCAAACTCTATCCCCGAAATGTCATGGTCACTATCGTCAATAATAAATGTATCAGTTTCAGCATCAACCGATCCAGATATATCTAGCGAGTCATTCGACGCATTAGGAGACCCACGGTCACGCCTTGTCTTGACTTTCACCAACTTTCGTAGTGCGCCTCGTATTTTTTCAAAATCAATCGAGGGAATCCACCCTTCTCCAACCAAGCATCTTCTAGTACTATCCTCATCAAATTTGTTTAAGGTCTCATACACTAATTTCTCTCGCTGGACAATATACGAATAGTCAGGGTACAACTCTTGGAAAACCTTTAATTCAGTAATTAGTTGGTCTTTGGTGCTGTCTACGACATTTGTCAACTCCTCAATCCTACCGTTGATCTCATCCAACGTCGCTCTCCTTGCTTCCGAGTTTCCCGTTGCATTATCAAAAATGATCCCATCCAAAGATTGTATAATCTTCCGCACCCTTGAACGTAATACATCACCATGAATAAAGATAATGAATACGTTTTTGTAAACCATCTCGGTCGATTTATCATTTAGCGGGAATTCCTCATCAATAGGGATATCGTGGAAATATAAGTTGCCTCGTAAAAGTCTCCATAATATATTCCTCAAAACCGGTACCTTGTCTCTTGCAATTGTTCCAGCAATTGAATTAAAATTGGACTCCTCCCAGTTGTGAATTTCTAAGCCCAACTCCAAACTATTGCTCCGGCGTGTATTTAAAAGGGCAATTTCACTATCGAGTTCACTATTGTCTTCGTGATCACCATAGTGTTCATGGTCATTCTCCACCAACGTCGACCGGTGGAAGTTGTTGAGTATATTTATAACATATCGATTTTCAATGTACTTGAGTTTCTGACTGTCCAAATTGCCATATGAATGATTCAAATGTTTGATTCTTTCATGGTAATCATTCAATTTGGCTTTGAACTGGTCCATCTCCGAAGTCGAAGGCATGGGCTTCATATCTGCCCTTAAATTTACGTGCAAGTCGCCCGTTACTGTACCCAATGTTGTCATTATTGATCGAAGGAATGTCAATTGACTAACCATTGTGTCAATAGACTTTAACTCATTGATAAATGTTCGTTGAAAAGGGGTGAGCTTCGAATTCAAATCTCGAAACTGGACGGCTCCTAGGTCACCCAACATGCCAACCATTTCTCTCGCCAATTCAATTGTCACATAAAACTGCACCAACGTCATAGGGGCGGACCGAAATATAGCCTCGCTGGATTCATTTATGGCCGATCTTGATTCTGTTAATCTTATAGGCGCCATATCGTATGTGGGGTTTTCTTGACAGAAAGTTACCGAATTGTTATGAATCTACGGTGTGTCTATGTAGTTATTGCCAGGTTTTGCAAAATGTTTTTCTTGAGAAACACTATGGCAAACTCAATATTTGATTGATTGATTGATTGTCTATGTATTTTTTTTTTTTATTTCCTCTGTTTGTTCACCAAAATTCGGATTTTTTGAATTACGTGTAAAGTGTCCCCCAATTTTTTCATAGTTCTATTTTTGTAAAAAGCCGAGTTCTGTCATACACATTGAGTAATCATTTGTGAGCTACACACATACACTCACACACACACACACACGCACACGCACGAAAACATAGACGTTGGCAATTATTTCCAAACGTTGTCATAAAACCGAGTGGGAGACTACTATGAAAAAGATTGCGCTACTTCGGTGCTTGTTCTTTTACCTCTTGAAAGGTACTATTGGAACTGATTCTCTGGAGATTAACGAGTATGAAAGAGCTATTTCTACGCTACAACAGATCGAAGCTAGCTACGAAAGGAAGTTTGTGTACTCTGCAGATAATATAGAAGATAATTTAAGGATTCCACCTTATGATCCGATAAAGAAACAGTATGAGCTGAAGTACAGATCGCAACCACCACAAAAGCTAACGAATGATGTAATACCGCTACTAGAGATCTCAGCATCAAAGAGTAACCCCAAGGCTTTAATAATGTTAGGGGACTTGTATCTATTTGGAAACTATTCTTTGCCAACTGATTACCAAAGAGCCAAAGAGTATTACGAAAAAGCAATAGCGGTATGGCCTGATGCGCATGCATACTTTATGTTGGGCTTCATTTATTCTACAGGTCTATTTGGTGAGTTTCCAGTTGATCAAAAGCGGGCCAACTTGTATTACCAAATAGCTGCAGAAAATGGAGATTTGAATGCGTTGCAAGTCGTTGCGTATAGGAACTTGAAAGGAGTAGGCGTTCCCTCAAATTGCGAGTTGGCGTTGCCATATTATTCAAAGTTGCTGAAAATTGGACACGACATAGAAACAGGGTCCAGTACTCAGACTGATTATAATATTAGAGTGTCTGACTTTAATGGTGGGCTATTTGGAGAAAAATTAAGCGAAACGGCGTCTTCTGTGGACTTACCTTCAAGAATGTTTGCCAATTATAAAACAACACTTGAGGAGAACAAAATAAATGACAACAACCACGAGTGTGCATCATTTTACTTCAAGGGTCTCGAATATTTAAAGGGTGACTACTTTAGTGAAAGAAATTTACCAAAAGCTTTCCAAGAATTTCAAAAATGTGTGGCTTTGGGTGAAGAGTTCTATGGCTCCAGAGAGTATCGGAATATTGATACAATAGATCGAGCTTTCTTAAGCTCCTGTCAAGCTACTCTAGGACGCATGTACTTGGAAGGATTATCAGTGGATAAAGACGCTCAGAAAGCAAAACGATTATTTCAAACATCTTTGAAATTGCAGGTTACAGCAAATGTACTCACTCAACTAGGATTTATTGAAGAGCATGGGATTGCTGGCGAAACAAATATAACCAAGGCCATTGAATATTACAGCAGTGCAGCCAGTAAAAAATCAAGCTCGGGTTCAAAGAGTTTAGCAAAGTTGCTTATGAAAATGAATGCTACAGATTTTGTCGAATCAAACGAAAATAGGGCCCTCATTTATAAACACATGCGACAAGCAGCATATTATGGAAGTACTGAAGCATTGTACTACGTTGGAACTTTTTTTGAATCCGGGTTGGCACAGTTGGTTGACCCAGAAGAGCGAGTCACCTGCGCAAAGACATCTTTATATTATCGAGAATTTATAAAGAGGCGAACTCAATTCTATGCGCCACATTTGAAATATGCATTCGAGGAGCTCGCTAGCGGAAATTTCGGAAATGCTTTGGTTGGGTACCTGATTGCTGCCGAGCAAGGCTTTGAGCAAGCACAGGTTTCGGCTGCTCACTTGCTATATCAATTGCAACCTTTGTACTCACGGGAAGAAAAAAAGTCATTTACTTCAGATCGATTGAATTTGGCTGTTCAATATCTTGATCGGGCGTCTAAACAGGACGATATAGATGCAGCAATCCTTCTAGGCGATATATTCAGGGGTCAAGATAAGTTCGCGCAAGTTGAGCCAGATTACGAACGAGCATTCAATTATTATAGAATCGCTGCAGACAGACATTCGTCGCATGGTGCATTCAAGCTAGCTGAGATGTATGAATACGGCTTAGGTGCCGAGAATCATTCTGTTGATTACTTTTTAGCCAAACGATACTATGATCAAAGTTTACAATATAAAGGGAAGTTCGATCTCGATCGGCAAACACAGCTTTTGAAACCCACGTATAGTAGTGCTCATATAAATTGGGCTCTATTGAGGTTGAGATTTAAGTACCTTTTTGGCAGAGGTGGCGGCAATAGCCAGGTTGAAGATCAAGCAAATGGGTGGTTTAGTGCATTAAAGTCACTAAGTAAAAAGACAGCCAACCAACAACAAACATCTGCGCAGCAAAAAGAATCAAATGCTAAGGCAGACTCACATCATTATGGTACTTCCTACGATAACGAATTTGCCGAAAATTACGACATTGGAGACTATTTGGTGATTTCTTTGACGTTTATGTTCTTTCTTGTCTTTTTTGTTCAAAATGTCATTCGACAGGTGAGAAGAATGCGGAATGACAATCAGGAAAGAGGTGAACAGAGGGAGGCGGCAAGAGATGGAGACCAAGCTCGCTGGAATGGAAATCAGTTCCACTTTAGGAGAGGTAACTTTGAGTTTCATTTCTTTGCAATATAGGGGGATCATGTAATGACTATTTAGTTATACCATCAATAATATTCTTAAGAACAGCATTTTTCTTACCAATGCGAGTCGTTTGTGTGGTTTTCTTAACCGGGGAGTTTTTTGCCGATTGTGGTAGGTTGTAAATGATATCAGCATCCGCGGGAAGTGAATAGTACCAACCTTTCAGCTCTAAAAAGTCGATAAAGGTTTTTGTAGTGTCGTTTGTTGATAGCGTGGAACGTGATCCAAGAATTATTAACTTGGATTTTGCTCTCGTCACCGCCACGTTTAAGCGCCGCCATTCTTTCAATAGATCACCCGCATTCTTTTCCTTATTGGAACGAACAAGGGATATGATGATGCATTGCTTGTCCCTGCCTTGATATTGGTCCGCCGTTAGAATTTCCAACTCTGTTCTTGACGACAAGTTTCTCTTCAATAGATCAAGCTGGGAGCGGTAGAAGGACATAACCCCGATTTGAGCCTCATCCACACCAGCAGTAACAAAAGCCTTGACAACTTGTTGTATTAAAGCCGCTTCTCTCGAATTCCGAATGGCTTCTCCAAAAACAGTTTCATTTGCAGGTAGCGTGTCATGATCGAGAAACAATACTTTTCGGTTCTTGTCAAAAACAAGGTCCAACCACTGGTGTTCCTTTGGAGTGTCTGGCAGGGCGATAAAGCTAGACGCTGCTTCCGGAAACGGGATCTCCATGCATTGATTGGCAACCGCTGGTGAGCCACACTTTAATTTATTTTCATAAACCAAAATGTTGGAGACTTGCATTATGTCCTCACACATTCTGTATTGCTCTGTCAATTCACTCACTGCCAGCGGGTGAGCCTCGGCTAGAATCTTAAACAAGGACTGTGAAAGTCCATGTCTAACCTCCGGATTTTGATGTAGGACCAAAGGAGGCAATTGATAGTGGTCACCGACCAAGATAAACTTTTTAGCAAGGCTGATTGGGCCTAAATTGATCGGTACCGTTATTTGTGAGGCCTCATCTACAATGCAATAATCAAACTCATTTCTCAAATTAAAACAAGAATCGGTGATTCCCAAACAGGTGGTCGCCACGATATTTGGTATCTCATATGTATCTCTGTATTGCGAGCGTGACTTGATTGGCACCTCGTAGTCAGGGATATGCTTATGAAGTGACCTGTGAACTCGTAATGGGTGTCCTATTCTTAAAAACTTAAAATCTTCATTATCGCCCATCTTGTTCACGATTTTCAAAAGAATGTTATCCACGGCGGAGTTTGTATAGGACGTGAGCAATACAGTTTTCCCTTCTTCAACAATCCTTCGAACCATTTCGACAATGATTGAACTTTTGCCTGTTCCAGGCATACCAAGAATAAGTGCATAGTTATCGGCAGAAAAGGCCTTGTTTAGCGCCGCCGTTTGACAGCTATTAAACTCAGATTCGAACGTGTACTTTTCATTATCACTGGAAAACTTTGGAGCTTTTAGATCAACAATTAGATCACGAAGACCTGTTAATGAATCAGGCAAGAATAGACGCAAGACGTTGTATCGCGCCAAAGCCATACCATAGAACATTTCGTCCTTGTCGATAATAAATCTTTTGTTTCCTGATGCTCGATTTTTATCGTGACCATGGATTAAACTCTCCATGACCTGGTTATTCTTTTGATTGAAGTTTTTTACTTTCATATCGTACGTGACTATTCTTCGTCTCGTGCTGATGGTAATTTTTGAAGACGAGACTGACTTGACCACACCAGTAGCAATGGCAAAATGCCCATCCTCATCGCTAATCAAGACTCTATCGCTAACCGTGAGTTTGGAAGACAACATGTTGAAGGTTGAATCAGCTTCACCTTTCGAAAATGTATACAAAAATTGTCTTGCTTGCGACTTGTCACCATGGGCACTCGCAATGTAGAATATCAGACTCTCGCCGTCATTTGATTCAATAATCTTCAAATTGTTCAAACTGGTACCCTGCTCTTCACGTAAGGAGTTGGGTAGAGTCCACAAATGCTTGACAGACTTACTCATGAGTTCCTCCTCTCGCGATATTAGCGTATCCCAATAATTAAAGTATTCTTTGTATTTTGGATTCGCTAGGTGATACGTGATCAACTCATAATCCTCCTCCTCAATACCAGAGCCTTCCTGGGTACCTTCCTCTGCCAAGTAATTAATAGTCATGCAACCGGAAACAATTTCACATCTCTCACAGCTTGAACGTCTCAAGAGATCAGGTAAGGTGCGGCCAGACCTGATGTGTTGGGAGACGCGATTTCTCAAATTAATCAAGGACCGCAAGTCAGAGACTCGTATCTTGCACCTTTTAGTGACCCCTTCTTTTGTATACACAAGAATAAAGGAGTCAATATCCATGTCATAACGGTCTTTGAAAAGTAGGGCATATAAAGACGCTTGCGCGCTATGACTAACGTGTTCTCGACCCGTTTTGATCTCCATGGGCAATAAGAATTTTCCATTGACGGTCCTGTTCAGCAAGTTGGCTATTATTGTCGCATCTATCATACCTTTTAATCCAAAAACTGGCGACCTTATCTCTTCTTCAATGTCTAGTATATCATCAACAGCAAATGAAATTTGATCTCGCTCCAGACAATCATCAATCTTTGATCTAGAGGTTGGCGTCTTCCTATAATAACTCTCAAACCACTGTTGCAAATAAGGTAGATGTTTTTCAACCTCTTGGTCAACATCCTCCACGTCCTTGCCAATACTGTATAAACCCAACAAGTATTGGTCCTTCAAATTATCGAACACCTCTCGCATGAAATTAAGAGTCCATGTTTCAGTCACCATACACTCTTGGAAAATAAAATGCACTATTTCACCAACAATTATGGGAACAGATGTGGTTCCGGGAAACTTATATCGTGACACCAAAACCGTTTTCCGCGGGCAGTTCACTTGCTGAGCAATTTTTGTAGCTGGAATCAAAACATCGGGATTTAGCACAAGCAAATTGTGCGTATCATCGATCAAGTTTGGATTTCCCTCGTCGGTGTTTATAACATGGATTATATCGTTAAGCAGAAAATTAAGCTCACAATATTCCCCTCTTAAAATTAACTTACAATTGTGCTTGTCTGAATCGATTGTTTCAAGAATGATTTGCTTTTTAGCTTGGACTCCATACGCTTGTTCTGTGAAATTGACTATTTTGAGTCTTCGCAACATTGATCTTCCATAAACGATATCGGTAAATTCCTCTTCTTTTTCAATGCATTCGCCTTTCTTTATCCAAAGCTTTTCAAATTTCTCCATACCTTCTTTAAATGATTTAGTGAAAGAAGAGGTCTTCACATCACCACCATTCAAAATATTGATTAGCTCTGTGTCAGTTTCATCAGAAAAAGGGTCTTCTGATATATCTGCCTTTGGAGAAGATGACAAATTCTCATCATTGCTGCATATTTGGCTCTTTGTAGGCGATATTTCAACATTTGAACGTTTATCCGTTACAGGAGCCTTCTTTTGCGACAACATCTCCATGATTTCTTCATCTTCGGAAAAGGGATCGTTCGATTGTAGCGATTCATCATAAATCTTTCCTGTTGGTGACAGCTTAATGGTGATTGCATTTGGCCTTTCATCCTTGGTGTCATCACTATTTAGTTTACTGATCCAGCTACTCAAAGTTCCTTGTGCTAATCCGGAATACAGACTCCTTTGTATACCCTCAACACCAGTTGATTTGGTTCTTTGCAATGTCGAAGGGTTATTGGACTCGGTTTTGAACTTGCTATTCTTGTTGCTTAAGTCTGAACGCGTCTTTGATAATGTGGGAGAAATTGACGAGACATTATAGAAGTTTGCTCCATACTTGGATAGGACTTCATCGGTTCCACCTCCTTCTTCTGACTTTACATGCTTAATGCTTTTCAAGGGGGAGGAAGAATACTGCGCCCCTTGCTTTAATGCGTTTGCTTTGCTCTCCTCGCCGTTCAATTTTGAATCAGGGCTGTCCTTCCAACGCACTCCATCGAAGCTATCATCGGAATTGTCAGTGGCAATTTGCACTTCCATGTGTTTCTTTGATTTTCGCTTGGGGCTATATTTAGGCATGTGTACATGATTACCGGCTTCTTGAACAGGTTGTATATGGGAATGTAGTGTGTTTGTATCTATGGTTTTAATCATTTGGGCGTGATTATCAGGTTCTGTTGTTAGTTTGTTGACTGGCTTGAAAAAGTATGACTGCTTCTTTGGCCGTTTGAGGGGCCTTATGGACTCCATGTCATTGAATTTGGATTTCATATTAACATCGTCGGATCCACCTGTTTGCTCATACTTTGTATGCTGTGCCATATAGGGTGTAAAGATGAAAAGGGTGTGATATTCTTTGATTTTGATTTTGGTTTTTGCAGACGAGTAGCGCGTTTCATTTTTTAATCTTTGCACCCAATGGAATATGTCTTTGGGGAATAGCGTGGACGTTATTCTGCAAAACGATGATTTGAACTGGAGCAAGAATTAGGTAGAAATGGGGTAATCGGGGGCCTGTAAGAGATTATATAAGTTGGTTCTGGTCTTCGTATTTGGTTTGGATTGCCTACCACTGTCAATGAAATCTTAAGAGAAGGGAAATGATTGTATTACAAGAGGGGTGGGGGGCTCAGAGTTGGTCTATTAGTTGATCAATAGAGTAATACAAGGGCACCATCGAAAGTGAACTACGTTCCTCCAAAGTAGGGATGCTTCCAACCAATGGTGATTATTTGAAATGCAAAGTGCCTAGCTCAAGGACTGACAAAACGAGATATACAGTGTTCTATAGAGCATATTCTCACACATAAGGTGGTTACTATAGTACTAGCCTCAACAATTTTATGTTGTGTTAGAAAAACCTCCAGACGTGCTTGACTTACTCTTTTGAATCCTTCTCTCATTAATTTGTTTTTCATTTTAAAAACAATCAAACGAAAAGAAAAAAAAATAAAAAAAAAAAAAAATAAAATAAAATAAAAAAAAGTCTATTCTCTCATTCTCTCATTCTCTCTCTTTCTCATCTCAAAAATTTTTCAGATTTTGTCTTCATATCAAACAACCACATCACAGGTCTTATATATATCACACATATCTCAACTTTCCATTTTGAGATATATCTACATTATTAAGACTTGAGGTATTGATTAGCATCTACCACCACAGTTACACTTTCTGACATTCACACACACTAACACACACACCCAACACACACACATCACCACTTATCATTTACAAATGGCTTTCATATTAACGGAAACGGCAGCAGGGTATGCGCTTTTAAAAGCTTCTGACAAGAAGATCCACAAATCATCGTCTTTGATCGAAGATTTGAACTCTTTGGAAAAAGTTTCCGACCAATTCAAAGTTCATCGTTTTGAAAAATTTCAAAGTGCAGCCAACGCTTTAGAAGAGGCTAATGCTATCATGGAAGGAAAAGTTTCCGATAGCTTGAAAAAGTTATTAGAGGATGCCAAATCGGACAAGAAGTCAACTTTAATTGTTTCAGAAACCAAATTGGGTAATTCTATTAACAAATTGGGATTAAACTTTCAAGTTGTGTCTGACGCAGCTTCATTAGATTTGCACAGAGCAATTAAAGAATTCTTGCCGGAATTATTACCGGGCTTGGATAACTCAGCCCTCAACCAAATGTCATTGGGGTTAGCACACTCTATTGGTCGTCATAAGCTTAAGTTTTCAGCAGACAAAGTTGATACTATGATTATACAAGCCATTGCATTATTGGACGATTTGGATAAGGAATTGAACACATATGCTATGAGATGTAAGGAGTGGTACGGATGGCATTTCCCTGAATTGGCCAAGATTGTCACCGATTCAGTTGCATTTGCCAGAATTATTTTAACCATGGGTGTCAGATCAAACGCTGCCGAAACAGAATTATCGGAAATCTTACCTGAAGAAATTGAAGAACAAGTAAAAACTGCCGCCGAAGTTTCAATGGGAACTGAAATTACCGAAAATGATTTGGAAAACATCAAGGCCTTGGCCGAGCAAATTGTTGACTTTGCTGCATATAGAGAACAGTTGTCAAACTATTTGAGTTCTAGAATGAGAGCAATCGCTCCAAACTTGACCACAATGGTGGGAGAATTGGTTGGTGCTAGATTGATTGCCCACGCAGGATCTTTGACGTCGTTGGCCAAGGCCCCTGCTTCTACCGTTCAAATATTGGGAGCAGAAAAAGCTTTGTTTAGAGCCTTAAAGACCAAACATGATACTCCAAAGTATGGTATAATATACCACGCGTCATTAGTCGGTCAAGCCAGTGGTAAGAACAAGGGTAGAATCGCCAGAGTCTTGGCTGCTAAAGCTGCTATTTCTTTGAGATACGATTGTTTTGATGAAGAGAGAGATGATTCAGAAGACTTTGGTTTAGAAAACAGGGCCAAGGTTGAAGGAAGATTGAGTCAATTGGAAGGAAGGGATATGAGAACTACTTCAAAGGTTAGTAGACAACAGCCAAAGATTGATATCACTGAAGCTAGAGCTTACAATGCCGATGCTGATGCACCCGTGGCTGCTGCTCAAGACTCTGATGATGAGGATTCCGAAACAGAAGAGGTTGACGAAAAAGTGGAGGTAAAAGAGAAGAAATCAAAGAAGGATAAGAAAGAAAAAAAGGACAAGAAGGACAAGAAGGACAAGAAAGAAAAGAAGGACAAGAAGGACAAGAAAGATAAGAAGGATAAAAAGAGAAAGAGAGAGGAAGACGACGATGACAAACAATCAAAGAAGGAGAAGAAGTCGAAAAAATCCAAGAAAGATTAGATTGCTCAAAGGGTGTACTGTATATTAATATCAAAAGCTAAAAATGGAATCAATATTGTAGGTACCAATGCTCTCTCAGTCTAACTCTTGATCATTGAAGTCAAAATCAGGAGGATTATCACCTGAATTGCTTTGGTCACGTGCCCTATTTCTGGTTTCTTCGGTATTTGTCAGATCGGTCTGTGTCTGGGTTCCAGCCTGTTGTCGAGTTTCCGAATGAGCCGTGTTTTCACCGCCCTGTCTATTATTGCTCCTACCAGAGACCTCAACCCCATTGACAAATAAAGCTCCAGTTCCCTCACCCTGCGTAAATCTTTCAAAAGTGTTTAATAAGCCTGGGTTCAATACATGGCGAATAGCATCAGGTAACATATTTGATAAATTTGGGCGTTCGTTGGACATAGGCGACCGACTGGCATTCGTATTCGCATTTGAGTTGTTTGTTGCAGAGTTGCTTTGATCCCCAGTGCCCGTATCAGCAGCAGCAGCTGCATCATCATCAGCAGCCCCAGAGCCGGTTGTATCACCACCCGGAGCGGGTTGTTGTGAATTTTGTGCTGTATTTCTTGTGCCACCTTCTGCAATTCCTCCTATCATATCTCTTAGACTACTGAGGGGCCATGTTTCAGAGTTCATGGGCCCAAAAACTTGGATATCTGGACTTCCTTCTCTATTGCCAGCCGGATTGCGAGCAGTGGGGTTGCGCTCTGTATTAAAGTGAGGTGGTCTTTCGATCTCGGTAACGGTGGCTGTTTCCATACCATTCCTGGCAAGCATGTTCTGCGTCACCTCAGGTGTTAATATATTTGGACGACTCTCGTTGATTCGCTGTGAAAGGTCTCTCAAAGAAGAGTCACGATAAACAGGCATGTACGTAAAGCAATCGCGATCAACTTCTGGTCCAACTGCTCTTAATCGAGCGAGCAATTTTCTAACATCGCTGATTATGTTTTTGATTTTGTCTTCTGGAACATCTTGTTGATAAGCTCTTTTTTCGGTCAAGGCAATCGCTGAGCTCAATCTCTTGATAAACTGAGGCAACACCGTCTTGGTTCTCAAGCTCCTATATTCATCAACAATAGATCCGCTATTAGGAAAGTTGTTGGGCAATATCTCCCCTACTGCGGATCTTAATGCAAGGTCATAGCACTCCAAGGCAAGCAAGCCGTTTCCCATATACAAGTGGCAGTACCCTAATTGGGTCCAAGCTGGAGTGAATGCACGGTCTAAAACAATTGCAGCGTTCAAATCATCTATAGCTTCGGGGACGCAGTTGAGACCTATAAACGCAATTGCCCTGTTGGTGTAAATTTGCGACTCATCATCGTGTGTGAATGGTGGCGCAAGCAACAAAGCTTCAGTGTATACTTTTATTGCTTGAGCATAGCACAAGAATGACATCAAATTATTACCTCTTTCTCGTAGTTCGTTTAACAGGTTTTGGGTTGAGCTTTGTGTTTCTTTGAAGCTGGGTGTTAGGATCTTTATAGTGGACAAGAGTTTCGATCGAAAGGCTTCGACAAATTCCACATATGGGACAATATGCAACTCATTAGAGCCAAGAAAAGCTCGCACGGTGTTGTTGAAATAAAACTCACTTACATCGGTACGTCTTTTCACTTCTTGAAGATATTGTGCTGCGTACAAGAATAAATCTTTGGAGGGTCCTTGACCAGTTATTTGCAAGCTTGAATTCTCTTCCAAAATTTGTAAAAGTAGTTGATTGATCTTGACTCGTGTACTTTCCCTTACTTCTATCAGTTCAGTAAAGTTAATGCCATTGCTCACTTTATTTACCAAGTCAGCGGTTGGTAATTGCGGGAAACTGAAATTACCCGGTTGTTGGCTACACAATACTCGATCGATATTTTCAATAGTTGAATTCTTGTGATATCCATCAGTTTGAGAAGCGTGCAAATCACCTTCTAAGTCTTGTTCAAACTCTTTCTTTAAGGCATACTCCGTTAGGTACTTTAAAGAATAAAGGAGATTTTGATTGTCACCTTCGTCTCCGCCACACACGCGTGCTCCGCCTTCCAATTCGTGCACAAGACGATCAAAAGACACCTTCAATCCCTGACCCAAGTAGTAGTCTAGAGCAAATCTGTTGATGCCATCAAAGCCTAGTTGCTCCATATCGGCGATAATAATGAAAACGTGGAATCTAAATTCTGGAGCGGAACTTTACTTGCAACATTTTCTTTTCTTTTCAGTTCTTTTTTTTCTTTTTCTTCTTTAATTTCGTGTGACGTTGATTCGCACGTGAATCAAGATTAAACAAAAGATTGTCTCGATGTGCAGTCTTTTATTCATCGTACTTATCTATAAAGTATCTATAATCAGTACTATCTTTGGCGAACAGCAGCTGCGGCTGCACGTGCAAACTTGGCCGCTTGATTGGTCGACGGTGGTGAATGCATTGATGGCAGACTGGCCACTCTACGTTTAGTTTCCTTCTTAGTCTTTTTACCACTCCCTTTCTTACTTTTGATTTCATCATTTTTTCTACCAGCTGACTGGGATAATGCTCCACTTGCTCCATTGTTTCCATCCGTTCCATTGGTTGCTGTGGTTTCCAGTACCACTACGGTTGAAGTTTCTCTGGCAATCAATAAACAATCAATCCACCCGTGCTGTTTTCCAACGGAAGCTTCGTTGCCATTTTTATCCAACACCTTTATCAATTCTGGCTCCAGAGCTTTGTTTATAAGTTGCTGAAGGAAATACAAATCTCCGTTTTCCTTAACAACTTCGATGATCAAGAATCCCAATTGATCATTAGTTGAGTCTTTCTCATCATTTTCAAACTCGTAATCATACATAAAGTAATCGCCACCATTATTTGCTTTCAAATCAACCAACATAACCTCTAAAGTTGAATCGACGAGAAATATTCTTGCCATGTTGGTAACAAAGGCAAGAACTAGCTTGGAACCCTTCTCCAAGTCTTGTGCATGTTCTGTCACAATCCTCTCCAAAACAGTATCGTCAAGAGCGTCATATTTCAATGATAGCGCATTTTTTGGAAGTTGCATTCGCTTTAGAAGATCCATTTTAAGAATCTTCTCATTAGGCGCAAGAAGGGTAGATACTTCATAGAACTTTAGCACTGTTTCCTTTTGAGAAGGTTTAGGGATTATCTTTGTTTTCTGCAGGAGAAAGCTTGTACTTGGTGGGGTCTTTGGTTTGGGTTGACCATTACTCTTTTGTTTATTGGCAAAAGCGGCCGCAGCAGCTGCCGCATCAGGGGATGTTTTGGGAACCTCTGGTACACTTGACTTGGGTTTCTCTGAAATACTCCGAGAATCAGTCTTGGAATACGAATTCAATTCTGGTGGCGGTGAAGTATGTGAAGGTTTTGTAGTACGAGGCATATTTTGGAAAGCTGTATTAGCTCTGATATTTGGTTTCCCCTGTGTTTGGACTCTAGGCGTGGATGGTTGGGTCTGAGGAGGTCGATGCAAATATTGGACAGGTCCCTTTTGTTGCTGCTGCTGCTGCTGTTGTTGTTGTTGTTGATGCTGCTGGTGTAGTTGCTGCTGAGGTCCTGGAATTGGTGGTTGACTGTTCTTGGCGGGCACTGTAAATACAGGCTGGTTCACCTGCGCAAGAGGAGCTGCTTGCTGTATATCACGCCTTTTAGGTGGCAGAACATTCGGCAAATACGGTGGGGTCGGTGTTGTATCACCATTCGCATTTGATGATGTATTCTTCCGTATAGCTGTTGGAGGTTTGAAAGTTTTTTTAGCTCCTATTGCAGGCAAGAAGTTTAAATCGGAATTATTGATCTGCGACTGTAATTGGTGATAAGAAGATGATTTGTTCATCTCCCTGTTAGCTCCATTTTTGAACCGAGGAACCATTAATTGTGATAAACTTTCGGTACCATAGTAACTTTCAAGTTTTGGCACTTTTCTATGCCATATATATCGAGTATCGCTCCAATCAACGTCATTGAACCACCTAAAGGACATAATTCCAGGAATAGTGGGCCTTTCTGAAGGATTCAGTACCAATATTTTCTCAATGATTTCTGTCACTTCGTTAGGAATTGGTTTAGGCGATTTGTAAGAATACTCAAGGTCAATAATCTTTTGAAACGTCAAGTACTCAGTATTACCCTTGAATGGAGGCGAGCCATTAAAGAACTGATAAAGGATGCAGCCAATTGCCCATATATCAGACTCAAATCCACAAATATTGTCCTTTAGCAATTCGGGAGAAACATATTCTGCAGTTCCAACAAAGGATCCAAACCTCTCGCGAGACACTTGACCTTGACCTTGACCCTCAGCCTCAGCATTGACGGATTTATAGTCTATCTTCTCACCATCCTCATCATTTTCTCCAAACAATTTGGCGGCACCAAAGTCAGTAATCTTCAAATTAAAGTCGTGTCCGACCAAAATGTTTTCTGGTTTGAGATCTCTATGTATAACCCCTTTCAGATGAATAAACTTGACTGCATCAACAATCTGGCACATGTAAAACTTTGACACAGGTTCAGACAAGGATCCAAGTTTCCGTATGATTGATAATAGTTCCCCGTACTCGGCAAAGTCCAAAACGAAAAACAAGCTTGACTCGTCTTGAAAAGTGTAGTATAGTTGGACAATTCCGGGATGCTGTTGACCCAATCTGTGAAGAGTTGTTTTCTCAATATTGACGTATTTGATTTTATTTTCTTTTACAATGTGTCGCTTCGATAATACTTTAATGGCATATGTTTTCTTCAGCTGTTTGTCCATTGCCGAGTAAACTGTAGAATATGACCCTTCTCCAATAGTTGCTCCGAATTGATAGTCACGAGCAGACTTCTTTTTAGTAGTAGGAACCGGCGGTTGTTGCATTGTTGATGGTGGTGGTACTTTTATTGCCGCGGAATTTGCACTCAGTATATGCGATTGAGATAACTGTTTTACCAAATGATTGGGCAAGTCATTGTTGAATACGGGTTGTGTTGATGACAGACTCGATTGGGTTGGTACATTTGATCTATATGACATAGCTCAAGCATCGATAACGAGGATAGTCGATGTTTTGCACAAATTAGTTGAATATGCCAGCCTGTTGAGTTTTGGTTTAGCTCTATCAAGTTTTTCTTTTGTCGTGTTTTTTTTTTTTTGAATTTGTTTTTTTTTGCTTAGCTTAACGTACGTTTTCCAAATTTAGATCAAAGCCTTGGCTTAGTACGAATTAACGAAGCCACTGCACAGGAAAACACCCTTTACATTTGTATGGATACCTGAGACAAGAGAGATTTAGATACAGAACAAGTCTTTTGTCTACTTAATTGTTGAAGAGTGTGAAGTTATCATGAAAGCTACGTCAAAGATACTACGATATGGGTGGCGACATCAGACAGCCCATGCATCATTACTAAGGTCGTTTACAAGCTCTACATTAAATCGACAGAGCCAGGGAAAGACAGACTTGGCAAGGATCTTTGATGATCAGAAATATTTTGACGCCTTTATTGGCAGCAACTCTGCATACACATTACCTTTGTCCTTTACAACACATGATACTGGATTGTTCAAGAATGAGCATTTAAAGAGTCCACTGGGGTTGGTACTGTTTTCAAAGCAATCTTTGGAGGATGCCAAATTGCTAGTTGGGGAAATGTTGAGCAACAAAACCCATCAAGGCAAATTAGATTACATCAAAAAACTAGACCAGTTGTCTGATATTCTCTGTCGGGTCATTGATGTTGCAGAGTTTATCAGAATAGCCCATCCTAGTTCCAAATGGATCAACGCTGCACAGCAAACACACGAAATCCTTTTTGAGTATATGAACCAACTAAATACCAACGTAGAACTATATACTACTTTGGTTGAAGTGCTTAGTGATTCACTGATAACATCAAAATTGACTGATGAAGAAATAAAGGTTGGTGAGTATTTGCGACAAGATTTTGAAAGATCAGGCATTCACATGGATCCGGAAACAAGAGACAACTTTGTCGCCATAACCCAGGAAATCTCATTACTTGGCTCGCATTTTAACAATGAGATTAGTTCCTTGAATTCACCTTGGTGTAGAGTCACTGCCGAAGATTTTGAAAGCATTGAAGATTCACTGTTAAAACAGGAGATTCTTCTGTTTCAATCAAAGTATCAAGGAGAGAAAGTTGCAAATGAATATTATGTGCCCTTGGTTGCCCGCCTTCCGTACTCCATATTAACAAAGTGTAAGTCAAGCGAGTTGAGGCGAAAAGTATGGGTTGCCTTACACAATGCATCTTCTGATCTGATTAGTATTCTTGATAGGTTTGTAACCTACCGTGCATTGTTGTCAAAGATGTTAGGGTACAAATCGTATGCTCATTATCAGCTAGAGCATAAGATGGCCAAGTCCCCTGAGAATGTTATGGCGTTTTTGAAGAATATTCAAAAGTCTTTGAGAAGCACGTCCGTGTCTAATGAATTGGAACTATTGAGCAAGTACAAGGATCAGAAAGTAGAGTACAAGGATAAAGATTCGTTGATACGTAGTATAGAACCGTGGGATCGGGATTTACTACTTTCGAGAATGCAAGAGAATAAGCAACAGGATGTAGGAGTCCAGGAAAAGATTTCAGAGTACTTTTCTGTAGGAACGGTTATAGCTGGGTTGAGTAAATTGTTTGAGAGTTTGTACAATATTTCATTTGTTCCTGAAGCTACACTACTGGGTGAGGTGTGGGACAATAAGCAGGTGAGGAAGTTGAAAGTTATTGACAACGAATGCAATCTGGTTTTGGGGTACCTTTACCTTGATTTTTGGTCTCAAAAAGTTATGCCATCACATTTCACCATTGTTTGTCTGCGCAGACTTCACTCGTGGGAGAATGAAGCGGAGTACAAAAAGAAGGTGCAACTTGATAAAGACTACCAAGTTCCAGTCATTTCATTAGTTTGCAACTTTAGCAACAGTTTTGGAAACGGTCCTACACTATTATCCCTAGACCAGGTTGATACGATTTTCCACGAAATGGGACATGCAATGCATTCAATGATTGGAAGAACGGAGTTGCATAATTTGTCTGGAACCAGATGTGCTACGGATTTCGTTGAAATACCTTCAGTATTGATGGAATCATTCAGTAAAGACTTGCGAGTCTTGACAAAAATCGGTAGACACTATCAAACCGGTGAGCCAATTCCCCAAAAATTACTCGAACAAGCACATCATGACAAGAACACCTTACTGGCTTGTGAAACATTTATGCAGAGCAAAATGGCCACCTTAGATCAAGCATTGCACAGCACCGAGATTGTTGACAAGTTGGAAACGGGCTTAAATGAAGTGGATTCAACGGAGGTTTATCATTCAGTCGAGCAGGATCTTGAAGTCTTTGCGGATAAGTGGTCAACGTGGCATGGCAAGTTCCCTCATTTGTTCTCCTATGGTGCGGTATATTACCTGTATTTGCTTGATAGAGCTATTGCTGAGAAACTTTGGCAAGGCTTGTTCCAAAATGATCCATGGAACAAAGAAGCTGGAACGAGATATAAGAGTAGCGTCTTGAAGTGGGGAGGAACCAAGGACCCCTGGTTGTGTCTTGCTGATGCATTAGGGATTGAAGAGTTGAAAGAAGGTAATTCTAATGCCATGGAGTTGATTGGCAAAAATGCCAGCTTGTAAATATATGTGTATATGGAGTATAGAATGTAATATAAGGAAGAAAAATAATGGCTTATGGATGAAGATAGTAGAAGAGAGTATTTTGTCATTGTAGGAAAGTGACATTACTGATTGGTCGAATCTCGGTATTGGTTGATACATGGCATATCAAAAAATCTAGATATGACGTCAGCTGCCAATGGTAGGGAGCAAGAAAGCTTACTATCCACGACGTGTTAGATTGACCAACACTACGTGTGGCATTATAAAGGATTTCCAATTGCCGGTTAGTAGACTAGAGGCTTTGCGGGTAAGCCTGAGTCTAGCGAGTAAAAAGTGTTGGGCCTGATATTGAAGTGGTATGTTAAGGTTACGGCATATCATACCTTTTTTCTTTTGATAACATAGTTACACAAAACCAACTATTTTACGTCAAAATGCCTTTTTCTTGTTCATAAAAGGAATAAAAAAGAAATTTAAAGGAAAAAGAAAAAAGAAATTTTAAGTTCATTACGCGTAAACAAAACAGATCTCTTTTTCCTGACGGCGGCAGAGGGAGAGGGAGAGAACAGCCCATAAACACAATAAATAAGTTACAAATTGCCTTTTTCTTGCAAATTTCCTTACAAAACTCATATCTACCCCAATAAAATTCTATCGATTAAGCTGTGCAAAGAATGCAACAATTTTAAATGTTTGTCAAGCCTTTGCATTTCTCTGTACAACTATAAATAAAACGCTGGGTTTTGCTTACTGGTTCTGAAATTTATCGGCTAAGCGCGGTGGAAGGATGTTCGTACTAGACAACTAACTAGTTGATCCAGGTTTCCTAAATAATAGAGCTCTCTCAGTAGAGATGGCCTTTTAGTAGAGAGTACCACGCTAGTGACAGAGTTTTATCGTTGGCGACGAGGTCTTCGCAGAACGTGGCTTAGTCAAAGTGCCATAATTGTGTTGGGTTGACTAAAGCCTCTTCAAGTTGTAAAACAATTAAACGTGAACGTTTGCTCTAGGAAATCGGGAGAGAATTGACTGGTGTTGTATCTTTATCTCTCAATCTTTGCAACGTGTGTCTCGGTTGGCCAAAAACCTATGAACTGAAATGCCCTGTCCTACAACGGCTTATCCGACTCTAACCGGATCAGAATTGTTATTGTAACTATTTGTTATCTACAATGACCTTAAGCGTTAATTCACTCAAATGCTTCAGGATTCTTCACTTCCTGCCTCAAGAAATAACCGGAAATCGTACATTTATCAGCAAAGACAAACAGTAATTTCCTCGCAATCTCATTTTGAAACTCAATTCTCTATTGTAACTCGGTCTTGATAATTTTATTTGATAACTACTATAAGCCCGGTCTGACTAAACCTCATTTGTTTGAATAATGGATTCTTATTAAAGTTTCTTTTTCCTCACAATGCCCCATGTTAAAACCCCAAGAATGCCAAACTCTATACAACCCCACGTCCCTTTAGTTGCAAAACGGCGCTTTGAGGTTAAAATCCCCACCTTTCATAACTTCGATGTTCTTAATGTAAGTTGATCTCCAGGGCCCTACCTCCTTTGTTTTTCTCAATAGAAAGTGGGGAGAAAGAGATGTGTATTGCCTAGTGGTCTGCATAACGGCTTAAATGTTTCTTTTTTTATCTCCTTCTTCTCTTTTTTTGTTTCTTTTTTTTTTTTTTTTTTTCTAATTCTTTCCGAATTTTACACTTTTTCTTTGTGTTATCATCATCTCTCTCTCTGTCTCTTTCCTCTTGCTATCCAATTGTTTTTTGCAATTTTGCAGTTGTGACCCATTTTGTACATTTAATCAGCAGATGTGACTGACGTAAAATAATAAAATTTTCTACTTCCCCCAGCGCTAACTTTCTTTCGAATAGTATAAATCAATTTTAATCTGCACTTTTTATCAATCTACCATAACTGTGTTTCCAACCCACACTCTTTCGGGCAGATCGTTCTGACTTCTATCATTGTGTATTGAAACACTTGTATTAAAACCCACACACACACACACACCCAACACACATTAAATATTACTTGATTTATAACTTCCAATGGCACCTATTGAGAAACTAACACCGCTGGCGCTGGCAGTGCCCAAGGAGGCCGATTACAATGATTCGGTTGAATCTCCATACATGATTGAAGTTGCCGACGAAGGAACGTCGAAATTCACCAGATTCAAGGACTCGTTTAGGCGAAAGGAAGTGGATGAATCTCAGAAACATGAAGTTGGGCGTCAGATGTCCAAGGCTATCAGTCTACGTCATTTAATTCTTATGGCCCTTGTTACTGGTATCGGTACCGGTCTTTTGGTTGGTACTGGGCTGGTGTTGCATAAATCCGGACCATTGTTTCTAGTCATTGGTTTTGCCATCGTTGGATCCTTTTTATATCCAACTTTACAAGCAGCAGGTGAGATGGCGGTTAACTACTCTGACCTTTCCGGTGGGTACAATAACTACCCTAGAAGGTTTATAGATGAATCGGTCGCGTTTGCCATCACTTGGAATTATTGTATCCAATGGTTGTCCGTTATCTCAATTGAATTGGTTACTGCAGCAATTACTATCTCGTATTGGAACACAACTGTTAATGCTGATGTTTGGGTTACAATTTTTTACGTAGTGGTTGTGACTATTAACTTTATTGGAGCATCAGGGTACGGAGAGGCTGAGTTCATCATTGGATCTTGTAAAATTATGATGATTGTTGGGTTCATCATTATGGGAATAGTTGTCAATGTTGGTGGAGGACCCAACCACGAATTCATTGGAGGTAGGTATTGGAGAGATCCCGGATACTATACCAACTTTAAAGGGTTGTGTTCGGTTTTTGTCACTGGAAGTTTTGCGTTTGGACAAACTGAATTTGTTGCATTGAGTGCTAGTGAGCAATCAAACCCAAGGAGAGCTATTCCAATCGCCACCAAGTTGGTTGCATATCGTATTGTGATTGTCATGCTTGGTAGTTTGACGATTGTTGGTTTGCTTGTTCCTTACAATTCGGACAGATTGATGGGATCCAGCGGTGGTGGATCACATGCTTCTCCTTATGTCTTGGCTGCTGCATTGCATGGTGTCAAGGCAGTGCCCTCAATTATAAATGCCGTCATTCTTATTTCAGTCACTTCCGTTGCATCTTCGGCGTTGTATTCGTCTTCTAGAACATTGCAATCGTTATCTGAGCAAGGATTTGCACCAAAGTGGTTCAACTACATTGATAGAACCGGTAGACCATTGCGTGCTCTTGCAGTCTGTGCATTCTTTGGATTGTTCTCATTTATTGCAGCATACAAGAAGCAGGAAACGGTTTTCAACTGGTTGCTTGCAATTTCTGGATTGTCCCAAATCTTTACTTGGAGTGGTATTTGTATATCCCATGTGCGCTTCAGAGCTGCTTTGAAGTACAATAATATTTCTACCGATTCATTGGGATATGTAGCTAACACTGGTATTATTGGGTCATACTATGCCATAATTTGGTATGTTTTGGTTTTGATTGCTCAATTTTGGATTGCATTGTATCCTAAAGGTGAAGGTAAACCGAACGTTTCCTCATTTTTCCAAAACTATCTTGGTGCTATTGTGTTGATCTTCTTTTACGTTTGCCACAAATTATGGACTCGCAATTGGTCGCTTTTTGTTCCTTTGAAAGACATTGATATAAATTTGGATAGAACCATTTTTGATGAAGAGTTGTTGGCCATTGAAAAGGAAGAAGAGAGAGAAAAATGGAAGAAGGCACCATTTTATAAGAAGGTTTTGCAAATATTATTCTTTTAAAATGGAATGAATGATTTATTTATAGTTAAGATTGTTTATGACTGTGTTAAATGTATTTAAAACTGAACTGGTAAATGATAAACTGTGTAGTCTGGACTGTATTAACCTATGTCTTGAAATCTTGTGGCATAAAAAAAAGAATATTTCGGTTTGGGATTTTTTTTTTTTGCAGTTGGTGACAATCAACTTCCATCTATGCTTTGTCCAACACGAACACCAAGACTGTTTTTACGGTTTGCCAGCACGGCGGCGAAAAACTCATCTACACTTCTTCGAGCCCAATTGGATTTAAATGCCATTGTGGTGCAATCTGATGCATACAAGGAATCGATAAACAGGCGTCAACTACCAAGGAGTTTGATCGCTGACGTAGATTTTATTGTCGAAAACCGGCCCGTACAGTCTCAGACTTACACTAAGATCAATGCATTGAAGAGAGAACGTACCGAACTTGCGGAGAAGATACAGAAGAAAGATCCAAACCTTGATAACGTTAAACTCAGACTAAGCGAAATCAAGAGCGAAATCAAGCCATTGGAAAAATACGTCAAAGATCTACAAGAGGAAATATATAGCAGAGCCGAAGCTTTGCCAAATTTGATTGACTCCACTGCTCCAGAAAGTGCGACTGAGGAAGAGTTGGTGCAATACATCAACACCTCAGCACAAGAAGCTGATAATTTTGTTGGCTCTGATTCGTCGAAAGATCACAAGACTATCGGCGAACAGTTTGGCTTGTTTGATTTTACAATAGCATCGCGGATATCAGGGCCCTCGTGGTACTATCTATTGGGTGACGGAGCTTTGCTTGAGCAAGCCTTGGTGCAGTATGCATTATCAAAAGCCCGTCAACATGGCTACAAAATGGTTATTCCTCCTTCAATTGTAAAGTCTGAAATAATACAAGCTTGTGGGTTCAAACCCAATGATCAGAATAACGAGAAGCAAATTTACCAAATTGAGAACGAGCCAAGATCGTTAACAGGGACTGCCGAGATCCCGTTGGGAGCACTTCATTCCTCCACCATATTCCCATCGAGCACAAAATTCCCTATTAAATACTCTGGCGTGTCGAGGTCTTATAGAGCTGAAGCTGGCGCCAGTGGTAAAGACACTAAAGGATTGTACCGAGTTCACGAATTTACAAAAGTTGAACTTTTTCACTTTACAAATTTGGAGAAAGCTGCGGATGAGCTTGAAGGAATAAAAAGGTTGCAGCTTGAAATTATTGAGGACTTGGGCATAAAAGCCCGTTTGCTTAACATGCCTACATCAGACTTGGGATCTCCTGCGATGAAGAAATATGACATTGAAGCCTGGATGCCGGGGAGAGGGTCCTGGGGGGAGTTAACCAGTTGTTCCAATTGTGGAGATTATCAATCAAGGAGACTTGGCATCAGGTTTAATGGAAAGGACGATAAAGTCTCACACTTAGCAACGTTGAATGGGACTTGCATGGCTGTGCCTAGGGTCATTGTTGCATTAATTGAGCAAAATTATGACAGAGAAAACGACATTATACGCATTCCAAAAGTGTTGGTGCCATATATGGATGGCAAAGATTCCATTACTAAAACTGAATAAAGGTATGTAAAACTTGTATATATACTACTCATCGTCTGAATTATTGGCAAATGCAACTGGGGTACTGACTACTCGTTTGTCGCTCTGGAAGGAATCGTGCTCGTCAATCATTTGCAAACTGCTTTTATGGAATCTCTTTAAATTGTAAAGATTGGACAGCAACAGATCCGAGGAGTATTCTGTATGTGCCCTTTTTGATAAGTCGTCCAATTGTTGTTGGAGGATCTTGAACTGGTTGTATTTTTGGCTATACTTTCCCACAAGTGATTCATACTTGTTCTCGAGATTTTGTATTTTCATCTCCAATTCGTTAATCTTTGATTCGTGGGATGAAATCACTAGGTTGGATCTTTCACTAGAGGCGCGATCTTGTAGTTGTTTTTCAAGTGCCGATAATTTCGTCAATACTTGACGATTGGCAAACTGTGCTTGCTCTTCGTGTTCACTAAATGCTTTTAACTCTCGCCTAAACTCTTTGCTCCACTCTTGAGTCTGTTTCAAAACCTCTTCTACTTTATCCAGATTTGCTGAGTTACCCGCTGTCTTGATTAACTCTTCTAAATGATCAAATTGCTCTTGAAAAATCTTTTTGTCACTGTCCTTTAAAGCATTTAGCTTCTGTAGTTCTACTTTCAATTCGTTATGGTTTACCCCACTTTCCTCATACATGAGCTGCATCACTTCCTTTATCCTGGCAAAATCATCATCTTTCAAGGAAACATCCCTCATCTTCAACTCTTCTAGCGCTTTAATAATCAAACTCATATCAGCCTTAGTGGCATTTCCTTCCGTTATTACTTCATTTGAATAATCAACAACATTCCTCAAAAGCTTATTCAAGTTATCATTGTTGCTCTTCAGTCGCGAGTAAAGCTGTTCCAAGTCAACATTGGTTTGACTTGTCGACGTTTCTATCCGATGCAACTGTTGTTGTAATTCATTATGGGTATCATGAATCAAGTCGAAATGCTTATCCAAGTTTAGAGTGCCACTAGGTAAATTTACTTTCTGGGATGACACTATAGTATTAGTGACATCTCTGAGGTGGTTCTCCTTCTGCTTGCTCTCCATTGGCTGTTGGTGGGTGGTGTTGACGCGATCTCGTAATCAGCGCTCTTTTGTTTTTGTTTACACATATATATATATCTTTTGTGTAACCTATTTCCTACGCCTACCTACTATCTAAAATCCAAATTTACTTTGCAAGGCAGAGCTGTAGAATGACTTCCTCTGATCGTCGTACCCCTCTTGAAAAGTTTGACTAGCACTATTTGCATAGTCATTGAACGTCTCTTCAGCAGTTTGTAAACCGTTTTGCAAAGATCTCATGAATCCTTGAGTTCCAAATCCTCCTGCACCTTGACCTGCTTTTCTCACTGGTTCCTCATAATCTTTCTCTTTAGGCGCCCTTGCGTTGTAACCACCGTAATTTGCTTGGGGGTTGGCTTCAGGACTGATGTTATGCGCCAACGTTGATTCTTCTGTCTTGGGAGCTTTTCTATTGGGGCCAGCAATGAGCATAGCTAGATCTTCAACAGAGACATAACTGATTTGCCCTTTAGCCCACAGTAAGGTGCTAGCCGATGGTCTAGGCGGGATGATAGCATTTGGATTGAACAATTTATCTGCCTCAGTTTCATCCTTCGACTTGACCTTTTCGTAAGCAGAAATGTAAACAGACTCTGTCTCTGATGTTCTAACAAAAATTTCACCTGAGGATAACAAGTCAGAGTCAAATGCAGTTCCCGATTCCAATGATTCTTGCAACATGCGATATGTCTCTTTGGGGAATTTGATATTGGCGATATCATGTAAAGAGGGCAAGGAGAGCAACTTGATAAATCCTGTTTTAACAAGCACTGCCAACACAACACCTTTGTCTTTATAATGAACCACGCTTGCCTTCAAACACGTATCATCGACTACCTTGTGCGCTAGTTTTGTCTTTGGTGCCGTGATCACCCTGACATCTCTGTCGGACACGGTGATTATGTACCCCGGTATAGGTACACCCGTGGCTAATTGCTCAAATTTCTTTTTATCAGCAACTGCTGAGTATCCGTATTGAGCTTCGATTGGTATCAATTGCAGAAGTTTGGAAGCCTCTGCGTCACCGCCATCAGCTGTTCTATAATTAAGATGTGCTGTCTTGTTGGCAAATTCAACTTGATAGCCCCCATTGCCCATAGGAGTAATCTTGTAAAATAACAAATTGCCTCCACAGTTGGTGCCCACATTCAACACCAATGACGAGTACCCATCCATGCCAAATTCCATAATTGAAAACTCAAGCACAGTAGGGTAGCAGTTTCCAGTAACTGATGCCAAGTTTTCCTTGACATTGTCGAGATTGAAAATCACAGCAGGACCTCTTGAGATATCACAAACCACCAATCTTCCTGATTTATAACCAACGGCAGCAAATCCTGCATCACTCATTTTTAGCACTGATATTTGTTCCGATGGGTCAAGCCTCAACAAAAACAAAGGTAAGAAAGAAGCTGAAGTTGCAACGGAGCCTGAGATTCTACCACTGATATCCACAAGCAGTGCGCTTCCATTCTCGTGATGGATGCGGCAATCGCTATAGTCCTTGCCAGTGCTAATTCCAGCATTCTTTACATTGGGAGTTTTACCAAATTTGCAAATAACAACCTCCCCAGAAGCCAAACCAACAAGAAGCTCACGGCCTTGAAAAGAACACGAAGCTTTTATCACTCTAAGATTGGCTGGGTTGTTGTAGTCATACAAAGTAGGCCTCAATGCCACTTGGACTATACTTTCACCACCCAGCTGTTCACCTTTTGTAATGTCAATGAACCTCACTAGTCCGTTTTCATGACCAGTTATCATAATGTTCCGAAGTCCGTCGTTGTATCCAAGAGGCTTGTGTATTTTACCCAAAGGCACGGGGGCCCCTCCGTAAAGTAATGGTTTCACTTTAGAGCTAACACCCTGAGAAGCACGACTTGACATGATACTGTACCAATCAACTCGAATAATCGACTGCACGTCACAATAGCATAAAGGAGGAACAATTAATGAAAGCGATGTCGGAAGTATAGTGTTTCCCAAATCTCCGCTACCTTGACCACCCGCCTTATCTGAAAACGAAACCACGTATAGTCTGCCCAAGTTTGAAACAAGTAACAAGAATGAAGGATTGTGACCACCATGAAAGTAAGGAGAGCCGGTTTGGGTTATTGGTTCAATCTTGGTTATAACTTCTGTTTCAACCCCGTCAACATCTTTTTCGTTCAAGTAAAAGTTGATTGGTATTTTGCGTTGGCCACCTTGAGGATGAGCATAAAAGATTCCTTGCTTTTCATGTGACGTCATGGAATACTTCAAAGTGTATCCGAAGTCCAACACAGATATAGTGTTTGTAGCCTCGGGGTCGCCTCCACTCACTAGCAATCTGGTTTCCTCTGGATCCTCTCCGCACACCCATCTGACCTGCTCAATAGGATTGAAATGTTCAGGAACTTCCAAGTACGCGCCAGGTCTGTGGAGCTGGGTTTCATACAATGTCCTTGCTTCCAAAAGGACGCCTCCTTCTATGTCCCAGAATACTATGGTGTTGTCATTATGCACAGTCACTGCGTGTAGCCCATTGGGATGGTAATGGGCTTCTTTAATCAACGGCGTGACGGATTTCAGGGATCCAAACAACTTCTTCTTGCCCCCCGTGGCAATGTGGTTCGAATACTGAAACCCCTTGTGCTCTTTCAATAAAGTGTACGTTAAAGTGCTCTTGATCTGTCCCGTGACTAAGGAATACACTATAGCACATTGATTATAAGCCACCAATATCGTTCCAATATCACGCGGGTGCCATTCAATGGAAACAACAGGCGACATCTTTTCCTTGGGCATCACTTTTTTTTGCAAATTATCAATCCGAAACTGAGTCAAATTCAATCTATCAACGTCGTAGAATATTAAACTTCCGTTTGCGAGACCGAATATGACCCAGTCCAACGAAGGGTCCGTTTCGGCAGCCGTGACGGTCCCCGGAAAGGAAAATGTTCCGATAATCTGTTTTGAGTGCAAGGAGAGCACGGTAAGGCCTGAGCCTGGTGATGAGCATAGTAAATAAACGCCCTTGACGAATCGAAGCGACACAATTGGATGTTTTATATTGAACTCAAATACAACCTCGACATTAATCTGACCGAAAACTCGAACATCATTGTCCTTTGTCGCTACTGCAAGTAGCGACTGGATCGGATCGTAGGCTATTGCCGTAATGGAATCCTTTGGCACTCCAAGTTGATTAACGACATCTATATCAATTTTCTTTGCGTTGATTTCTTCTGGTGAAAGGTTTTTAGCTCCTTTTGTTTTCAATGTATTGGATATGGAATTTAAAGAAAGAGGCGCTTTCCGTGACTTTAGTTTTGAGAACATTCTAGGCTGCTGGTGAATAGTAGACTATGTTTGGCCATGCGATTTACGTTTTCTTTTAACGTTTCGTCGTGACGTGAGTTGAGGCTGGTTAAAAAAAGAAACATTGTCACGTGAGTAGTGGTAGTGTCTTGTGCTCAATTTTAGATACACGTAGTCCACTACGTGTTTATTTTTCATTGCATCCTCCTCCTTTGTAGAGTTGATACTTTTTTGCCCAACGGTATACAATCATGGTATGTTCCATTTGAAATAAGATCCAAAATTACATTTGTTTACTAACATGTCCTTCGAATAGGCTGCAGATAAATTACTTGGATTGGCAATGCTTCTTGTAGCAGCTTCTGTTTTCACCTACTACACTGCCTGGGTATTTGTAATACCATTTGTCAACGAAGATTCGAGCATAAACAAGTTCTTTTTACCAAGAGACTATGCTATTAAATTACCTTTATTATTGCTTCTTATCGCCGGTTTGGGAGTGGGTACATTTATTGGAAAAGTCTTGGTCAAGAACCAACAAAAACAAAAGAGTAAGAAGAAGGCACAATAGACATGTGTGAGTATGAAATATTGTACTCTTTGAGGATGCAATATAATGAGTTCATGATTATTAACTAAATAATCTTAGGGCGGAGACAACAGCATTGAACTAAATTGCAATCGCGCATCTTTGCCAAGGTATACTAGTTTGTATCAATATATTACAACCTTTGGAATGAAAGGGCTTCCGCTTTGTTTTACTTTATGTAGTAACTCCCAGGAGGAGGGAGTTGTGACAAGTAAATATTTACGATCTCACTATATAGTCCCCACTCTTTGTAGCATACTTGACTCCTTTGTAAGGTTTAGCATTCTCCCCCAAGCCTTTTGCATTGACTACTAAAAGACTATCGACTTTCAATCCACTAGGCACTGGACCTTTATGACTATAATCTAACTTTAGATGCAAAGGTCGTTTATGAGTAGTCGTCTGCCCTTCCAATTCTTCCTTGTCTTGCTCGATTTGTTCAACAATTGTTCCATTGAATGTGGGAACTACACCCTTTTTCAAGTCTTTTATACACCACTCGTGCTTGCCCGATAAACGAGTTTGAAAATCGCCATAACTGATTCTATTCACCTTCACTTGATCATTGGCGTCCTCACATACAATTTCCACTTTGATATAGTCAATCTTAGTAATCATATTTGCGGGAAACAACTTTATTTCAAACTCGGACGACTGTGGTTCAACTAAAAACTGAACATCAATTGTGCTCAATTTTAATAAACTCGTCTTTTCCCGATTACTCTTTAGCTCATTCAAGTCAATTTGGTACTTCATCAATGTGCTTTTCCCCTCGGGTGGAATGAATGATAGAACTCCACGCCTTTCCTTGAATAAATCCATGTTGATGCATCTATGGAAACGAAGCAAGCTCAAGTTCGATCCCACTTTGTTCAAAACTAGTTCCAAGGTAGGTGCCCCACTTAATTTACTGAAAAAGTCGATTTGGCCATCAATGCATCCACTCAAAACATAATTGTCCACCTGGTTGTCAGCTTTGCTCGAATAAAAAGCCGAATCATACTGTTCCAATTTCGATTTTGCTACAATTGGCTTTAAAATCAAATTCACCGTTTCCATAACATCGACGTACATCTCATTGCTTGTGTGACGTGCGTCACTTCTCCGCCACGGTATATCAGTGGCAAAACTTTGTTTAACTTCCGGTTGTAACCCAGTAGTTCTTGATGCTTCATTGATAATCTTGGAAAGGAGGGACGTGTGGCTCACCAAATCTCTTATCTTGTTGAAATCTGTTATATAAGGCATTCCATCATCGAGCATCTGGTACAAAATAAGCGTGATTATATCAGTGTTGGCTTCAATCTTGCTCCTAGTCAATTCATCAAAGTAGTCTTCCAACGTTTCTATCAATCGTAAAATAAATGTATGTGGAATGAGTGGATTGGATGCCGTTTTACCCTCGGAGCACAAGACGTAAAAATGTAGTGACAAGTGGTTATGGCCAACTACATAGTAATTTGAGTTGATGGTGATTTTAGTTGGTGTGTCAATTTGTGAGCTTTCAAGGCCAACTTGATTAGTTTCAAGGTTGGATAATTTGGGGAGAAAAGTCTTGAATTTAGGTAGTGATAAACTATCGCAATACTCAAACACCAACGTGTTTGATATGTCTGTGATGTACACTGCTTCGATCATTGAGTGTAATGAGGTCCTGTTTAGACTGTTTTTGCATGAGATTTTCAAAATCTTTTGTTCCAATTGAGAGAACGACGCTACCGAAATTGAGATTTTACCAGTTCATCTGAGGTTCACCTGACCACCCTCTTTTCCTAAATCTACAACATCATCAAATCTTCCGGGATTGATTAAACTATTAAAAAAAAAGAAGTATACAATAAAATTATATATCGACCATTGAAAAAATTTCTCACGCATATTAAAATTTTTGAAATAAAAAAAAATTGTATTGTTGTTGTCATTGCAGGACGGGGGATCGGGGGGTTTATTGGTTCATTTTTGTAAAAAAATTACTAGGTGAACGATTCAAAAAAATTCAGGGCTTTTTCACTTTGCGTTCACAATCAAGGGAAAAAGTTTTGTAATTTATCTAGCAGCAATCAGCATTTGAAACTGAGGGGGGGTGGGGGCTCTTCCAACTCTATCCATTCCACTTGTCATTTTTCCAGTCGCTTCACGAGATATAAAATGGGGAAAATTCAAAAAACACCATCCATAATATATCTACACACACACTTTTTTAACCATACTGTCCAAATGACATGGAAGAACATAGATTATCGAATTACCAATTTCAATTTCTCTGTTGAAATTTAGTTTCTTTAATCGCTGTGCTTAGCTGTTGATGAGTTTTCATGAGTGGAGCTGTTTCCCTCAACAACAATTTCATCAGCAGTATCGCGGCTCTCTTCATCTTCTCCGTCGGTGATGTCCACCATCAAATCTTGGGCCACTCTTTCTTCAACATCTGGGATATCTTGCAAACCGTAAACGGCAATAGCAGCCAATCCAGCAAAACCAGCAACACATGAAAATACTAAAGCGATGATACCTCTGGCGGTGAATCCAGTAGGCAATCTCTTTTCTTGGACATTCTCACCGGTTAAATCCAATACATTGTCGTCGTTCCCAGCAGCATTACCTTTCCATGGCACGCCAACTTTTTCACAAATTTCCTTGTGGTTGTCGGTAATTTGTTGGGTTTCATTGTTTCTAATAGCATCAGGGTTCTCAACAAGCACAACTGCCAAACCTTGATCCAAATGCCATTCAATATGGCAATGGAAAAACCAGACACCTGGATTGTCAGCCTTGAAACGAATGACAAAGTATGATTGTGGACGCACATACAATGTATCTCTCTTCATTGGGTATTTAGGCCATTCGGCATGATCACTAGCATTAAAGGCAATTGGATCTTGATCATCATCTCTAGCTTCTCCTCTTTCCAAGACTTGGAAAACATGTCCGTGTAAATGGAAAGGGTGGGTACCAGTATCCAAGTTGTTAAGAACAATATCAACAACTTCATCTTCTTCCAAAACAAATGTGTTTGTGTTTGATCCATAAACCAAGTCATTTGTTGAATGTTCACCAGCAGATAACACTGAAAGAATGGTTGGCACTTTTGGTGCTGTGTAGGAGATGTTATTGAAAAAGGCATAATTGACACCATTGCCCAAATTGTCCATTTGTACTTGGACAGTAACGGTGTAGTCGGCATCATCTAAAATCTCTTCCTTATCCAAGGGAACCAAGTAGAAATCATCCAAGAAATCGTCAATTGAATCAACATAATTTTGTTCTGGTTTGTCGCCGTCATTGTACATCATGTAATTAGTACCATTCAATTGCAAATCCTTTGGAACGGTATCCAACATAGTATCATCAGCCTTGTTCATGAATGCATAGTTCTTGTCGGTGGAGTTCTTAGTATGGACCAAAACAGTGTACCTTTGAGCAATGGTGACATAAAGCATGCTAGCCTCCTTTGGTTCAGTGTAAACACCATCAACTTCAACAACAGTCATGTTGTGATCTTCAATCCAGATATACTGTGATATGAATCTTCCGGTGTTGATAATTCTCAACAAATACGTCTTGTTAGGTTCAACGTTCCAAGTAGCATTTCTAGTTTCGTTGAACAAGAGGTTATCAATAATCGGTTCAGCACCGGTAGGATTAAACCTACTCAAGAAATCAGGCAACAATTCATCGGAGGTCTTGTGGTAATGTTCATTCAACGTCAAGACAACTTCTTCATCGTAGTCATATGGGTAATCGTCCTCACTTGGTTCTTCAATAATGAATGCACCTCTCATACCATCACCATACTGACCAGAAGTATGTGAGTGGTACCAATAAGACCCAACTTGACCATCAACACTAAAATTATAAGTGTAAACTTCTCCATGTGGAATTGGGCATTGTGTAACCATTGGTGGGCCATCCATTTGAGTCGAACCAGCTTGGAACATACCATGGAAATGCAAAGTAGTGTTTGCAGTGTCAAACCCATTGATCAAGTGTAAAATGACACGGTCATATTTCTTGACTCTCAATATGGGCAATGGCCAACTGCCATTGAACCCAATCATGGATCTGGGGAATACCCCATCTGGATTACAATTTTCAACCCAACCAGTTTCGAACCACCATTCATGAGTCTCGGCGGCTATTAGCGTTGATAGGAACAATACTGATAAGAAGTTCCACAATCTCATTTTCTGCAACTGTGTCTAGTGATATGATATGTAATGAAATTCCAGGACAACAATAATTAAGCGCTGCTACTTGGTCTACCCTTCTTGGACTTTAGTGTGACCTTGGGGAGTGAAACAAATGTGTCAAAGTGCAAAAAGCTGTTGTTGATTTTATCAAGTCTTGGCAAACAATTCAATGATTTCTTGGCGTTAGTTGAAATTATTGTTTTTGCGTTTGTATTAAAAACCTATTCTCAGGGATTTTGTTATTTTCCTTGGCAACGCGCAAAATGAGCTCTTTTGACCCCTAGACTTTGGAAATGAACTGTAGCTAATAATTGAAAGGAGAAGAAGAGGTCTGAGCAAATTTTTTCATTCCAATTCAAGGGAAGATCAGTTGGAGTTTAAATATTGGAGAAGAATATATAGTCGGAAAGGGCTTAAAAAAGAGAATAGAAAACTTGAAATGGGTAAACAGGCAAAAAGAAACAAAAATAAATTAAATTAAAAATTAAAACAATAAAAAACAATAAATAAAACATTAGTTACACAAACGTAAAAAATTAAAAGGCAACAGACAGCATTTAATTATAAATTAGCCTTTACCTTTACGGAGAGACATAGTGGAAGGAGACAACCCTTTTACCCTGTTGAGCTATTCTACTTCCTTTTACCTACAGAAACAGCAATAGCAGTCAAACTAGAAAGAGGAAAAGAAATGTTGTAAGACCTCTGCTGGCTGCAATGAAGGCAAATAACGTTGTAAATGATGAGGAAAGAATGTTGTTGTTGTTCTTCTGGGGTTTTGTATACAGGATTTATTGCTGCTCAAAAACTTTTGTCTAATTGGCTATTCACTTTCAGTTGTTAAGTAAATGGTGCCACATTCCATTGTTAATATGTATAGCGTGTTAAAATGCTTACTGATTAAATCTGATAATGTACAGCGGCATTAAAAACTATATGGTTTGTTATATATATTTTGTGTTAAATTACTACGTTTTCTGTTTCCAACGGCACGACTCTTTTATTCTTCTTTTTGCTTGAAGAAAGACGAAAGTTCATTGGTTAAACAAACAAACAATAGTCACTGCATAACGAACTGACACAACAATAACAATTGGTCACCAATAAACCATACTGTTAAATGTAACATCGCTTAATAACGGATAGGAAGCCTAAGTATAAAACAATAGAAGCTGGAAAACCCATAGGAAAAAAGATTATTAACGATGAACAAAATCTAGAATTGGTGGGAGAAATAAAAATCCCTCGCTATTGTTGTTGTAAACTTCCGCTTTAACAAGGCCTACAGAATATAACTTTTGACATGTTTGGAAACAAAAACTGGATTGGAAGGGAGTCAACTGCTAAGAGAAGTGATACTGGGCCAACACTTTAGAACACATCCTTTCTTCTACTTCTTCTTCTTCTTCTTCTCGAGTAAAAGTTAAAGCCTGTGAGATTCTTTTCTTTTTCATTGGCTAAAACGTTTGTAGTTAATGCAATGAGGCGGCTTCGATATTTTTATTACAAACTACTTCGTAAAATATAAACCTCATAGTTTTTGTAGACTTTAAAAATTAATGTTTACTTTAGTCTAAAAGATGTTCCTAACTAAATTAAAAGTAAGAAGAATCTAAATATTTTAATCCCATTCAGCCAATCACAAAAGAAATAGAACAGACAAAAAACACATCTGACAATAATTTTCGTTTGTTTCATTTTTTTTTTGTCTGTCTGGCTGTCGGATTTAGAATAAAATAAAGTTTCTGTTGTTCTCTGTTTGTGTAACTATTACAACTATTTTAATCTAACGTCAAAACCTGTCAAAACCTTTTCTTTTCTTTTTTGTTGGGCTTCCACACCACGTTGATCAAATGTATTTTTAGCCCTGTTTTCCCGGACTCAGTAGTAAGTTGAATCTTCATTCATCTAGTTGGATATCAATTCAAAGTCGTGTGAATATATGGTTGAAGCAAAAAGCCCCTCTTTTCTCACCATCTTTTACAGTTTTTCAAAACTGGTGATAACTTTGACCTCACCTTGGCATTTGACCACAAAATATACGCGACCCACCTCTTTCATCAAACAAGCCAGTCCTAAACCATCAACAGATTTAAGTTTTGTACCATTATACTTTTCCAACACTCGTGAGACCGGCTGATTTTCCATCCTACAGGCTACTCAACACTACGATTCATCCAAATTGCACGGGTAAAGGTTACAAATTAAAAAAAACATACTATATATATATGATATAAAGAACGTCGTAGAAACTAGTACTTTCTGGGGGGCAAAAAGCACTAAATCTCTATATTAAAAAAGTGGGTTTGGGGGGGGGGAATAGTTTGGGGCATCTCTTTCATCAAATCTCTCCATAAAAAAACAGCTTCATTCTTCAATCCAACACTGTCCATCGTCATCATATTCATATTTGTTCGGCATTTCACAACTAGGTAAAACTGCTGAAAGCAACAATCTAAGGGAAAGTAATTCAAAAAAAAGACCCTGTATCCTTTCTTGATACTTCCAAAAAAAGGGTCTTTAAGCACACACGATTTTTTTCAACATATTATCCTTCTCATGCTTACTTCAACAGCTCACAACTATGAATTCAAAACTCAAGAAAGCTGCTTCTTTCTTTATCCTAAATGTTTATGAGTAGATGATCCTTCAGTTGAAGAAGTTTGTCTAACAATTTCAGCACCACTGTCATCGGCTTCGTCCAAGTCAACATCCAAGTCTCTGGCAACTCTTTCTTCAACATCTGGGATATCTTGCATACCGTAAACGGCAATAGCAGCCAATCCAGCAAAACCAGCAACACATGAAAATACCAAAGCAACAATACCTCTGGCGGTGAATCCAGTAGGCAATCTCTTGTACTGAACATTCTCACCAGTCAAATCCAACAAGTGAACATCATTACCAGCAGCATTACCTTTCCATGGCACGCCAACTTTTTCACAAATTTCCTTGTGGTTGTCGGTAATTTGCTGGGTTTCATTGTTTTGGATTCCTGATGGATCTTCAATAAATTGAATGGCCAAACCTTGGTCCAAATGCCATTCAATATGGCAATGGAAGAACCAAACACCGGGGTTGTCAGCCTTGAAACGTAAAACCATGTATGATTGTGGTCTCAAGTAAACAGTGTCTCTCATCATTGGATATTCTGGCCAGTCAGCATGGTCACTTGAATTGTAAGCAACTGGATCACCTTCACCGTCTTCGATAGCTTCGTGTCTTTCAATCAATTGGAACACGTGTCCATGCAAATGGAATGGATGTTTACCAGTATCCAAGTTGTTGACCACAATGTCAACTACATCATCCTTTTGCAACACAAACGAGTTTGTGTTTGATCCGTAAACCAATTCATTAGAAGCATCATCACCAGCTGACAACACAGTGAGCAAGGTTGGCACTCTTGGTTTGGTGTAGGTAATGTTGTTAAAGAAAGCATAGTTGATACCATCACCCAAGTTATCCATTTGCACCTGAACAGTAACAGTGTAATCAGCGTCATCATAAAGCTTTTCTTTGGACAATGGCACAAGGTAGAAATCATCAAAATAAGAATCAATTTCATCTTGAGTCAAGTCATATGATTCAGCCTCACCAAGATCTTCATTATACATAATAGTGTTTGTACCATTCAACTGCAAATCAGCTGGTTGGGTATCCAACATATCAGGATCAAGTCTGTGCATGAATGCATAGTTCTTATCCGTTGAGTTCTTGGTGGTGACCAACACAGTGTATCTCTGAGCAACAGTGATATAAATCAAATCGGTGGTGTTTTTCTCAACGTAAATACCGTCAACCTCAACAATGGTCATGTCGTGATCTTCCATCCAAACGTAATGGGACAAGAATCTACCCATGTTGATAATTCTCAACAAGTAAGTCTTGTTTGGTTCAACTTTCCAAGTAGCATTTCTAGTTTCGTTAAACAAGATATTTTGTGGAATCAATTCAGCACCAGTTGGGTTGAATCTACTCAAGAATTTTGGCATTAAATCGTCGGATTCTTCATGGTAATGTTCATTCAAAGTCAAGACAACTTCTTCATCGTAGTCATATGGGTAATCGTCCTCACTTGGCTCATCAATAATAAATACACCTCTCATACCATCACCATATTGACCAGAAGTATGCGAGTGGTACCAATAAGAACCAACTTGATCATCAACAGTAAAATTGTACAACATGGTTTCACCAGGTGGGATAGGACATTGAGTAACCATTTCTGGTCCATCCATTTGACTGGAACCTTTTTGAAACATACCGTGGAAGTGCAATGAAGTGTTTCTGTCATCAAATCCATTAGTCAAGTAGAGATTAACTCTATCTCCCTTTTTAACTCTCAATGTAGGTAATGGCCAAGTACCGTTGAATCCAATCATACGTCTTTCTTGAACACCATCTGGGTTAACTCCGTCGACCCAGTTACAAGTGTAGTGCCAAGTATGAGTCTCGGCGGTGACGAGCGCCAAAAATGTGAGGAATATTAGCGAAATGGTAGTCCTCATTGTAATTGTTGTCTGTAATCTCTTTTTCTTCTTGTCTATACTATGTGTCAGTGGACTAGAACTGTTGCGGTTTTGGTTCAGTGTTTTAACCGTTTCCTGTAAAGATTGATAGAGACCCAAAGAACCAAAAAAGAAAAAGAAGAAGAAGAGAAACCGTGTATGAGTTTGAGAAATGGGAGGAACACCAAAGGTTATTTATAATGTTAGCCGTTTACCCAATTTTGATTTTACTCCAAAAATTTTTACATCAGACATTAGACGCTGATGAAATTGATAAAACTTAACAGTGTAGAATGTTAATAATTTTCTATTTTTGAGGTTCTATTTTTATTTTTCTGGGCAAAGGATTGGTAACTAACTATGTAAGAATTTTATTTATAGTGTTGTGTGCACAAATTGAAATATTTCTTGGCTCTGCACCAAAGGGTAAAAACAAAGTTATATAAAATAGAAGTATACACAGTTAGTTAGATAGTTAATACTACATGTGAGATTGAGTGTAGTGGTGGGATGGTGAATGGAAAAAAAAAAATACAAGATCTTTTGAAAAAATGAAAAAAACGGGCACACTTTTCTTAACAGACTTTGTACTAAAGAAAAAAGCCTATTAATTTTGGCGGTTTTGAATATTGGTGATAAAGTGGAAGCTTAGCAGATAGTGATAAAAGAGAAAATGTGTTTTATGTATTATAGTGCGTGTACTTTTGACGATAATGAGAAAACAATAGAAAATAAAAAATAAAACAAGACACATATTATTTTGGATCTGTGTCTGGGTTTGCTTCTTGCAAGCCAATCTGAATAAAGTTGTAAAGTTTTGTCTGTTGTTACATCTACTTGCAAGCGTCATTTACTGTCATCTGATGAGAATTTTTGTTTTTGGCAGAAATACACTTTCAGAAGGTGTATTGACTCTTGAGATGATTATCTTTTCGATCGATCATAAAGCCCTCTTTTGATTAATCTTTACGCACAAGAAGACAATAAAAAAGAAAGACAAAATGAATTAAAAATGTCTTATGCAGACACTCACCTCATTCAAAAAGTTAAAAAATAAATAAAAATATAAAAACAACATAAAAAAAATTTTTAATCTTCTTTATTGTGTTTGATGCCGTTTGTGAAATATTGGTGCCTCTTTCCTCCAGTTCTCCAACAAATAAGAATCAAGCTATTCCTGTCAAGAACCAATTCCGCTAATGGGATTACTACTACTTGCAATGGTTTAATTTTTTTTTTGCCTTTACGGAAACCGCCATGTGATACACTTCACAAAACGAAAAAGAAGTTCAAGAAAACTAAACTTTTGTTACCCCAATCAAAGAACACTGGTATGGATCTGGAGTGCCACCCGGAAGACGACAGCCCTTCCATTGCATTTTGCTAGTTTTAACCAGTATTCATCTCTATATTCTCTTTCGTGTCCTTTGTTTTCATATGAGATGAGTATTGTTTCCATAAATAAACAAACGGGCCGCAAAAAAGGCAATTGCCTCTAATGCATGTTATTGTTCTAATACCGCCTCTTTGTATTTTAACCAGCCAATGATATCCTTTTTGTTATTACAAAATGAACATTATACGAGAAATAGCATTATTATGGACACTTGACCAATAGTCAATTACTTATTACTTGCAGAGCAAAGGGTTACGAATGTAAGTAGATTCAAAAGTTTCTTTTTTTTTATCGTGTGGTTATATGTATAGCATAAAGTAAAATTGTGCTTGTGATATTGGGAAATAAAAAAGTAGCCAATTAAGCATCAGCTGTAATACACTCACAACTCGGTAATTACAACTAAACACAATAACAACAACAAAAGATAAAATATATGAAATAAGATTTTACCCGCGGTTGCTTCTTGAATTGATCATGTAACAACTCGCTTTCTCAAGTCGAAGCGCCAAAGGAATAACCATTATTGTGTTTCGATCCGATCGGAATTGTTGACAAGAAACTAGTCTAGTCTAGCCTCTAAATGAAGGGTTTCCCAATTCACTTGGCACTCAAGCTAAGAAAATTTTTGATGTTTTCTTGTTGACATATTATCCTTAAGCCGTAGTTCGCTATGTGTACCTTGCACTGAAAACATTTTAGTTTTTTTACAATTTTTTTAGTATTTGTCTCAGGCGGGACGGAATTTAAACTTTTCTTCTTCCTTATGAAACCCTCTCCCCAGTAGGAGAAACTTTGGGTTAGGAGCGCATGTGCAGGAATCAAATCAATCTAAAACGACTGTGTGAATAAGTAATTTTAACAGCAGAGGCAAAGGGCTAGGCTTCTACAGTAACAAACTCTTCATTTTTATTACAAAGCGCAAACATGCAAAAGATTGGCACCCTCTCAATGCGCTTTTCAAATATAGTTTATCTTGTTCTCGTTACCACGGTTTTGACCATTCATATATAATCTTACTTCATAACAATAGCCTATTGTTTAAACCTTCCTTTTGGATACAGCAAAACTGGCAAACATTGAAAGCTATTGTTTGGGAATATCCATTGTCAGGGTTTAATAATAGTTAATCCACCGTTGAAAGGGATGCTGCTCTTAAACTTGCCACTTGCCGCTATAACATTGTCTATACATCACAGCTACACATCTGATAATTTCACACAAACAAGTCAATGGGCAGAAATCTCTTGTCACTGTTGTAGTTGTCTGAGGTTAACTTTTCTCCGCCATCTAAGTAAGTACAATGCATTTATTTTAACAACTATAGTGCTGTGTTGCATAGAACATGGAGCACGTTTCTGATTGCATCATGGATGTATTCAGTTTTCGTTCGACGTTATTGGTGGTAAAGCAGGGCGGTTTCCAGATGCTAGGATTTTACACGAACTTGGCACCAACTTTCAGTAAAAATTATCTCTACAAGTAAAACGCCCGTCTTAAAATTTAAAAGCATGACTGTGATAACAACCAAACAGCTCTTTAGTTTTAATTGACACCCAGTAACTTTCCTTTGCGTCTCATTCTTTGATTATTCGACCTATTCACAATCCTTTACAGTCAATTACTACCCAATATTCACGTGCATATGTTGAACCCAACAAAAGCCATCAGAAAACGAAAGTCCATGAACAAAACATCATACATTTTTCATGCTGCCTTTTACGAAATACCATTCATAAAAAATCAACATAGAATGATCAACTGTTTCCCAACCAGTAGCAGCCACGTTATACCCAACATTTCATAGTCGTGTACCATTGCTAATTCGTTGTTAACAGCGAGGTCATAAAAAGCAAAATCTGCTTTTGCAACAACAACAAACAAAGTAATCACGCATTTATTTTAAAAGTCCGTACGGAATAGTGCACAACGTAAACAACAACAAAAAATTTTTTTTTGGGAACTTTGCTTCACCACAGCAACTGTAGTCTATCACTCAACAGCAACAGCCTATCACCCAACGTTAGCTGACATACACACACGTACAGGGAGAATAGCTTGTCATCTTCTTTGGGTTTGTTTTATTTTTTGTTGGTGACGCGATCATTTTTATTTTTTGAAGTTTTGCATTCAATAAGGTTTACAGGGTTTTTGTTCCGTGTCTGCTTTCTTTATAAAACTTTACAAAAGTACCCTCGTTATTTGTTCATGGTTTAGTCGTCATAAAGCATTCTATTCAGTGCCTTCTGGCTAGGATAAAGCTTCAATCATTCATCTTTTACCTGTTATTTTTGTTTTAATATTTTTTTTTTTGTTTTGCATAAACGTGGGGTACACCAATAATGAGCAGACGCTTATTTAGTATATCCTATCTCAATCTAAATTCATCAACATTTTCAATTAACAACTTATTAAGCTATGTACCGCGAGCAATACCAAAGAGGAAGAAGAAGTCGTTGTCAAAGCCACAAAGTGGAAAGAGAGTAGTTGCAGGAGCTGAGACAACTGAGCTCTCGAGTGTCACAAATGAAGTGCATCAACATTCTCACTACAAGAGACCCACACATCCCACGTCTGTTCCAATTTCGAAACTATTTAGTAACACGTTTCCACTAGGTGTGGCTGAATCAATAGAGCACTACAAGCTACGCAATGAACCACTTCGATTTCAGCACGAATTGTTGTCAACTTTACCGTTTTACCCCAACAAGGACAGTTTAGGTAGGACATCGAAAGTGTTGAAGGTACCAATCGACGACAAGGAAAACTATATCAACGAGTTTGTCATTTATCCCCCAGGCAAAACGGAAGCCGATCTGGCCACAATGAAACATTTGGTTATGATTCATGGCTATGGTGCCGGCCTTGGGTTTTACCTCAAAAACTTTGATGCGATAGCCATGCGCAATGACTGGTGTATTCACGCAATAGATCTTTTTGGGTACGGCTGTAGCTCACGCCCTCATTTCCACCCGCAAAATGTCGAGCAAGTGGAAAAGTGGTTTTACGACTCCTATGAAGCTTGGTTTGCTCAAAAGAATATTGACAAGTCAAAGTTGTTAATCATGGCACATTCAATGGGCGCTTACTTGATGGCGTGCTACGGCATTGCTCGAGATGCCCACTTTTGCAGAAAAATAATTATGGCTTCACCAGGGGCAATCATTAGGCATAAGCGTCAAATACCGGTTCCAGGATACTTTAAGCGACTTTGGGAAAGAAACATTTCGCCATTCACGTTGGTGCGGAAAGCTGGTCCGTTGGGTTCAAAGGTAGTCAGTGGATGGTCGTCGAGGAGATTTGCTAACTTGTCCAAAAGAGAGGCCTATTTGTTGCACAAGTATGCCTATGGTATATTTCAGGCTAGAGGTTCAGGTGAGTACATGCTAAATTTCTTGCTTGCTCCCGGTGCTGACGCTAGGTTTCCATTGATCGAGAAGGCGATACATAAGTTAAGATGTGATATGACATGGTGGTATGGAGATGGAGATTGGATGGATAAATCGGGGGGACAAATGTGCAGTGACATTATTAATAATTTGGCAGAATCAGCCGATCGACCTCAACGCAGCGATGTAAAGGTCATCGAGTACAGTGGACACCATGTGTACCTTGACAACATTACACAATTTAATAATGCAGTTTTAGAGGAAATGGATAAATTTTAATAAATTTTTAACAAAAAGCTTTTTTTGGCTTGCTTAAGCCTATGTATATTACGCCTGTAGACTAAATTCAGGATCATCGTCGTCACCTTCCAAATGTACGATTACGCGAAGAGAGATGGGCAAGTTTGGATCAGTAATGACAATCTCTTCACCGGGATTGATCAAACCCCTCATCTTCTTGCTCAAGTTTGCTTTGGTGGCTTCTTCCAACTCAGGTGGGCTTGACATGTAAAGAAACTTGTCGCCACTGGTCAAACTTGGGTTTGTCATTTGTATTTCCTGTTTCGACTTTATTTCATGAATAAACTGTTGCAAAGTCCACCACTTTTGCACAGCAATCTTTTTCGCTGCATTTCCACAAACGGCACAGTTTTGTTTCCTTGCGTATGAATATGTATACGTAAATATTGAGTCATCACCTGAATACATCATGTAGTTATCCAAAATGGGATTCACACTGGTGATGATTTTAAACACTTCATTACAGCAACTTGCAGCAATTATTGCATTCGTTGATGCGATGGCGGGGATGATATTCTTGACAACCCCCAACGTCAAGCTCCTTGTAACCCCCTCAATGCCAAACTCGGCTGCTCGAGTTTTCGCTGTCTGGTACATCCACTCAACTTGATCAGGATCATCAGCGTCAAATTTCTGTCCAGGAAATTGCTTGTTCCATTCGAGTTGGCTTGCCCACTCTATACAATGCTCGGGTAGTCGTGGCGTGTTGGCAATTGTACACACTGGGTAAGTTGTTTGAGCACTTAGTAAGTCCAACGAACATTCAAAACATGAAGTCAACGTCGGTATAATTACCCTGCTTTGCCCTCGAAACCCTTCAGTACCCCCGTCAACTAATGGGATTATTATATTTTCCTGCTCCGCTAAACCATATAGCGTAGAATTAATCCATCTCCGTGCTTCAATTGAATCCAATCCACTGATAATAACCTGGAAGCTTCGATAAAAGTCAAGATTCATCTCCTGAATCTTTTTAAAATGCGGTGTTATTTTCAAATCAGGATTGCCTATCCTTTCAAGAATAAACTTTGTAGCCACCTCTGCCTTGCTTTTGCCGATATCTGCATAACGAAATAAGAACTGACGATTCAAATTACTCAAGTCAATAGTATCCATATCTATGATATGTATATCTCTAAACCCCGTCATGGATAGGTTCTTGAGGATTTCACAGCCAAGACCTCCAGCACCAATGACAAGAACTTTACTCGACTGAAGCGCTTGAAACGAATCTGGAGCAGAATAGATGTCCAGGTACTCATTAAATTGACCGACATTAGTAACTAGTGACTGTATTGAAGACAAGTTCCTCATTGCTGATTTTGAATGTGATGGCGTACTAGAAAAGGGCTGCACACTTTGAGACAACATTTGAATTTGTTTTTTTTTTTGGGGGGGGGGGAGCGGCGCATTTCATCTACAATCAATTTCTCACTATATATATGTACTCATTTATATATGCAAATTTAGGCATCTAATCTATGCAACTATAACAAAAGAATATTTTCTTATTTCATCTATTTTCAACTGTAGGTAGCTCGTCTTGTAGTCGTTTGTTTGTTCTCATAGGAGGCACTCCGATCCTCTTGCCAAAGTTGTTATTCAAATGGTTAATTTGGGGTTTCTTCACCCTGTTTTGTAAATGATTGATCCCGAGGGGAGGAGGAGTCTTGCCTTTCAAATCTGCTCTTTTGACAGGTACTGACTTTGTAGGATCAACAGTGCGTTCAATGTTGGGCGAAACAAACGTGGTGTCAAATTGTGGTATTTCTTCACCTTTACGGTCCTGCTTTAATTGCAAGAGCGCTGCGTTCTTTGCTGCTACAAACGCTGGGAAATGGTTTGTATCTTCTTCCTCGTCCTTGCTTCCCGAATGTCCGACCTGGGTCGATTTAGTTTCCACACGGTCGAGTTCGTGCTCTTCTTCGGCGCCATCATCACTGAAATTGAACGACTCGTCAATCTCGTCGGCGTCTTTCCTCCTGTTTACATGTTGTACCACCTTCGAGGGCAGTCTAGGTGTAATAAACGCGTCATCTGGAGCTTTCAAGCTTTCCTGCTCGCGTCTTTGCTCCATCTCCTTCTCCTCTTGGGCCCTTCTCTCCATTATCTGCTTTTTCCGTTCTCTCTCTGCGTATATCGGATCCCGGTGAAAATCATCAGACTCATATTCAATGTTGTTCTTTTGTAATTTGCTCATCTGCTTGGTGATTGTCTTATCGTATAAGCAATTACCCAAGACATTTCCAAAACATCTCAAGCATCGCTTTATACCATCCGTATATGCCTCCTTTTTGCACTTTTCAAACGCCTGAGACTTGCTCTTGGCATTATCGATGTATCCATACCCGATGTCCTCGTGATACGTGCCATCTTTGAGAGTAACCCTAACAACAATGGAGAGCCCCAACGAACATCTACCCGTGTTGCCATGCGTGTCTAGGTAATCTATTTCACATGATACTAGTTCAGAGTTCCATCCGTTGAACCCAAATACCTCGTTGGCTAGATTTAGTGCCTTCCATCCTTCTATGTACTGAACCGAGTTCCCTCCTCCGCCTGGTCGATAACTCACGTACTCTGGCCCCAAAGCTTTATTGAGTTTGGTCTGAATTTCTAATCTTTCATGTTCAGTAAACTGTATTGATTGCTGAACTTGAGAGCGCAGTCTCACGTGCTGCAAAGGCGGCTTTGTCGGCCTTCGAGGCTGGTGGTTACCATTGAGTGAACTCATGCAAAGGGAATATGTTTTCTATGTACCGTGTCAGACGTGTTGCTAAATGTAGATTTTTTTTTTCTCTCTCTGCTTATCATCACTCAAGTTCAAGACCTTTGAAAATAGTGGAGAAAATGCTAATATGAGTGATGGGCTGGAACTGTCTAATATCCTACCGAAGCAGTTCATAGTGGTACTAAATTTGTCAAGGGACGCTCTATCAGCAATAGAGTTATCCAAAATTAAGGTCAAATCACCTACAAAGAAACAACTCGCTGTAAGCAAACGAGCCGAACAGGTTAGCCATTATAAGGCCCAAGTTACCTTGGAAAGCAGAAATCGTCGCTTTTTGAGCCGCCAAAGACAGCATGAATTATCTCCAGCGTCAAAGAGGTTGAATTTTGATACAGAAAAGAAGGTTAGGTTTTCATTAAAATAGGAATGTGCATTTCACATTTCTATACATCTAAACTTGAGATTAGGGTGATGTTTTCCCCCTTCAATAGCAACCTCCCAAGGGGCGTTTTCTTTCCATTAGCGATTTCCTCCGCTTCATCAATCACTAGGTTCATATACTCGTCAAACCCTTGGATTTTACCTTGAATACGCAGGTTCGATTTTTCATATAGCCATATCGTGACGAGTGACTGTTGCTGCAAGAATTTGAATATTAGATTAATTGGTGGTAGGTTTGTCTTGTTGGCAGATTTTGATGACATTGGATAGGACTAGGTTTATACGAGTAACGGTTTACGATGACTTTGGCAACTTCCCGTTGCCCAGTTGGTTTTCTTTTTCTTTTTTTTGCCTTTTTTTCTACTTTCTTACGCGCTCTTTGTTTTTGGATCAACTTTGTAAATCGGCCAACTTCTCCAATGTCAGATGAAGTACCAGAAGATTTCAAGCCGTATATAATTCAATGGATAGAGGCTGACGCGATAGAAGCAACTAGGAATGGCTCAAAAATGGCCGTGCTTTACAATAAAATGCTAAGCCAGATTAGGCGAACACAAGAACCAATAACAGACACGAGATCACTCAAACTGATAAAATACGTGGGTGTTAAAACTGCTGTCATTTTAAGCAACAGAGTCATCCAGTTCTGTAAAGCAAATGGTTGGGACTCCCCCGTTGGGTTCATGGATGAGGCGGAAGCACACAAAAGAGCATTGAATAAGGTAGATCAAGTGGAAGACGAGACGATGACGCGACCAGCAAAACGTGCGCGAACGACAGCCAGCTATGTCCCAAAACAAAGATCTGGAGCATTTGCTATTATGGTGGCCTTATACTTGAAAGATAGTCAAGGTAGAGGTATGACACGAGAGCAAATTTCGCAACATGGAGCTCAATATAGCGATAAGGCATTTTCCACGTCTGCAACTTCAATGTATTCAGCGTGGGATTCTATCAAGACGTTAATAAAAAAGGAGTTGGTTTATGTAACGGGGAGGTCACCAAAATTCTACTACTTGACAGATGAAGGAAAGGAATTGGCTTCGAAATTAAAGTCCGCGGTTAACATACCGTCCTCGCCAATGCAATCCAACACGGCTGCAAATAGCTCTTTCGATAATGGTGTTCGATTTGAATCGAGTTTTGAAAAGTCCTCTCCTGTTTTGACGAGGAATGTTGATTTGCAGTTTGCTCGTCAGTCACTGCTGAGAATACAGAATCCAGCTCACAGTTCAAGATTAGTTTCGGAGGTGTTGTCGTCGACTGGAAACTCTACCCATGACTCTCAAAACAGGGTGTACGACGGCACTCCCTACGAAATATGGACCAAGGACGAATACGAAGTAGTTATATACATTGACAACAGAGAAATTAGAGCCCAACAAGAACGTGATTTCTTCCAAAGACAACTTCGGCTTGCTAATATCGAATGCGATGTGAAGGCTTTATCATGTGGCGATGTTGCCTGGGTTGCAAGGCATACGCGCACCGGCAGAGTAGCTATCTTGAACTACCTCTGTGAAAGAAAACGAATTGATGATTTGTGCGATTCTATAAAAGATGGAAGGTTCCAAGAGCAAAAGAATAGAATGCATAAATCTGGAATGATGCATTGTTACTACCTCGTTGAAGAAGTCTCCACGGTGAAGTCGCGTGCTTACCATATTATGGACTCGATACAAACTGGGATCGCTCAAACTATGACAAATGCACACATCTACCTACGAAGATTCAAAGACATTGACGAAACAACCGGTTTTTTGTCGTCTCTTACAGGTGTTATAAAGGAAATACATGCTCACAAAAACTTAATTGTCCTTCGACCCAGGGACATATGCAACCAAGACCACTATAATGAATTGTTGATGAAATTTCGAGAAAAGTTTGAAAAGAGGGAAAACTATGAATGTTGTCACTTGTTCTCCAGCTTCCAGGAAATTATGGGCAAGACTACGCAAATGACTGTCAAAGAATTATTTATATTAATGCTAATGACTATCAAGGGGTGCTCTTTGGAGAAAGCTATTGTTATACAGAATCGATTCACCACTCCAAAGAAATTGCTTAAGTTCTATCACCAGCAAAATGCCCACACTGCAATAGAGACAAAGAAGCTGTTGATGGTTGAGGAATTCAAGACGCAGGTGGGAAACAAGAAAATAGGAAAAGCGTTGCTGGAAAAGATTTATGATGTATGGGGAGTCTAGGAGTAGTTTTAGAGAAGTTAATATACGAGTGAATATATATCGGTAATTAGACCGGGTGGGGACTTGTAGTCTATGATGTCTCTGTTGGCACGACCACAAACGTTAAAAGAGAAAAAAAAAAAAATAAAAAAAAATAGAAAATGAAAAACTTCATAAATTTTTCAAAGGTTCAGCAGTCTACATCACGCAATGGGTAAGGGAGTATTAAAATACGGCGGTAAGTCTGGTATTCTTCCCAAGACCAAAGCTATTTTCCACCGTCCAATACGTCCGTTGAATGATATTGAGTTACAAAAGGAGAAAGCCCAGGAAAGTGGATATGCTGAGGGTGTGCCAACTCCAAAGATAAACGGGAAGCATCTTCCACGCCAACAGCCTCCACGGAAGTACATAACTGTTGAGGATAGAATTAAACATATCAAATACCCACCAATGTCTTTACGAGAAATGAACGACTTACCCGCTGAGGAAAGAGATGCGTACAAAAGAGCATATTACAGAGCCGAGTTCTTAAAAGAAGCCTACTTGGAGGAGGAGAAAAGGTTAAAGAAAATAGACGAACTTAAAAAAAGTGTCCATGAGAAAGAGATGGCCAAGCAAAGACAATTTGAGGAGGAGCGTAAGGCTGACTCCTCGATGATTGCTTCGTTGCCCACAATGCAGAAAATTTTGGAGCAAGGATTGGTCAGAAGGAGGACACCAGAGGAGCAAGAATTGTTGAAAGAGCAACGAAAGTTGAACCGTTGCTCTAAGGAGTTGCATGAGAAAGAAATGAAGGCCCAAAAGTTGCTAGAGTTGTACCACTCAGCAGCCAAATTCATCACCACTGAGGAGCAGTTGGAAGAGGCCATCTATAGAGCTTTTGAAGTGGAGGCAGGAAAATTTGAAAGTGCTCAAACCAGTATAGAAACAAAGTTGCTTTCAAGAAGCGCTGGATATTTGGTTGGAGAAGTGAATGAGTTGAAGATTACTGATGCAATCTTGGGACAAATTAATGGCAAACCAGGCTTGGAACAAATCAAGGACGTCTTGAGTGGAACTAGAGAAAAGACGAAGAGGGAGGCCCAATTGAACTTGAGTAATGAGATATAGATGTTGGCTAGTATGTACATAGAAATTAAACACTTCGCAGCTCCTTACGGTGCGGCAGAAAATTTTACAAAAATTTGAAAATTGTAAAAAAGCAATAGTATCAACAATTCATCATACAACACCCATTCACCAGAATCAATGGCAGACTCGGCTGGCTACGATAAAAGCGAGTACCAACGCATATTCTCCAAAGTTTTCAACAAACGACTAAAATATGTGCTCAATGTAAATATAATATTGTCAATCTTGATGACATTGATCTTGGATGTGCCATTTTACACTCGTCAATTATTATCAACTGGACTCCTTTTATCAATTGTGCTTAAAGTGCCCGTCTACTTTTTAGCATTGACATTGATCAGGCAAGTCAGGATCAAGTTTTCGACAGTTGATTACTCGAGTCAAAAAACACTAGGGCTGCAGATTTATCACTCTGTAGGGTCAAACAAGTACCTACAAGTGTCGTCATTTCACATGTTATCAGCGTTGTTTGTTTATGGTGTTTTTATTTTCAATTTGCCATTCACTTTTGACTACTATTTAATCTCGAAGGAGTACAGAAAGAATCCACTATTGAATGACGAGTGGGTATACTATTGGATATGTCCGATTATTATAGGTGCCTTGTATTCAGCTATCCAACTCGTGTTTCAAAGAAACAGGTTAGGCTTTGAGTATGGTCATAACAGAAATAGTCCACAAAACACGTTGTTCACCCATGTACCACAGGCATTGGGGAATTCGTTGGGATTGACCATTATATTCTCCATTGCGAATCCCATCATATATTGGGCAATCAGATCCTATTTATACAAGTCGTTAATCTTGCTCAGATTGTTTGGCATAGATAATTCATTACCTGTAAGAAACACATCCCTTTCGACCTACATCAAGCTATCATTGCTTACATATGTGTTGGTCGTTAACTGGGAGTTTGAAAATCACATATTCGGTGTTTACGCCACAATTGGCTGTCTTGATGGTAAGAAGCCTATCTCCTCATACAGCAAAGATCCATTGAACTGCTTGTTAAAGGGGTTGCGCGATGTCACCCCTAGTCATGAATTGAGTAGACTAACGGCATTTCAAGAATTGGCATATATTGCAACCACCAATGACAAGGAAGGTGTGAAATTGCGATTAGCCATATTCAGCGCAAGGTCAAAGAGGGAGAATTTGTGGCCATCACTATATGAAGAATGTTCTTTGGTTATTCGAGAAGCTAGTGTACAAATAAACAAAAGGAGCGCTCGTGATATGAAGGCGTTAAAGAGTTGGCAAAAGTCCTTGGAGAAGGAAATTGATACTGGGTTCAAGAGGAAAAAGGACCAGCATATTTTTGGAAATTCGTTCACGCAATCTCAAGCGGAAGGGGGAAGCAAGGCTGTAGGTAATGACACGCATGTGGAGAGTGGAGGTGCGGTGGCTTTCGTGCGTAATAAAGTTGCCGCCCCCATAGTGAAGCTTGTTTCGCCCTACTTACCGCAACATTTGTTGTTTAATCACTTCAAGTCTGATCTTTGGCTATTTAAAAGCGTTGAAATCAGCAAAATAGATGCTGCTGCCACCGATGTGAGACAGCACTTTTTGGAATCGACTTTTGGCGCTCTATTCCGCATCACATTGAAAAGGGACTGTGAATCGAGAGTGAGAAACCCAGTTAATTTTGGAAATGCCATAATTGCCATATCAAACATTATTCAACGCTCAGTAGTGGAAGATTCACTAAACGTCGCCACACCAGTCTATATAAGTAACACGCTTAATTTATTGGAAAAGTCAATTCGCGCTTCAACTAATTACAGAGATTATTTGCCAGCTTCTGTGTATGTTGGCATAAATAAGCCCAAAGCTCACTTGATATCGGAATTGAACAACCTTGAATATCACGAGTTTTACAATTTATGCATCCAGTTCAACGGTTTGTTGAATGACCTCAATTTGAACCCAAAAGCGTACGAACTTGCAAAATGGGTTATTGATATTGCCATTGCCGATCGAGAGCAGCGTCTGTTGTATAGTAATATGTATTGAACTTACTATCCTCAATCTCTTCTACTGTTACTTAAGTTTGAACTACTGTTGTTAGCACTGGATTGGATACCAGGGATTGTATCTAATAAAACCGGTTTTAACACCTCTTCGTCGAATCTGGTAAACCATCTAGCGTGCTCCTCTGCACTGAGAATAGCTCCAAGTACTCCTCTATCTGTGTTTGTGTTTGTGTTTGTGTTTGCATTGTTAAACGTTGGTGATGATACAAAATCTGATCTGTATTCATCAACATCGCTGCCAATCAACTCCTCGTCATCATCTCCACCATTGACTATATTTTGATTTGGCTCGTTCTCAAGTAAGTTGACCGAAGAAGAATTGTTGGAGGTGCTGTCTCTAAATGGGGCAACTTTTGGTTGTGACTTCATAAATCTTCTGCTTCCGAGTATGTTTTGCTGCGATGCTTGCTGAAGTGGGAGCCTTGGAGCTTCAATGTCAAATTCATCGTCAGAGTCGGCAGTTTCATCGACGCAGCCTGTCTTTATGCCTAGGATTTCCAACATGGAGGCAGTTGTTCCACCGAATAAAATCACGGTAAGCACAACAACCACCAACACGGTTGCAAGTAAAGTCCATTTAGCATCACCGCCAAAACCCATAGCTAAGGCAACGCCTACTGCTCCTCTCAAACCAGCCCAGAAAATCATCATTTGATATGAGTGGCTGATTTCGTCCGGCACGTTCAATGACAAACCTCCACTCGAGTTGATATTCGAGATTCCACTGTATTTTTCAAGTCTAGCACGGTAAAGAAAGTTTAGGAATCTGGACAATGGAAACACAGCTGACCATCTGGCAACACAGATGGATATGAATGCCACGATAATCAATAACGGCTTGAATACAAGCTCAACTTCGGTGAACAACGACAATCCTAGGTAAATGAATATGAAATTTTCCGACAACTGTGCTAGTAATTGAAAGATATACTTTGTTGCAATTTGAGTACGTCTCGACATGTTGTAATATGCATAGTGCTTCAATGTGATACCACAAAATAACAACGATACAATACCCGACATATGAGCACCATTGGAGAAAAAGTATGATTGATAAGCAAACAAAAGGACTAAACAGGTTTCAATCTGCGGGTATCTCCTCACATGTGAATGCTTTAAAATCAAAGCCACTAGAATACCAATTGCGATTCCGATGATAGTGGAAATCGTAAATGTCATCAAGAACAAACCAATACCTTCGAAGAACGATGAAAACTTTACTGGCTGGCCATGGAATTTTTGACAAGTTTCAAACATAACAATGGATATAGCATCATTTAACAAGGATTCCCCGAAGATAATTGTATACAACTTGGGATCAACTTTGTATGCATTGAATATGGACAAAATGGTTACTGGATCTGTGGCAGACAACGTAGCACCCACTGCCAATGCATCAACAAACTCCAATTTGACACTATCCAAACCAATTGAAGTCCATATGTAAACGATGATCCCCACAACCATTGCCGATATAAACGTTCCCGGTATGGCGAATGTCAAAATGCTTCCAATATTTCTGAAAAAGTTTGCCTGATGTAGTTCATATCCACTATTCAATATAATCGGCGGTAACAAAATATTAAAAAAGTATCCCGGGTTGAACTTGACGGCATCTTGTATGTAATGTCCTGGACTGAGTCTGATGATTAATCCCACAATCATTCCACAAAAAATCGACAATACCGTCTCATGTATGGCCTTGATTCTTCTCTGTTGTAGGAAATACGACGACCACAACGCCAACATTAACAATAGCAACAAGATAAATAACGCCCACGATGAAAAGATTTCATTCTCGACTGGATTGGAATCCTCTAACGGATCGTCGCCTGTTGTGGGCGTATCTGGTGAATCGTCTAAATCATCTGATACTGCTCGTTTGACTAATTGTTTAAAGGTGTATAAAGCTAGACTTGACATATGCCATGTGAGTCTCTAGTAAAGATTGATGTTGGGTAATTCCAGTATTTTGGTAGTTAATCCGCGTTTACGAAAATAATGCGTTGAAAGAGATTTTTTTTTTAGGGGATCACAAAATCGGTTGTTCTTTATGTAGTGAAAGGGTGATCGAACTAGGAGGATATAGTCTGTGAGTGGCAAATATGTCTACTGCCTGAGTTTTATTAGTGAGTAAATGATTTGCTTCTGATTTAGAGCAGGGCTATGTAGAGTATTTCAAAGTGGGCGTGGAGGTAGTGTGCGCGGGACCATAGGTGAGATAGAAAGCTTTCACTTGTTTTACAAATGTATTTTTTTGTTTCTTCCCAATTTTTGATCCTTAGTTTCTACTAACTAGTGCCTTTAGTTCATTATTGTACATCAAAGTTGATTCGCGGTCACCGTTGAGTACAATAGTGTTGAAAATTTGGTTTTCGACTGCTGCTCTTGCTCTCTACAATGGATGCAACTTGACCATTTGATGCGCTATGGCTATGGCCGTAAATGAAATTATGTCTGTTCTGTTACGTAATAGATAGAAGTTTATTGTTAGTAGTAATGTATTGTATTACGTAATCCAAACTATTGCTGAAATTGTGTCTGTCTGTACCTTTTGTTAATTTTTTTTGTTTTATTTTTTTTTTTTTCGTTTTCTTTTATTTGTTTTCAATTTGTTTAGACATCGTGGACCTTGATTGAAATCTTTCAGCTTGAGGCAAGATCTAAACACGTTATCTCAACCCTCACATACTTAATGCAGAAGCTGAACATTTACCTCAACGATGATGTCCAGTCGTCAACTGACAGTCTTTCACACTCAAACTATGTCCCAACCCCGCCTCAAGCAGCATCACCGCAGCAAACGTCAACCTCGTCGCCAAAGAAGAAGAAATCTAGTCAACACTTGAAGCATCATCGAATCAACAACTTCTACTCTTCTTCTCAGGTCAACCCTAACTACTCATCGACGAATTTGTCCAAGATACAGCATCATGGCCATCATGGTTCTCCGACGTTTTATTCCAATTTTAATGAATCAGCCACTTCGATTGGCTCTAGTCCGTACCAGTTGGGTACCCCACCATTATTAGGATCACACAACTCGTCCTACACATCAATCAAGAGCATGTTGCCGATGACACCACCAGCCTCGGAGGCAACCTCGCCAGAACCTAAGTATTTTGATATAAAACAGCGACTGGCTGATGGTAAAACCAGTCTGGTTACCGTGTTGAAAAAAGTTCAGTTATTAATACCACCAGTCAACTACACCATCTGCTCCTTGTGTTTCATCTGGTACTTTTTCTCCATCATTTCTTCCAACTCAATCAAGTTGATCTTAACCAAATACAAATATCCAGTCACCGTAACCCAATTGCAATTTCTCATGAATGCCGGCTTGAGTTTGGTCTTGTTGTTTATTTCAAATCATTACACCAACGAGAGAATCATTCCGTCTAGTATACTCCCACCAAGTAAATCAATAAGACAATTTGTCACACCAACAAGGTTTATTCTTTCCACGACTGTGCCTATGGGATGTTTTCAATTCATTGGTCATTTAACCAGTCACAAGGCAACTTCTGATATACCCGTTTCCCTTGTACACACTATTAAAGCGTTAAGTCCATTGGTGACTGTATTGGTGTACCGTTTTGTTTTTAACAAGCGTTACAGGTTGAGGACTTATTTAACGTTGGTTCCACTCAGTTTGGGGATTATGATGACATGTTACAAACTGAAAAAGAAACCCGTTGCCAATACTGTGGGTCAGGTTGTAGCCCCAGTAAACAACAGCTACCTGAGTGGGCTCATTTTTGCATTCATTTCAATGTTGATCTTTGTTAGTCAAAACATGTTTGCTAAAAGCAGATTAACGCCGAATACTGTAACGCCACAAGAATCGAAATCGATCCCAATTTCTAAAAATGGGCCAAAGAAGTTGGATAATTTGACAATCATTTTTTATTGCTCAATAGTGGGATTCCTATTCACGTGTCCGATCTATATCACATCTGAGTTTTTCAACAACACTTTTTCGTTAGCGCAATTGGATATGACGATATTGCTGTTGGTGATTATAAACGGATTAGGTCATTTCATTCAGTCCATCATAGCATTTCAAGTTTTAGGACTTTTATCACCGATTGACTATTCAATTGCAAACATACTAAAGAGAATATTTATAATATTGATGTCGTTCCTTTGGGAAGCAAAGAACTTCACCCCATTGCAAACGGCAGGGTTATTTACTACGTTGGTTGGATTGTATAGTTATGATAGGTGGGGAACCCAGCGCAATTAATCTTTACAAAAATATAGACTCATTTTTTTTTGCGTATTATGAATATATCTATTCATCGTCTATTCTTTAATGTCCTGTGCCTTCAGTGTTTAACAACTTTTTGAAAATATCACCAAATGCAACCATAAACACGGTTTGCCAAACTCCTAACCCAATTCTTGGCGTGACACCTCTATATAATCCTTTGACACCGTTGTTTTGATAAATGTATTTAGCGGCACCCCAGACGCTCAAGTTCTTTGGTCTGTTTGGATCATTGGTTTTACTTTGCATCTCAACTCTGATAACCTCGATCGGTTGATTCCAAGCACTTAACCCACCACCAACAACACTACTGGCGATTTTCTCAACATTGGATAATTTTTGGTTCTCCCCCTTTCCTGACAATTTTCTAATACCATCTTCGGCCAATCTTGAAAATCCAAAACGAGAACCCCAGTTGGTCATTTGACGGATTGCGACGGCATTGACACCTTTATTGATACCTCTAATACCCTCTCTCTTGTAGATGTCTTTAAATACTTGGAAACTGGTTTGTTGTGGTACACCACTGACAGCTGCTTGTTTAGCTCTAGTGATTTCAACAGTTTTCATACAAGTACAGAATCCCATTGTCAAGTAAGCCTGGGCCAAACCACCTGCAATACCACCACCCATTCCACTAACGAACGAATTGAAACCCAAAGTCTTGAATCGGTATTCACCTTCAGCGGAAACAAACAACAAAACGGCACCCTTAGTACTGGCTTCAATCCATGCCCATGGGATCAAACCTTGGTAGAACCCTAAGATACCACCACGACTCCACACAAGCTTGGCAGCTTGGGCCATGGTTAAGGATCTGTTGGCAGCCATGGTGGTTTTAATAACTTCCAATGGTTGGCCCAATGTGGTAACTTCAGACATGTTCAATCCAGCACCTAAAAGGATGTTGGAGAAACTGATTGGTTTTTTCTCAATCTTGTTTGTGGAAGCCATTGTAGAGGAGGAAGCGGGCAAAGAGTGGTGAGTGTTGAAGAAAGAAAGTTAGATACAAAATTGGTGAAAAAAAAAAAATAACAAGGAAAAATTTGGGGAAAAATAAAATTGGAGATCGCGATATCGGAGGATATTACCTGCAATAGGACTTCTTTGGGATCGTTGAGAAGAGGGGGAGAGTTTTGTTTTGCGTGGCTTTCTTTCATGCAGGTTTGTTAGTATACTACGACTACTGCTCTTGCGTGAGACTAAAAAGCTTCTTGTGTCCAGCCGTAACCGCGCTGTAGGTTTCCACCCCGGCCATCCGGAAATACCCGGAATCATTTTGGTTGCAAAAGTAGTGAGGAAATGGAGGCAGCTGTGGGGTAGCAATCGTGTAATTTAGAAATGTGCAATGATATGGTGTCTTTTGAACAAAGCATTACTGGTGTATCAATTGATAAAAAGACAATCATTACTACACGGATGTAAAGTGAATCGCTTAGCATTGCAACTAACTTTTTACAAATTCTATCAAAACAAAATTGTAAATATCAATTAGTGAAGAGTCAAGGCAAAGCAGGCACTCTTTAGCTTCTTAAAATCCAATGTGAGCAATGTATAACTTTATCTAGTCCCACATATCCTAACCATTCAAAGCAACTCCAAGTGTTCCCCCCACCTTTAAATGTCGTAAATACAATGTCGTGAACTGTTTACGACAGTGCCTTTTATTTTCGATCATCCAGCGCAACAAAATTCACTCGTTCAGAATATCAAACTTTCTTTCTTCCAACAGCATAACAAAAAAAAAAAGCACTACACACCATGGGTATCAAAAAGATGTTTATGAAAAAAGATCCGACGGAGCAGGAAATCCGTGAGGATTTGAATCGGGTCGGCATAACTACAAAATCGGGCAATACAAGAGAAGAAAAGTTTGGAGCATTCAAGAATTACGCTCAAGAAAGGGCACAAATGAGACCAGCTATGGCACCAAGTAATCCGTATGCAAAGACACAGAATAACGATCCTGCTCATAACCCGTATGCTAATAACGGTAACAGCTCATCCGGTACCTCCGTGGGTGGAAAGGACCAGTCAAATGCTAGCGGACATTCATCTTCACCATATCAAAGTCAGGGGCGCAGCAGTGCCGATTCCAATCCATATGGAAGTTCGACCCGTTACGGACAGCCACAAGCCGCGGACCCATATGCTGCTCCAAGTAGACGGCAAGCACCACAATCTAGTGGACGAGATCCATATAGTCGGCCAACTTCAAGGCAACCGGCAGCAGCATCCTCACAGCGAAGCCAAGCGAATGCAGCCAGTGCAGGCAGTGGAGATTCTTCAACAAAGGTGAGTAGAATGTCTACTAGGCAATCGGCAGCTGATACTGATTCACTCGATTTGAATGCAATCTCGTCACATCAAATGTTTCAAAATAATAAGCCAGTAAGGAAACAAGCTTTTGATTCAGATGATTTAGATTTAAATGAAGAATTTAATGAGGAGGAGAACTTGGACTTGAACTTGGATATTCCAGAGGAGGAGCAAGTGAATTCGGAAGACGAGGAAGTTGAAGCTATTAAACAAGATATTAGGTTTGTTAAACAAGAGTCTGTTCAATCGACTAGAAACACCCTTCGAATGGCTCAGGAAGCCGATGCATCGGGTACAAATACTTTGGGAATGTTGGGATCACAATCTGAGAGGTTGTACAATGCAGAACAGAATTTGTTGTTGGCAGATACTCAAACGCAAATTGCCGACGAAAAGGTTAAAGAGTTGAGACGTTTGAACCGTTCTATATTCATTCCAGCTTATGGTAATCCCTTCAATAAAAAGTCAAGATTGCGTCAACAAGAGGAGAATATCAAGAACCGTAAGATGCAAGAAAAGTATCTTCGTGAAACAAATCGTCAAAATATGTATGAGAGTGAACAAAGATTGAAACAAGGTATCATGAATAATGCTACTGATAATGATATTCACCACAAGTACCAAAATGAAAAGTATCTACAGCAAGCACAAAGATACCAGTTTGAAAATGATTCTGAGGATGATGAAGTTGAAAAGGAGATTGCTTCTAATTTGGACCAAATTGGTTCTTATGCAAAGAAATTGCATGGAGTTGCTAACACAATGGGTAAGGAAGTTGACAGTCAAAATGTTAGATTAAGAAAGATTGAAGAAGATGCTGATAAATTGGATATCAATGTTCATATGAACAGTACTAGATTAAGTAACATTCGTTAAGTAGATGGAAATAGAGAGGATGATAATGTGTGGAGAGCTTCTATAGTGCAAGACAATTGGTACAGCTTAATTCCGCTCACTTCGGTGGGTGGGGCAAATAAAAGAATACAAGACGGCTAAAACCGTACTACGTTGTTTCAAATTAATTTCTTTTTTTTCTTATTTCCTGGAATGTCGAGCTTTATGCAGGACCATACTGAGAAACGACAATCACCACCTCAGTAGAGTCTATTTTCTTCGTTTGACGGTAGTGTTGATTTTGTAGACCCAAACGTTGTGCTTGCCTTTTATATGCAGCAACCTCTCATACTGGTAACACTCTTCCATAAAGGCTTATTGTTCTTATCATTTCAATCAACTTCGTTATTGTATGGAATGCTTTTTTTTTCTTCCTCTTTTGTTACAACTGTGCAACCACTTAAAAAGCATTTAATGCACAATTGGTTAAATATTTATTGGTCGATGGGCGTTTAAATAAAGAATGGTTTACTCGATGAGGCAATCAAATTTGACTTCGCTTACGCAATACCCTTTAAAAAGGATAAATAGAAAGCAAAGGATGTGAGAGATCATAATAACACGGTAGCTCTAGTTTGTTGGGTTAATGTGTGTGACAAAATTACTTTTTTTTTTTTTTTTTGACTTTGACTTTGACTTTGATGGGTTAAAACGTACGACTAAGATTTTTGTTTTCTTTTTTTTTTCGTATGCCGAGGAACCGGTAAAGAGTGCAGCTCAATGTCTATTAGAGGTTATAGTATATCCATGTTTAATGCACCTCGTTTAGCTGAATGGACTGTTTCTGTGCTTGAGGCGACTATTCCTTCAATACAATCCTCTTGCGGGTTTTTGCCATCTGCTATTGTTCCGCCTTGGTGCTCCACGTTTCAAATGTGAACTGTGAAGCGGTTAACTTTTAACCAATTGAAGACATTCTAAAGGTCCTCTTCTATTGTATCATTTTCTACTTTGCAAGTTTCTTTTTCTTGTCTTTCTGTTGATGTCTTTTTTGTGATTTTGTTTTTTAAAAAAAAAAATTGTTGAATTAAAGAAATAAAAAAAATAAAAAAAATTTCTCACTCTCTTGTTTCTGTATCAATCAGTAATTGGTTTTTATCAGAAGGAAATACACAATACAATTCCATCTCCTCCCCCTTTTTTTTCTTCTTTTTCTTCTTCTTCTTTTTAATAAATATCACGATAACTCTTCCTTTCTTTTTTTCCACTTCATTGACAAGTAGTTGTTATCGCTCCATCGTTTGAGGTTTTTTTTCACTTTTGTTGTTGTATTTTGGTTTTGCAGTTAAAAAATCGAACCACGTTTTCATTGGGAAAGAAATTTTTTTTTAAACCTTTCCTTCATAGAGCACTTTAAAAGAGATTTAGTTTCCACTTATAGAGACTTATAGAGAGACAACCTTCAAATTTATAGAGTTATGTCGTCAGCTACCACATCATCATACTCATCGAGTTACAATAATAACGCGTCAACTACAAAAGTTGAGAAAAAGGGCAACGTTGCTAGTTTCAAGACTACCCCAGATGGGTACAAGACCAACTTGACTGCCATTGACACCTATGGTAACACCTTTCAAGTGCCAGATTACTCAATCAAGGATATTTTGTCTGCCATTCCCTCCCATTGTTATGAACGTAGATTGTTGGAGTCATTCTACTACGTGTTTAGAGACATTTCCATGATGGTTACTTTGGGATACATTGCCAACAACTACATTGAATTAATTCCAAACCAATATGCTAGATTTTCTGCTTGGGCTGGATACGTTTGGTGCCAAGGTTTAATTGGTACTGGTATTTGGGTTCTTGCCCATGAGTGTGGTCATCAAGCATTCAGTGATTATGGTTGGGTCAACGACTTGACTGGTTGGATTTTGCACTCGTACTTGTTGGTCCCATACTTTTCATGGAAGTTTAGTCATAGTAAGCACCACAAAGCTACTGGTCATTTGACCAGAGATATGGTTTTCATTCCAAAAACTAAAAACGAATTTTTACAAAGCCGTGGAGTCGAAGATTTGGATGATTTGTTGGGTGATTCGCCACTTTTCTCCTTATTGCAGATGCTTTTCCAACAAACTTTTGGATGGATTGCTTATCTTTTCGCCAATGTTAGTGGACCAAAATTCCCTGGTGCTTCTTGGATGCAAGTCAACCATTTTAACCCAAGCTCATTGCTCTTTGATAAGAAGGACTACTACTACATTTTATTATCCGACGTTGGTATCTTGATTCAATGCACTGTGCTCTACATGTGGTATAAGAACTTTGGTGGTTTCAACTTTATGGTCAACTACTTCCTTCCATACCTTTTTGTCAACCATTGGTTAGTCTTTATTACTTATTTGCAACACTCAGACCCACAAATGCCACACTATGAAGCTCACCAATGGACCTTTGCCCGTGGTGCTGCTGCTACTATTGATCGTGAATTTGGCTTTGTTGGTAAACACATTTTCCATGACATTATTGAAACACATGTTTTGCACCATTACGTTTCGAGAATTCCATTTTACAATGCCAGGGAAGCCAGTGAAGCTATCAAGAAGGTAATGGGCACCCACTACCAACACTCAGACGAAAATATGTGGAAGAGTTTATGGAAATCGGCTAGAATGTGCCAATTCGTTGATGGTAAAGACGGTGTCATGATGTATAGAAATACCAACGGTTTCGGAGTCGACCCAAGAAAAGAGAAATAGGCTCGCAGGTAATACAACGTTTAATTTATATAAACATCCAGGTCCTGGTGTTTGCTCTATATTTGATGTAGTCTGGGCCGAAAAACTTGACGAGATAGTCCTCCTCGTAGGCAATTCTATCGCGAAAGAATCTCCAAAGAATTGTAGCCCCTATGGCTAACACGAGTATGTTGCCTAGTAGTAGCTCAAGCCCGATAAACCAGATAAAAAAACCGAAATAGCTGGGATGGCGGATATACTTGTAGACTCCTTGAGTGACGAGCGTATGTGTCTCCTTCTCAGACTGTTGAATATAATGGTTAAATGACTCCTGCGCAGTTCCCATACTGAATGTCCTGACCAATTGACCAAAGAGGACTAGTAACAAGCCAATGGGCTTCACCAGGAGATGGAATGGGGAAACAAAGTACTCAATAATCGAAATCACGGTGATTAGGTGAAACTCTCTATCCTCCAAAATGAATGAATCGTCGTCAGTCTGGCTGTTATTGTACAAATAAGTCATGACAAATTCAAGGCTGTGGAATATGCAAAGACATTGGAGGTATAAACATAATGATGTTATTGGATAAACGAATTCACCAATTAATGCGCCCGTAAATACGCCACCTAGTAGAAGCGACTTGAATGCAATCTTGACCAAGTTGTTCTTAGCCGGATCGTATCTAGCATATGGAGATTCATTGTCGAGCATCTCTTCAAGGGTCCTATGTGGTTGATTCATCAAAGAAGAAAAAAAAAAAATTCTAACCTGTTGATTTTATCTGGTGAACTTCGTGATTCCAATGTACTCACCTTCCAAGGTGTCTTTGATTGAAGTGTTTATTGTTTGTTTCACACTAGGGTCTTTGTTTGTGGTTGATTTATTTGCTCTTTTCCATTCTAAATATGTTTCGTTGGTGATTTTTTCCATCAGCTTGAAGGTCTACTTTGTTGCAGAATTCATCAACACTGCATCTTACCAACCTCGCTCAGTCACGTCAAAGTCGTTCTTGATATACGGCGTCAGGGGTAATCATGAGTTTTGGTGGATGCGTATTTTGACCGTGGTGGAGATATTGTTTAAACCGTGGGGAGAATCGAAACCAGTTGCAGTAGTTGGCAGTATCATTGTCATTGGTGGCTTGTACATGCGCCATTTGGCAATGAAGCAGTGCAGTGATTCCTTTAACCATTACATTGCAACGGTTCGGAAACAACACCACAAATTGATAACTTCAGGTGTCTACTCCATCCTGCGGCACCCCAGCTACCTTGGCTTCTGGCTATATGCAATTGGAACCCAATTAATGTTGAACAGCTACATCAATCTAGTGTTGGACATCATTATCCTTCATTATTTCTTTACAAAACGTATCGCATATGAAGAGTGGATGTTGGTAAACAAGTTCTACGGTCAGGACTACATTGCGTATCAACAACGGGTAGGTGTGTATATTCCCTAACTACAAACTCTTGTTCATGAACTTTCTTTTCGTAAATGCCAACCAGAATTTACTAGGAACATCTCCGCCATCGGCGTAGATTCTGTTCAACAACCGTTCAGCCAATTCTTGTCTAAACTGGGTCAAGTATCCCCTCAATAAATCAGCATCAGCTCTTGTCTTTGGTGGTGTGTACAATGAGTTCAATGGGAATGATATATCTCCTGGTAAGGCAAAGTTATCGAGACTCAAATTGCTCAATACCCTGGTTGCTTCACGGTGGGGCATTGTTTTATTGAGTTTTCCCAAGCAATCGCTGACAAACAATATACCGTATATCAATAACCTATCTGCATTGCCTCTGATTTCAAAGTTTTTGAAGAAGGAGTTGGCCCTGAACAAGTCTAACGTCTCTTCGACAATGTCGTAATCTTGATCGGTTTCAAAGGCAGGACCCCGATATTTGGTTTTAAGTGGAAGTAAGGATAGATTGCCAATTGTTCTGGCGTCTTGTGATTCCTCGCCTAGGAATGTAGAGTGGTATGCTGGCATGTTTGGTTGAGGCGTTGGAGATTAGCTGAACGAATATTTGTCGTTTGCCGATTTTGAGGACAAAAAAAGTGGTAGCGTTTAACTGCACTAACAACCCGTGAAGCAACGAAGCAATGAAGCAACGAAGCAATGAAGCAACGAAGCAATGAAGCAATGAAGCAATGAAGCGGTGAGGCAACAGAAAAAGCGATGAAGCTGCCAGTCCAGTAGCTGCATTTCCCTTAGTGGGGGCAGTCTTCAATCAAAAATAGGTGATCTTCACTAAGTTGTAGCCACCATTGCACTTTTCCTTGGCTACAGGACTCACCGTTTCACTTCACCACTTTGTTTACTTTGCCTTGCTAAGCTTTTATGATGACGTTTAATCCCCTACTGCCTACCTGAAACGTCTTTCTTTGTTAATTTCATCGGGTGTGTAGTCTAATTTTGAATATTTTGCACTCAATTATCCAAATTAGTGGAAAAAGTAAACAAACGTAATATAAAGAAAAAAAAATTGATCGCTAAAAATACTACGGGATATCAAAATTCATCGGAATCACCAGTTAGCAATTATATTGTCGTCTATATTAATTCAGATTATTTGACTTCATTTTCACAGTCAATTCTCATTTAAGCAGCATTTGCACCTGAATACCACTTTCGTTTAAATCATGTCGACATTAGCATTATCACCCAGTAATAAGCGCAAGCGCTCAATTCCCAATTCGCCGAGTAAAGAGAATGATGATGTATCAGAAGTCCATTCCAAACATGAAAAGCGGTATGCTAGTGGGCCAGCTTCTGCAGCAGACCCCTTACTTTCACCATCGAAAAGACAACTACTTAAGCAAATGAGTCCAAATGTTTCAAAAAAGTCCAAATTGTCGTCAGCAATAGTTAAACCACCAAATTATGTGACTGAGTCTAAATTCCAAAGACCGCAATTGCCTGCCTCATTCAGGCCCCAGTTAGAACAGAGATCTAAAACCACCTTATCATTACCATCAAGTAATTTGCCGCCTTCGTTTGGCTTGCGTCGTTCAAACTCGTTACTCAATAGATCCAACAGCTCACTATCTGATGCACAACAATCTTCCCTCAACTTGCCCGATAGGTTCATACCATCGCGACATAATTCTGTGACTGGTAAGCTTGACTCGAGTACTGCATCTCCAGCTCCAAATGCATCCCCTGAAACACATATAAAAGCACAAACTTCCAAAATCTACCAGCATCATGTGGCCAAAGCTTGTGGCCTTGAAGTCAATTCGAGGATATTACTATATCAGCCACCACCACCAGAGAGGAAAAAGCCTGTGAATCTTGCATCTCAGATGACTCAATCAAACAAGCTCAAAATCGGAAAGCACTCGCTTCCGCCATCAATTGCTTCAGCGAGAGCGAAAAAGATCCCATCTTCTCCTGAAAGAGTTTTGGATGCGCCAGGATTGGTGGATGATTTTTACCTAAACTTATTGGCGTGGTCGCTGTATAACCTTTTGGCCATTGGACTTGAAGATGCTGTCTACGTTTGGAACGCCTCAACAGGTTCAGTGGGACTTTTATGCGAATTGCCCAATAAAGCACTGGTCTCTTCAGTAAAGTGGTCTCAAGATGGATCGTACGTTTCTATTGGTAAAGATGATGGGCTTATTGAAATCTGGGATATTGAGAAAAACGTAAAGTTACGGACATTAAATTGCGACAATCATTTAACAAGAGTTGCATCGCAAGCGTGGAACCAGCATTTGTTGACCAGTGGTAGCAGGATTGGAAACTTGTACCACTCAGATGTAAGAGTGTCGTCCCATTTAAGCGCGAAAGCTGAAAACTGCCATGATTCGGAAATCTGTGGAATTGAGTATAAACACGATGCAAAGCAATTTGTCACAGGTGGGAATGATAATGTTGTCAACATCTGGGATGTGAGAGGTACTACTCCATTGTTTACCAAAACCAATCACAAAGCAGCAGTAAAAGCATTGTCGTGGTGTCCCTATCAACCATCTTTATTGGCCACCGGTGGTGGCTCCAATGACAAGACGATTAATTTTTGGAACACTACAACTGGTGCCAGGGTAAATACAATTGAGACGGGGTCGCAAGTGAGTTCTCTAAACTGGGGTTACGCACATGGCACAGGAATGGAGATTGTCGCCACACACGGTTTTCCAACGAATAGCATCTCCTTATTTAATTACCCCACATTGCAGAAGACAGGCGAGATTGTTAATGCTCATGACACGAGGATCTTGAATGGTTGCTTGAGCCCGGATAACCTTACACTTGCAACAGTTGCTGGTGATGAAAATCTAAAGTTTTGGTCTTTGTTTGATATGAACAAATCAGCAAAGCGGTTGCATGATGATGAATTAAATGGCCCCAAGGACGAACCAAGGATGAAAAAGATGATGAACCTTCGTTAGTAGACTATAATGACAGACGAAATTGTGAAACTTTTGTAGGGTCTCTTTTTGGAAGCGCTATAAATAATTTGCAACTTGTAAGAGAGAAACAAAAAGAAAAAAAAAAACATCCACCACTCTTGACTCTCCATCAGCAATGCCACGATCGCCAACAAATACCCTCATAATCACCAACTTGAGTGACAGCCTACTACAAGACCCCCGCGAATTGATTGATCTTATATCCGGCACACATGATTTAGTTCAGCTTATAGTTTTGCCCAAGTTTGCTCGGTTTATACTCATTTGTGAATCCAGCCGAGTTGCTCAAGCGATGAAAGAATTAATATCACATGACCCCAAATGGAGCTTTCTTCGAATATCATACAGTATAAAGGATAACAGGTTTGAGTTAAACAAGCAGGATTTGCTTGATGCAGCAGCGGAGGAAGACTATTCGCACATGAATTATTTGGAACTTCCGCATGACCTAAACCTGAAACGCTTTCTAATTAGTCCACCAATGAGTCCTCATGATTGGGACCACTGGGACAAGCTTGAAGAAGGGCCAAACGAGAAGGCTATTTACTCACCGGAGGATTTGTCCAGTTTATTGTGGGAACGGTTAGGTGGCAATATGGTGAGAAAGTACCAAGACGATTCAAACCAAGTTAGAGAGGAAGTGTTGTATAATGAGGATGGCGTTCCGGCAATCGTTTTGGATAAATCGGAGAATGAAGTGTTGGAAGAGAAGCTTCCCAGGACCAGCATGCCGGTCGATGAGGAGCCGTGAGAGGAGCTTTAAGATATGTAGTATCTTTGGTAATCTTATTGTCTTTTTTTTTTTAACCTGGTAGCTAATTTCCATGAACGCTTCCAAAGTGCACATGTTTTGAAACGATATGCAAACTGATCCTCATCTATATTTCAATCATAGCGTTTGATCAATGCACATGTCCCATTTATATAAATATGAAAGCCTATTGTGATTTGACCTTCAGCTAATATTGGAAGTGGGGCTGATCTATGAGTCAAATTGTTAATTGTTAATTGGAGTAGTAGAAGACATAGTTTAATAATAGCCTTTTAAATGTATATACTTTGAATTTTTAATTTAGAAAGAATCTTTCCGTAGCTATAGTTTCAAAAATTCCCACAAGAATGAAACAAGCTTGTGGACTTGTATACACAATTATTCTGACCTAGGTTTCGCACCCATACAAATTTTACATTTCCGGTTCAAGTTTTGGAAGTAAAGGGGAGTGGGTGAAGTTGTGTTTACTTAAGAAGATAATGTTACTATAACCTGCTTACTACGTAATTGCCTTATGAGTGCAGTATACTTAATTTACCGTCACAGTGTACAGGTGTGTATGTGGTTTGCCATTTGTTGTGTTTTCGTTGAAGGTTCTCATTTGTTGTAGGTTATCGCAACTGTTTGTTTACGCGTTTGTTAGTAAAGAGAAAAAGTATATAACGACGAAAC